AAAACTCTATAGCGCTAAGGAAAACCTAAAACCTACTAAAAAAAGCCGAAATTTTAAGATTCTAGGCTTATTTTTAGCGGGATCGAGTAGGTTCTCTTATTAAAAGTAGATAGTTTTATCCTCTCTATCGATTCCGCGAATAAAACGTATACCGGTATAAGTTAGTTTTTCTAGCGAGTAGTATTAATAGGCTAAGTATATAGTAATATATATCTATATAAAGTAGTCCTAATAGTTTACTTAGATTATAAGGGATATAGGGTTATACTACCTTATTAGAGTAGAATACTCCTTACCTATAGTAAAGGAGAATCTAAAATATACTAAGAGTACTCTAATACGGGGGAAGCTAGTTACTCTTAAGGGAGATAATTAGGTAGCCTTATTACTTATATAGGATACTTATATAACTAATAGATCTAAATATATTAATATTATATTCTACTACGTTAGGATACTATAGCAAAAGAGGAGAATTACTATTAAGTTTATTAGAACTAATAATATAGTTACTAATAGATTTACTAAGCTAAAATTAGGAGAAGCTTTCTAGAGGTTTATTCGCTAATTAGGACTTATAGATAACTAACCTTTAGACCTAAGTAGGAGTATTAAGAATTAGTAGTTTAGAGGGTTAGTAGGAGTAAGCCTAAGGTATAGCTAAGGAAGCTATCTTGTCTTTATGGAATAGCTACCTCTATCTCCTTTCTTTCTATAACGTAGTAATAATATAGTAAGGTACGCTTCCATCCTCGTTCCTATTATATATTCTACCTCCTATCGTTATTTAAGCTTCCTAATATACCTTTTAACGGTAACCCTAAAACTCTCTAACCTTAACTCTATAAAAGCTTAGACTATACTCTTAATAGATTATAGTAGAATTTAATATTAGAATCTATTATATACTACTAGAGCTATATAGTTATATATAAAGCTAAACTACTATACTACCCTTTTTATTTACCTTAACGGCATTTATATACTAAGCTTCTTTTAGACTAGCCGAAAGGAATAATAGGAACGGGTACGAACCCGCCGCTATTTTCTCTCTACATTCTATACGTAGGCTACTCTCTAGATCGCTTAGTACTTGCTCTCGCCTCCGTCTATCCTCGCTTCTCTTGCCTGATCATACTGCTCCGCCGCGCTCTGTAGCCGCGCTGCCTCGCTCCCCTTCTCCATGTTCATCTCCGAGCTGCCCTTGCCCTTCGGCATGGGATCACCTCCCGTCTGCTTCTCAATCGCCTCTTGCGCACGCGCATGGAGTGACTCTTGGACGGCGTCACGATCGACTTCGCCGCCAGCTTTGGGGACTTCGCGCGCGAGGCGCTGAGCACCGGTGTTGAGATCGGAGGAGCCTTCGGCCTGAGCCATGGCGGAGGAGAGCTTGCCCTCGGCGCCTGCAGAGAGGTCAGTGGCAAGGACTGCTTGCTTTGAGCTTCGGGAGCGTACCGGCAATATGCTCTTTCGTGGCTGGTGGGTCGGAGGAGTGGTATGTGTTGCTCTCATCTTGCTTGAGCTGGGAGAGGAGCTCGCGGTTCGAGTCGATAGGGCCGGACATAATGGCGGTGTTGCTGTGCGATTGAGACGTCTTGAGTATGGAGATTTGATCGAGGAATGACAGTCCACCTTGAGAAGATATCAAGCAGCAATGGAGTCAACCTTCTTTCCTACCTTGTGTGGCTTTTACGGTGCACCTCGAGCCATTTGCATCATCGTAGGGAGCAATGACGCGCTGACTTGTGAGGTCAACGGTTGGGTGGCATTTGATGGAGAGACTTCGTTCCGCCGACTTGAGAGGGTGTCTTCGTCCAACGATGGTGCGAGCGCACACTGGTACGGATAGTGATACTGATGGGTCAAGGAAGCAGAAGATGTTGCGTGAGCCGGATGTTCGCAAAGCCGATCTCGGCGGAGCACACTCAGGCTCGACGGGGCAAACAGCAGTCTTGATCGAGTATTGCAGAACGACATGACCTGCGACACCCAGCCCGAACAGATTATGCAATCAGTATTTCAGTGGCTATAAACTGTCGGACAGGAGTATACAGCGCACAATTTCACCTTCCTTCACATCCATGTCCAGGGTACAGCACGTCACCACAATCATGTCTTCCTCAGCGCACACCAAAGCAGACCCATCGACATGCCGCATGCCATCGTACATCATCAACTCTGAACATCGTAAACCACTCTCCTGCCGGCATTCTGATACGTCTCGGCCAGGATTAGGCGAGCTTGCGCTTCTTCGTCGGTCCGCCGTACTCATCCTTCTCATCATCGCTGAGCTCGATCGTCGTGCGCTTCTTTGTCAATCCACGGTACTCATCCTCCTCCTCATCGCTCAGCCCGCACGTCCTGCGCATCTTCATCGTTCCGCCATAACCAGCCTCCTTATCATCGGTAAGATCAATCACAGCGCGCTTCTTCGTCAGTTCGTCATGCATATCCTTCTTCTCTTCGTCATCACAGAGCTCATTAGTCGTGCGCTGCTTAGCCATGGAAGCAGCATGTGCCTCCTTTGCGAATGGCACACGTGCTTTGTTTGTGAGTGGCCCTTGTCCGGCACGAAGCTGGATCTTGCCCTGTTGCAGATATCCAACAACGTTTGGAAACAGGCATGGGCCCTTGTGCGTGCGGATGGTAGTCTCAGTGACCTTGGAATTATCATCGGTATGGAGATTGGCTCCTTGCTGGACGGAATCCGTGGCGCTCTCCGACACATTGACGCGATAGCGCTGGTCATGCTGCTGGAGAAGAGTCTTGCATCCTTGTGGCGACGCAGCGGTGGGATCGGGGTCTTGCTTGACGGCTGGAGATATCGGCGAGTCCGAGCCCGGAGAGGTGGTGGTGATCTTAGAGCTCAAGCGTTTCTTGCCCTTCAGCTTGCCGTCAGAAGTCGCCTCTACGGTCGCACAAAAAGTACACATCAGTACGTGTCTCAAATGGAAGATTTCGCACCTTTACTCACCGGCAAGAACCTCAAGCTCGCTGTCCCAATCGTCGTAGAAGTCGCCCTCGAAATCGCTTGTGGCGTTTTCGTCGTACTCGTCTCCGGCGTAAGCCATGATCTCGCGACGCCAACTCCAGCCCCTGCGCGTCATGGTGGGCGAACGAGCTTGTGCTTGCACCTGCCGGATTGGTGGTGAAATCCTCAGGTATCCTGCATACACAACCTCCCACAGTAGAGTAACCCTGGCGGCTGATGGCTGATGGCTGATGGTTGGTAGATGGGCAAATCGTTATGTCTGATGCGGTTTGTTGCCAACACCAACGCGACACGCTAGCGGCAATGATATGCTTGGCGCATATGTGGCAGTCTTCTCTCAGGCCCAAGTACACCCCGAGAGCGGCATCACTCTCTTCAATGGGCTGTCATCGTTTGGGAGAACAAAGCTCGCCCGCCATACTCGACAGTCTTCACCCAGACTCATTTACACCCCAAAGAACGACAGTACTCTGTTCGACAGGCTGTCGTCATTTCAGAGAACACGGCCCATCCGCGATGTTGGGCCAGTTTAAATGCCAGTAGTTCGTCAAGACAGTTGCAACCCCGTCGACCCACCAACTTCGCGCACTGTAGTCCTCCACCTGCTGATAACTGGATGCGCATCAGAGACCTCCGCAAAGGTGACATCGTCCGCTGCATTCTTTTGAGGCACCTCGAACAACCATACTCCATCTTCGCCGAACCATTCGCTTGAGCACAACTGTTCAATCCTCAGCTCGCCCTCAGCCTGCTGGACAATATTCTGAACCTCTTGCAGCCTGTTGGACACAGCTCCTCTATCTTCACGGCCCTCGCCGTCGCTCCGGAGCACAGCTCTGAGCAATCCATCCAATGCTCCCAGCAACCATCCAGCCTTCAGCCCCAACTCCGCGCCTACAGCATATCCCTCATCGAAACCTTGCTGCAAGTAAATCTCCTTGGATTCTGCGACTCCTTCACGGTAGCCGTTGGTGACGTGCGTTTGGCGCAAGCGCGGGACGTCTGAAGGATGCTGTGAGATGGCTGGGTGGGTCGGGGTGGTCTCTGAGTTCGAACGGCGGGGTGCCGCGGGCACAGTGGGCGATGCGGGAGCTGAGCCAAAGACATCGTCAAGAGGGTCGACGTGGTCGGCAGCGATGTTTGGCTCGTGGTGTCCATCATGTGCGCCTGGGACGGTCATGAAGAGTGTGGTATCGTGGGAGTTGTATGGCGAGGGTAGATCGCGGAGCATTGTGGATGGTATTGTTCCATTGCCCTGTGTAAAGTGCCAGCGATCAAGTAGTCGCCGTTTACATGTACATATACCAGTCGAGAGGGTGAGAATCACATGTGAGTTCAAGTGAGTTCGGGAAGTGAATATGTTCGCTCGGGTAATCCTTCCACGGAAGAGACCCATCTCCCTTGGCGGGCGTGGGACGACTAAGGTTCATTAGAGAGAGATGACCACGGGCGGTAATGTGGTCCAGCACTATATCAACATCCACCCCCTCCCACCTGATCAGAGCAGGACAGGACAGCAACAGTGGCCGACTACCTCTTCGTCAGCAGCTGGGCCAATGGCACCTCCTCGCTGACCTCATCTGTCCGTCCCGCCCAGCTCACTCGCTCCACCACGCCCTCGTCCTCTCCCACCCAAGCCAGCAAGCTCCGGAATGCCCTGCCCCTGCCCTACCGCCTCGTCAAGTCCAAGTCCTTCGCCCAACTGCGCGGGGGAGACGTAGACGCGGAGAAGGAGGGCATGGCAGCAGCAACGGTAGCGTCGCCCGTCAGCGCCATTCGCGACGATCACGTCATGGATACCCGGACTCCCTCCCCCGTGCAGCACTCCCCAGGCGGCAGAGACAGCGAGGACACTGCGCCGAAGCAAAGCACGGATGGAGCATATCAACCAGACCTCAGCCAAGAGGTGGCCATGCTGAGCACGAAGTTGGTCAATGCGATCAACTACCAGACGAACCTGGACGACACATTGCAAGCCACACGGCATGACCTCGATAGATCCCAGCAAGAGTTGGCGAAAGTGAGGGCAGAGAAGCAGAGCCTGGACGATGCCATTGCGCAAGGCGTATTGGTCAGGAAAAGCGCTGTGGATAAGACCATCGCAGAACTACGCGCGGAACTGGCCAAAGAGAAAGCCAGCAGGGAGAGCGCGGAGCGTGCGAAGAGAGAGACGGACAGCGAACTTGAGAACTTGACGGCCAATCTGTTCGAAGAGGCGAACAAAATGGTGGCCGCCGCCAGAAGGGACACCGACGCAGCCGAGAAGCGCAACTCGCAGCTCAAGAACCAGATCAAAGATACGGAAGTTCTTCTGGCTTCGCAGCAGGAGCAGCTACAAGACCTCAAATTGAACATGGAGCGACAGTCTGAGCGATCAGATTTGGCGGCTGCAAGAGACAGCAGTATGCCTTCTACACCCATCAACTCCGCCACGGCTGTTTTCGACGCAATGTATGCTTCTTCAGGTGTGGCCAGCCAAACAGCAGACGCTCTTCCTAACCAGCCTCTGCACTTCGGTCAACTTGTCCAACCGGTGCTACGAAACGATGTCTCGGCCTACAATGACTTTGCCGAGCTCCTTGGGTGGGCGCGCTGGACGCGGAACAACAACCTCCCTCACTCACGTAACGCAAGCGGCAATCAGTCAACATCGGCAAGCCACACTAACCTGAGCATGACCTCCGCATCCGCCGCCTCCGTATCTTCCCCCAATCTTCCGGGGGCCTTCTCCTTTGGAACCTCCAACAGCGCCAACAGCAGCCCTTCATCTTCTAGCGCTGCGACCTTCACACCTCCACTCAAAGACAGCAAGTTCTATAAGCGGAGTCTCCTTGAGGACATCGAGCCTACTCTCCGCCTCGACCTTGCGCCGGGTCTCTCTTTTCTTAGCCGCCGGACGGTCAACTCTGCTCTCCTCAACGGCACCCTGACCATTGAACCATTTACACCACCCACGAAATTCTACTCGCCCATCTTTGCTTGCTCGCTATGTGGCGAAAGTCGAAAGGCCGAACCCTACATTCGTCGCCACCGCTTCCGGACGAGCGAAAGCGACGATGCCTCTCGCTACCCACTTTGCGCTTACTGCTTGGAGCGGGTACGGTCCAGCGCGGACTTCGTGGGCTTCTTGCGAATGGTGAGAGATGGGCATTGGCGGTGCGCGAGCGAAGAAGAATCCGAGAAGGTGTGGGAGGAGGGGGTAAGGCTGAGGGAGAGAATGTTCTGGGCTCGAGTTGGGGGTGGAGTGGTACCGGCTGGAGCCCACGGACTGAGGAGGGAAGTTGAAGCAGAGACTTCGAAGAAGGTGGTGGAAGGGAACAGTGCAGCCACAGACATCGATCGAGCGAGCGATGGCGAGGTGGTGGATGAAGGAGTGACTGGCGGAACGGAAAGCGTGGACGACACCGCTTTATCGGGTGTTCCCGTGGTGGAGGATGACGCAGCTGAGGGTGGTATTGGACGCGCCATCATCAACATGGCCTCCCGTGCCGCATCCAGCGCAGTGCCGGAGCTGGAGCCACGTCCGAGCGGCCATCGAAGCTCAAGCGCTTCATCGGTGGGAGGAGTCCAGCGCGAGAGTGATGCAACGCAGACGGTCGCAACCCCACCGGCACATGAAGCTACTCAAGCGCCCGGCGGCCAGCAGAACCAGGAAGAAGCTGAGGCACAGCTCCAGCGCGAAGCAAGCGCGGCTACGGAGAACGAAGTCATGGCCACGCCGCCTGAGATGCCGCAGCAAGAACCGTTCGTCACCAGTAGTGAGGCCTCCGGCCCTGCTTCGTTGCCTGCTGCAGCCACAACATCATCACCACCAGAAGCCCGGCCAGAGGACCCCAACACTGAAGCAGCCGCACCCAGCACCGCCCCTCACGCACCGGACCCGGACGAAGCAGCCGCAGCCGCAGCCTCTCATGCATCCGAGCGACCGCGTACGCCAAGTCCGCAGAAGCGGGGCAGGGGTAGTGAGACGTTACAGGCGCGGCCGGCGCAGGAGGAGCGGAGGCCATCGAGCTCGACCTCGAGCGTGCTGGCCAGGGTTAGAGCTATGGAGGGGAAGGGCAAGTGAGTGCTGGCTCGCGCGGGAGATGTAGGAAGACGTCAGGGGCAAGGGAATTGTATGCAGGATTTGAAGGGGTTGTATGGATAATGTATTGTACGTCTGTATGAATATGCATGGATGAGGCATCTGAATGTCGTCTTCGGAGAATTCGAGTCCGAGTTGGTGTGTGCCGGAGCCATAGTCCAAGTTCCAAAAGCACATATCTCCACATGCACATAGCAAGTTTCGGGGGAAGACTTGAAATGGAAGGTCAACACTATGCCTGAAGGCACTCGAAGTATACAAGTAGCGGTGGTGCCCCTGGTGAAGTGCCCTGGCGTTCTCGACCTGACTCTGACCGCGCTGCCTTCCCGTCATATTTCAGCCTTGGCATTCATCACTCCGACGTCACGAACAGCACCTGCAGGCGCAACATGAGCAGGCCCACATGGGCGCAAATAGCGTGGCGCGCAGACTTCCTTCCGCGTGCGTCGACAATGCGCCAGGATGGGGAGCGTTCCGGAAGCGACTCCGAACGAGGCCTCGCACGCGCTGTTGATGTCTGCAGAGAGCGCGGCGAAGCGACAAACCGTGTCTGCTGCATGCCAAGAGTGTCGTCGGACGAAGACAAAGGTAGGTAGTCCTTTCACACACATCACGCAGGAAGCAACCACCTCGAGTCACTAATAGCGCTGCGCAGTGTGATGGCAAACGTCCCAAATGCAGTCGCTGCGCGCGGAAGCAACACCAGGACCCTTGCACGTACCTCGTCGGCGAGAACGAAACGCAGCAACAAGGGGCGAAGCGCAAGTTCGACCAGTTGGTCAAGACAGACAACGACTACCGCCAGCTACACGACTTGATCGCCAACAGCGACCCTCGCACCGCCACCGAAATCTTCCGCCGGATTCGCTCGAAGCAGGATGCTCACTCCATCCTCAGCGCCGTCCAATTCGGCTCGATCTCCATCCAGGACCGAGCAGCGCGCCGGCAGCTTATGCTGTCCTTGTTCCAAAGCACGGCCTCTCTACCCGACATCATACGTCTCGCCACCAAGAGCGGCACTCTTTACCCGCTGGGTACTTCGAGCAAGGCTCCTCTGCGACTGACAGCAGATATGAACTCGTCAGGCGCTCCCAACGGACCTCCTCCTTTCCGAGTCCCAGCGGTCCCATGGACGTCACTTGCTTCGAGCGATGCGGTATCGCAGCTTGTCTCCGTCTTCCTACTCCACCTCAACCCGGGTTTCGCGTACCTGGATCAAGAGCCATTCCTCGACGCCATGAGGTCTGGTGACAGGACCTCCGAGTACTGCTCATCGTTCTTGGTCCACAGCATCTGCGCAATGGCAGCGGTATGGGCTGCTGATCTTGACCGTTGCAGCCTACAAAGGCACTGACCATTTGCAGACACAACATGAGTGCGATGAGGTTTTTCTCGAACCAGGTGATATGTTGACACGCGGCGATCACTTCTATCGCGAAGCCCTTCGTTTGTGGCATGAAGAGCAGGGCGGTGTCTCCCTTTCCACCATGCAAGGGCTACTGGTCCTGAATCTGGCGTAGGCTCCCCCACAACCTCCTTGACACCCACTCACTGATCGATTGCTGCAGTGCAGGCATACGGGGAAAAGACCGAGACGGTGTTCTGCTCCTCACCAATGCAGTGCAAGTTGGCAAGAATCTCGATCTTCCCATCTTCTCGGGACTGCGGCCAAACGGGGCTCGATTCGATCCCGTGCGAAGGCCGTCATATCCTCGGGCAAAACTATTGGCGTCTGCCGCTTTATTCATGACAGAGATGTAAGTCAGCTCTGGCTGTTTTTCTCGTTGCTCGCGAGCGCTGGACCGCGCATCGGAGAACTCTCAACTCCACCGTCGAGCTTGGAACACCCGGAAATATTCTGTCGCATGGGATGTTGCACGGTGATACTTCTTTAACAGTACCCAGTCATGCTGACATTCCGTCTCCAGCTTCAACGTCAGCACACTAAGAGTTCCTTCACGTCTGCCAGAGCCGACTCTGGACGAATTCGAAGCTCTGACGGCAGCGCTGCCATCATCGCCGGCAGCATGGCCAGCTTACCCGTTGAAGCAGGTATCGAGCCAGTTTGACAGCAACGCTCATCTCCTCGCCCGATGGGAGCTAGGTCTGCTGGTGCATCAACTCCACCATGAACTGCTTCAACCCAAGACGTCGGCTACTGCATCTGCGATCCACAAAACGGCGCAGGCTTGGGCGCGAAAACTCAGCGAGTGGTATCAAGCGCTACCGAAAGGGCTGGAGTATGCGAAAGACATGGCGATACCGCTGTATGAACTACAGTAAGCTTGCTGCCGAAAACATCAATGGAACAAGTGCTGACAATGTGGTCGTCCAGCGCTTCTTACCACTGCTGCCTACTTCACGTGTACACTTTTGGCGGACAGCTGATCGAAGCAGCAAGTACACGCGAGCACACAGATTCGACTCCAGAGGTATTCTACAGCAGGTCGACAGTTGACTCAATCAGACCATCCCCTCTGGAAAGAGAGGCCCTAGAAGTTGCTCACAGGAGCGCCGCGCTCATGAAAGACTACCGAGAGACATACAGCATGCGCGTCGCACCACCCATGATGATCCAGGTAGCTGCGATTGCATCGTTCACTCTCGTCAAGGCACTTGAGCGCCGACCGGACTCTGCTACGCCCCGGGCAGCACCTGCAGCGGCTGAAGGACAGCTTCAAGCCATCGAATCCGCCTTCGACGAGACCTTTCGGGGTCTGGTGGCTCTAGGCCTACAGATCTTCATTGCTCGTGGTATTGCGCGAATGGTGGTCGGCACAGCGCACTATCTGAATGTGCGACTGCCAGACTCGGTGCTGCGCATGATGCATCTTATAGCAGAGATGGCATGGCGTCCGTCGGATCGTTTGAAGATCAGCTCAGTGTATCCGAACGCTGCCATGGCGTCTGCTACGACTGGCTCGGAGTTTCAGATGGATGAGATGCTGCGGAAATGGGAGGCGTTGGAGATCAAGGATAACGAGGCTCAGGCGTGAAGTTGGCGCGTCGAGGTCCTTGCTGGTTGCGAGATAGTGTTGCTGGACGCATTAGTAGGGCGGGCAAGCGACAGACAGTGAAAGGGACCAACCGCACCATCCGGCAGTCTTCTCCGAGACGAAGTTGGGATCAAAACGGCCATATCACTCGCGTCGGCGTCGGCGAATCGTCATTGTCTGTGAGAAGATCCCTCACATTGCTCACCCTGCCCTAGTTGGCCCATTCCACTGTCGACGGCTTGGGCAGGCTGGGATTTTCCCACTTTCGCGAGACGGATTCGGAGCTTCAGGGAGAGGATCTGGCATTGCTGCGTGGTCTGTAATGGGGAGCTGCGTCCCAGGTTGCTGGTTGCCGATGGTGTCTTACTCCAGCTTAGAATTCACTCGGTAGCAACAGTACAGCACTTTTTGACACTTCACACTCCGTCTTCGTGATGCTGGTAGTCGCCGTGTATGAGGATATGGATGTGTTGAATGTTGCTCCCATTTCCGCTGCCCCGGTCTGCGGTGCCAAGAGTGTGTATAGTAATCATGATGCCACCTACATGAGACGTCTCTCGGCGACACGTCCGCAGCCTCATACAGACAACCTCCAGCATTCGGAGCTTCCTCCATGCCTCGAGACCCTGCAAACAACCTGTCATCCCCACCGCATCTTCCTCATGGATAGCGACACTCCCTTCGTCTTCCCCATCGCCGAGTCGCCTGCGGATGGCGCCAGCACGGCTGCCAGTCCGGGCTTTGGCTCGCCGGGAGACAGCGCGGTGGCCACGTCGTCCCGAAAGCGAAAGGCCAGTCGAAGGGATCCCGTCACGCGAACAGCCTGTGCCCGCTGTCGCCAGAGCAAGGTGAAGGTAAGGACCTGATGATGCAGGACTACATTGTCCAATGGGAAGCATGGCTGAACCCGCTGTCAGTGCGACGGCGTTCATCCCACGTGTTCACGATGCATGGCGAGCAAGAAGCACTGCGTCTACGACGTGCCCCAGGAGAACATGACCCGAATGCAGTAAGTCACGGCCGAGCGCGAGACACCGCGCCCTCCCACATGCAATGGTGTTTGCTGAAACTGCACCGTCAGATTCATGCAAGCCGAGCTTCGCATGAAGCAACAAAGGTACGAGGGAATGCAAGCTCTCTTCGAACTCTTGCGCATGGGCGAGCATGCCTATGCTTGCGAACTGCTTGCTCGCATTCGTCTCGGTGAGCCACTGGAGACGTTGGTCGATAGTTTGAACGTGTCTACGCAGGATGCACCGGCCGCGTGAGTCTACCCCTTCACCGCCATCGTCTCCCACGCCACCTCTACTCGCATTGCAGCGGATAGCTGAAGCGTGCTCTAGACCCCCATCAGACGGTCACAGCGACAGCACCATCTCGCCGAGCATCAGGAGCTCTGACACGGCATCACCGATTTTCATGCACAGTACACCGGACAACTCACTACAGAGGAGCCAAAACTTGCCGTATTACTCTCATCCTTTGCCCATCGTAAGCGAAGATCTGGAGGGTGATGACGCGGCGAGCGTGCGTGCGGAGGTTGCTCGGCTTCGTATGGCGCACTCGGGCATGCCACAGGTTTCTTTCGGAGGCATCAACTGGCCGGGGCCGTTGTGATTCTATTGCTCGGGGTGTTCTGGACGGCCGCATCGGTTTGCGCGGCGTTGCTTGATTGCTCATGATACTCACGATGATTTGTGAATGCCAACGAGGCTTGTCTTGGGGTCTCAGACGTTTGGGCAGTGGCAGCAAGGGCGGACACATGCTCACGCATCGCCATTTTGATGTGTCACATTGATGAGTTCAGGGCTGGGTAGTGCAGGTGTAAGCGGAAGACGAGATATTATAGGATGAGTCAAGGACATTCAATAAAGATGAGTGAACGATCGTGTTCCTAAACCAAAGCTGAACATATCTTTCACAGCAGGACGCAGTTCTTCTTCCCTCCGATACCAAATGTTTCCTCGATAATGTGAACAGAAGCTTGACGCCCTCCATAACTCTGGCATTACGTTTCTCAGGGTTTCGCCTTGTCTGCTGTCGAAAGCTGCACATGGTTCCCAGGAGACAGCAGTGCTGTCAGGGATCTCATATCGGCCATTTCCTCTAGATGACCTACACCATCAATCAGCTTCTCACGCCTCTCTACACCCATAGGCTCAGCAGAAAACTCCCAGCACCTCCGGAATTTTGTCAGATGCTGCATCCTCGTTAAACGACGGCTTGGACTGGCAAGCATTTGCTCACACCTCCATCTCCGGACCTCGCCACTACTCAATGTCATGTCGACGCTCACAGGCACGAGAGAACTTGGGATCTGCTTGGCCATCGGAAAACATGGTGATCTTCTTCGCGACCTCGTGCGTCGTTGGGTCCGTCAGCTCAGATCCTCTGTAACGGGCCAAATCAATGGTGCCGTTTAGCAGTACCTTGGCTCCAATCTATGACATGCAGAGGCGAGCGTAATTGGGAGACAGATCCGGCTTGTCTGGCCGTGCACACCGGCGGGCGGAGACTGGAGACCCCGTCATCGTGACTTTCTCGATCTGCTCTGGCTTGAGATGTCCGGTCTCTTCCTTCATGAGTTCTTGGAGGCCCTCGACACCTCCATGAGTGGCTCTTCCGGCAGGGAACGGTTTGTGGCTCAACTCGGCGATGAGCCAACGCCTTCCTTCCAAGACCAGCCTGCTGGAAGTCATATTCCACTGTTTTGGTCCCTCAAAGAGCCGCAGGTAGCCATAAGTCCCTTCAAAGACATCTCGCGGTCCCTGAAAACCAGGACGAGCCAGCTCGCATGCCAGCAGAACAGCACGGCTGTTCCAACCAACTTGCAAAGGTAGGGAAGCGCTGCCCTCGATGTGCGGCTGGAGTGTGCCGCTCGTTTGAGTATACTGCAGACCGAAGGCCTGCACGAGTTGCTCCTGAGACAGTCGTATCAAACGGCCAACCGCAGCGACAGCGCCGAACCCGCCTGCGGTCGCCGGGCGGAAGAATGTGAGTCCCGATCTCGCAGAGGCACCAAGTCCTGCAGAAACATTCACGCCGACAGCGCATACGACGATGAGTTCTTTCCCTGAAACACCTCCGCTGTGCTCTGCGGGACGCTTTGACGGCGGAGGAGAGGTAGAAATGGATTGATGAGGGTCGCACGGGAGATGCGCATCCGGACTATCGCTTCATTCTGTAGACTGCGGCTTTGGAGTGGTTCTGCGGCTACCACGAAGCATCGCAGCAGTCCTTTGATGGTCATCTCGGTGTTGTGATTCCATGGCGATGGTGCATAGGAGATGCTGTCTTGAACATGGTAGATCATCGAGGAGTGAAGGTAGAGGGCAGCCGTGAATGAGCTGCATTGGGGCGATATTACTGCATCTCACTCCCAATGCCGTCTGATCACAGGCCTGGCGGGATCCCAGGGCCCTGTAGATATGAAATTAGCACGAGCTGTTGAATACCAAGTGCAAGGAAGACATATCTTATCTCATTCTTGTACCTCTGCAGTCCGATCAACCACCACGTCGTCATCCCTAGACTCCCTGCGGTAACGATGCCACCTAAAACGACCCCAGCAATACCCATGAGGTACCCACCTCCGCTAATTGTCATGCTTAGTCCTCCCGACGCAAGCACTACCAGAAAAGTCGTGAGCGAAAGATGCCCGGCCCATGAGTGGTGCCGTAGATGCCGTCGGAAGACTGGGAAGAGTCCAAAGACCTCAATGCTGAACAGGGTCAAGCTGAAGACGTGGGTCGTGCTTGGCAGCCGACTGGCCAGGACTGTACTTGCCATCAAAGCAGCGTTGGTAGACAAAGGCGCTGGGAATTTCGCCTCAGGCCCGGCGCCATAGTCAAAAGTCATGACGTTGAGCATCATGAGCCAGCTGCTGAGAGCCCAGATCGAGTCAGAGGAGGTGGACTTGGTGAGAGATTTGAGGATGGGTGACAGGCCAAGGAGGGAACAGTAGATGAGGATAGCTGATTTGACCGTCGACAGGCGTTGTTGCATGCGTGGCGAGAGCGATGATGGTGGACCATTCCACGCCGGAACATGGGGAGGTGTTGCGGGTAGAGCCGCGCCATGAGCTTCACCAGGACCGAACATTGGAGATGTAGCGAAACTGCTGGCGGCACCAACGGAGGCAAGACTGGGGTTCCGGGAGTGAGAGTAGGATGCCCGACCGCTGGCTGTTGCAGCGAGCGGGATATGGCGCTCTTTGAAGGGCTGGCCGAAAGAGGCAGCGTCGGATACTGGGGAGTTGGAGCCTCTATCAGCATCTTCGCCTCCTCCATTGTGCGGCGGTGGGTCTTGGGTCTCAGCCGCTTCAGCTTCTTCCCGCGTCTGCCAGTAGTCCAGTAGAAACCAGCCGACTACCGTTCCAAGCGTGGCCCAACCCACGACAGTCTGCGGGACGACGCGCTCCTGGAAGATGGCCGTGAAGCAGCAGACAAAGATGATGACGGAGCAGACATGCTGCACAATGATGGTGCTGTCGGCAACCAGCGGCCAGAATTCATACGGTCTGAGCCGCGGGTTGCGCTGCAGATGGTCCAAGAAGGTCTCCTCGTCGGTGTAGTTGTCCGGGTAGCTCTGCTTCACCCACAGTAGCTTCTTCCACTGTCCCTTGCCCAGGGCATTGCCACTCCGCCTCCTGCGGCTGCTGCTACGTCCTCGCCGTCGATCCCGCTCCCTTCTGCTGCGCGATCTGCCGTCCGAAGACTGTTTCGTCGCCGTGTCACTCGGGGCCAGCGAGCGCTGGCGCGGCGGCGAGTGGGCGTAAAAGGCATCTTGCGGGTGAAGATGCGAGTTGCCCAGGTGGATGGAGCTGGCGCGCGACGAGTCGGCCGTGGGTGTATGCTCGTGCTGTGGCATCGTCTGAAAGTGTGTCGTGGAGATGAGGTGCGTCTTCGTGCTGCTCGAGCCGAGGCAAACTCCAGCTTCACCACCAGCAGCAATAGGTCGTCTTCTTGACCTTGTCCACGGCCCAACCCACCGACACTGGAACATATCAAGAATGGACACATGTATTCCGGCTCGTCGTCCCGTGATCATTACAGCGAGACCCAGTAGAACAGCCCATTGCACTCGCTGCTGACGGGTCGATCGTCTTGATAGAGCAAGTCATCAGAAGTACAGATGCTCAACGAGCTGCAGCAGGGTCAGAACGAAGAGACTTGAGACATCATGACTGCTGCTACCTTCGAACGTACTATCGCGCTGAGTGCAATCGGCCAGGTACGTTGCCACTAGCAATTTGACGAGCGGCACCAATATTAAGAGTCTCAAGGACGAATTCGAGTCGGTGCATTCACCCCTCTGGACATGGCCGAACTCCACTGTCGTCCCAGGAGGAACACTCGTGGCTTTAGCTGCTGCTGCTGCGTATGAGACAGTCGGCTCGGACTTTGCCATTGACACCCTCCACACTTACTTCGTTGCTGGACCAAAGCACGATCAGCTGCTGCGATTCCAGGTACAACGGCTGAACGACGGCGGTAGATTTCTGACACGAGTAGTGACCATCAAGCAAGCAGGCAAGGTTGTGGTTCATGTGAGCTGCAGTTTCGTCCGCATTGCCGCAATGGCTGGGCCCAGCATGACACATGCCGTACGCCGACGATGCAGCAGTAAGGTCGATAAGATCAACATAGATGATCTCGAGGTGGGAAAGAATAGCCAAGGGCCTGTGATGAAGTTCCAGCGGCTGTCTGTGACACCAACTCATGCATCCGAAGGCATTCATTCTTCTACTCCAGACTCCTTGACGTACACATCCGTGGCCACCGTCTCGCCGTCACTCCAATCCCAGGATCCGAGGATTCATGCTCTCGGCATCATCGCCCTGTCTGACTACCACGTCCTCGACGCCCCGCCTACTCTTCACAGCATTCCTTTCGGCCTGCCGGCCATTGATGACCACTCGCGCAGCCCGCAGCCAACTCACTTTGGCCTGTTCACCAGCCTCAACCATACGATCAGGTTCCACCTACACGAAGGCTTCCCTGCGGACGAGCTATGCTACATTGAAGTGAACAGTCCTTGGACGGCGAAGCGGAGAGCGGAGGTGCAGAGTCGAATCTTCAGCACCGATGGGCGACTTGTAGCGAGCTGTGTACAAGGGGCTTACTATGTTCTGAAAGGGGATGAGGAGAGGAGCAAGTTGTGAGGGAATGAGCCTGTCTGAACTACAAGCTGGCATACGAAAACCTGGTACCTCGACCACTGTGAGGACCACAAAGGCTTTCTTCTACCGTCCGTTGCCTCATCAGTCATGTCCTCATCAGCTCGTGGTATTGCTCATCCAGTTTCCCACAATTGTAGGCAGGATGGGTGATCTAAAGATCGCGGTCGAGGCGTTTTAGATCCCTCGCTCCTGAGGGTCTGTATCCTTGAGCACCTCCTGCATGAAGAACCATTCAAGATCAATACCGTAATGAGTCTGCGGGCCAGTTGTCATGATACTCTCTCGATACCTTATCGTGATGGAGTAGAAGCGCAAGAAGGAAATTTGCTTGGCAACACGTGGGTCTCGATCTCTTCCCGATCCGCGGCGCGACGGCGGACACAAAACTACTCTAGAACGTTTGAAAGTGGCAACTTGAAACAGAAGTTCGTTGGGGCGGGGGGGCGCTTTCACTGCAGACAACGACGACGAGACGCCGGTAGGATTGGGGTCAGCGAGGGTGTATTGTTCGGCCACGGGGACTGGCTCGGCGTCCAATCTTGGGCCTGTTCACGAAGCACCTGCACGCGATTACATGGCGGCGACCTCGTGCCACAACAACGATCCTGGACACCGACATGACCTTGGACCAGCAGGATCAGAATGCCACGGGCGACCATGATCACGCTTTGAAGCCTCAAACCAGCTGGGTCGCGGGTCTTCCAGGTCGCCACGTCGTTGGGCCCTACGTGCAGTCCAATGCACTCGAGCGTCTGCGCGTCTGGGAGGTGCGCAAGTACTGTCAGATCAAGCCGGCTCTGAGCTCTCAGGGCGATGATTTCATCTCGCACTCCGATGATCTGGAAAGCGGTGACTATGCCCTGACTGCCATCCTGCGCTGCGTGCTCTTGGAACTGGGCGCAGACCTCGCCTTCATAAGCCTGTTGGACGACTCGACGCAGTACTTCATCGCTGGCGCGACCCGATCTGCCGAGCCGACCACCGCGCGATCCTCGGTAGAGTCCACTCAGTGGTATGGCTGCGATGCCGTGCTACATGCTGGCGGTCTCTGCAACCGCACCATCCGTCTCGCGGGAGATTCCGCGCTTTACGAGGAGTTTGACATGAGGACGCAAGATTACACCAAATCGTTGCCCTTCGTCAATGGAGACATTGCCAGGCTCCGGTACTACGCTGGTGTTCCTTTGACGACCCCTGAGGGCCATGCGATTGGAACCCTGTTCGTCATGGCGAATGAGCCCGCTGAGACATCCTTGTCCGCGCACCAGCAGAAGTTTCTCTGCGACTCGGCGGTGCAGGTGATGAGGCAGCTGAAGCAGGCTGTCCAAGCATTGGAGGGTGAGCGCATTGCCAACTTCAACGCCGCCATTTCCTCTTTGGCACGCGGACCCCAGACTCCCAACTCCGAGAACAGCACTTCGTCGTCTCGCAGCAAGGAGAGATCGGTGACGGCAGCAGAAGGCGCGTTGCAGCTGCAAAATTTCTACGATCACAGTGCCAAACTCCTGCTCGATGGTTTTGATTTCGGCTCAGTCTTTCTGCAAGAGGTCCCTCTACACCAGGGGAACAATCAGACCTGATGGTCGGGGAAATGAATCTCAGGCCACTTTTCTCGCTCTTGCCAGCAGTCCGTGCACTCCTTCTCCTTCTGCCTTACCCCTTGCAATGATCCATCTGCTCTGCGAACAGTGGCCTGAGGGCGAGATCTTCAACCGGGCTGTCGACGAAGACAGTCCTGTCATGACCCCGAGCCACCTGACAAGGCCCAGTAAGCGTAATGCAAGACACGAACTTGGAATCAAACTAGCGCAGGCATTTCCCGATGCAGAGCAGCTAATCACTATGCCATTGTGGGATCCACTCTACGATCGCGTGACCACCGTGGTAGTTGGCATCGCCCATACGTGGGATAGAGTCTTTACACGCAGTCAGGACCTTTTTCCAATGGCCTCGTTCTGCGCATCCGTGATGCATCATGCTCATCGTATGCAGGCGCGCCACATGAAGCAGCGGAAGTCAGACTTTCTTGGGTCAGTGTCGCACGAGATGCGTTCTCCGCTCCACGGTACGCTCGCCAATCTTGAGCTGGTTTTAGAGACCCATTGTACGGAGGAGCAGAGGTCAATGCTACGGACTGCCCTCTTGAGTGGTAAGCAGCTTCTTACCTCCATCGACAAGGTGCTCGCCTACGCCCAGATCAGCGCGGACCCGGAGACCTTCGAAATGCCCATTACTCCGGCAGCAAGCGACGAAATTGCCGGAGTATCACCCAGTATGGCTGAACCGCCGTTTGATGTTGCGGGTACATCAGCGACAACTCTCAGAGATACGATGGAAGAGGCAGTTTCTGATGCCGTGGGTAGAAGCGACCGAACGAAAGACTTCTTGGAGGATACCGCCACACCTGTTCAGCCCGTCAATGCGTCGACTTCTGATATGAAGAGCTTTGCAGCGCCTCTGCATCATGGGCGAACCACTTCCGGGACCATATCCGGCATCAAAGACAAACGTGAGAGCGTAATCGTCATTCTTGACGCCTGCAACATACCTGTTCCCTCCACGCTGAACGTAGAAGTGCTGAAATTGTTGGTTGAAGAGCTGTTGGTGGGTATTCAGCGTCTTTTCCTCCCTCTCTGGTCCGCCGCTGACTCCGCATCAGACAAATGCATTGAAGCACACAATAAGTGGCTGTATACGCATCAGCTTACTCTCAGATACGTCAGCAGATGCACATGCTGCAGGTATGCTGCTCCGCGTAGAAGATTGCGGCACAGGCATCTCGGATGAGTTCGTGAAGCATCGATTGTATGTTCCGTTTTCCCAGGACGATCACTTTGAGTCTGGCACGGGTCTGGGATTATCTCTCCTCAAGCAGAGGATTCAATCTTTGGGTGGTACAGTAGCCATCGAGTCAGCTGTAGGTGTTGGGACGGTTGTCTCGATACACCTGCCAACGACCGTCACAAATGCCTCGCCCCAGTCAGTACAACCAAGCTTGCCATTGCAGACCTCAGATGCCGTGGCCCAACTATTCATACCTCCCGAACCTCAACCGGCATCAGCACAGAAGGCTCATGAGATGCTCCATGAGTCTTTAACTCAGACACTCGCCACATATTGCGACGTGCAGGTGGTGGCCTGGGACCCTACAAACCGACCTGCTCTCGTAATTGTAGCAGAGAAGGACCTTCAAGCCCTTGAGGACGAGGATCTACTTCATCGCAACCTCCCACTGCTGGTTCTGCGTTCATCGAAAGGAGCAAGTCACGAATACTGCGATTCCACTGCCAGCATAGCATCGCCTCTTTTACCAAGTCAGATTGCTCGGTCTGTCAACGCGTTGCTTGGGATGCCACAGAGCAACACCGAGAACGCATTGCAAGCGTCTGAGCCATCGGTCCCTTCTGAAGAGGTGTCGTTCGGTGCTCAGCGCACTGACAATGACTATACTGCTCACTCGGTCGTTGCGAATACAGAACACATGGAGTCTCTTGCGGAGCCACACATGAGTGGAGAACAAAGAGAGCAACTTCGCACGCCAATGGAGCCTGGTCTCCCATCTGTACTGCTTGTCGACGACAATCTAGTGAACCTCAAAGTTGTTGTACGAACTCCACACTGTTCCCATCGAACGAATTGAGTGAGCATGCTGACCGCTACGACAGGAAAGATATGTTCAGCAATGCAATATACACAACCCAACCGCCGTGAGCGGAGGCCAGGAAGCGATCGATGCCTTCGAGCAGGCGCTCAACGGTGGTCAAGGCCAAGCTTTCGACATCATCCTGATGGATCTGAGTATGCCCGTGGTCTCGGGCTTCGATGCCACAGCCAGAATACGTGAGCTCGAAAGGCAAGCTCGTGGCTGCGATGAGCAGAGCGTGCATCAAAGGACAACCACCATCATCGCACTTACAGGATTGGTCAGTGCCAAAGACCGAAAGGCGGCTTTTGAGGCTGGTGTGGACGGCTATATCACCAAGCCAGCGAAAGTGCAGAGTATCAAGGACGTCATCCAGTCCTGGAAGGATGCCCACGATTGAGCTGACTGGATTGGACTTGAACAAGCTCTCATAGGGCGAAAAGGTCATAGGTTACTCCAACGCGGCGAGACTGCTAGGCGATGGGGTCGGAAGACTATCTCGTTCAGGACAGCGGCCCCGAAGGTTTGATCATGGCATCTACTCCACACGGAATGTGGCGAATGAAACCTGCCGAATGCACAATGTCAATCGTCGGCCTGCCGGAGAGGATCAGAAAGGACCGCAGAATGCTTGCCTCCTCACACCAGCAGGCGTACAACCGTTCGGATCATCGGACTCATACCGTCACGAATTCTGAGACCTGGGGATACGAATGACGCTCGCCCGGCCAACACTTAGTTGTTGTCGCAGAGGTTGCTACGCAGACAGCTTGCCGCGGCAGTGAAGGCGTCGTCTCGTCGACAATGGATTACCTTGGACTTTTGTCCGCTCGGCCGGCTGGTATGGAGAGACGTTGTATAGAGACAGGAAAGTGGTACAGATGTTCAACCGGCAGAGAAAGGAGGGGACTCAGGCGTCGATTCCATACAGTGTACGCAGCAAGTGTTTGTGGAAAGTCTGGGGACAAACACGTTTCTGTATTCTACCTGACGACTCTGATGCGACAGTTTGTCCATTTCGATCGCCAGATTTCTCGTAGTCCATTGGCGGAGAGCGTTCTCCTGCGCGCAGCTACGTGGCAATGCGGTACCATCAAGCTATGCCCAAGTTTCTCCAACGAGGCTATCGCAGACTGTTGAATACAGCGATACTACGCTGTATCCTGAGGCCGTACCAAAGAATGGGAGCTGTTTCCTGCTATTGGTGTGCGTGATTGAACGGCTCAACCAGACAACCGGGACTGAAATTTGCGATGCAGATCGTGCACATCCTCAGCGAAGGCATCGACTGGGCCACTGGCTTTCAGATGCGGCGCCACCTCGTTGATTGCAAGCGCACTGACTGCTCCAGCCTTCATACCCAGTTCCTGCTTCCACTGCACAAGCTGCTGCGAGGAGGTAGCGTAGACTATTGGGCCCAATCCGGCGTTCGCATGGACGGCGGAGCACATGGGACAGTGCTCGCCAGAAGTGTAGACTGAAGCGGTGGACCTTTCCTCGGGCGACAAGTTCTTCTGTGCCCAGATCGCGAGCGTGAACTCCGGATGGAGAGAGACGTTCGACTCAGTCACGGTGCGGTTGCGGTCTTCTTTCAACACATCTCCAGCTGCGTTGACGAGGACAGATCCGAATGGTGCATCACCGGCTTCCAGCGCTTCTCGTGCGAGCTCTACACAGCGGGAGAGATACTCCTGTTCCTTTGGAGACGCCGCATAGGACATGGCTCGTCTGCAGATTGTGTCGATGTTGATGGAGTGGATGTAGGGAAAGATGTTGTGTGTTGCTCTGTGGCGTTCACTTCGTCCGCACAGACCTCTGCCCGAGGGGAAGCAGCACTGGGGACTCCATCTCTTCCTCTCCTCACAACAGCGACAAAACAGGTACCTCATCTACATCAGCGCTGCGCTCGGCAACGGTGCGCCATCTTGCGTATCGACGATATATCGACATGTCTCACGTCCGGCCTCAGCGACGCATCACGTCGGGAACCCGAGTATGTGTCGGGCCCGAGGGCAGGATGAGCCCGGGAACAAACAGATAAAAGCATCCCCTTGAGTTGCCATAAGCTCCAGTGGCCGCTACTATCACATTTAAGCTGGACTGGCTTTGAGAGCATCACCTCGTCTCTACGGAAGCAAGATGTCCAACCTCAACGTTCTGGTGGTGGGAGCATCGATCGCGGGCCCAGCAACGGCTTACTGGCTTGTATGTACTGCCCAATACCTTCTATGGCTTCCAAAGACCGGAGAAATCTTAACTTCAAGCTCTTCGTATGATTGAAGGCTAGAGTCAAGACATCATGCTGACACGTGCTTTTCTGTAGGCAAAAGCCGGAGCAGATGTCACCATCATCGAACGCTTCCCGGAACTGCGGACCAATGGCCAAGGCATCGACATTCGCACCGCTGGAGTCACGGTAATGCGAAAGATGCCCGGCATGGAGCCTGCGGTGCGAGCGAAGACGACGCAGATGGAAGGCATGAGCTTTGTTCGAGAAGATGGTCGACCGTACGGCGTAATCAAGCCTACTGGCAACCCGGACCAGCAAAGTCTCATATCCGAGTACGAGGTCTTCCGCGGTGATCTGGCGCAAATCCTGTATGATCTCACAAAGGAGAATGAGAACATTCGCTACGTCTTCGGAGAACAGGTCACCTCGATGAAGCACAGCGAGAAGGAAGATGGACCCATTACGGTTGAGTTTACGAATATCCTACCCACTTCCGAATACGATCTCGTGGTGGCCTGCGATGGTGCAACGTCCCGCACACGCGCAATGGGCCTTGGATGCGGCGCGCGAGACTACGTCCTGCCGACAAACTTCTGGGCGGTCTACTTCTCGGTCCCAGACATGCTGAAAGGCAGCACCGTAGCAGTAGGCCACAGCGCTGTTGGCGGCCGCTCCGTTTGTCTTGGCCCTGACCCAGCAGGCGTGACCCGCGCGACGCTATTCAGGATCTATCCAAGCAGTGAGAAGGATGCTACACTGCCCTTTCGCGAAGCTACAAAACGAGGAGACGATGCGTTGAAAGACTACGTCGCACAGCAATTCCGCGGTATCGGCTGGAAGGCGGAAGAGATCCTTGACTACATGATGGAAGCGGATGACTGGTACGCCAGCGAGGTCGTGCAGGTGAAATGCCCAAACGTTTACAACGGACGCTTCGCCATGGTCGGAGATGCAGGCTACGCAACAGGTCCCACGGGCGGAGGCACATCTGTCGCGCTTGCGGGAGCCTACCTACTGGCGGGCGAACTTTGCAAGCACAAAGGCAACATCAAGGCTGGCTTGGAAGGCTACGAGACGCAGATCAGACCCATCATCACGGAGTTGCAGAAGATCCCGCCATTCGTGGGCGCTTTTATGGCGCCACAGACGGCTTGGGGTCTTTGGTTACGGAACCATCTCTTCGCCTTCATCACCTGGAGCGGGGTAGTGGACGTTATGCAGAAGTTCTTCGCAGGTTCCTTTGCTCATACCGATCAGTATAAGATGCCGGAGTACGAGTGGGTGAGATGAAACAAGTGGGCAATGGGTGTTCTCTTCTCAGAAGATGGTCCAGAAGCGATCATGAAGATCTCCAAGACGACACTCCTGCAACATCGCCTCGCGGAAACAAGACCAAGTGGAATCAACAACGGCCGCCTATCGCAACTGAGGCTACGTGTCAAGCGTGGGTCTTGCACGGAAAGATCAGTGGCATCTATAGCAGTCTGCGCTGTCCTCTAGTCAAACGGTGGTTGCGAGTTTGGTTATGCAGAGATGTGGACAGGTACATGTAGATAGTCGGTTCAATTGAATCACTGGACAATCTAACGACACGTTCCACTCGCAAAGCAGTCTTCTCACCTAATTGTACTCCCAAGCTCAGTATCTTGTTCGGGCGTCCTCTCGTACGGCATGTCGTTCATTGCGTCCCCTACCTTCACTGTATGCGAGATTCTTCCCGAATAGGAAGGAGCCAACGCCGCATCCAGGGCTCTGCGTTCTTGGTTTGACAAGTGACCGCTTATACACCACTGCTGCTTGATGGTGCCTCACGGTTGTGCAGCCTGAATGCATTGTTGGAACGAGCGTAGGCTGTGCCACCTTCTGCCGTCGCATCACTGAAGTCCATTGGCTCTGCGAGAATGGAAGATTGGTCGAGATGATGATGCTGGAGTGAGGTCATGACCTAGAAACGTCCACAAGTGAACATTTTCACATGCTCGCGGCTCTCCTGTCTTATTTCCTTCTACACTCTTTTCCGAACACATCCCCTTCCCGTCCCACTCGCCTCAACCAGACTCACTCAGCCCAGCATGACGGACCCAGCACCAACGGCATACCCGGCCTGGGTACCAGAGGACACTCCCAACCAGCAAGGCAGCGCTGGCCTCGACTCCAAACTCGAACCGGGCGCCAACTGGACACAAGTCGAGCACTGGACTCCCGATGGCAAGCCCTACCTCAAGGAGTACGAGGGTCGGGGTCTGCTCGAAGACAAGAAGGTGTTGATCACGGGAGGCGATTCGGGTATTGGCCGGAGTGTAGCAATCTTGATGGCAAGAGAAGGAGCAGATGTCACGTTTGTCTATCTGCCAGAAGAGGAGGAGGATGCTAAGTACACCATGAAGGAGATTGAGAAGGCAGGGCGGAAGAGCCTGAAGTTTGCCATGAACATTCGGGAGGAGGAGAACTGCCGGAAGATTGTTGACGAACACGTGAAGACGTTCGGCAGGATAGACGTACTAGTCAACAACAGTGAGTGTGGCAGTTCAGCGGATCGATCGATATGCTGACGACGGAACACAGGCGCCATGCAAGAGGTTTGCACCGACATGAAAGACATCGACCTCGCCGTGGTCGAAAAGACCTTCCGCACCAACATCCTTTCCATCTTCGCAATGACCAAATTCGCACTCCCACACATGCACCGCGGCAGCAGTATTGTCAACTCCTGCTCCGTCGCTGGCTACATGGGCAACCCCGAGCTCGTCGATTACTCTGCCACCAAGGCCGGGATCGCAACCATGACCCGCTCCCTCGCACAGCAGCAAGCACCCAACGGCATCCGAGTCAACGCAGTCGCACCAGGCATCATCTGGACGCCACTGCAGCCGGCGACGAAGGGCAATCCCCCTAGCAAGATCAAGGGCTTGGGCACTCAGACTGCACCTGTCGGACGCCCCGGTATGCCTGTGGAGTGTGCGACAGCGTATGTGTTCCTCGCGTCACCCCTGGGATCGTACTTCACGGGCGAGGTGCTGCATGGCACTGGTGGTCTGGAAATGCAGGGATGAGCAATGACGGCACAGCAGCCATAAACATGGAGCGGAAATTTCGACGAGCCATGACCAGGACTACGGCCGGGAGGACGTTGGTCCTGCATGCCAGTAAGTACTGCTGGTGGTCCTTTCTGGTCGGCCTGCTGCTGCGATTATGCTGAGCATTTGAGACCATGCCGTAGCGTCGGTCAATACAACATAGACAGCAACGTCGTCGAGAGATGGAAAGTTCCTTGTCATCCACGACCCTTACGAATATTTTCTGCTCTCAAAAATCTCACGGATTTTTGTACCTTCGCAACACCACCCCGCAGCGAGCTCTTGAGCTGTCTTGCTTCAACGAACGTATTTGCCATTCCTCCACCTCGGCAGGGACATCTTCTCCATCCAACAGACATGAACATAACAGACAGTGTCGAGGATCGGTAATGTTCCGAGGCAAGTGCATCTCAATATAGTTGGGTTGCGCAAATTCTTCTCATTTCGTTCTCTCGTCTTTCAATGATTCAAAGATTCATTAGAAAGACCTTCGATAATTCACCAGACAAAACAGCAGATATTAAGATCGCCATCATGAGAGCGGCAAGATACTACGGAGCCCGCGACCTACGAATCGAGACAGTTCCTGATCCTCCAGCGCCCGGTCCTGAAGAGGTACGTTCAACGCGGTTGGCGGCATCAGTTGTACGGCCACAACCATGCTTACGACCCCTCCCAGATAACCATAGACGTTGCTTGGGGAGGAATTTGTGGCACCGACCTCCACGAATGGACCAATGGACCCATGACCGTCAACACGCCCGAGAAACCACATGGCATCACGGGCGACCACGCCCCTGTATCCTTCGGCCATGAGTTCACTGGCAGAGTCTCTGCCCTCCCCGCTGGCTACACCGACAGCCGCTTCAAGCTCGGAATGCCAATCATGGTCGACCCGCGCATCATCTGCCGCAAATGCGCCGCCTGTACCAGCGGAATGGACAACATCTGTCCTAAGTGGGGGTACATAGGCCTCAATGGCGGCGGCGGCGGTGGTGCAGGGTTCAGTGAGAAGGTGAACGTGGAGATGCGGATGTGTCATGTTCTGCCAGACGATGGGAATGTCGATTTGGATAGTGTTGTGCTGTGCCAGCCGCTGACTGTTGGAAGACATGCTTTGGGTTCGAGTGGGCTGAAAGACTATACGGGCCTGAACGTCTTGGTGCTGGGAGGCGGGCCGGTTGGTTTGGCCGTGATGCTGAACCTACGAGCGAAGGGCGTTGGCGTGGGCTTGAGCGGGAGGGTGTTCGTCTCCGAGCCGACGAAGCAACGCAGCGAGATGATCCGACGGCTCGGCCTCTCGAACGACATTCTGAACCCTATGGAGGTCAGCGTCGCGGAGCAATGCAGAGCGAGAACAAACGAGGTTGGTGTAGACGTCGTCTTCGACTCCGCCGGCGCCGAACCAGCCATGCTGTCCGGTATGGAAAGCCTGCGTCTACGAGGCACCTACGTCAACATCGCCGGCTGGAAGCGTCCATTCAACATCCCGATGCACCTGGCCATGTTCCGCGAAATCATCATCAGGTTCTCGTTGGGCAACAACGACAACGATTATCGGGAGGTGGTTGAAGACTTTGTCGCGGGCAAGTTCAAGGGCGCGGAGGCGTTGATTACGAGGAGGTTGCCGGTGACTGAGCTGGCGGAGAAAGGGTTGGAGGAGTTGGTGAGGAATAAGGATGAGCATGTTAAGATCGTTGCTACGTGGAGGAAGGAGTTGCTGGACCGGGCGTTGCTATGAGTTTGTGCGTAGGTGGCAGTACCAATAAGATTGGTCAAGGCCGGTCGACGGGTCATCCCACGTGTGTCCTCAGCCTTGCTCATGCTTCTGGAACAATACCAGATTTCTGGAGGCCGGAAGATTGTAGTGTGGATTGTGTCTTCGGCTCGGCGAAGTAGCATGGAATCCTCCAATGCCTCCATGGGGTGGGCCTGGGCCGCCTGGCGATGCAAATTTTCCGATCGTTTCGACATCGAGGAAAGCAGTGACGAAGTCTCACATCCTTCTCGGGTAGGTCCAAGTCTGAGTCCTCCAACCGCTTGCCGCCAGCCATCTCGGTGCATCCTCATCAACTCCTCCCCACAAAGACCCCGGATCTCGTGCCGTCTCCATGCGCCAAGTCTTACCAATCCCGCATCATAGACTTCAATCCTTCACCAATCAATGCCTCCAAGTGCCAAGCGCCTCGGGGGTGCTTCCTTGTCTGGCACGTGTATCGTGACCATTTCTCTGCAAACAAAAGTGACGAGCTAAGGAATGTTGCAGTTCCGAGATCCCGTCGCCTGCGAAGGGTTGTCCATGGGACTTTCCTCAAGCCAATGACAGTATGGCCGTACCTGCACCACGTCTGCAATGCTGGGTGGTGAGGTCAGAAGTGCAGCGTCATATAAAGCATTCCTGAGCCGCACTCAAGCTCTTCAGATCCATACCGTTGCTGGAAGAAACTTTCTCATACCTTCTCATTCAAACAAGTCAACAAGCCTCACAAGCCTTCCAAGATGCATTTGGCCATTCTTCTTCCAGTGCTTGCTGCGGCGGCTGTGCATGGCCAAGGGAAAGGGCTCGGCTGCCCGCCGCCAGCACCCATCCTGCTGAGCACGACCAAGAGTGGTGTGCTGCCGGTGCTGCCGACGCCGTTCTCCGGTGTTGAGACCCTCGAGGGCGCGATCATGGAGAAGGGCCCTCCAAACCCTGAGTGCGTCCATGCGTTTTGCTGGAGAGGAAGAGAAGCTGACCCAATGCAGCTACACACCCGTCAATGGACCTGCGCCAACTCAGAGCAACCCGGCGGGAGCCACGTACCGGGCTGACCTGCCTTCCACGAACTGTAAGCATGGCCCTCGACCTTCAACTCGCATGGGCCTTGATTAACATGCACACAGTCGACGACTGCACCGGCTCGACCGTCACTGGCTCCATCACCGTCTCCTCGTCCTCGGACGGCAACGGCGCAGCCATCAGCGTAAACTTTGAAGGCCTTCCGGATGTCGCGACGTATGGTCCGTTTGTGTACCACATCCACGACCTTCCAGTCCCAGCAGACGGGGACTGCACGGCCACGCTCGGCCACCTCGACCCACAGAACGGCGGCGAATACTACCCCTGCATCCCGAGCACGCCGGAGAACTGCCAAGTCGGTGACCTCGCCGGCAAGTATGGCTCGATCAGCACCAGCTCCTTCTCGCTCGACGTCACCGATCCATTCCTGTCCACTGCAGCCGGCAATCCAGCGTCCGTGGCTGGTCGCTCGATCGTGATTCACTCTTCGAACACGACTCGCTTGACTTGCGCCAACTTCCAGATGGTGTCTGGTGGAAGCAACATGACGATGCCGAATGCCACAGTGCCTGCGTCTCCGTCTGCATCATCGGTGGTGCCGGCGACTGGTGTCGGTGCTGTGGCGGGCTACAGCTTCGCTGCGGTCGTGGCTGGTGTTGCTGCTTTCTTCTTGTAGGGAAAGGACGAGGAGAAGAGCAAAGATGTGCACGAGAAATGAGCAATTCGGACAAGTAGTGCCGTGATACGAAATCAAATACTACCAATATGAAATTGAAAACAAAAGTCGTGATCGTCACATACCTACTGTTGCATCTGCAACCACATTCTCAAGCTGTGATGATACCTCAGTTGTCAAACATCATCGGTTGACGCCTCGCGTGCACCTGCGGCCCAGGAGGAGAAAGAGCTCTGGCACATGTTCGTACTTGCATGGCCAAGCTCCGCAACCTGCACCCCATCAAGCGAAGGACAGCGAAAGCGGCCTGCCGAGCATATCGCGAAGTCTTCCCCCTAGACCCAAATGGAATCGAAGAGGCGACCTCACTGTCGGGGGCGTGCGTTTCCTGTCGGCAAGAAGATCCACCGAACGACTCGTTCCAACCTGGCAGGCCGCTTGCACCGTCTCTCTTTTGCTCTCACGTCCTTCCAAGCCGTAGCGTCTTCCCAGACAGTTCAAGTTCGGGGATGATGTAGTGACGGAGCTGGCCTGGGCAAGGATGGTCGGGACCGGACCTCACTCCGGGAAAGGTCGGACGACATCTCCATCCCGCCACCGCAGTCCTTGACCTCTTCCATCTATAAAGTAGACATCGGAGACCGGATGCTCCCAAGGGCTCGGAAACCCGAAGCGTTCCCACCTCGAGTACTCCCACCTCTCTTGAGCCCTCTGCCGGCCGAGCAGAATCGGTCTCTAGCAAGAGGTAGCAAAGCTCTCAAGCTGGGATCGACGATGATGGACGTGTCCTCCTCGGCCTTTCCTCGCGTTGACACCAAGGGGAGCCGGTCGGTCTTCCATGAAAAGCTGGAGAATCGCTTGCGACACGGGAGATCGCCATGCTGCCAGCACCAGCACCGCGTGCTTGTCGCAGAGCCGCAAGAAAGTCAGCAGAATCGACAACCTCTCCACAAAACGTCGACCACAGCTTTGTCTTTTCACAAGGATGCACGTCGTTTGCTGCAGATCCCGCCGTGCTCGCTCCCTGGCGCCCGCGAACCCACTTCTATCCAATATTCACTCTCCGATGCCAAACCGACAGTCTCAGCAGGCCGGATGGCGATTTCGCAATAGGGACAATGTCGGCGTGGTCACGCATATGTGATGCCGCGGCAGAGTTCAGCGATCTGCCAGACAGACGGATCTGCTGACATGTAGTCTCCAAGCCGCTGCCGATGGGGACCTCTCGTTGGTGTCCAGAGGAAGAGAGGGCACGTCGGCTCTGCAGTCGCTCGTGAGTCTTTGGTGATGAACGTGAGGCATCGAGAACGTAGTCCAACAGCTGCGGCTCTTCTGGAACCATACCATTGCTGACGACATTAGCCGGGAGCTCGAAGGAACGGTAGTCCAAGTCCCTCCTCGAAGCTCGACGGTGACCAACTCCCAGAACACCGTTGAGCCAGACAACCAGAGCTCAAGATGACGCCTGATGACAGACATTCGCTGGCAGGTGGATGTGATGATGAGGATGGGGGACATCAAGTGCATCACTGCTGCGGCCAAGCTAGAGACAGATCGCCGATCCTGGAGTCCCGCTCCGATGGTGCTGGAAATGACGACCCTCTATCTTGCTACGGATGACTGACCGCGGGCAGTATGGGACTCGACATGCACATCGCTGGAAAGCAGAGCAGAGGTGCATTGGAAGTTGAATCTGGCGTTGCTTCCTCCATCGACCGTCCTGGACACGGCGATGCCGAACCTAAACTTTGCACCACCCGGCTATACCGTACTAAAGCATGTAAGGCTGTCACACCCCAAAGTAGCCATTGGCACCACGCGAGCTGTCGATACATGGATGAAGGAGGGCGGATCCGACCAGTCGCCGGAGCCATTCTGAACGGCTATATGAGGCTCTGTGACCGCCAGGGGTCCATGTTCTCAAAACTCTTTTAAATTCGTCTCTGGCAGAACGCTCGTTGACAACAGATCTCAGCAGTCGTCGACTGGACCGGACAAGAATCGTCCTGCTGCTGGCGAGTTCCACTGCCGAGAGAGCGGCCGCCAAAGATCCGCACAGCCTGTCGTACATTGGCGTCCTCATCGCCGGCCGCGACATGTCTATCTACGAGGGCGCGACCGAGTCCAGAACAACCACGACCAACTCCGCGGACGAGACGACCCAAAGACTACAAGGGCACCTCGACATTCCCACAGCAGTAGCTCGGCTCCTCTATCAAGCCGGCTACTCCCATCCGCAGTCCCTCGGTTCTGCTTCGCCCAACGAAGTTGCGCTGAAGCTCTCAGCCTTGTCGAGCATGAGTGCCATCAGCGCACAGGAGCTGCTGCCCATGATCAGGCGGATAGTCCTCCTCGGGAGCCTGGAGGACCCGCTGTATGCGTCTGCTACGGCGGAGCGTTTCCAGGATATGAGCAAGGAAGAGCTCGAGAGGAAGGGCGTATGGGAGGAGGGGTTCGATGATCTAACTGGAGCTGAGATCTGGCGGAGGATGGAGCAGCTGGGTGGCTGAAGGGTGTGGTCAGCGCTGGAACTGCGACTCCTTCGGCTCCTCGATCGGGCCAAAGTGATGAAGGTCACATACGCTTTGTCCATGTGGTGACAGGAAGGATTTAAGCCTTTGGAGCACTGATGAAGCCATGATAGATGCATCTAGCGAGCCTCATTACTTTCTATCCGCTCTTCCACATCTTGGTCGACGTACAATACCTCGCCATCCTGCCTATCATTGGTCTCTGGCGCAGCGTGGGATCGGCCTCACTCGCGCTAAATGGCAGCATATTGGCCGGCATCATGGCTCGTTCGCTCCATTCAACGGCGCTTGCAAGATCTGCTGCCTTGAGCATGCTGGGGCTCGAGACTTTTGCCAACGACGGACACCGTGCGAGCCCTCCAGACCCCTAGATGCCACCTTGAGATTTTATCGCATTGCCCTGGCGTAGCCTCCTGTTATCCTGCCTCGCCCAAAGTTTCCGACAGTACACACTAGCTCAAGGATCGTCTGTGGTCAAAATCTCATTAACACCCTGCTTCGAGAAGCCCAAAATATACGCAATATCCAGCAGTGTGCTCGTATTGAGCCTCACAGGCGCCGCCTCCTGCACCTTCGGCTTCGCATTAAACGCGATCCCCAAACCCGCCGCACCCATCATGAGCAAGTCATTGCTTCCATCTCCCACCGCAATCGTCCGTTCGATTGGGATGTCGTTTTGAATGGCGAGCTGCAAAAGTAGTTCCTTCTTCAACGCCGCACCAACGACGAGCGTGCCGGACAGAACCTCGCCGCTCAGAGTGCCAGTAGCCTCGTCGACGGCTAATTGATTTGCGAAAGCGTAGTCCAGGCCAAGCGTATCCTTGACCCAGTCAGCAAGCGGTTTGAAACCTCCGCTAAGCACCGCGGTCTTCCAGCCTCGTTGCCTAAGAAACTGCACCAGCTCTCGTGCTCCGGGCGTGAATGTGATAACTTCCGCTTTCAGCTTGTCCCAGATGTCAGTGGAGACGCCTTTGAGCTCCGCGACTCGTGCTCGTAAGGAGGCTTCAAAGTCCAGTTCGCCACGCATAGCTGCTTCGGTCACTGCGGCGACTTTGTCGTACCGGCCTACGGAGCGTGCAAGCTCGTCGATGACTTCTTGTTGGATGAGCGTGCTGTCCATGTCGAAGACGGCCAGACCGGGCTGCTGGTGGAGGCGGTATAGTTCGAGTGGTTGGATGATGACTTCGACGCCGTCTGCGGTCTCGATAGCATGGATATCGGATCGTGTTCGCTTTTGGTGGCACCCAAGCAGTGTCAGACTCGCCTCTGCCGTTGAAATTGTAGCCTCAAATGAACAGAAAAAGCTTCCTTGGTCCTCTGAGTCGGAAGAAGTGTTTAGCATCAGATCAGGATGTTCGGAAGCACAACCAAGGGCTTGCAGCACACGCGCTGTTGTCTCTTGCCATTGCTGCGAAGTTTTGGTCCCTTTCGAGAAGAGCTGGACTACGGCGTTGGCAGTCATCATTTGTGTAGTATCGCGAACAAAAAGACCGCGCGCTGTGAAAAAGGCAAGACGGAGATGGAGTTATCGCTGATAGGTAAATGCTCACACGAAGTACGGAGTAGAGAAGTTTTGGAGGTCATAAGCTCGTCGTGAGCTAGACTGCTTTTAGAACATGCTTAAAGCAACATTCACTTCATTTTGTCTGCTTTGCCACAAACGGCAGGTGTGATGAGCGGACAGTATATTCTATACACATTATTCGTACACCAATCGGCTCACTTCTCAATCCTGCCCTTCCAGTCCGCAACATGGTCCCCAATCACCCTCGATGCCGCATCCACCGTGAAGTTCCTCCCAATCGCCTCCACGAAGTCACCCTCCGGATCCATCAAATAGAAGTAGATACTGTGATCCACCAAATAGTCCTGTCCCGGCTTCACATCCGGCGGCGTAGAAAAGTACACCCTGTACGCCCGACACACATCCTTGACCTCCTGCCACGTCCCCGTCATACCCAGAATATCCTTATGGAAATCCGCCAAATACCGCCTCATAACCTCTGGCGTATCCCTCGCGGGGTCACAGCTGATGAAGACCGGCTTCAACACATCCCCGTACTTCTCCCGCACATTATCGATCATGCCGGCCATCTTGTCCAGCTCCTCGGGGCAGATGTCCGGGCAGTGGGTGAAGCCGAAGTAGACGAGCGAGTATTTGCCCTTCAGATCCTTCTCGGTGAACTCGCGGCCGTGCATGTCGGTGAGGTGGAAGGGGCCGCCGACGAGGGGTCTACCGACGCCCTTGTTGGCTTCGGCAACGCGGGCGCGGGCCATGCGGGCTTTTTCGTAGCGGAAGTAGATGGTCAGGCCGGCGCCGGCGAGGAGGAAGAGGGCGCCTGCTTGCCATGAGAAGGGCTGGAGTGGTCTGTTAGCTAGATCGAGCGGAACGCCAGCGTAATGCTTACTCCCAACTTGTATCGGGTCTTCGCCTCTTCGACGGTCTTGTAGGCGCGAGAGGGGTGCGTGGAGGAGAAGGGCCGGGCATTGCTCTTCGCAAACCGGGGCGAAGGCTGAGTAGTACGCGATGATTGCACTGCTGTCGACGCATTGAGCGGTCTTGACCGGATCTCAGACTTCGGGTTCTGTGTCGAGATGGAGAACAAGTTGCGGCGGGTTTGAAGGCGGAGGCATTGGCGACAGATGTCTGATTCTGCTATGCGCATTGAAGGCTTGAACATCGACGCCATGATGGATGTGACTGACAAGAAGAAGAGGATGAGACGAATGTTGCTTCGATGATCTAACGCTCTCCAGATCGCAAGTGCAATTGTGGCTGAACTCGGGTGGCGCATTTTGGCCGACTTCAGTCCATCCCATCCCACCCCATCCTCTGCTCTCACCACTTTCCCTTCTGTTATATGCTATGCTGAAGCACGTGCCAGCTCCGCTGTCTCAATCGCACGGCACCCCTGGAGTAGTATGGAAAGGTCAATGACAGCCATTGCCGCACCACGTCCCGTCGGCCAACCTCGAGGTAACACCTACCACTCCTAAGGACTTGGGCCTCTCTCACGAAGCCGCGCACAACGCCAGACTCAAGAACATCTCGCCTCATAGCGCCCGTGATCGTGGTAGAGACAGGCGTCCTCAAGCCGAGGCTTGCCCACCCGTTCACCCTTCCTCGTCTTCTCGATGAGCCTTCGAAGCGCGGAGCCCTCGAAACCTTCCGGCATCATGTCCTTCCCATCGTCCAGCTCCGCAACTGTAGTGCTTGCTGTGTACTCATCCACGGCCCATCGCCGGAGCTCCGATGTTTCGTCCGTCTCCTCGAAGATAAACACCATGGAAGACGCACAAAGACACAGCTCTCCCGCACAAGCCCTGGAGATCAAGACATCGATGACCGCGTTCTTGCAGGCTTTGTCGCCGAGCATGTTCGTCAACAGCCAAAGCCTAATCAGTTTGACGCAGGCAAGTTGATCCCTGGTCTCCTTTTCGCCGGCCCCGTCAATTGTAGGTTGCAGAAGGGTGCGGATGCAGCGTGAGCGGTCTTCGTCCGATGAGTAAAGCCACTCCAGGTAATTTCTGAAGGTCGTGGGAAGATGTTTCTCGATCTTGATGTCCGCTGCTGCCGGAACACTGCTGTGGTAGGAGAAGTGTTTGAGGTTCGGGGCGTAGTGGTACAGAAGGTCTTCGTGCACAGCGAACGTTTGTCTCTGGAAGGCCTGGTATACCACTATCTTCAGGGCCTTGGAGTAGGTGCTTCTAGGAGGGTCGGTCAGACGTGATGTATCATATTCGACCAGGTGTACATACTTAAACTTCTTCGCCTCCTTATCCAATGCCTCGTCCGCCTTCCGCTTGACCGCGGTCGCCCTCGTGGTCGCCATATTATGGGACGGTTTCGCGGACCAAGCTGCAACTCTTGCGGTGCGATGAGTGTCCGAATCTGAGAAGTCACGGCGTGATAGGGACACCTTCTGCGGCTGCACCTACTCAAATGAAGTCTGACAACGCGTGTGAGAAGGTGATAATGAGGCGAGGTGAGGATGAGGTGTGACTTATGGACCTCGAAGTGAACCTTGGGAGGCTTTATGCTAGTTGGCGCGGAGGGGATTTAGTGAAGGAATGAGAGGAAGTCGAGCATCAGGATGGAGGAAACTGGTAGCATACTAGTAGCATACTGGCAGTTGGGACTGTTCACGAGCTTCACTGATCGCCACCTTCCATCCACTTGGCCAGCATGCAAGACACCTCGGGCTTCAGTGATGTGACTTCCGATCCGCAGTCGAGGCATCTACTCCTCTTCCTCCTCAGCATCGTCACCACCCTCCTCCTTGGCCTCCGCAGCCTTGGCCTTCTTCCTCCTGACACGGCCGGTACGCCCGCCTCCGAACGGCGACGTGAGCGCGAAGTCGATGTGCTTCTGCGAGTCGAGACGGACGATGAAGGATGGGACATTGACGATCTGCTTGCCAACGCTGGAAGGGGAAGCCAAGTTAGCTTATTGACTGCAAGTGTACAGTAGAATGTCGAATGCTCACCGGATGTGGCGCTGGCGAATGAGCACACGAGCGTGGTGGATGGACTTGGCGAGGCCGAGCTTGTAGACGCAAGTCTGCAGACGACGCTCCAAGAAGTCCTCGGTCTTCAGGGCCAGCACGTAATCAAGCTTCATGCGGGACTCGTCAAGCACACCGACACGGACCAGACGGCGAATGAGGGCATTGCCTTCGAACAAACGCTTTGGGTCCTTCTCTTCGAGGGTGAGGAGCTGACTGTAGTATCGTTAGCACATTCATTGCAAGTGACAAGCCTTGGACGAAAAACGTACCGAGCGGCACGACGGATCTTGGACAGCTGGAGCTGCACACGCCACACCTCGCGCTTGTTGCGGAGCCCATACTCGCCGACGATCTTCAACTCGGAGTCGCTGTGATGCTTGTTAGGAATACCATAGACTTAAGCGGAGACGAGCTCGCGCTCAGTGGCCTTTTTCAGGTGACGTACAGACGGGCGGATTCGAAGGGACGCCGTGGGACCTTGTAGGTCTTCGAGTAACTGCGGCTGTGGAAGTTGTCAGCATGTGCGTTCTGAGGAAGAGGTTTGGGCAGCAGAGTTGGTGGAGCGGAGATGAGCGAGATGCAAGAGCGGCGCGGATGTCTTCAGGTCGAGGTCGTTGAGAGCGGTGTTATCACTAGTGGTCTTCATGGTCTCACGGCCATGTCGATGCGGCCAGGCGTAATGCTCTGCCTCTCAAATGGTGGATGCCCGTCTTCTTCAATGCTCGTGGTCGCGCAAATGGCCGTTGATGTCTCTCTGCCAGACCGCTCAATCCCGCTCGCGCTCCTGCAACACTCGCTCATTCACCTGCTCCTATGCTCTTGTCGGTGGATGGAGTGTGGACTTACGGCGCCATGGTGGTGTCTTGTGGGTGTTGTTCGCAGGTTGCTGTTCATCAGAAGCTTTGGGGAGGAGTCGGAAATTCATAGTGTACAGCGCCAAGCCCGACAATGCACAGACCACCCACAGGACTTTCCGATTTCAAGATCCAGAAGGCCGACCACACAATCGACGGCAGCAACAACAACGTAAGTTCAATCGCGCACCACACCAAACCACTAGTACTGACAGGACTGTCGCAGAAATCGAGACCACAACGTATGCGCCCACCTCTCGAATCGCCAACCAACGTCCACTGACATCCTCCAGCCATTAGTCCTTCACAATGGGTCACTCCGCAGGTCTCAGAGCCGGCACTCGCTATGGTCAGTCCATCAATACCCATTCCACACCGAGGCGCGGACCCAGAACAGTTTGGGAGGAGTCTTGAGAGGCAGCAGCGGCTAATTCACAGAACAGCCTTCTCGCGCAGCTTCAAGAAGAGGGGCATGATCCCGCTCTCGACCTACCTCAAGCAGTACAGAGTCGGAGACGTCGTCGATGTGGTCGCAAACGGTGCTGTTCAGAAGGGCATGGTACGTCAAGACATCCGCCCCCGTTACAAGAACTCCCGCTGCAGTATGAGCCGAGGTGCTCTCTCCTTCGAATACATCTAACAATCTCTCCAGCCCTTCAAAGTCTACCACGGCAAGACCGGCGTCGTCTACAACGTCACCAAGAGCGCAGTCGGCGTCATCCTTTACAAGCAAGTCGGCAACCGATACATCGAGAAGCGCGTCAACGTCCGCGTCGAGCACGTCCGCCACTCCCAGTCCCGCGAGTCGTTCTTGAAGAGGGTTAAGTCAAACGCAGCAAAGAGGCGCGAGGCCAAGGAGAACGGCACGCAGGTCAGCTTGAAGAGGTTGCCCGCGCAGCCACGGGAGGCGAGGACGGTGAGCGCGAAGGAGAACAAGCCGGAGAGCATCGCGCCGGTGGCGTACGAGACCTACATCTAGAGGGATGGATGTGAGTTCCGGGCGTACGATGGAATGGAGGGTTTCTTGCGGCTGGAGATGTTGCGGTATGATACTGCACCGGCCGGCTTGAGGTCCTTACTTCGTAGCGTGCAAGCGAAGCAACTTCAAAAAGTCACACGAGCTCTTCTGCCTTCTCGCCGTATCAGTACTGCTGCTCGCAAGTCCTACTTGTGATATGCAACGACAGATACTCACTTGACAATAAATCACATGACTCGCCAAGAGTAACGGCCATCCCTGCATCGCGCAACATGAGCCTCTCGTCCGTCTGTACTCCTCCCTCCATCTGCAATGTACGAATGTCCACCTTGATCGAGACATTGTAAAATCTCACTGAGGATGTCTCCGTCATCTTCCACCGCTCCACGGACGGAAACACCGCAGAGGACGAAGACTCACTCGCGACACCCCTCTACAACTACAACTCGTTTGCCCGATTCTAGGCATCCCGATTCCAGCCCACAACAATCATCTTATCCAGACCACAGGACCATTACCACCGCCGTTCGGTCGCCTGCTCATTATACCGTCTTCATCCGCCTCCCCTTCCAACGGGGCGACTTCCAGGACCCGCCCCTAGTAGACTGGAATGCTACCAAAGACAAGGCACTCTGGAAGCTCATCTCCGGCGGCTCTGGAACCAAAGATATCAACTGGGAAGATCTCAGCCATCGCTTCAATGTATCCATCTCGTTCCTGCTGCAGCAGGCTGCTTGGCTGTCAGAACGACATTTCGAGCGGATGAGGAAGCAGGTGCAACGGATTGGTGCCAGCGCAAACCCGGTTCCAAGTCCGGTACCAACTAGAAGCGAAGAGGTAGCAGGTCAAAGCTCGTCGAGGCCGGGAAGTGCGGAGGCTACGGTGGGGAGTAGAAGTGGTGGGGTCACGATGGAGAGGAAGGGTAGCAGAGGTAAGCATTTCCTCTGCCTCCTGTGCAGGGCCTCCGGCTGACTGTTGTGCAGAATCGCAAAAGCGCTCATCGCTGCTTTCGAGAAAGTCAACACCACTGCAGATTGCAGAGGAGTCGAAGGTACCGCCGTCGCCGCGAACACAACGTCCTGGTGTCTCAAGGACGCCTTCAACATCGACTGTCACGCAGAGCCGTGCTTTCGCTTCTGGCTCGCGGAGGCCATCTCAGACATACTCCAGAAGCAATCTAACTTCGAAACGACCTACGACTGCTGAAGAAGACGACTCCGCCCTAGGCCACGATGGCACCTCGGAATCAGAATCTGAAGACGAACCCTCTCGCAGACCCCCATGGCACCGCTCTCCGCTGAGCAAGACACCGCCCATGGGCACACTGAGCTCTGATGGCGACGTAGAAGATGACGATGACGATGATTCAGGCGGATTCCTGCCTTTTGCTGCCAGACCGGACGATGAAGACGACCCAACAGCTACCCTCACCACTCCTCCGAGCCAACAGCCTACCTCAAACAGACCTGCCGCCTCGAGCACCTCCAGACCACAACCACCAGACTCCTCGGCCTCCTCAAACACATCCTCTCAACCCTCCAACCCCGGTCCTCCCCGCACAGCCCAAACCACCCTTTCCTCCCCCGACACCCTCTCGCCTCAACAGCGCGCCCAATTATCTCGCCTCTCCCCTCGCTACAGGAACGCTGTCTCGGGCAGTGAAGGCTCACCAAGCATGGGCAGTAGTTTCAGCGACCTGGATGATCTCAGCGTGACGCAATCGGCGCTGGAGGAGGCGTTGATGAGTCGGGTGCAGCATGGTGGGAGCATTGGGATGGGGTTGGGGAGTTTGGTGCGGAGGGGTAGAGGGAATGGGGGGCGGAATGGCAATGGGTAGTTTGGCGGGAAGTGGGAGATTGGGGAGAGGATGGGGTCGGGTGGGGAAGCTGGGATGTTGGATTTGATGCTCATGAACGACTGTTAAAGATTGAATACTTGATCTGTAATATCATATCATTAGTATTATCTTGCATCACGGTAAAAAGGCGACCGTGATAAGCCAACTTTCTCTCGTCATTCACCTTCCCCACCACCACCATCACTCATCATCCTCGATCGTTCACCAAGGTCTTCACGTTATTAGCTATTGACCAACCCAACAACAACAATGCCTACACTCCACGGCGGCTGCACCTGCGGCGCCCTCCGCTATAAATTAACCCTCAACTCCGTCGACGATGCCCGCACAACACTGTCCCTTTGCCCTTCCCCCAATATCATTCCATTACTAACCCACTCCCAGCTGCCACTGCTGGTCCTGCAAGCGCGCCCTAGGCGGTGCCTTCGGCCTCACAGCCAAAACGCCTATCGAGATGTTCACTCTTGAGAAGGGCAAGCCGAAGTTGTTCGTGCAGGACAACGGGGTGCATCGGGAGTTTTGTGAGGAGTGTGGGGCGTTCATTTGCGAGTGTATGTTCATCTTCTCTTCATGATATGGAGAGGGCAGTGCTGATGTTATGGGTAGATGGGGAGGGAAATGTTGATAAGTTCAGGTGCGTGCTTGGGTGATGATGCGGCGGTGGAGGTGTGATTGAACTGATGGATCAACAGGTACATCATGACGGGCACGCTGGACGATGGGCCGGATGCGCTGCCGCCGAAGGGGGAGTTCTTCACTAGGGACCGCAATGAGTGGATGCCGAAGATTCCTAGTAAGTCTTCTTGGGTGTGAGTGGGTGACAAGAGGGCTGACATGGGATGCTAGATACGTTCCAGAAGAAGGAAATCAAGGAGTAGCACTACAGCTGGAAATGTCAACATGACCTAGCGGAGCAGTAGCGTCGGGCAAGCTCGAAACTTGTCAAAAACATGTAGAAGAGCCAAGAACTGCAAGGCTCTTGCTAAATTCGTTCACAACTTTTCTCCCTCCTCACCCGAGCAGGAATTTGCACATACTTGACCGGCATTCCAGGAGTGATGAAGCATCATCTACCCAAGCTACAGCCAGTCCTCGTCGGTAGGCAATCCCTTCCTTCCACTTCAGCCAAAGCAACCGGAGCTCCAGCCGTTCTTCCCCTTGGCTGGAGAAAGCAAGCAACAGGAATGAATCTGTCATTGAGGCCATCCGAGGCGTTTCGGAAGTTGCAGCAGCTCCCATCTGAACGTCTCCACGGCGCTCCTTATTGTTAGCGGTGCCCTCCCAGACGTATATGGGCTCCCCGGGCTCAAGGGGCACAAGTGGCACGAAGGGCTCGAAAGGCTTAGACAAAAGGCGTCGGTTATCCATCCCATCGAGAGGATCATCCATGTCTGCACGGCCAAGCCAACACCGCCCAGTAGAGATCTCGTATTCACAGATGTCGAAGAGATCGCTTCCAAGACGCTGCTTCGGAACACCGGGTTGGCGGAGCCTGACCGAATTGAAGCTGAGCAAGACGCCTTGCACTTCCAGCAACCCTTCTGATCTGTTTGAGGGTCATACTGTCAAGTCTTCGACCTCGCTCGATCGGTGCTTCTCATTGAAGTTCAAGACATGATCCACCATCGTCTGTGTGATTGAATGAGCAGGATACCACACCGCTGAACCTGCCATGATCGGCTTGTCGTTGTATAGCAAGGCCGCCGCCATGTCACGGACGAATAAAGGCGGGTGAGAATCCGGGAGCTCGTAAGTATCCCAACCCATTCGACCATGTAATTGCCAGCCCGCCCAACTCCAGCTCGGTAAGCCTGTGTTGTTCCGTACTGCCCATTTCGGGCTTTTTAACCCCTGAGGCTGCCGTATGGGCTGCCAGAATGATTCCCAGGTGTATGCCCTCGAGCAGTATCAGCCCAAAGACAATCGAAAGTCTCCCTTCTGAAGCCCGAAGCAAAACCCGTCCGAGAAGCACGTGTGACGGAATTGCTCGAGCACTCCCGCCACGGATCGCAGACGATCACTCTGTTTCGTCAGCTCACGATCGACGGAATGGTTCAGCATCTCGAAGAATATTTTATGCGCGTTCTAGGTGGCAGGGACATTGTGCGACGCAGCGAATGGGTTGTAGAAGGATGTGGCCGGGCCGATATCGTACGGTTGCTGCCGAAGGTCAGGTATGTCCGCTGACTCGATGGACTGCATCTCGTTGCAAAGGAAGCGTACCCCGAAACTGGTCCAGATTAGGCACCGCTGCGAGAATACTGCTTCTTGATATGTCCAACCTCGGTTGAACCAGGGCGACCGAAACAGCTAGCTCTCCAGATCAGGGCCCGTTGACATGAGGTGATTCGTACCGAAGGAAACTTCGTTCCGACGGCGACGGGGACGCGGAAATGAGACGCCCTCCAGACCACTGTCGGCATGCTCGCCGTTCAGATTGATAATCGTGGCATACTGTCCACTGTATATTGAATTCATGATTTGAATCTGGGACGACAGGTGCTCGTCATCGTCTTGATCGATACAGATCATGTCAGTCCATAGGTATCTTAGGCCAAGCTCCCTGACCACCACCATGGCGTCGTCAATCGTTCGTGTGGTACGTTTTGGCAAGCTACCACGTTGGAAGCGTGGCGGCCGATGGCCACCCCAGACGTAGCTGAGGGCCACGTACTTACAATCGCTGTTGTGTGGATATTCGACAAGCCTTCACTCGATCACATCAATCAGAAGGATCCTTGCTAGTTCCTTGCTGTAAGGGGGTAAGCAAACGCTGTGGCCGCGCACACAGACATCAAGAAGCTTCTTCACGGCTTTGTAGTTGACGTTCGGACTGTGCATCCAGCGTGAACTTGCTGCACTTCTACCCCGGCAATGGTTATGCCGGTTGTGTCGAGGGACAAATATCTCATCTCGCAAACCGTATGTATTGCTTGGTACATCGTGCTTCCGCTTTGGACGCTGCCTCTGACGGTCCGGAGAGACGACCCTCGCACGGTTGGCCCCATTTAGGAACAGGTCGAGGGTCAACCGGCGGTTGTCGGTAGAGGTAACCTCCAGCTCAAAAACGTTGTCTAGAAGAATGTTGCAAGCGTCGCAGTCACTATCCTTGGGAAATTGGGAGTCAAGCATGACACGCTGGACGATGAGGTCGACGTAGGTATCTTTGAGATCGTACAGTGGTGGCCGAATTTCGAGGAAAGAAGGCCTCACCTCCTCGAGGAAGTTCGGGATCCCCAATGTCGTGCATCTCGGGCAAAACCATTCGTGCTTCGTTGGAGTATCTTCGCGGCTGTTTGAGTGGTCTAGATTGTCCATTTCATCGACAAAGCATGTTAGGCGGCACTCATGGAGGCCGTGTTAAGAAGTCAAAGAACGTATCGAAGCTCCGGCCGGAAGTAGTATGTCGCAGTAGTCATTGCAGTCCGCGTCCAGGATGATGCTTTTGTTCAGACCTTTCAGCTGACACTGGGTTCGACCCTCGGGTGAAGCCATCAGCTTGGTGTCGTTGCAGAAGTGCTTGGACATGTCGGAATTTGAGGTTGTAACAAGCGCGAGGCTGGCGCAAGGCTGTAGAAGTACATGCACAAGTACCTCAGCAAAAAGCCACCGCCACTACCAAACCCAGGCAATATATCAGACTCTTAGATGTCAAACCGGATATGCCAGACCCGGCAGCCCACAGGTCAACACAGCTCACATACCTTATCAACACAGCTCACATACCTTATCTACACATCTAGACTACTCGACCGCCCCATCACCCCTCAGCAATCCTCCAAGCCCGCAACGGCAAACCCTGCAACGCCAACGCCCTGGGCTTAATAAAACCCCAAAACGTCACGATGCCAAAAACCACACACAGCACATTGACAATGTAATACCCATCCCGCTCAATCATGCATGTGCCGCCGCCAGCCTTGCATCGATCGCGCTCAGCTCCAAGGACGCAGCTGAAAGGTTGCGTGATCAGGTCGCCCTTTAGCGAAGAAGGGTTCTTGATGACAGCCGGGTCGGTGGGCGGGAGGCAGGTGGCGCGGGTGAAGAAGTCGACGAAGCGGAGGATGAAGAAGCGGGGGAAGGTGCCGCCGAGGTTGGAGACACTGGGAGGGTACTGTATTAGCAATGGAGGGAAGGTGGGGGGAATGGGGAGGAGCTTACGTAGCGAGCAAGGTCATGTAGGTGCCGCCGATGGCTGGGTCGGCGATTTTGGCGTGGAAGGCGGAGATGGCGACGAACATGACGGTCGACATGAAGGTGCTGAAGACGTGCTCGACGATGACGACTAGGAGGTAGGGTCTGCAACCAAGTCAGCAATGCGAAGGCAAGTCCGAGGGTGTGTTGCACTTACGTCGTTGTCCCTGTCGCCGGGAAAGCCATCACCACCGCCTGAGCGAACATCGCAGCAATAAGCCGCCCGACGAACGCCCAACACCATACCACCACAGGCTTGTACTGCTCACTCCACTTCCCAGCATAATACCCAAGCGAGATCTCAAATGGAAAGTCGATCAGTACGGTCAGCGCCAGATCCTCCTGTGAGAAGCCCTTATCTAGAAGCTTGAGGTTGGTGACAGCATCATTGGCCTGAAAGCCAATCTTTGCGATTAGATGGATAACGATGAAGATCTGGATGTTCTTCAGGTTGAGGATGCCGCCCATAGTCTTGTAGACTTCCCAGATGCCGTCCCGCTCCTTAGTTCGTTCCTCTTTCTTCAGAACAGCCAGGCCGAGAGTTACGGCCAGGTACGCCCAGCCCCAGAAAGTCAAGTAGGAGTTCAGAGTCAGCAGACCAACGTCGGATTGTGCGTCCGCTGCTCGGAAGTACTTGTTGGCAAAGTCCTTGGACGAGAAGGCCAGGAAAACGGTATAGGACAGAAACTGGCCAGCGGTCAAGCCGACTGTTTGTGCGGTGCTGGCGTAGGACAGATTCGAGGGTGATAGTAAGGTCAGAGCCCAGCCTAGATATAGCAGTCAGCAAAGAGTCCGAACAAGTAGCCGGAGTGCAGCTCACCATCCACAGCAATGTCCTGCGTCGCGCACATGAACACCAGCGCAAACCACCACCCCGTAAACCCCCACACCCCCGCTCCATTGTTCTCACCCGCCTTCGCCATCATGGTCTCCGCCCTCGCACCCAACCACAACATCCCAATCCCACTCAACATCTGTATCGGTAAGATCCAGCTCTTTCTCCTCCCCACCCTCGTACTCCACACCGCATCCACGATCGGACTCCAAAGCAACTTCAAACTGTACGGATAACTCGCCAACGAGTACACCCCAATCTGCCCATAACTCAAATGCTCCTTCAGCAGAAACGGCACCGAGCCTCCCGCCAACCCCATCGGTATGCCCTGCAAAAAGTACAGCAACACCAACAGCAAGAAATTCCTCCGATCCTGCTCCGGCAGCTCGAAGAACCCTTTGCTCTCCCTTCCTTCCATCCCGTCATGGCTCTTCATCGGACTAAGCGGGGACGGAGCATGGTCGAGACTAAAGCTACTCCTCCCCATCAACCGTGCCGTTGCTCTCGACGAGTCGCCATCGGTGTCGATGGCCAGGCCATGCTTTCCCGTGCGCTCGCGGAAAGACCCGTTCATCGCACCTCCGCTCTCCGGCGCGTGGCCGTTGGAGCCGGGCGAGACGGCGGTGGCCTCGCTGCTGGGACGGGAGCGTAGGGTTCGCGGGTTGGGGGAGCGGGATTTCGACTTCTTGTGTTTCGGCGGCATCTGCGATAGTCCTGCTTGTTGTAGCAAGCCGCCTTGTTCGCTGTCGTCTTGGTCTGAGGAGGAAGTGTTGTAGTCGTCTTCGAAAGTGGTGTCGAGGCGTTGTAGTTCAATATCCTGCTCTTCTCGTCTTTCGCCCCGCAGTCGTGCTTCTTCCCCTTTGGCTTCGTGGAGCGGGAGGACGTTGGCGAGGGAGGATCCTGCTAGACTTGGCGCGACACTGACACTCGATCGTCGAGGCGGATAATCACCCATTCATGTACATGAGAAGAGATTGTGGTATGGGATGACGTCCTTCGAGGGGGAGATTTTTGGAAAGGTGTCTTTCGACTAGCGTGATGCAGCTGATCCTTCGATATGCAGGTACAGCGCCGGAGAATTGCCACAACTCCCCTGCTGCTCCAACACTGTTTACTATCACAATATGCAATCTTTCGATCTGTTGGGAGTGCAATGATCTCGAACGGCCTCAACAAGGTCGACCAGCGAGATGGGCCACTTTCACATGCTGCTACCGAAATGAGTTAGCGTCACGCACGGACCCGATACATTGCCGACCTCCTGTATCGAATCTTGTAGCACCAACACTCACCAACGACCATGAACTTCCGAAGAACTTGAATGCCGACAGATGCCACATATCTGATGAATTGATATGTCCTGCTCCTGACGACATCAGAGGCAACCGGCACCCTTCACAAGACTAAGGTGCCCTGACCGCCACAAGCCGACGTAGTGACCTCAAGGCGATAGTATTGGCCAGCGTGACTCTTCACAAATGGCGACTTCGATGCAAAAGCCAGAGGCCGCTCATGCCAGCAGCCAGGGGAGCAAACTAACGCCGCGCGACTTGACGACAGCTACGCGGAAGAGCCTCCAGCAGACACCTACTCACAGCTCCAGTCTCCTCTGCTCCGCCTGCCGGCCGAGCTGCGCTTGAAGATCTATGCCTTCGCCATTAACGACGATAGTCGCCTTGTTGTCTGAAATCCAACCCACTGCACGCCACGAGATGCTTTCAGCCCGGCATTACCAACCCCCATTCCCTCAACTCAGCCAGTGCCACAAGCTTGCATCGGAAGTCCCATGCCTGGAAGTTTGATGCGCTCGGCACGGGACTTCCAGCGCTCGACGGATCCAGCACGTTCCGAAGAGTGGGTGGAGTACTTGAAGCGATTCCAACCACCCCTGGCACATTCGCGGACCCGCCTGATGCAATCTTGCCATCGAATATACGACGAGCTGCACAAAGATGCTATCCTGCTTTTCGCTAATATCCACCTCTGCTTCACAAGCCTTAAGAACGCCGAACAATACCTGTCTCGTCTCTTGCCACAACATCGACAACTTGCCACTAGCATCCGCATGGCCCCTTGCTGGGACCAGTCTGAGGTTAGACGAATCGTTGAACAGCGTGCAACATTCGATGAATTCGCAATTGCGTGCACCGCCGTGTGGACAGATCCCGGTACTGCAAGCGTTCCCGGATCCCCATTACCTACTCAATGCCCAAGTCGCATCGTCCTGGAATGGGAGGAAGACAAGGAAATCTCCGGGAAATCACGCATAATATTTCTACGCTACAGCCTACAGAGGAGGAATGATTCCACCTGCGCCGAAATTCATTTACGAGTTACTGGAAGCTGCGAACGAGCAGGTTGGAATACAGAGTACCTGCTGGCCCGATGGCTCGAGCGATACTGCATCTGCGAGTTCAATGGGAAGCGTGTGCAGTACGGTGAGTACTGCTCAAGTAAGATGGCAACCAATCGTGCAAGCTGAGAACATGCCTCCCAAATAGCAACCAACGAGTGACTTGAGGCCCGTTGAAGCCTCTCACTTCTTCCATCCTTTCACAGTTACTGTGTCCGAACGACAGTGAGCCGTTTTTAGTCCAGCCAGGAGGAAACGTGGACTCAGCTTACAGAACTTCGCGAATTGGCAGCCACTTCCATTCACATCTCTTGTTCCACAAGCTTGAAAAGTTTTCTCAACCCAGAACAGTCACAAGATGCATGTGACATCACACGACGGGGCTGAGTACTTCTCTACGGTTCAATCTCTGCTGCACCTTCAAGCCACAGTCTCCTCGCCATCACGATTGAGAGTACCCATCGGCATCTTTGGCATCAGTGGAGCCTTTCACCTTCGGAACGATGCGCAAGCTCAGACGCCGGCACTGCTTCCTTCGGCGACACCTACTCGAGAAGATCCGATCTTCACTTACGAGCGCTTCAGCTTCACCAGACTACTCGCAAGCGCAGTCACCGCTCTTCCGTCTGCCCGCCGAGCTCCGCCTCTAGATCTACTCACTTGTGGTCGCAACCGATGACGACCGTCCTCTGATATTGGATCCCGCAACAAGACGTCTACCGAACATCAAAAGCACAGCACCAGTCGACATCATCTCGAAAGTGTGGCAATTACCAAAGCGGAGCCTCCAGATTCACCCCGAAGCAGCCATTCCTCAGCCTGCCATCTCTTTGGTGAAAACATGCCACCGCATCCGCGACGATTTAGGCGACCCCGTCAATCTCTTCTTCGAGAGCACCGAGTTCAGCTTCACCACCCTCGACGTAGCCAAGCGATACCTCTCGAGCGTCCCGACAAAGTACCGTGAGCTCGTTCGAGGCGTCAAGTTCAAAGTGTCGCGCAGATACCTGCGGGTGAAAGACCACTACGGTATGAACAATGGCTGCAGGCACATTGGCTGGCATATCGATCCGAACATCAGGGTAAGCATTCACGATCCACACTGTTCTGTAAGGCATAGTTTAGCCCCACACAACCCCCGAGGTCCTGTTCCTACACTTGCTGATCGTCCTTCTTTGCAGCAAGAGCTCAACTTCGGAGACCTCGGACTCGCCCCTTGAATGAAACCATACCTTGGTCAGCCCGGCACCTTCCTGATCGAGTTCCCGCGCATAGACTACCTCATCTTCGACTTCTCTGCAATGCCACGAGCGGAAAAGCCCCCCTTCCACTGGCGGCTAGGCCTGATGCATGCCGTGGAGTCGCGCCAGCGCGAAGTCGACCTCAAGATGCGAGTCAGACACATGGACCGCCGTCTTAGACTGTGGGATATCCCTTCACCTTTCCGGCTGGGCGAGGATGTGGCAAATTATGTCCCAATCAAGGAGAACTGGGCTGAAGTCATGGCGATCTGAGTCCCAAGGCATAGCGACTCCTGGACGACGAGCGAAGAGTACAGCGACCTCCCAAGCGGGCGCTGATGAGGTATGATCTTGACAGCATTCTGGAGATGGAAGCAGTGGGTGGGATACAAGCAAGCTTGATACTGCCGTTCGACTATCACTGTGAACATTCATTCCTCAAACAGCAAAGCATATCTTTTGACCACCTCGCATCCATCGTCCAGGCCAAAGTCCCACGAAGTCCCCTTCGTTATACCACAATGTTCCCGCAAAAGAGTCCTCTGTCCAGCCAGCGTATGCGCGTCCGAGCTGCAACCCACGCCATGATGGTTACATTGTTCGCGCTTCGTTATCCCGTCCTGTAGTTCAGTCGTCACTCCCTCCGCCGCTGGGCGGCTTCGGCCCTCACTCTCGCCTCGATCCCGGCATATCGCTCTTGAACCAAGGCCGGGTGGTATTGGAACACATCACCTAATCGTTGTGTTAGTACATTCCATCTCATAGCAAAACAGCCAGGGCACCGACCTTTGACGAAGGACCGCAGAGCGGACTTGAACCCATTCGACGTCTTCGCTGACTTTGATGAATCCGAGCTGGAGGATTGGGCGTATGCTGGAGGTCCCTGCTGCCTTTCTGTCGCTTCGGAGTATGCCGGTGGGGTCTGGAAGGGAGCGTTCATCGGCGTCTCGAGTTCTGTTTGCTCCCAGCGTGGCGAAGACTTTGACGAAGACATAGTCGACGACATTATGGAGGGGCTGTGGTGTTCTGGACTGTTGGTTGATGGATTGGAGATGGCTTTTTGTTGTTTCGAATTGAGCGGTGGTTCTTGTCGAAATCAGGAGTGAGTTGTTCTGAGTGATAAAGCAGTGGTGAAGGGCATGAAATGCATCCTTATATGTGGTTTGCTCGTACAAGTAACGGTCACCGCTGGTCCGATACCTTGGTCCGAACTGCATCTGTCTTTAGTCGGAGCTGAGATCATCGGACCTCTCACCAGCCAGCCTCGCCAGTATCATAGCTCCGAAGGCTCGGAGTGACGGAGCTCGGAGCTCGACTTAGGCCGCATCGCAATCTCAAGAACGCCGTCGAGCAGGCAACGGCAACACTTTGACAAAGCTGTCCTGTGGTTTAAAAGGTCTCATCATCCATAAATCCGCGAGACAGCTGTAGTTTCGACGATCAAAGTGGCGTCATCGTGTTCGTTTTAGGAAGCTATGCTCGTCGAGCGGACTGCCGCCCGTCGCTCACGTATCGTTGTGCGTTGTGATTCACTCGCCTGACCAGCGATTTGTTTCATTTCATGGGAGCGGATCTGCTGGAAAGTCCGCTGGCCATGTGATGGAGTCCAGCCATGGATCAGCCTGGAGGCCGACTGACTCGAGCCAGGACGTCCAGTCCGGAATGGGATCTTCACTGAGCTGAGTGGAAAAGGCATCGCCCTCAAAGGCCAGCTGCTGCTGCTGCTGGGAGGACACCGATTGCTGCAAATGGTTGCCCAAAGACGCCCCGGCAGCACTGTTCTGGTTCAGAATGGAGTCAAGGCTTTTGGAGAAGATTGTCTGGGCTTGCTTGCATATCGCATAGTTGTTTTGGCCCTGCTCGGTCAGCGACTCACAGCAGGATATCAGGACACTGATATCTTGAATGATGCCGCTGCGGTTGTGGATGTGCAACTCTCCTGGATGCTGCGCCTGCCATAAAAGTTCCAATACCAGAACGCTGGCACAAGGCATGGCGAAGAACACCAACTGCCAGCAACATCAGCGAAGAGCTTGACATCTGGCCTGAGTTTGCCAGGTGGTCCATCACTTACAGTCCATTCAATGTCTGACCGGCGGCTGTCCATTGCCTCTCGCTGCCGGGTAGGTAAAAGGACAAGAGATACAACCTCGTGGGCGGTTGCTATGACTCGTTCGTGCTCACTCTCGCCCGCATTGGCAAGTACCGTGTAGAGGATAAATTCTATGAAAAGATAATGGAGCCGCAGGGCCTGTGTCATCACAATAGGCGTGTCTTCGTCCGTCAGCCGCTGCGCGTGATTAGCTGCGAACCTAATTTGCTGTGGAATAGACTGCCAGGTCAAGGAAATCCTCTCTAAGGCGTCTCTAAACAAGCTGTTAGCTGTGTGCTGAGAGCACATGAATTGTGTCGGGACTGCTCACCTTGCCTTGACAACGAGCTCGGGTGTAGACCGTGTAGTGTGGCCATTCTTGAGCTCGAGCGCTTCTTCAAAGATTGGAGAGAACAGCAGCGTCACACGCAGGCGGGCTCCTCGGTATATCTCGCCTTGTGTGTTCCAACCATGTTCATCGAGGTTGGCGGCTGCCTCGCGGAGGGCTTCGGCAGGCCCTGTAATGGCGGAGTCGGGTATATCAAGTGGCAAGTCGAACGCACAAAAGTGATGGCTGAGTCGAGGAGGTCTGTCAGGATACGGTCAGCATATAGACCACCTTTGCGTGAGAATGCAAATTCAATGGACGAAATGTCATACCGCGAGGTGAAGCAGGCGCCGACCTTGTCGTGATCATGTGCCCAAGAGATGATTCTTCTCCGAATCTCGACCAAGTAGAGCGGTGTTACATGATCTTCTTGCACCCTTTTGTGATAACCGAGCGCGAGGAACACAGAGGTCAAGGAGCCCATCAGGCGAAAGACGTGATAGGAGTCATCGCCGTAACACCACGTCGCAAACAGCAGCATTTGTATCACAAACCACAGCATCAAATCGTTAACGGCGCCGATGCGATTACAGAGAGACTCGCAACGTGTGCAAGCTCCGAATACCGTCTGCATCAGGGTTTTTCGATCTGACTTCCACCCCTTCTGAACGGCGAATCCAAGCGATCGGTCTTTCTCGCCACCCAGCCAGATGCCGACTAACGCAGCCCACATGCCCACGACTTCCCATCGCATGTTCTCCGGCGAAAGCATAGAGTCAAGTGCGCCGTCCGCAGCTGTCGGAGGAAACACAAGGGGCAGAGACGTCTGCTCAGATATTGCTCGCGAGGCAGATTCCAACTTTGCTGGAGAGCGATCATCTAGGAGCCGGTGAAGGAGTTTGCTAATAGACTTCCATGCCACCGCGCCTAATACGTCGATACAGCCAATGTCTACTCCACTAGGCTCCAAGTCCAGCAAGAAAAGCCCAATCTCGGACACGAAGTCCAGTATCTGGTTCAGCAGCTCTACTCCGTCGTCTATCAACCTTTGATCAGGTGCAGAAGGCTGCGAAGGGGCAACACCACTCCTCGTCAGCGACGGATATGATCTCCGTGATGTAAACGTATCGGCATCAGCGAATCGCATCAGGTCTCGGTTCATGTTGACAAGCTCGTACGAGCCAGGGTCCGCAGGCGCCGGGCTCGGACTTTCCATGGCATTGATAGCTTCTTGTGCGAGAGATCTTTTTGCCGGCGGTGTAGTCGATGGAGTGAGGTGTTTCGCCATCGGAGCTGGATGGTAGTGGCATTGCTGCGCAGACAGGCGGCGCCGGACGCATCTCCCACATACTGGTCTTCCATGATCACAGCGTAGCTTTGACTTCCGACAAGGTTCGCAAGAAGAGAGCTGTCCGTTCCGTCGGATCCTGTCCGTCATTGTCACATGTTCTGATAGAGGTGATGTCCAAGATCGAAGTTGGAAGTGAATGTACCTGGTAGCTTCCTCTTGTCTTGGCATTGCAGCTCCGGCCTTGACTTCACCTTGCTTCCTCTCCTGACGCTACATTGACAACGCAAAGAGCAAACCGCTCGGGTTAGCACAAAAGTCTGTCTTCGCATGGCTGATATCATATGCCAGTAGGTCAGAAGGGTTAGTCGTGTGACGGTAGGAGGTTTGCAACGTTCTCTTCAACGTCGGACCTACTTCAATAGCCATCGCGTTCTTTTGCCACTATTCCCAGCATAGCAAAACATACTGGCACCACTCTTAACAACTACCCTACCACAGCAGCTCCGCCACCATGCCCACAACAGTACGGAGACTGTGGAAGCTCATATACAAACGACTCGCAGCTATCACAAGGACGATCGCGCGCTCGGTCAGCTCTTCTCCGGCCCAATGCTCACAGCTTCAGTCCCCGTTCTTCAGACTACCGACCGAGTTGCGCGCAAAGATCTACTTCCTGATACTGGAGGATGAAGAGCAATGCGAGAATCCTCACTTGACCGTGACGCCGGGGGAAGCCCGCGTACTTGGGAAGAATGCATGGCTGAGCCGTGTCTCATGCGGTACGTAGGACAATGCAGATCGATACGAGGAGCGAAGCAGGACTGATGTACGTGCACGTAGCAAGGAACCTGAAACGTTTGCTACGAACATGCCGACGCTTGCGTGATGACTTGAACAGCGACATCCTATACGTCCTCGCCACGAGCGAGTTCATCTACCCCTCTCTCGACAAAGCAAAGCAGCACTCTGCCAGTCTATCGCCTGCGCAGAGAAAATTCATTAAGACCATAACGCTCGATGTCAGCTGTTATCTCGATGTCTCACCAGATGGCTACCACGACATTGCTGAGGAAGGTGACCGCCACGAGCGTCGTCTGCATGATCTGGATGAACTCGGCTTCTCGGAAACAAGGCCAGCGAGCGAGCATGCAGATGCTCTTCTGGACGACTCTCCGGCTAAATTTCTCGGCGTACACCAACACATCAACTCCGTCATATTCGACTTTCGCGGTGTTCGGGTGCACCATGCTCATTTGCAGCAGGACTGGATTGAATTTGAGGTAGGTGAGACTCTTCAAAGGGAAGAGGCGATGCAGCAAAGCGATGTCATCGTGAAACTGTGGTCGTCGTCCAAGGAGTGGCCGTAGGGCGAGGCGCTTTTCACGATGGAATAGAAAGACTATCTCCGTCGTTCCTGCTGGGCTCTACAATCTCCGAACTAGCAGGAGGCACACCATAGGTGAGAGCACTTTCGTACTGTCTCCGTCTGCTTCCGATGGTCCTTTGGGGAAGACCAGATCGTTGAGACGTAGGACGAGAAGCGCGACCTGTGCCGAAAGCGTGTCACTTGGTTCGACAACAATCGCAATGACTGCCTCGAGCTGCTGTCGAATGCACGGCAATCTTTTGCACCTTGCGGCAGTTTAGCAGCCCGTAGTACTTGTTCGCTGCCATGTGCCATGTCAGAGAGCTCCCACCATCCATCACTGCTTACCCCTGGAGAAGTCTGCCTTCGAGATGGAGCTTTCAGGGCTAAATTGGAAGAGCGGTCTCCTGGACTTGGCGGGTGAGGATGGAGCAGAGTTGCACCGCGGCGCAGGCCACCTGCAGCTCGTGACTGTGAACATCTCTGGCCATTCTGAGCGGAGAGTAGTGATGCACCTCCTGGAAGGGAAGCCGTACGTTCTTTCTCACAAGAGAGCACATCACGGACCACGAGTTTTGGCTGTCATGGTCAAAAGTCGTCAGCTTGAGTCTGAGCTTGGTATACACTTGAGCGTCTCTCTCCTCCTCCTGCTTCGCGAATTTTGCACCAGGTAACCATCCTGCAATCAGTACATGTACATCTTACTGCTCGCTCTACGATCAAGAAGAGCGTAATACCTGTACTCTGGGGCACCGGAGAGTCCTCGATCCCACCAATAAAGGTAGTCCACTGTATCCGAAACGAGGAACATGTTTCGAAAGACTCCAATTTGATTCTCATTAAACTCCCGTCACGCCAAAACGCTGTCACGTTCGTATGTTCCAGTCATTTTGTTGTCAGTCTTTTCTACTCTTTTTCCTAACACTTCCCAAACCCTTTCCTCATGCATTTGATCGCAGTTTTCCTGGCGCTGGTAGCCGGCTCTCATGCAGCATTGACCGCCAAAGGAGTCGACTGGTCGTCTCTCCTGGTTGAAGAAGCCAGCGGGCAGTCGTACAAGTCTGTGTCCGGAGAGGTGCAGCCTCTGGAGACCATCTTGGGCAACTCCGGTGTCAACACCGTCCGCCAGCGTCTCTGGTACACCGATGGCGATTATGGGCTTGAATACAACCTTGAGCTTGCTCGACGTGCCCAGGCTGCGGGATTGGATTTCTACCTCGACATCTTCTACTCGCCCACCTGGACTGACGCGGGACATCAGGAGACACCATCTGACTGGGCCAACTATGGAATCGACGATCTGGCTTTTGCTGTCTACAACTACACCAGAGACACGATGACCGCTTTCAACTCTGCGGGTATCGTCCCTGCACAGGTCGCCATTGGCAACGAGATCCGTGCTGGACTTCTCTGGCCCTTGGGAGACATGAGCAACTCTGATGGACCTTACAATGTTGCTCGCATGCTGCATTCAGCTGCGTACGGCGTCAGGGATTCGTCGTCGTCAACACAGGTCCTAGTGCACTTAGACAACGGCTGGGATTACGAAGCACAGCAGTACTTCTACGATACTGTCCTCGCCCAAGGGCCGCTGGAACTCGAAGACTTCGATGTGCAGGCTGTGAGCTACTATCCCTTCTACAGCTCGTCGGCAACTTTGTCCGCGCTCAAGACTAGCTTGAGCAGCATGAAATCCCGCTACAACAAAGGTAAGTCAGCGCTACGCCTTATCTAGCAGACCGTCCACTGGTGTAAGGCTATCCTAACCTCGATTGTATCAGGAATTCAAGTCGTTGAGACCGACTGGCCAACGTACTGCCCAAGTCCAGCCTATGAATTCCCTGCGGACACAACAAGCATACCTCTCTCGACTGCTGGTCAGACAACCTGGGTGCAAGACATTGCCACGGTCGTCGAGGATATCGGCGGTGATGGGTTGTTCTATTGGGAGCCCGCGTGGATCGACAATGCGGCACTGGGGAGTAGCTGTGGTTACAACCTGATGGTCGACGACGACGGGACTGTTATGAGTAGCTTGGCTGTTTTTGGCGAGATCTGATTCGTGCCTTGATGGCAAAAGTGTTTGGAGGCGTGGGATTCCAATGCTGGCATACCACGAGAGCTTGCAGCTACACCAACCCGCTGACTGTCTGTAGTACACGGTGTGGTAATGACGGGAAGCAGATGTCAGAAGTGGCCTGGAGGTAATATCAAATTATCCGTCTTCAACCGCGAGACCCGGGGCTGCTTGTATGAGACGCTCGAGTATATGGCCTCTCACTCTGCAAACACATACTCATCCAAACCCGGACGCTGCCCTCCACATCCATAATCCTGTTCCGGCGCAACCTGTACGGGGGTCATTGTTGACATAAAGGCAAAGAGTCCAAGAAAAGGTTAACAAGACCGGATGCAGGTTCGGCTCCACATCGTTTCATCAATCTCCGCACTTGCGGCTCTTCATCGATCCAAGAGCCGAGCGACATCCTCACCTGCTGTTGTGAAAGTTCACAGCAAGTTTCTCCGTCTGTTCATCAGCTGCAAGATGGAGCCGGCTATAGAGCGGTATGCAGGTCGTGTCCATTCGTGGGGACACTGTGGACCGTACATGGTACGCGGCAAGTAGTGACTCCAGTTGTGCTGAAAAACAGCAGGTTAGCCTTCTCATTACCTGCACTTCCAGACTGTGCCTCACCTCTCACAAACGATTGTACTATCGAGGATGCGGCTCTTCTTTCTCACGTTGTCTTTGGTCCTCTTACCAGTCTGTTTGGCCGCTGGACAGGATGCCGGAGTTCGAGATGCTACGCCCTCCGCCCAAGGTATCACTGCAAGGCAAGCATCCTCCGGCAGTGAGTGGCCGATCGAGAATGACGGAGTCAACGACATCGTCGAGTGGGACCATTACAGCATCTTCGTGAATGGCAAACGGCTGTTCCTCTTCACCGGTGAAATGCATGTAAGTCTTGTGTACCGAGAGTCTTACGCATGAACAGTGCTGACGGTTTCATCCTTTCACTCCCTCAGTACTGGCGCATACCCGTACCAGAGATGTGGCGCGACATACTCGAGAAGATCAAGGCGGCTGGTTTCACGGGCTTCACGTTCTACTCCAGCTGGGGTTATCACGCCTTCAACTCCACTTCAGTCGACTTTGAGACTGGAGCGCATGACGTTGGACGGTTCTTTGCCCTCGCAAAAGAAATCGGACTTTATATCGTCCTGCGCCCAGGGCCGTACATCAATGCCGAGGCGAATGCTGGTGGCTTCCCGAACTGGCTGTGCTCCGGAGCATACGGTGCGCTGAGAAACAGCGACCAGCGGTACATCGAAGCTTACACGCCTTATCTGAAGGCATTTGCTGAAGCGGCGTTGCCGTACTTAATCTCCAACGGCGGCAATGGTATCTTGTATCAGATCGAAAACGAGTACGGCGAACAATGGAACGGCGACCCGGCTGAAAGACACGCGAACCACAACGCCTCTGTGTATATGAACGATTTGGAGGTGCTTGCTCGTGATAGTGGCATCGATGTGCCTCTGGCTTTCAACAATCCAAACATGGACACTTACTCTTGGTCTTCAGATTTTGCTCCCGGCGCACTCGGCAATACAGACCTCAGCGGCGTCGACAGCTATCCCTCATGCTGGACTTGCGACCTTAGCCAATGTGCCGGCACGAATGGTCCTTACGTCCCTTATCAAGTGATGGACTACTACAGCTACTTCGAGAGCTTTCCGAACACGACGCAGCCGAACTTCTTGCCAGAGTTTCAAGGTGGTAGCTTCAATCCGTGGGGAGGGCCTCAAGGTGGCTGTCCTGCGGACATCGGGCCTGACTTTGCCAATCTGTTCTACCGCCATAACATAGCCGCACGGGTCACATCGTTCAACCTTTATATGATGTATGGCGGAACTAACTGGGGCTCCTTCGCTACGCCCACTGTCGCGACCAGCTACGACTACTCCGCGCCGATCAGCGAGGATCGGTCGCTCTGGGACAAGTACTCGGAAACGAAGCTACTTGCCTTGTTTACCCGCGTAGCATCCGATCTGACACAAACAGACAGGCTACGGAACAGCACGAAACTTACGACCAACCCAGCCGTCCTGACGACTGAGCTTCGAAATCCGCAGACGAATGCCGCCTTCTACGTCACAATCCATGCCAACTCTTCGTCAGATAGCCTGGAAAGGTTCAAGCTGCACGTTGGCACCTACGAGGGCGCTTTCACTATCCCGCAGTACAAGTCCACCATAGCGCTGAATGGTCACCAGTCCAAGATCATCGTGACCGACTTCACCTTCGGAAACGGTCACCTAGTCTACTCTACTGCCGAAGTGCTGAGCTACATCGTCACCGATGGTGAGCCAACTCTGTTCTTGTGGGTACCAGACGGAGAGGGTGTGGAGTTCTATCTCCGAGATGCTCATAGCGGACGGCACGCCAACGGCGACGGGTGCACCGGCCCTAGCATAGTCAATGCAAAGACCGGAAGCGGCACGATTGTCAGCTTTGACAAGGCGAGCGGCACTAGTGTCTTCACTTTCACTGCAAGCCGGGGCCACAGTAGTGGCAAGCAGGTCCGAGTAGTGGTCATGGACAGGTCCACCGCCTACACTGCTTGGGTTCCAACTCTCTCGACCGACCCATTTGCACCAGCCAACGAGACGGTGTTTGTTCGCGGCCCGTATCTCGTCCGTAGTGCAACACTCGAAGGGAGCACCCTCTCTGTCTCCGGGGATGTGACAACAGCTACGACGATTGAGGTCTTTGCACCGCGAAACGTCCGTGCATTATCGTGGAACGGGAAAACAGTGGAAGTATCTCGCACGAGTTACGGGAGTTTGAAGGCGCAGCTTCAGGGCGTTAAACAGCACAGCGTGGTGCTTCCAGAGCTATCCGGCTGGAAATCAGCGGACAGCTTGCCGGAAATTGCGCCAGGTTACGAGGCGTCAAGCGCTGCATGGGTTGGTGAGTGCTTCTCCTTTCGATCGTGTCATGAATTCGTACTGACCAATACAAACAGAGGCTGATCACATGACAACACCAAACCCAAGGAAGCCAAACACGCTTCCAGTGCTTTACTCCGACGACTACGGTAGTTGACTCGCTACGCTCTCCAAAAAGGTTACAACGCTGATGCAGTCCCAGGTTTTGGCAACGGCATCGTCGTATGGCGTGGCGAGTTCTCCGGATCGGCAACGGCAGTGAACTTGCATGTGATAGGCGGATACGCATTGTAGGTGCATTGTTGCCGACAGACCATATTGATTTGCTGACAGTACTCAGTGGCTGGAGTGCCTGGCTGAACGGCGAACACATTGGTTCTTTCCTCGGGAACGTCAGCCTCGAATCCGGGAACAAGACACTGTCCTTGGACGAGACTGCATTGAAGAGTCGCAACACGCTTACTGTCGTGCACGATATCACCGGTCACGACGAAACGCCCACGTATCTGACTCCGCGTGGGATCCTCGCAGCGAGCTTGCAGGGTGGTGCCAGGTTCACGTCCTGGAAGGTCGCCGGCACTGCTGGTGGTACGAGCACGCAGCTTGACCCGGTGCGCGGAGCGCTTGCCGAGGGCGGTCTCTATGCGGAGCGACTGGGCTGGCATCTGCCGGGGTTCGACGACAGTGCTTGGAAAACGAGCTCTCCACCCACCGACGGTCTGACTGGTCCTGGAATCCAGTTCTATCGGACCGTGGTGCCTTTGTCCTTCCCTCTCGGCCTGGACGTTAGCATCTCCTTCAAGCTCTCTGCTCCCCATAGCCACAAGCTTCGCGCACAGCTCTTTGTCAACGGATACCAATATGGACGCTTCAACCCGCATATCGGGAACCAGGTCGACTTCCCTGTCCCGCCTGGCGTGCTTCACTACAGTGGGAACAACACCATTGGCCTGGCGGTGTGGGCGCAGAGTGAGGAGGGTGGACAGGTCGGCATTGACTGGAAGCTGAACTACGTCGCTGATTCGAGCTTAGATGTGCTGTTCGATGGAGATTATTTGAGGCCAGGATGGAGCGCTGAGAGGTTGCAATATGCTTGATAGTAGCGCAAGAACGATGTGCTTTCGTTCGAGTTATCGAGCACGGAAGTTGTCAAGATCTGTACTTCACTCTTGATTCCTGCGTTGCGTTCAATGAGCCCAAATTCTTGGTATAGGTAGCTTCGTTTTGCTTGATTCGAGAAGGGCAGCAGATACTCCTACCATGCCTCCGTCACCCACACTCCTTTCAAACTCGATGTTGACAGCCAGTGATTGTCTTTGCGCCATCTGTCCGTTCCGCCTCCGCCGTCCCCGCGCCGTTTGAACCCTCAGCATCCCTGCATTCCCCCACCTCCCCACACTTCTGACATCGCCCGCATGAACACCCACCTCGAACATCAACAACCTCTTCAAAATGGCGCCTGCTCGCAGAAAACCCATCCTGACTCTTCTACACTGTCCTCTTGAACCGCCTTGATTTACCCCATCAACATGGCCACCATCGACCCGTCCACACTCCCCGGCCAACCCGTCGACCCCTCCCAAGCCCAAGGCGCCCAAATCCCCCTCCAATCCTTCACCATCCCCGACTTCCCCCCCGAAGCCGCGGGCCTCAAAGCCCTCACCCTCACCTCCGACATCAAAGTCGACGAGTACCAGAACCTCCTCTCCGAACCATGGAACATCCCCGCCCTGCCCGGCTCAATCGAGAGTCTCACCCTCGAGCTCTTCAGCATGGGATACCCGCCCGGCTACCTCGCGGCGCTTGCGTCTCGTCTGCCGAATCTCAAGAGCGTGGTGGTGTATAGTCAGCTCTTCGCCGGTATCACCGCTGAATCTCAAGCCGACGCTATCGCGTTCTTCAAAGCCTTGCCCAACCTGCGCGCGGTGCACCTTCTGGATGTGTTTGCGAAGGAGAAGTTCTTCCGTGAGGCTGGGAAGTGGCTGCGCTACAACACCTCCGACGCCCCAGGTGAAGCGCGGCGCGGGTTGATGTTCTTGGAAGTGAACTACACCTTCCGGCACGAGGATGAAGACTTCCTGCACAAGATCCAAGCTACTGAGCTACCGGACTTGATCGGGCCTGGGTTAATCAGCTGCTCGTTCAATATTGCTACGCCGGAGAATGTGGAAGATGATCCGGATGATCCTGCGAACTTGCAGGAGGCGGGGAACAAGCAGGGTGTGATGGCGTTTAACAAGAGTGTGGCTCCAGATCCGGTGATTGCGTTGACGGAAGAGGAGAATTCGCCAAAGGGGCTGAGAGCGTTGAATCTGACCTTGTATACGCTTACGACGAAGGATTTGAAGAAGGTGCTGGAAACGCAGAAGCATGTCATGGTGCTTAATGTGACGTTGGAGGTTGAGCCGGGAGAGGATTGGAAGAAAGGGTTACTGGAGGCGTTGGAGCCGTGTAAGAGCTTGGAGCAGGTGGAGGTCGTTGCAAACCCGACATTACAATTCTTCATGGAGGTATGTGCTATCTACTCATGCTCATCAGCTATAGCGCATCAAAGCACCATCCACTATGTGCCTTTCGCACCAGCAAATCCCAGAGGCATCAACTTTGCTTCTTCCTCGATGCTGACATATCCATGCAGGTACAAAATCCGCGACATGGCGTGATGGGGAAGACGTTCCCTTCCGCCGAAGAAATGAAGTCGTTGTCGAGCAAGTGTGAAAAGATGTCGGCGTTCAGTGTAAGCATACTCCGAGCACCAAACTTTGGCACTGTGGAATGGGCGAAAAAGGACGGCGAGTGGGCCGGTGGGGTGACCGAAGGGAAAGGCGTGCCTGCAGCACCACCTTCGTAGCCAGTAATACAATGGAAATGCTGGTTTTTTCCCAGGTCTCGTGATGCCATTCCGTCAAAGCTCAGGAGAAGGCGAGCGGGGAGGAACCCATTCGTCGAAGATGGCATCGATCTGGGACGAAGTCAAGGTTGGGTGTGGAGTGACCTCTGCTCCCGGCTTGTTGGTTCCTTGAGGGTCGCCTTCCTCAGCTGTCGAAGGCGGCTTGTCGGACGGGCCACTGACAGCCGGTTTCTCCACGGTCGGCTCTTCGTCCGGCTCTTCATCATCACTCCACTCATCTCCTTCCTCATTCAACACCGCTTTGCCGAACAAGTTGGAGTCCTTCGCACAAGACATAGCTTCTGCAAGCCTCCCATCGTCAGACACTTCGTTGTATGCCTTCAGCGCCGCACGTTTCTCGAGCACAGCTTCTATCAGCTTCTTGATCTCCACAGCTTGCAATCCCTGAAGCGCCTCGCGAAGCATCGACAGCTGGGCGATGAATCTCTCTTCCAACCGTGAGTTGAAGCACTTCTGCTTCCACATGTACGGCACAGTGGACTGAAAACTGAGATCCTCCATGCTCGCTGACAAGAAGTCCTCGCCGTAATCCTCCTCGTAGCCTGGGTGTACTGATGTGAAAAGCTCCATCTGTGCGTTTGCTTCATCGTCTAGCAACTTCCAGTGGCGTAGGCTGTTGAACGCCGGCTCGGAGCTTCGCAGATCGGACTTGAGTTTCTGCACGATCCGGGACGGGACATTGTCAGTTACAGTGAGAGTCTTGATGTTGCTAAGACGACGAAGAGGAAATAGGGTCGTTTCGTAGTCTTGGTCGGTGAGTCCATCGGGGAGTATAAGCTCGAGATGCAGTCTCTTGAGGCGATGGCCATCCATCAGGAAGGATGCAAGTCCCCAGAGAGGATAGTTGAGTAACGCAGGATCGTACTCGTCACCATTTTCCGATTCGTCATAACACTCATAGTCCAGCGTGATCTTGAGCCTCGCGATGCGCCGGAAGAGCTCAGGGTAGTCCTCGATGGCACGCGGGATCCGATAGTACTTCATATGACCGCAATGCCCAACCATTGATTCTCCGTGAACACGTGCCAGCCGATGAGTCACGTCGCCACCTTGACAGACAGAGAAGAAGGCACAAAAGGTGTTGTCATCGTACAAGACTTCCTTTGCCTCAGCGTGAACCATCTTGCAGGTGCGAAGAATCTGCGGGTGGAGGTGGCCTACGGGGCCCTGGCCATTGTTGTGATGGACGAGAAGTTGGCGGTAGGTCAGGAGTCTCATCTCGGCAGGAAGGTCCATGAAACGGAAGCTCAGACTCTCATCAGCCTTCTCAAGCTCGCGCAGGTAGAAGTACTTGAGCGTGACGCCTTGCGGGTAAGGATCTTGGAGCCTGCGGTCGTTGACGAACTTCTTGAGCTCTGCTGCAGTGCACAGGTCGTAGATCACACCAGTTGGGCTCGCACGGAGAATCTCGCCGCTGAGGTAAGATGACTCTGGAGGAACCCAAAGGTCATCGGTGAAGTCCGAGCGGTCACTCATGTCGGAGTCGTCCATCGAGACATCGCTGTCGTCGTCGGAGGGCTGACTTGCTGCAGCGGTCTCAGCAGCTTGTGCTGGCCCAGTTGCGTTGTTGTCAGTCGTTACATTCGCCGTAGTCTGGTTCGCGGTGGTGGCGGCCATTGTGAGGTGCTTCCGAGGTCAGCGTGGATGATTGCAAGAGCGGCTCGTACAATCGTTGCTGGTTCGGTCGTGTGATGGAAGGACGATAGCGTGGTAGTGCGATGGAGTGAGTGAAGAAGTGAGGTGCGAAGTTTGCCAACAGGTAGAACAAAGACCCTGAGTCGCGTCACGCGTGTTGCAGGCGAAAAGGGAAGGAGCCACCTACCTTCGGCGACAATTCTTCAACGCAAGTGAAAAGACGGACTCCCATCCACTTCTCTGGCACGACACTGCAGTGTGCAATGACTTGCTGGAAATATTACCGACGAGGTCATATCCCGCCATACCACCCTCTCTCGCACCACACAGCCGACGCTTGCGATGATGATGATGATTGCACTGGAGGCCCTTTGGTGTCAGATGTCGCTTCATAATCACCTCACGTCGGCAGGAGGATGCCACCAGAGATGGCGAGCTCAATGGACTGAGAGTAGGCCGTGCATGACTTCCAGATCTTCAGCACTCCACGATCTTCGACACAACGCAATGCCGGACGTGCGGCTGAATGTAGATGTTGATCCAGGTCCGCCTTAACTCATACGACTCGCCGCGTCCATCAATACGGCTCTTAGAACTCCAGCCGCCGCCTTACTGTTGGAGTAGCGCTGATAATCTTCAGGACTCGTTGTCCAGATGCTTGCGGCGATGGCCCGTCTCACGTTCGACAGTGACAGGATGAAAATAGTGAATGAGGTGAGTTCGCGTCGCCGGCGAACAATGCCCGGGACGGCTAATGTTCGGGAGTGTCAAGAGGCAGAGGCGGTTCGATCTTGGCTGCTCCAGTCGCTTCGACTTCACGCCTGATTTCCTTTGTCCTTCTGGTTTACGGCCTCTTCGAAAGGCCGAAGCCAGCTCCAAATGCGGCAGCATGACCATTGCAATACCGGTTGGCCATTCCCAGCTAACACATGTAGCCGGTAGCTCTCCCCTCAGCATGCAATCTCGAAGCAGATACCTATGCTGTGTGTCGATGAAAGGTTCGTCGTGCCGGCGCTACATCGAAGCTATCATCTAGCTACTGCACGGAACTCTCTTGACAATCACCGCAAAGACGCGAGAGCGTCAGAAGATGAGTCAAACGCGAGCGACCAGGGCAGTACTTATTCCTCGAAGCTTCAAGTCACTGCTACGTGCCGCATACATCATTGCTCGTTGAGTACCTTCCTAAAACTTCGATGTTGGCATATCAAGCACCCACTGTACCGACAAAGATATAGACTTCCGAGATGAACTTGGAGCCTGCAAAGCAATCGCACCTGCTGGGCTGCACACAAGTTGAATAGCAATTTCCAATCATGCCTTGAGCGCTCTTGCTTCGAGCTTTCGTCTCGAGGCAACAGCGAAGACTGCAGTCTCGAAGCATGTGTGTCCTTCCCTCTTCCCTCTTCTGCTGTCCTCATCTCCTCATCTTCTGCCCTCTCTTCTATCAACGAACGTTAACCCAAGCTACACCGGTGCCTTCACGACATGGCTCTCACCGCCACAGCTGCTAGCTCACGGAGGAGCTGGACGGCTTCGTATAATACACGGCCGCAAGGAATTTCTCTCGGCAAGTCGCAGTCAGACCCAGTGAATGCGTGTCAGTCTTGTTGCGCACGTCCTGAATGGGTACGAACGGCGTCCGGGGTGATGCACGGCAATTATATACACAGCAAGTACCCCGACGCAAGATGTGAGGCTCATGCTGAAATGAGTCAGTGCGTGTCCCTGACGACGCCGACATCTATTTGAAACGTGGAAGCTGGTACTGGATGCACAATGGTAACTCTCGTCTGGAACCGGAGGACTGGCAAGACAAAAATCTGGTCCCAGTCCTCGTTCACGACATCGTCAGTATCTTCAACAACGTCAACATCCAAACGGTCGGAGAAAACGTCACGTCACAGTACGCCATTCTTGTCACGGCAGGTCGGGAGACCTCACCGGGGCATTGGGAGCCAGCACCTATGCCCTTGATTATCAACGCCGACCAAATCCACTCTGCGATTGACGGCACGGAAGGATGCCAAAGAATCTGCAGATACGTCCCAACAGCACGCCGCGGCAAGGTGGAATGTGTGCTCCCATTGGATCTTGCTGCCTAAGAGCTGGGCTGGCCTTCCCAGCCAGCACTCATCAACGAAATCCGGAATCGATCTATCCAGTGTGGCCATCCAATTTGCAGACTTTACATCCCGGTCCAGGCCTTGCAGACTGGGGTATGCGTATACCGGCAGCCACATGGTTACGATGACCTTGCTGACCTCTCGTTTGCATAAACACGATTGCGAGAATGCAGTGGTCGCGACCAAAAACAGCTCACATGCAGCTGTACTATCAAAAGCAATGCTCAACAAAGATGCACCAACGACACAGAGTTCACAAGAGGGCGGAGCCGATCGTCCAGCAAAGGTCGAGCAGCAGAACTATCGTGGTCCTTCTGCCAGCGTTGCGGTGGATGTGGCGATTGGGTATCTTGGGGACGACCAAGGCCGTGCTCGCTGGAAAGTTTCTCTGTCTGTACCAGTAGCGGAGCACGTTCATACGAGGCAGAGCTATTCGACGCTTTCATACTGACATGCCTTTTGCACCCGAGAGATCCTTCCACAGTGCCACAGCCGACGAATTTGTTTGCCATCGTTGCCCCACTCGAAGGCTCAATGTGGGTTGAATCTCGAACAATTTACTACTGACAGAGATGTGGAACCGACCACTGTGAATAGCAAGGGCTGGCTGCCGTCAATTTGATTCTCATCATCAGGGCAACACCATCTTCCCTCCGAAGACATCGCAGTCCACCTTCCCAAGACAATCATCTCACCTTCGAAGCCTGCCGGTTGCAGCGGCGGCATCCCGAGACCATCTCTCATCCTTCGCAGTCCTTCTACGATGCGTCTCAAAGTAGCCACCCTCGCCGCTATGAGCCTTCGTTCATCCAAAAGCCTGGCAACCATTGCCCTCGGTGTCATCAACGACCCCAACTCCTACGGCGGCGAGTTATCCAACACGGCACCCTCAGCACCCTTGATTTGGTTCGACGGCGAGGCGGAATTATCTTGGCTCTCGTGCTCGAGCATCAACGAGGATGGTAATGGGATTGATTTCATGATGCAGCTGTACCCGTGCTTTCGATCTGGCTTTGCGAGGGATTGGGGGTGTCTGATGAGGTGTGAGCCTGAATGATTTGCGGAGGTCTGGGTTCGGGCATTGGATCGATTCCAATCTCCAGTAGATTGATCCAGTTGGTGGTCGAAAGGATCGGTGTTTGCTGCGCGAAGTCCAGTATCCACCTGAAATGTGCGGCCAGCAAACAGCTCTCATCGGCGAGATGCGCTGCAGTCCTCCTTCAATCCTGCCGGCGCTCGTGAGCTACTAAACTGCTTTGCTTTCGGAACACTCATCGACTGAAAGCCTCATACAGCCAGCAGACTGTGCAGAAGCTCAAGCATCAGTGATGTCGAAGTCGTGAAGAAGCAATGCCGTTTCGATCGCTGACGTCAATTTTCACATGTCAGTCCTTGAACCAGCTAGTCCGTCCAGCAAAGCCCGCTGGTTTATTCTTCAAAATCTCCTTTCTGCGCAACAGCTTCACCGCACACTCAGTTGCACCGGCCAAGCTGTACCATGGCTCCAAAGAAGGCATCTCGCAAAGGTGTTGCTAGCAGGCCCAGCCAGCACGAGTGTTCGCCTACTGTCGATTCGTCCGTCGTTTGGAAGGTGACCACGGAAACCCGAGTCTACCACCCAAGCTGGCTGGGTCCGCTTCAAGAAGCCCGAGAGGTAGCTGAAGTCACAAGTTCGTTGCCCCGAAGTCAGTTCCTTGCGATTCGCACGTCCGCTGACATTCCACAATTTCCAGAGGCGCAAAAAACGTCACGGTCCGCCAGGGAGAATTGTGCTGGTTCCATGTCATATGTCTCGAGACGGAGAAGGACGTCGTACACCCGGGCGTGGTCGTCAGTATCCACGACAACCAGCCGCGAGGCATCAATCACCAGACGGAGCCGGCACTATTGTCCTTGTGGCGTGGGGTCAAGATTTCCAAAGGGTCGGCAAAGGCTTCAAGCGACTGTGGCATGCGGAAACCAAGATGAACGGCGAAGAGGCCGACACGATCGAAGCTGTGGTGGAGGGACGCATGAAGGATAGGCTGCTTGTATCAAAATTCCGCGGATTCGAAGACCAGTTCCTCCCATTTGACCAAGAGCACCGCCTTTTCGGAAAGCGCAACTACGATTTGTCCATGAGCCTGAAGCGTCGGCACCAAACGGAGCTGCCAATGTGGCGCCATCCGGCGAGATCAATCTCGGAAGCGATAGCAGGCTGGAAGCACAAAGCGAGGAGCTTTCGGGCGGAGAGGATGACATGGAGGATGCCGAAAACGACGGTGAGCTTCAGGCTGGACTCGCCGGCGATTCGCGAAAGACCTGCCGTCGTAGCAAGCCGGCGGACGGCAACCGGATCCCAGATGCACAAGTCCGTACAAAAGCAGGCGAACATACCGAACGCCCTGCAGGCAATGTCGTTCCGGGAGCTGTGAACCAGATCGACGAGATTGCATCCGACGACGAGGCGATGGACGGCGTGAGCGATAGCTCCAGCGTAACTTTCTGCTGATCTGGACTTTCCTGCGACGATTCAGCAGATTTGCAATAGCCTTGTACATAAAGGGGACTTGGACTGGCATCAGTACTCACTCTCTCAATGCATAGCGACGTTTTGTGGATGGAAGACGGCAGCGGGCCAACGAGAGCAACAGTGGCAGGGATCGAAGCAATGCTTGAGACAAAAGTAGCAAGAGAAGCGGTAGCAGATCGAAATCGTACTTGCCATTCAATACTGACCGTCTACCACACATCTGATGTTATCCCTTCTAAGCCCAATAATGTAAACATCGACATACCATCGCTTCACATCAAACGCCCCCCAATGCATTCTCCTTCCCACACATCCAGCTCATGCCGCACTCCCATTCTGCTGAGCCCCCGTACCCTCGACAACACCCCTCACACCACCCTTCCCACCAACTTCCCTCGCAACAACCGTAACGCCCAGATCCGCCGCCACGTTAACCTGCACCTCAACCTTTCCACCCTTCTTCACGCCCTTCAGCCCAGCTTCCGCGATGATCTTGCCAGGCTTGAGGACTTTACTCCGCACCTCCTCTGGCTCGTCGTCGGAACCATCCTCATCGGAATCGTCGTCAGACCCAGCGGTACCGTTCGTACCAGGCTTCTCCGCTTTCGAAACCTTGATCTCGCGCACGCCTTCTGCGAGTCTGAGCAGGACGTCGCCGCCAGCCGCAACGGGTATCTGCGCTGTTCTCCGCACAGGGACAGGAGTATCTGGCTCGACGATGACGGCGAACTCTTCTGAGCCTTCCTTGCCGGTCACCAAGCCAATGGCGTGGGAGAGGTGGGGTGTTACGGTTACAACGGCCTCGGTGCTGTCTTCGATGTCCTGGTGCTCGAACTCCTGGATCAAGCTTGCTTGAATAGCTGCGCCTCGTGCGGTAAGCTCGGAGGGGTTGACGGCAGTGGAGCTAGTGGAGGGAGATATGATGGTCGTAGTGGAAGGGAAGTGGGATTGGACGTTGGCTGCGATCTTCGGCGTATGCGAAGCCCCGCCCGCAAGGAGGATCGTGTCGACGTCGAGAATATCCAGATCCGCCTTTTGCACGGCGGACTCGATCAGGCGCGTGAAGGACTGGAAGAGCTTACTCCCAAGCAGTTCGAAGCGCGTGCGGTTGACGTTCAGGCTGAAGTCGATGCCGTCGCTCAAGCTCTCGATGCTGAACGAGGCGGATGCACCTAGAGAGAGAGCTTTCCGGACGCTTTCGGCTTCAAGTGTGAGTTTTGCTAAGCTTCGCTCGTTGCCGCGCGGGTCCTTCGCTGTCTTGTTCTTCTTGAGAAATTCCTTCGCTGCGTACTCCACCAGTACTTTGTCCAGTGTGCTGCCTCCAAGCTCATAGTCGTGTGCTGTGCTTAAGGTAGTGTACATTCCGCCTCTGCTCGCTACCACCGAGACGTCTGATCTTGTGCCTCCCAGATCTGCAACCAGTATGATCCTGTCATGTTGCTGTGGTTGCTCGCCCGATTGTTGGACCTTCGCATCGTGACCGAGCAAAGCGGACACGGGCTCCGGAATGAACTGCAGCACCTCGATGCCAGCCTCCTTCGCAGATTTCGAGAGTGCCGCCTTCTGCTCATCAGTGAAGTCGTAGGGCACGGTGATGACTGCTGCGTTCACGCTCTTGCCCAGATAATCGGACGCCGACTGCTTCAGCCGCCGCAGATGCCTTGTGGATACTTCTGAAACTGATAGCGTGCTCTTCGCTGGCTCACTGCTCCCTTCTTCGTCCTCTGAAGCATGCTCCTGCACCTCGAACCCCACGCTCTTCCCGCCGTCCAGCTCCACTGGGTGTGCGCTGGCATGACAAGGGCTGGGATCGACATCCTTGAAGCCCTTGCCCAGGAAGTCTCGGAAGAAGGCGATTGTGTTCCTGGGATTCCGTGCTATTTGAGCCTTCGCCTGTGTGCCCTGGAATTCTTCACCAGCAACGTAAGAGAGAATGGATGGGATCTGACGGTCACCCTCCTCGTTGGCGATGACTTCAGCCTTGCCCTCGTTGGCGGTGGTGTAGGCTATGCTGCTGTTACTGTTGCCGAACGACAACCCTATCGCTACCCGTGAGGACTCTTGCGAGGTCGGCTCTGGTGAGCCTGTGTCGGCGCTCATTGTGCCCTGCTTGTGTTGGTCGTTGCGTGTAGTTGTAGTGGTTTCTCCTTTATCCTCGGTCGGGATGTGGTGGTGTTTTGGTGTGTCGGAAGTCAAGAAGATGTGAACAGCAAGATCAATGTCCAGCTTCGAGACGTCGTCAAAATTTCCTGGAATTATTCGACCAGGGTCCAAACTCAATCCGTGACGCTGATCATCACGTGATTGTAAAAGATCAACCTCACCTCTAAATCCTCCATCTACTCCTCGTCAAACAACACAGCGCACAACCATGGCCACCACTTCCGTCCTCCTACCGGGCGAACAAATACCCCCATCCGACCTCCCGCCAACCAAGAAAGGCACCTTAACACTCGGGCCCAACCTCCGCCACCTCCCCCCATCAACCATTCTCACCACAACCTCCGGCTCCCTACACACCGATCCCAAGAAGGCCGCTCTCTGGATCGATGCTCCACATGGCCGCTATCAGCCCTCCGTTGGCGATTTGGTAGTCGCTCAAATCCATCACGGCTCGACTGACACCTACCACTGTGCCCTAACGCCACATACAGCCTACGCATTACTAGGGCAACTAGCATTCGAAGGCGCGAACAAGAAGACACGGCCGAAGCTGGAGTCTGGGGATCTCGTCTACGCGCGGGTCAAAACGGCAAGCAAGTGGGAAGACGTGGAGATTGAATGCTTCAACTCTTCTACCGGCAAAGCGGACGGCCTGGGTCCGCTGAAGGGTGGCATGGTATTCAACATCTCGCCGGCTTTTGCGAGACGGCTGATGATGGGGACTGATAAGGAGGGGAGGAGTAAAGGTGGGGTGGTGGTATTGGAGGAAGTAGGGGAGAAGGTCAAGTTTGAGGTGGCGGTGGGAAGGAATGGGCGGGTGTGGGTGGACAGTGGGAATGTCGCGGCTACGCTTGTGGTTGGGAGGTTATTGATGGGGTGCGATGAGAAGGGGTGGAGTGTGGAAGAGCAGAGGAGGGAGGTGAGGAAGGCGCTGAGGGAGATTTGAAAAGGCACTTTTTTCGCACACTAAGATCGAAACATGCCTTCGGCCCATGTTCTGAAGCTGAAAGAGTCGACCGCCGGACCCAACTGGATGCTCACTCTGCTTACTCCACTCATCTTGGAGAAGAGCAGTCCAAGGGCCACCCTGAAGCTCGAAGCTGATCCATGCATGCATTCTGTCTCGGTCCTTCAACACTAAGCTCGGTCATTATCCGCATCAGACCTCGGACTATCATATTGCTTCCTCCTAGCATCTACGATCATGTCAGCAATTGCCAGCGGCTTGTCAGGCAATCCATACCTTGCTCTGATACCATCAAGCCGCCGATATCACGTGGCTCAAGCCAGCTCGTTGAAGCCGTCGATGTCGAACGAGAACTCCTCTGATTGGTCGGTGGTACCCTTCCAATGATCGAGATCCCCCTCCTTGTCCAGCGATGCCAGAGTTGGAACCGCCTCTTCAGCCGCCTCTTCGCACTGATACCCCTTCAACTTCTGGCTCCGGCTTTGTTGGCTTGGAGGCACCTCCGCAACGGCTTCCACACACCGATACTGCCGCAACTCCCGGCCCCGACTCTGCACTGTCCGTGCCAGCTCCAGGACCATTTCACCACCGACCGAACGCCCCGAAGCATCATTCAGCAGCTGGATTACCGCCTCGTTCAGCCAGGTTGGCGTGTTTTGCACGACGCATCTCTCGGCACTCTTGCTCTTCGGGAAAACGCAAGCAGCCTCGTAATGCACCTCCACCTCCGCACCCCAGAAGCCGCTGTCCCGGCTCTGCAGCATGAGCGAGACCATAACTCGATCATCTCTCTGCAGCTTCGGTCCGGGCGAAATTGGATGAGTCATCACTATATTCGTCTGGCGTGGCTCATAGCATAGACACCACTTCCGAATCAAGCCGAACCAGCCTTTCTCTTCCAGCACAGAAGCCCACTTTCCGTACACGGACCCCTTGCTCTTGCTTTTCTTCTTGCCCAGCAGGCTGCGGCGAACTGTTCCGTTCTTCTCGGGCATGTCGACGGAAGCGTCGATGGCGAAAATGTTCTCACTGTAGAAGATGGGAAGTACTTCTGCGCGGACGAAGCGGGAGACCATGGCGAGATCTGGTTGCTCTGCTCCGAATTTCTCTTCGGGGTAGATGAAGGTAGCTGGCAGGACGACCGCGAGACGCCAGATCTCATCGCGCAGCTCTTTGGGTAGGTCGAGAACGGGGAATATTCCTTTATCCGGCTTTTCTCCTCCGACCTCCAAGGACCCCGATCTGTTTCCTGGCTGGAAAACTTGCCCCGGACCAACGATGCCGCCCAAACCAACCACTGGCACAGCAGATGCCGCAGCCCTCCTCGCTCCCAACCGATTCACCTCTTCACCCCCCATCTTCCCCCCTTCGACTCCGCCTGGCCCACGCACTGCAACGCCTTCCCTCACAGCAAACCCGCCAACCATCCTATACCGCCTACTCTCCACCTTCTCATCCCTCACCTCCATCCCCTCCTGTTTCTCCCTCTCCACCTTCGCCTTCCTCGCCTTCTCCCGTCCAGCCTGCCGCGCTTTCTCCTTCATCCATCTCGTGCGGGCCGTGGGGCGGACGAGCACGCTTTCCTTCTGAGTCTGCTTCGCGGACGATTTGATGGAGATTGGAGGCATGGGAGCCATGCCGGAAACGCAGGAGAAGACGGAGGGTCCTTTGGAGGCTTTGGTCTTTTCGGGCTCGGCCTTTTTGGGCTTGGTGGTGCGGGTGCGTGGGCGTTTGGGGGCGGGGATGGATGTGTCCTCTCCTGTGGAGGGAGGCGGGGATGAGGGGGGCGCGGGTTTGCGCTTGGGCATTGTGGTGGTGGAGTTCGGTGTCTGGAGTGGTGATGTGGTATGAGTGTGTGATTGCTGTTGTTGGGAAAGCGGTTGTGAGTTGTTGTCTGAGGTGGAATGACTTTGGTGGTTGAAGAGGAAAAAGATTGGAAGAGTTGTTAAAGTTGGAAAGATGAAGAGGAACTGGTAACATGAAGGGATTCCAGAGCGTCGCCAGAGCGCTAAATGAGGTGGTGAAGGCACATGGTTTGAAGCTATGAAGCCGCAACCATCCATTTGATCACATCAAGTGATGCCAATGTCGACCTCCTACGCTCATCGCAGTGAAAGCAACCGGATGCAAAGGAGTGATCAACTTAAGCTTGGACAAGTGAACGGGGACCTACCAGTGTAGTGAGAGAATGCAAATGCATTCAGCCCACTCCCGTCCCCAACTCGCCGCAATGGCAAGGACAAGTTCCCAGCCTCATCTACTGACCGTCCCGACTCCTCCCACTATAGCCCACAGCCCTCCGCCTTTTCGATGCTCTCGCTCTCGCCGTATGCTCTGCAAACCCTTTGTCGTGATTCAACCGCACTACAGTCGACGGGCAGCGGTACGGCAGGTCTTTATTTAAAAATGTATACTCTTCCAGTCCACAAACTACCACTGGAACCCCGCCTCATAAATCGGCCTAAACAACTCACACCGCCCATCCACCTCCGCCTGATCAATAACTGTCACCCCACTCCCTATCGCATCCCCTCTATTCCCCAACAACCCCAAATTCCACGTCCCCTCTACCACCTCTCCACTCGCATCTCTCAACACCCCTCCCACCTCCACCTGCTCAGCACCGACAAGCACCTGCCCCGCCACCCCCGTGCCAACCCCATTCCACCCCGGTCCACCCATCGGGTTCTTTGCGAACCGTGCCCACGCCCCACGCATGAAACTGCTGAGGGCATACTCCTGCGTCGTCGCGTTCGCCTCAGGGTACGTCGAGAATACCAGCGGGATTTCGCTCGCGTGATACACGCCCAATCCGGGGTACGCTTGCAGATTCGCAAACGAGGCGTTGAAGTAATACCGCCAGGCAGGGATCCCTGCGGCCGCGGTATCGTTTGCCCACAGTGCTTGCGGGCATTGGAAAGCTAGTTCGGTGAAGATGCGGGCGATTTGGTCGTAGGGCGTTTCGCCGTCTGCTAAGGGGTAGGCAGCTTCGATCTGCGCGATGTAGTCTGGGTGCGTGATGCCGGAGCCTAAGAGGAAAGCTGTGGTGTTGGTTTGGCCGACGGCGAGGGAGCGGCCTTCTTGGCTGTTTGTCCCTCCCATAACAGGGATCGAGGCAATATTGCCACTTCTGCGCCGGGCGGCGGGGTCGGAGAAGAGGGTGATGTTGTCGGGTACGGGGTCGAAGGGGAGGGATTGCCGGTCGATAATGGTGCGGATTTGGGTGGCTGGGGCGGAGCGGACGCATTGGAGGACAGCGGTGTCGGAGCCGGAGCAGTTGAGTGCCGAGGCAAGGGCGTTCCAGGAGGGGACAGGGTCTTGGAAGGAGAACGATCCTGGGTAGCTAATGACGCCGGACTCGCAGATGGCGCCACGGAAGGGCGGGTTGGAGTCGGCAGGATAGGAGGTGAGGAGGGCGTCGACGGACCAGCTGCCGGCAGACTCGCCGAAGATTGTCACTTTGTCAGGAGAGCCGCCGAAGGCGTGGATGTTGTTTTGGACCCATTGGAGGCCGAAGCGCTGGTCAAGGAAGCCAAGATTATGACCATCATCTGGAAGAGCCGGGCTGCTTGGGTAGCCGAAGACTAGGGTTTCTCAGATTAGTATGTACTTTGAGGGCATTGGAGGAAGCGGTGGGCGTACCATTCGTCCGGTAGTTGACAGTCACAACAATGACATCTTCATACGAGGCGAAGGCACTGCCGTCATACTGTGGCTGCCCCGCATCGCCGAACTGCAAAGCGCCGCCGTAGATCCAGAACAAAACAGCTCGTCCATCGGCCGGAGCCGGCGTAGATGGAGCGTAGACATTCAAGTACCTGCAAATACGCCGTCAACAAGCTGTCCCTCACCCATAATGCTATTATCAACAACGTACAAACAATCCTCACTCTCCTCGGGCATAAAAGAATTATACACCGCATTTGTAAACTCAAACGCACTCCTCGGATAATTAATCTGCTGAATACACGCCGGGCTCCACTGCGTCGCGTTAATCGGCTGGTCGAAACTCCCCGGGTCTTCTGGGGGAGCGAAGCGGGTAGGAGGGGATTTGGCGAAGGGGACGCCGAGGAAATTGTTGACGGTGGCGGAGGCGGCGGGGAGGGAGGTGGTGGTGCCGATGACGACGCCGGCGTCTATGGTTGCTGTTGGGCCACCGCCGGGGAAGGCGGGGGAGTGGTGGGAGGGGTTTGGGGGGTGGTGGGAGGGCCAGTTGGAGGCGAGGGCTGTGGTGAGGAGGAGGGGGGCTAGGAGGAGGGCCATGGTGCGTTGGTGTTTGAGTTGGAGTGAGCGGTGGGGAAAGAGAAGATGGAAGAGAGCGTTCCTGTCGTGGACCGAGGAAACAGAGTATTGAAGTACTTATCCTATAGATCGATGAATGGAGTCCACAGATTGATGCAGACCTTCCCACCTCATGCACGCAAAAGAGGGGATCATCCAAGGGCAGGGATCGCAAACTCCACCTCCTGCCCGTTCCTGGCCATCATGACGGCCACAGATGCTTGTCGTCGTTGAAGGATGGAAAGAGACCGAGGCAAAAAGGAGCACGAATGCGAAGAGGTGAGGTGACTGGGGTGAGGTTGATTCAAGAAAATGCGGGGAAATCGAAAGAGGAAGGTGTGGGAAAGAGAGTTTAGCGGCCCAAGCGGCTCTGCTTCGCCGAGGGCGTCGTTGACTCCAGCTCAACGACTGAGTTCTGTTGATCTCCCTGCCGTGTCGATGAGAATCCCCGCCGCAGGAGACGACGTCTCTGCCGGATGCAGATGCGAATCACGACCGTCGCCAGAGAAGACATGACCTCTCCTCATGGCGCACCAAACTCCCTGGCCCATCTGCTCCACCTGTCGTACAATCCCCCATAACATCTTCACAGTGCCCGCTAGCTCAGATCTGACCCAGTTCAAACTATGGGACTCTTTCACGCGCTTCGCAGAGTCCGCCGCGCGAGGCTGCCACACTTGCACGCTCTTGTACGAAGCGGTGCATGAGCCGTACAAGTCGCGGCTGAAGAATGCAGAGGTGTACCTGGAATCGTTGTCGACGGGCGACAACGTGAAACGTGAGGTCGTTGTGACAGCGAACTCAACTTTGCTGGAACCGTGTGCCGGGAGGGAGGAGGAAGCGTTGTTGAAGGGAGGAAATCTATCTGCAGGCACGAGCTTTACCCCGATCGCACACTTGAAGTTCGCCCTGAATCACAACGAGATCGAGGCTAGCACGAAGTACTACCAAGGTGAGCGTCTGATCACGCTTCGGATGGTGGGAACGCTCAGCTGAGATGGCGGTCGCGAGACATGATCAGCCTTTACGCCGAAGACGATGGAGCGCAGAGGTACATCCGACAATCCCTGGACAAATGCCTCGCCGAGCACCACGAGTCTTGCAATCGGAGCATCTTTCCATTGTCGGCTCAAGCAACGCAGCGACCAACCCACACGAACATTGTATACGGCAACGATGGCGTAGCCGTGGCGCCCACCAGGCTTGTGTACGTCGGGTCAGATGCCGTCAACGACCCGCCTCGAATCGTCCCGGGTGAGGAATGTCTGTACAAGGGCGGACACCTGATTTTGAGCTACTGCTGGGGCATGACGCCGAAGGATGCACCGTGGCAGCTGACGAGCAATACCATGGAATCCTTCGCGGTGGAGATACCATTGAATGTACTGCCGCAGACACTGCACGATGCCTTCATGTGGACGCGGAGGCTGGGAGAGGCATATATCTGGATCGACAGCATGTGCATCGTACAAGACTCGAAGGAGGACTGGGAGCGCGAGGCATCCCGCATGGCATCCATCTACGGCTGCGCGAAAATGACACTGGTCGCGGCGTCGAGCTCAGCGTATGGTGGTATGACGGACCGTCGCAACCCCCTCCGGAACAGCGCAGCTACCCTGCCATGTTCCGAAGGGACAGTATACATCCTCCCCAACGGCCAGAAACGCTCCACACCCTTGCCCCCGCCAACAGAGTCCCGCGGCTGGTGCTACCAGGAGAACCTCCTCTCGTCCCGCCTCGTCCGTTTCACCCGCACCTCCGTCCAGTATCAATGCTCTGGCGACAACGCAAGACCGCCTGTCCGTGCACAAGGACTAGAGCGACTGACGGACCATCCGCCGTTTCGGTGGTACATCCTCTGGTACCGCCTCATCGAGCGCTACACGAACATGCACCTGACATACCCGGCGGACAAGCTGCGGGCGTTCCATGGTATTGCTATGGACAAGGCGGGCGGACACTACAATGCTGGGTTCTTGGGTGCGGACCCGTGGGCTAGTTTGCTTTGGTGTCGGGATGAGCATCAGATCCGCATGCGGCCGGGGAGAAGATATGAGGAGTACGTTGCTCCTTCCTGGTCGTGGGCGGCGGTCGACGCGCCGGTGCTGTTCTATGAAGCGAACGGGCGGTCGACGCGGGAGAAGCAGCTGGAGCCCGTGCCGTGGGATCCGGTGCTGCTATCAGCGTCGGTGAAGCAGGCTTCGTACTTTGACACCGGCGCTGTCAAGAGCGGGAGCGTGCAGCTCTCAGCCTTCTGCGCCCTTGCGCGGACTGCGACCAACGAGCCCTACCTCTTCAACACGAAGCTTGGCCGTCATACCTACGGACGGCGGAACCTGCGCGACTGCTCGACTGGGCGGGTAATTGGGTTGATGGTGTTTGACGTTGCGAGCGAGGCTGCAGATGCGATTGTTTTACTGTGCGTGCTTCTGCATGCGGTCAATGTGGAGCTGTGGTTGAAGAACGGGACGGCGGGGTTGGGCGTTGCTTTGAGGCTGCGTGGATTTGAGAAGGGGCGTGTTCTGTATGAAAGGGCGGGGTATGTGCAGTGCACGGCGGCATTTGCGGAGTCGGGCTGGAGAGGGCGGGTTGAGGTCGTGTAGGTATAGGCACCGCAGGGTTGCCTTCTCTTCAAAGGTTGCCGATGTGGGTTGATGCATCCTCTTTCAGTTCTGGGGCGTCGCAACTCTAACGCGATCTTACGATTGGTTGGAAGATCAACAAGTTTTGGACGTCAGGACCTGGAGCAAATCACCTGCCTTCACCTCCCCCCGACGCTTCTTCTCCGTCGCCAACTTCATCTTGAGGCCACCGTAGCGGCCGCTCTCACCACGACCCCGAGCCTTCAGCCTCGACAAGGTCCAACTCAGCCCCACCGCCTTACTCCCTTGCTCTCGAGCTTCAGGCTTGCCTGGAGCCGCTCTGGACGATGCGCCTCCTCTCGAAGAACATCCCTCTGCGGAAAGGAATTGGCAGAATCTTGACATACGCTAGTGTGGTCTCTTCTCCAGCCAACCAGGACTCTTGAACCTTAAGATGGTTTCGCGCGGCAGCTTACATGAGCACCGTCGACGCACTGCAAGGCTGGCACGCATGAGAACAACATGGGGAATGGAGACTGGTCTCCTGTATCACTATGTCAATCCCTCGCACTTTTCGCCCACAACTGAAACCAGAATCAACATCGATGTTTTATTGAGCGTGAGCCAGCGCCGGCTCTACCGAACCAATCAAGTTTGGGGAAATCCGACTGCGGGAATGCCCGCTCAGCATGTTTTTGCATGACTGGGACACACGCGTGATCGAGAATGCAAAAGAGTTAGATGAGCACTTAGACAGTGGTCCAACGCATCCACTCGACGGATGGTCGCAGATTTGGCTGGCTGTGCGATCAGACATGCTGCTTGCGCCGATAGAGGTATTGCTTAGCGGCGGGCGTTGCCGAACCGATCAAAGAGTCTCCAAATCTCTGACCAGGGGAGTTGACGAGACGAACAAACGCTGTGGTTGCAATTTAGCATCACCACCAGTAGTCATTGGCTTACCGTCTTTGTTGCTAGGAAAGTGGCTTCAACCTCCAACCCGACGTGCTGGAACCTCATCTCAGACCTGGGTTGCGAAATCTCGGCCTCGGCAGCATCTCCGGGGCTAAGAAGCGGCTGGCGTCGGGAGCTAAAGCTGCCTTGTCCCGCCTTGCCGAGAGCTCGAATGTGCAGAAACAGCTGCTTCGCCCCTCTCCATGCCAGCGCACAACATCACCCGCTCGACGTATTCGATGTTGCTCGCCGGCAGAGAATGCGAGATGCACGAGAACATCCAGCGACTCACGAGTGCAGGCATGACGACAATGTAATATAACTTTGGATGAGAGAAGGCTGCCGTCGCATACCAGCCACCCGCCAGCCTCCCACTCCAGCCAGTGAATATTTGGTGGTAGGTCAACAATCACATGCTACACTTCCCTTGTCAGAGCTCGCTTCTTCTCCTTCCCGAACAGTCTCATTCTCGCATGCAACTCCAACTCCTCTCTGTCCTCCATCTCTCCTTCCCTCGCTGTTCCCAATGAGCGGACCAAGCAACCTCAGTCCCAACACGGCCACCCCGGGGCAGGAGCTGTCACTAAAGCACACCAACGGTACGACGAAGCAACTACACTCGGTTTACGATCACGACTAACACTGCCTTGCAGTCTCCAACCCATCCATCATCCGCTCCCAGCCCTCGAAACAGTCCATCACCGCCTCGGAAGACTACTACTCCCTCTCCTCCTCCCACTCCAGCAACGACACCGCCCGCATTCTCGACGACCGCGGCTTCGCAACACACACCATCAATCGCTACAGCACACCTCCCTCGCGCTACCGAACACCTCTACAATCGCGAGACCAGCTGCCCAGTCAATCACAGATCAATCTCGCCCAATCACAGAATGCCGAAGAGGAGGTGAGGAAGACTCCAATGCGAGGCGAAGGCAGGAGAAGACGCTCGGTCGACGACTCGTCCAACGTTGCTGTCGCAGGCGCGCCCTCGAGTACTACTGTGTTGAGAGAAGGCGGTGTGCGAAGAAAGCCTGTACCCAGCACAGTCATGGAAGCCCCTTCACCCGCCAGCAGCGGCTTCATCGATCCAGCGGCGGCGAGAAGTAGCGCAGCGCACGACATCGACCGCGAGCAGAGTGCCACGACACCGGGGCACGACGATACTCCTTACATTCGCTTCGCGTTGGACCAGCTGAGCATTGACGAGCAGGCGGTGGGACCGAGGAGATATCCGGGCCGGCCTGCGTTTCCTGTTACAGGAGGTGTGGTCATCGAGGGCGGGGAGCCTTTCCAAAGTCATCGACAGCGGCAGCAAAAACCTGCGGTCGAGCCAGTGCCTCGGCCAGCGGCTCCTTCGAGGGCGTACCACCAGCCGGAGACCACGTACCCACGGCGAGAAGCCGAACACTCGGACAACCATGGCGGGATGGGCAAAGCGGCGGCCATTGGAGCTGGTGTTCTAGCTCTTGGTGCAGCGACTGCAGCCGGCGTGGGCTACTCGCGGCATCGCGATACTCAGCAGCAAGCCCCTCCAATCCAAGAAATGCCCGACACATCGCCAAGATCACCCCATCACCCCGGACACGTCCACAACCGCGAACCCAGCAGAACGCAAGAGCCCAGCCTCTACGTCCCCATCGACGACGAGGAAGGCTTCTACGAACGCCTCAACTTCCTCCCAGGAATCCTCCGCCCGCTTCGCCTAATCTTCTTCATGCTCCTGCTCCTCGTCCTCCTCGCCCTCCTCCTCGCCGCCGCAATCTACAGCCTCACCCACAACGGCATCGCCGCCTACGGTTCCTTCGGCGACGGCAAATACTTCGTCTTCGAATACCTGCCCACTCTGCTCGGAATGCTCCTTTTGTTCTGGCTCATCCAGATCCAGGTCGCGCTCTACCGCATCGCGCCATTCATCGCTATGGCTTCACCGTCCTCGCCGCGCAGCTGGGAAGAAGGCGCGAAGCTGCCGATTTACCCCAAGACGTGGTTTTTGCCGTATACCGGCCACCTCCGCGTCCCGGGCCTGATCATCGTCGGCGTTTTTATGATTGTGGCCTGGCTGCAGATTTTCACCATCCCCCTCCTCGCCTCCGCATTCAACGTCTACTTCTTCGGCGCCCCCGACACCGGCAACTGGCGCTGGCTCGCGACCGCTGCCCTGATCTGGATCGTCATCGCCTTCTACCTCTTCCTCTTCGCCGCGACAATCGCACTCTTCACCTTCCTCCGCCAGAAACGGACAGGCTTGAAATGGGACCCGCGAAGCCTCGCCGACGCTATCGTGCTCCTCGAGCGCAGCAACGCTCTCACCCTCACCTCTGATGACGAGATCCGCCACGAACCTGCGCGACTGAGCTACTGGCGCACCTCCCGCGGTTACACGAACGAAGTCTTCCATACCTACGGCGTCGCGTCGCGTCCTGCACGAACTTACTCCGTGCGCAACGGGCGTTTGACGGAAAAGACACATCTCCCAACATCGCCGGATCAGGAGCCGAGATCGCGGTTTTCGGACTTTGAAGCCGATCCCGAGCTTGGCCGGGAACAGCGGCATTCGCGTGAGAAGATGCTGCCACGCAGACTATCGCAGAGCTCGCGCAGCTCCTCCACCTCCTCCGGCGGCAAGAACGACGGCAACGCTATCCCCTGGTTCCTCCGCCCCTCCATGGCACTCCTCTGGATCATCCTCGCCATCGTCCTGGTCGTCGCGTTCCTGGTCATCGCCTATTTGCCCTCCACCTCCCTCGTCCAACCGGGCGGTTTCGACCCCATGGTCCCCGCTATAGTGAACACCTGGGGCTACTCGGGCACCAACTTCCTCTACTCCTTCGTCCCCGCCCTGCTGGCCACGATCGCCTGGCTCGGGATGCTGGATATCGATTTCGCGTACCGGCGGCTACAGCCTTTGTCCGCCCTCCTCAAAGAAGGGGGCGAGGTGGGGGAGAAGAGTATCCTCCTCTCTTATGCGGCGGATATGCCGGTGCTCGTCACCATTCGCGCAGCCATCAATGGGCATTTCCGCGTCGCTGCCCTCTCGTTGGCCTCCCTGGTATCGACCGTCCTCCCGGTTCTGGCTGGTGGGTGCTGGTGGGCACAATTCGACACCACCCTCCAGACTGTCCGGATCTACACCGAAACCGCGGGGTTCTACGCTCTGACGGTTTTCGTCGTCCTCTACGCCCTCGTCATCGCCACCTGCACCTTCCCCGGGAAGAAGACGCGCGGTATCGACGCCTCCCTCCCCCGCGGCTGTCGCGCAACACGCTGGCGCGACCTCGTCGCCCTGGTCGGCGGGAGCAGGGTCGTCGATGGAGTGGAGTTCAGAGGCGTGGACTCGAAGACTGGAATGGTGACACGGTTGGTGTCGGCCTACCCGAATAATGCTGGTGCGGATGCTGGGGTGGGTAACGGGGTGCCGCGGTACACGCTGGGGGCGTATGAGGGTCGCGACGGACGGGAGGGATGGGGAGTTGATCGGGTGAGGGGGTGAAAACATGTTTGGTTTGGGTTGTGATCTTAGCGTGGTGTTTGGGTTTTCTTGGGACTGGGAAAGAAGCATTTGCATGAACGGGGACATGACGGGCATGACAGACGGATGCTGGGATGGGCTGGATGATGGGGTGTGGGATATGGCATCGCCTGACATGGCATGGTATGGCATGGTATGGCATGGCACGCGCGGTATAACACGCACGATACACGAAGAGATATGTATAGTGAAGATAATGTAACAATACACATAATACTACATAATGTCTACCTCATCCACGATCAAACCATATTTGTACTGTCCGAGTCTCCTCGCCTTTGCTCTCATTGCTGCATCGTTGCTCAAGTCAAAAGAGAGAAGGGATCAATCAGCAGTGTCTTTGGAGGATGAGGGAGATGAGAGGGGGTTGGAGCATGCAATTAGCATAGCAGGACATCGCACTACCCGATCTACTCAAGTCAATCGAAGAGCATGCTAATGGACTGGAATCTATGCTGATGTTGACTTTCTACGTTTCTATCGAACGACGAGCTCACCTCACTAAGCCCATCATTTCACGACGTCCAGCCAATGCATCTTCCGTCACTCAATCTTCTCTCTTGACCAGCACAACGGGGCCGGTGTAAACATGTCTGGCGTAGAGCACGTAATACACCAGAGCGATGAGCAGGATGCTAACGAACATGACGCTGGACCAGTTGAAGCCCGCCCTGAGCAGCATCGTTAGCCAATTGACATAGAAGTACCTGCAAAAGGGGATGGACATACGCAGTGACCGGCGTGGCGAGAGGCCAGGTCGCAAAAAACAACAGCGGGAGCACGAAGCAGGGCGAGACTATATTGATCGCTAGTCCGTATTTCCCTAATGACCACCGGCAAGCAGGCAGCGGAGCTCCGTATAAGCGGCGCCATACCAGACAGCTGATCATCACGGTGTAGGAGAAGAGCAACGACAGCATGCCGAGGGAATTGATGGCGTTGAGCGCGACGTAGGACTCGATATTGATTAACGACAGAAGCGAGCTGATGACGACCGAGACGCAGATGGCGTGTATGTAATGGGATGTTCCAGCCGGGCGTGACTTGCGAAAGCCAGGCGGAGAAGGGGAGACGGTTGTCACGAGCGAACGACCAGAGTTGCCGTGAAGCAGTTGCCACCTCGCTGATGCAGGCTGCGGTTAGCATGAACAGGATGATGAACGCCATAACGGTCGTCCCTGCGTAGCTCTGCGTAGCGTTAAAGAACGCCTGTACGAAAGGCTCGTACGTCGGACTCGCGAGGACGTCGTCGATGTCCCCGATGCAGAAGACGAAGGTCACGCCCATGACCAACGCCATGACGCCGTTTGGCACGACGGACCAGATGAGCGCTTGAGGGAGGATGAAAGAAGCATCGTGGACTTCCTCCGACATGTGCACGGCGGAGTCGTAGCCGACGAGGACGCCGATGGGGTTGACCATGCCGATTAGAGCTGCGAGGCCGAGGTTGTCCCATCCGCCGGTTGTGGTGAAGTTGAAGAGAGTCTCGTGCGCGGTACCTCGGGGCGCCAGGACCCAGAGTGGGATGATGATGGCGAGGAGACCTCCGATGTGCACGATCAGTAGCAGCCCTTCGATCAGCGGCAGCCGCCTGGCCAGTAGCGTGTTGAAGAGCACGACAAAGAGGATCACGGCGATGGTGATTAAAGTCTCGTGCCAAGAACGGTAAACATACCTTTCCAGGTTGTTGAGCACGATCAACCCTTGAATCACGGAGCATACCATGAAGCAGAGGCCGGCGAGGTAGACTTGCCAGCCCATGGCCGTCAGCCATCCGACGGCGTAACTGAGTCCCCGTTGAACGCTCGGCGGTGCGAACTCTGACACCCCTTTTGCTGGTCAGCAAAGACATTCTTGCTGGATCAAGGAGAAGTCTACAGTGATACTGTCCCCCAGCAGTCGGACACATCGACGTCATCTCCGCCAACGAAGCGTACACGAACGTCATCCCAACGATACCAGCAACCAGCCCCCAGAAGATAATCGGCGTGCCACCGTCCTGTAGCGCATAAACCGAAATGACTGGCAGGATCTCCCAAGCTACCAGCACGGTGCTCGTGAAGCCCAGCATGGTGACCAAGTTGAAGTTGCGGCGCAGGACCTGCTTTTTGCCCAAGACGAGCATGTCGTGCTGATCGGTGTCGGTGCCTCTGTATTGGGCGGGGACCGTTGAGCCGGCGAAGACTTTTCGTGAGGCATCCGAGGCATTGTAGCGGGTGTCGTCGACTTCGGTGATGGAAAGGTTGTTTGGGGTCGTGTTTCTCCATGGCTGTTGTAGTGCGCACTGTGTATCCTTTGTCGCAATTGTTGGTTGAAGTGGCCGCATCCGCAAGAGACGGACCAGAAAGGCATCGTGTTGCACATGCGGAGCGGTAAGAGGTATAGTAGCTTCGGCGTGTGACACAGCATTTGAGGTACGTGGTACCTTAGATATTGCTCCTGCTGTTCGCTTCGGCACCTTGAAGCTTTTGTCCGCTTGACGAGCTGTTAGTGTTGACTGTGTTGAGTGGGGTGGTGTTGATTGTGTTGAGTGGGGTCAGTATGTCCACTGCACCACGATTCTCACATCCTCGAAGCAGTCTTAGCCTTCAGACCTGATCAAGAGGATCCAAGTACTAAGGTTTTGCACCAAACAGTCTGGAAACCAATGTCAAGGCCGCCGCAATGACTACCGAAGAACATCAGATGTGGGATGACCTCAACATCGAGTACGAAAATGCGTACCGCGACAACCCGTTCAAGAAAGCCTGCGTCGAGACAGCCATCTCACTCCTCACACCCGGCTCTCGTGTTCTCGACGTCGGCTGTGGTACAGGCATCCCCGTGGCCCAGATGCTCTCTGAGGCGGGCATGCTGGTCACTGGAATCGATGTCTCTCCCAACATGACCAAAATAGCACAGTCCCAAATCCCTACCGGCACTTTCGAGGTTGGCAACATGGTCGAATACGAGCCAAGAGGTCAGTTCGCGGCCATCTTCATCATCTACTCGCACCTCGGCCTCTCGTACGCAGCGTTCCATCGCGCAACAAGTCGGCTGGCGCAGACTCTGCTTCCAGACGGGCTGCTGGTCATCGGGCAATCGCCTGCGGATGATGTGGCACCAGATGACCCTGCTTGGGATGAGACCAAAGCATACGTGGAAGGGTATAACCTTCCCTTTTGGGGCGAGCCGTTTCCTACCTTGATGTTGAAGCGGGAGAGCCAGAAGGAGTTCCTAAGGTCGATGGGCATGGATATCGTGTACGACACCTTGGATGTGTTCCAGCCGAATAATCCGAAGTGTGCTCCGGAACATCAGCAGTATGTGATTGCGCGGCGGAGAGGATCGAGTCGACTTAGGAAGCCAGAGCCGAAGCCATATTCGTAGTCGAGAAGTAGATCGGACTTGTACTGTCAAGCGTAGACGCAATCGTGGGATCGCTTTACGAAAATAATGGTCTACATGATCAGCAATACCTTATTCTAGGTCGTCTTTTCACCGAGTGGAACATCTGTTCGAAGATTCGTTCCTCATAGTGGATGATCACGCTTCCTCATCCGTAATAACGAATCTTCGTGTCTTGTTTGGAAAAGCATACGAATCAGCGATGTTGTCAATATTGGATTGCTACGAGGGTACGGTGGGGAACGCTCGGCCTCGGCCGTGGTAAGTGCTAATGACTACAACTGTACCCTGCTTAATTATTCTTTCCAAGGTTATATCTGTCCTACTCACTTTTTCTTGAGAGGACGGGAGTGCCAGGGCGGTATCGTCGTGGAAGTTGGCGATAGAGATGGAAGGGATGGAGATGGAGGACATATGCGCGCTGTTGCCCTTCGCAACGTCCGTTTCGCGAACGCGTAAAGTGCTTGCAGCATCGCCACCTCAGTACGAGGTCATGCAAGTTCACACTGTCGCTGTCCGCCATATCATCGTCTCGTCGCGACAATGGAGCGCGAATTTGAAAGTCTGGTGGCTGAGATCGACCGCATCGTCAACAGCCCTTACCCTACGCAGCTCAAGGCAAGCACCGTCATCCAGAGCTCATCGTGTCATCAAACTTACCAGCAATACAGACATTGCGAGACCTACTTCAAGGCGAATGCGCCGCGGCGAGCATATCCAAGTGGGCACTTGCGAAGCCCTGCCAGATCGAGCGGCTGGCCAGCTGCGTGCTCGAAGGGCTGAGGCAATGGCCGTATGTGCTTGATGTCGTGGAGAAGCTCTGTACGGACGTATGCCTACCTACTTTCTACTGAGCTAATCACGACGACAGGCTTCCATGTCGCCATTCGAGATGCCTTCCTGGCACAAGAGCCACGCCTACTCTCCGACCTCATCGACCAGGCCGTTCGCGCCAACGACGTCCACTCGCGCTACGCTTCCGCCGCCATATGCATGCTACTCCACCCCTTACCGCAGCGTACATCAATGCCTGCAGACACGCAAGTCCTGTTCGTGCAGACCTTCGACCGCGCCGCAGCCGAGCCTTGCATGGACACCATCAAACCCGCCTACCAGCTCCTCCAAGGCAGCGCTTCACACTTACTCGGCATCCTGTCCAGCAAAGTCCTGGTACGCATAGAAGACCAGATCTTCGGTATCCTGCGCAACATCAAAGGCGACACGACTCCACTCAGCCTCTACTGCTTGGCAATCTTGCGAGTGATGCTTGCCACTTCAGACGACGACTTTCGCAGCTCGATTAGCTCATACGATACCCAGGAACTTCTAGCCAGCACCCAGCTCACGTCATCGAGATGGACGCCTGATGCCGTGCGGCAATTCTTCCAAGATACGAAGGCTCAGAAGACGTTGCAGCTGATCGTGCTTCGTGCGATGTGGGCGTGTACTTCAACTACAGATCTGCAGCTGGATGAGAGGTTGGAGTCGCTGAAGCTGGCGAACGAGATCATTGAGGCAGTTCCGATTGAAAGCCGCCTGACGTGGCGGAAGACGAATGCTCTGCTGGTGCGGAAGCTTGAGGAGAAGGCTGCTGCTGATGGACTGGAACCGGCTTTGCGGTATCAAGCGCTTTGCTTCCTACTTCAGCTGACGAAGGGCGGTTTCAGTCCGTCTGTGATCATCGACCATCTTCGTCAGCTCGTCATGAAGCCCACTTCCATCCGACAGGTGGTGGCCTCTGGTGAGGTCTCCCATCTCCAACTACTGGCTGGCTGTGGTGTTCTCGACCACGATACTACAACTGCACTCATCCAAAATCTGGTCGACTTCGCCACAGGGTCGGACAGCGAAGGTGTTGTTGAGCTGAGCAAGCCATTGGAGAGCCTTTTCGGTCAGTTCACTGGATTCATTACGCACGAGGAGTCCATCGCGGAGGGCACATTGCTGGCTCTGGATGGTCTTGCATGCGGCGATCGACTACATCAGATGGCCCGCCAGCTGGAACCACCCAACAGCAATGAAACAACTACGAACTCCTCAACATCGATCTGCAGTCAGACGCTACACACCGCACGCAGAGCTCTCGTCCATGGGCTGAGCAGATTGTTTCTTTCTGCTGCGCTGTTGTCCCGCCACTCAAGCTATTCGCCGTCCACAGCGACCCAAGCCCTGCTTCTGGACCTTCATGCATCGTCTGCTCAGCAAGTTCAGCAGTGCAATCACGCTCAGCGAAGCGCTACCAATACTTCGCCATTTCCCTTCGTCGAGGCAACAAGCACGCCTGATCCACATCAGCACCACTGGCAGCAGGCTCTGGCTGCGCACATGGATACCAGGGCCCGAGCAGAGCATCAAAGTATTTCCGCCATCTTTCACCAAGCTGTCTCTGGTCTCGAAGCACGCTGCGAAAGCATTGAGGGGCCATTGCGCGAGGAGCAGAGCCTGCGACAATCGTTACAGAAGGAGTACGATGCCCTGAGCGGAGCATACGCCACTCTGGAGACGGAAAGCCTTGACCGAAGTGTTCGTCTCGATGCTCTCGAAGCCGAGAAGGAGCAGTGCAGGCATGAGCTTGATAATGCCAATGCTGAGATTAACGAGTTGACGCAGAAAATTCAAGGTGTGGAAATGGAGCTCCGGGACAGCAGAGCCGAAAGGAGCAGGCTTTCCACCGAGGCAGCGGAGGGCAAGAATGCATTGGAACTTCGACATTCGGCTGCTTTCGCCAGGAAGGAGGAAGAAGTTGAGGAGCTTCGAGACCAGCTTGACCGTGCGAACGAAGATGCTACAGCCTCGTCTGAAGAGGTTGCGGGTCTCAAGCAGGAAGTTGAAGACGCAAGAGCTACTACTGACGACACAGCCAGCGCGAGGGACCGATTCGAGACGCTCTGTCACGAGAGGGAGTCAACGATCGAGCAGCTTCGGTCAGAGGTCAGAGAAGCCAACGAATTCAAAGGAGGTCTTGAGGCACAGCTTTTGGAAATGCGTGAACAAGCGCGACAGGCCGCCGAGCAACATGGTCTCAGGCTGAACGAGCAAGAAGAATCACTGCGGGAAGAGATGCAACGTCTGGTGGACGAGAAGTCTCAACAGATTAATGAAGTGAATGAGCAACGCGAGGAACTGCATGTCGCATTGTTGAAGGCTCGAGGAGACGTAGAAAGGTTGTACCAGTTGCAAGAGCAGCAGAACGCCCGTCTGGAGAAGAGGGGAAGAAAGAACGCTGACCTGCAGAAAGAGGTACATCTCCAGGCCATGTCTACCCTCCCGCATAAGCTGACTTTCTCCCACAGATCGACCGCCTCCATCGCAAATTCGAACAGAAGGACAGACAGATCTCCGAAGCGAACGCCATGCGTGCTAATCTCATGGCCGCAATGGGCCTCAACAGCCTCCAGCCCCAACCAGCCCCTAGCCTCCCCTACCGCCCATCCCGCTCTACTGGCCGGCCTACACAAGAAGACCAAGACCCTTCACCACCCACACCCTTCTCCGGCGATGACGCCGAACCCGACTCGCAGCACCTCCAAGCTTCCTTCGCCTCCAACGCATCGTCAACAGAATCCAGAAGCGGTCCGACGCCCAAGCGGCCCAAATCACGGCATTCAGCCAACCCAACGGCGAAAACGCCAGCCAAAGCGCGCACGAGCATGGCATCGAGGCGGTCGACGAGGTCGAGTATGGCCGGCACGGGAACGGGGAGGAGGAAGCCACTGGGGAGTTTGAGTGGGAATGAGGGAGGGAGGAAGAGCGTGGGGAGTAAGACACCGATGAAAGGGGTGGACGAGGGGATGGATGAGAGTACGTTTGATGGGAGTGAGGTGTTTGGGGGGACGCAGGGGGGTATGGTGGATTTTGAGGGTGCTTTGGATGGCTGAGGAATGTTTTGGGTACACCGGCTGGTGGAAGGGCACTGCGTGATCTACAGGTCACGTACCGAGCGTTTGGATATGTCTCGGGAGCTTGCATGCTGTGCTGCGGTTTGCCACATGCGGGTGGAGCCTTGGAGCAAACATCACTCAGCTTTAGAGCGATTGATGGACCGTAGACTGTCCCGAGAGTTGGCTGTGAGTGTGCGCTCCCCATACACTTTCAATCTTACTGGCTCTTTCATCCAACATCATTAACATGATATGCTGAAGAGCAGCACCACGTGACAGCGCGTTGAGCTGCTCGAGTGCCTAAACCACCACAAAAGTCAACATCACCGCCTTCAATCTCACACTAACCCCACCCTTCTTCGACAACTTGTTTCTTCACGAACGCACCTACATCGTAGCAGCTCTGCCCTCGTCGCACGGTAACCGCATCCGCGATCACCACAATCGACCTGGAGACTTGAACCCGGTGGCAAAGACATCCTCGACAAGAAGCACCAGCATTCACTCGACCTCACTTACAACACATTGTCATTCGATTGGCGAGACTATCACTAGCACAACCACTCGTTCTGGAGGAGAATGGAGCCCACAACGCCATCCCCGCCTCCTCGAAGGCCAGAGGTCACCACACCACCACGATCGAGTTCGGCACAGTCCAACTCACCACCATTCGGATTATCAACACGACAGACTATACCACCAAGGCAACGCCATGGCAGAATGCAACCCACCGCACGACCGCCGCAGGTCAACAATCGCAATCACATGCCTCCCGGCCAGTCCATCCTTCGGCAAGCAGTACCATGGGCCGGAAACGCAGAAGCCATCTTCATCATGCGCGGCGCACCACCAGGTGGAAGCATCCCGGACATCTACCGCCTGCTGCAACCTCACGGCAACATCGTCTTCATCGAGATACTTGCATCGCGTCAGGCGAACAGGACTGAAGCGGAGGTGAAGTTCCGGCCGCCACCGCACAGCGCGGAATGGTATGCGAACGGCATTGATATCAACAAAGATGGCACGGTCTACCATATCAGCTTTGCGCCGAAGGAACCAAGGCCGTGGTTCCATGCCAGCCCTGTCGATCCTAACAGGAAGTTCGCAGAGGAGATTAAGCTTCCGATGATGGAGCTGAGTTTTGGTGTGATGCAGAAGCCGGACAGCATGCAGGGGCTCAACGTTATCCAGGCATCGGAGAGTCCACTACTTGACATGGTCATGAACTTGCAGCGCAAGTGCCTGGACATCCACTTCTCCCTGAATCAGCAGCAGACTCCGTGCTCGTTCAAGCTTCGAGTCAACTTCGCACAGCTGGAAGAGGTCATCCAGATGCGAAATGAGACAACGGGTCAGATCTGCTTGAAATTCACTGCCGAGCTCCCTCCACAGCTGTTCCAGAAGATCAACGATGTCACGGAGACATTCGTCAAGGGAGATACGAGGTGGACTGACTGGCAGACTTGGTACCGCCAGACAGAGATCGAGCACGACCCTGAAGCAGCGAAGGAAGCAGTCACCCAGCTTCGAAAGCAGAATCCAGTCATTGATGTTGGCCGCTGGTTGACCTACTGTCTGGTGTTCGACCGTACCGCAGCCAGCTCGCTTGAATTCCAACAGTTCTGCCTGGCACTGACGCACCACAATGTCGACATCTTGAAGGACCGGAAGATCGAATTCGCTTCCAGCGATGACAAGACTCTGTGGAAGTGGCTTGATGATCCAGACGCCATCCTTAAGCAGAACTCAGCGTCCTTGGTGCTCCATCAGATGGCGGAAGACATCGTTCACTTCGACTTCGACATTCGATATCAGCTGGAGGTGTGCATCAGCCACGGCCTGATCCACGAATCCAACATTGACAACCCCTTTCTCAGCAGACTCGCAAAGCTGGACGCTGTACGAGCCGTGAAGCTGTTGGAGAAGGTTGCCGATGAGATGAAGCGCTTCTGGGATCCCATCAGCATCTTCCGCCAGCTGTTGGCTCGAGTGAGCGTCGTACAGAAGAAGCTACCTCCCTACTGCGCCATCGTTCATTCAGCGATCGTGACGCCAACCACCATCTACTTCTCGACGCCAGTCATGGAGACCTCAAACCGCGTCATACGCCAGTACTCCAAGTACGCTGACCGCTTCCTTCGTGTCAAGTTCAACGACGAGCTCTACAAGGGCGGCATCAGATCATTCGACAGCGACAGAATGAAGCCCGTGTTCAACCGCATCGAGAAGACTATGGTCAATGGTATTAGAGTAGGCGGCAGACACTTCGAGTTTCTTGCTTTCGGCAACTCACAATTCCGCGAGGCTGGTGCGTGGTTCTTTGCATCTACCAGCGAAATCACAGCGCAGTCGATCCGAGACTGGATGGGCAACTTCTCCGACATCAATGTCGTGGCCAAGTACTGCTCCCGTGTCGGCCAGTGTTTCTCGACCACGAGAGCGTTCCACTTCGGAGATATCCAGGTAAAGCGCATTCCGGACATCAAGCGGAATGGCCACATGTTCACGGATGGCGTGGGCAAGATCTCACCTTTCCTCGCTCAGATGATCGCAAACCAGCACAACCTCCCTAACCCCACTGTCGACTACCCGTCGATGTTCCAGTTCAGGCTCGGTGGCTCGAAAGGCGTGCTCACCGTCGACCCGTCGTTGACTTGGAAGTCTGTCCACATTCGTCCGAGCCAGGAGAAGTTCTCATCCAAGCATCACGCCGACCTCAACATCTGCCGCATGGCGCAGTTCTCGATGGCGAACCTCAACATCCAGATCATTCTGGTGCTCTCGGCGCTGGGTGTCATCGACGAAGTCTTCCTTCGCAAGATGAGCGATGAGCTTTCGGACCTTAACAAGGCAATGACCGACTCGGAGAAAGCTGTGGAGCTGCTCTGCAAGAACGTCGACTTCAACCAGATGACTCTTCAACTGGCGTCGATGGTCGAAGACGGCTTCTTGGACGTCAAGGATCCTTTCACAATTTCCTGCATGCGATTGTGGCACTCTTGGACGGTCAAGTATCTCAAGGAGAAAGCGAAGATCCCGGTTCGTGATGGAGCTTTCGTGCTGGGCTGCGTTGATGAGACTGCTACTTTGCAAGGCCACTGCATTGCCAACGAAGGGTCTACGGCGAAGGACATCAGGGCCCTGCCGCAGATCTTCATCCAGGTACCAGATCCTGACCAAAAAGGCAAGTGGAAGGTCATTACAGGCGTTTGCACCCTGGCTCGCAACCCGTCACTCCACCCAGGCGACGTGCGTGTCGTCAATGCCGTAGATATCCCGCAGCTCCGGCATCTTCGCAACTGCGTCGTGCTACCGCAACTCGGCGAACGAGGTCTCGCCAGCATGTGCTCAGGCGGCGATCTAGACGGAGACGACTACCTTCTCATGTGGGACAAGGACCTCCTGCCAGAAGAATGGAATCATTCGCCTATGAACTACGATGCGCCAGATCCCGTTCGCGCTGCTGGACCGGTGACGGTCAAGGACATGACGGAGTTCTTCGTCAATCATATGAAACACGATAACCTCCGCCCCATCGCCGTCGCGCACAAGTACTGGGCCGATCGGCAGAACCAAGGCGTCAAATCACCTATCTGCCTGGAACTTGCTCAACTGCATTCAATGGCTGTGGATTACGCAAAGACTGGTGTGGCGGCCGAGTTTGAGAAGCGCCTGCGCGTGCAGATGTGGCCGCACTGGGCGGAGGTGAAGGGCAAGAGCCAGAAGTACATCTACCAATCCCGCAAAGTCATCGGCAAGCTCTACGACATGGTGCACCGTGTCAACTTCCGCCCTGCTTGGGAAGAGCCATTCGACCGCCGCATCCTGGATGCATTCGAGCTCGACGATGCACTGCTGGAGTCTGCCCGCGAAGCGAAGCAAGAATACGACGCAGCCGTCCGTCGCATTATGGCCAAGTTCGGCATTAAGAGCGACTTCGAGGTCTTCACCACCTTCGCGCTCGAGCACAGCGATGACTTTGGGGACTACAAGTTCGCGGAGACGCTGGGCGAAGTCGTTGGCGCGCTGAAGGATCATCATCAGAAACTCTGCTACGAGCGTGCAGGCACGACGGACAAAGAGCGCGACCAGGACAAGATTGCCCGCTTTGCTGCTGCTATGTACACCGTTACATCGCAGGAAGTCGCTGCTGCGGTGGAGGAGTGTAAGTCAGTTGTCCTCAGGGGCGGAAGACAGATCAATGTCAAGGAGGCGAAGGTAGAGAATATGCCATTCATGTCCTTCCCATGGCTGTTTGCGGCGGAGCTGGGCAGGATTGCGAATAAGGGTAAAAATTCGAGGAAGGATAGTCTGGCAGAGACGATGGTGGTGCCAAGGAAGGTGGTGAAGATGATGCCGGTGCTTGATCTTGGGGACGATTTTGAGCTGGAGCCGTTGGAGGAGGTTGTGCTTCCTGCGACAGCTGGTGCAACGATGCCGACTGGCGTGGCGACTAGTGTGCAGGCCAAAGCCCATGCCTCGAACAATTTGAGGGACTTGCAGGAGACGGACGGTCCTGCATTTAACAACTCTCCAGAAGAGCGGACTCCGCAGGCTTCTTTGGAGACAAGGCCAAGCAGCTCTGAGGGTCTCAACTCTGTACAGCCGCAGAGCAGCGGCAGGGCACCACAACTACTCAGCTTCGACAACGACCTCCAGCTTGAGCCACTAGAAGAGGCCACTCTTTCCACGATACCATCCTCTACCTCCGCGCCAGCTTTCGCTGGATTTCTCGATCTCGAGGGTCTGGACATGAGTTCGAAAAGTCAGGCTCTCTCGACAACCCACTCCTCGACCGCATGTCCTTCATCGACCTCGCCCACAGCTCCCAGCTCATCGCTACCAACCAGTTCCACCACTGTCGCCGAGCCGACCATGGACGTCTCATCAGCATCCTCACCGCTGGATGGCCTGCGTATCGCTTTCTCAACGCCCCCGCCACCCCCCACGCCCTCACCCGAAGACCGCCTCTCTTTCTCCCGCACCGCAGCTTCGCCACCTTCCTCATCCGCCTCGCCTTCTTCGATCATCGACGACAACGAGCGCGAGGGCACGCACGAGCACTATGGATCTGGGTATCAAGAACGGAGGGCTTTCGGCGACGGAGCGGCTAGAGAGGCTTATGGGGATGTGATGAAGCATCCTTCAAGGTAATGGTGGTGGGGAATAGAGGGCGACGCGGCGGATCGATGCGGCTGCTCTACGGTCATGGGAGTGTAGCATGGGTTGCAATGCGGACATTGGACGTGGATGAAGCATGAATGGAGATGCGTCCTGGCGAGAAGCGAAGACATGGCTACTGGGACTTACAGGCGTAGGTGAGCGAAGGAGTCGCTTGTTGCTGCTGCTTAGAATGATGATACGACCTTTAATTCATTCGTTACCATCTCAATATCTCCGTGTATGGTGGCGTCCTCTCAACAACATTCGCACAGTATGAGCGTCGATAACGAGCCGTCAGCACATCACCTGCCAGACTTCCGCCACATGAGTACGGCAAACAGACAAGGCGAGAGTTGGAAAGTGATACGGAAAGGTGGATTTTCAAGTTTTCATTCAAAAGACTGCGATGCTATGATACTGATGCCAAACCAACGGACTTGCCCGCCATTCAATTCAGCAAGTCGCATTGCCATCAGGGCCACGCTGCCAGGCAGGACAGCGGTCGCTCCTTCTCATTCGTGTGCATGTGCAGTCTTCTCTTCACCCCTTCGCATCTCGTCGGCAAACCATTCCTGAGCAGAAACCCCAGCAATCTGTTCTTCGTCGGCGCAGTTCTTCGGAGGCGGTCGTGGTTGGTGCAGTTGTTCTGGCTCATGCATCGGGAGCGGTGACGGTGTTGACGCAATCACCAAGCGGAAGCTGTGAAGCCCTCATCGGCGGCAGCGGGAGCAGCGCCCCAGCCGGAAGCCACGACAGGCGCACCATCACCATCGCCGGCAGTGTCGTCGCCGCCGAAACCTGCGCCGCCGCCGAAGCCATCGCCCTCAGCATCGCCCTCATCTTCATCGTCGGTGTCATCGTCGAAATCGACCTTGCCATCGTCAGGCGCGTACTGCTGAAGGAATTCGGGAACCTCGCAGTCGCAGTCGATGAGCACCTTGACGAGCTCTTCGCCGATGTCCTCGTTACGATCGTTGTAGAAGGACGTGGCGAGGCCTTGGTTGCCGATACGAGCCGTACGACCAATGCGGTGAATGTACTCTGTGATGCCGCCGTACATGCCAGAGGGAAGGTCATAGTTGATGACATGGCCGCAGCCCTTGACGTCCCAGCCACGAGCAGAGACACCGGTGGCGATGAGGATGGGGGCCTTGCCGGTGCGGAAGGCACGCCTGAAACTTGTTAGCATTGCTGGACGAAAGAGAGGTAAGCTGGAAGGAGTGAGGCTTACATGGCGTCCTCACGCTCGAGCTGGTTGCGGTCGGCGTGGATGGAGGTGGTAGGCAGGCCGCGGTTCCAGAGGAAGTCGTCGAGCTCGTCGACAGCGCCCTTGGAGTTGCAGAAGATCATGGTGCGGGTGGGCTCAGCCTCGAACAAAAGGTCGAAGACAGCATCGCGCTTGGATTGAGGATCGACCCAGATGATGTTCTGACGGATGTTCTTGTGAGCAGTCTGACCCTTGGCACCGACACGGACGCGGTAGAAGTCTTCGTTGAGATACTCATTCGCCAGCTTGCGGATTCCTTTCGGGAAGGTGGCCGAAGTCATGATGAAGACATGATCAGCATCATCGTTGGTGTCTGCGAATGTTAGCGGCCAGACGTGTAGTAGAGGAAGCAGGAGAACATACCGCCACCGCCCATGATCTTCTCAAGCTCTTCGGCCCAGTCTTGATCAAGCATCTCATCAGCTTCGTCGATGACGGTGTACCTTCAAACGGTTAGCTGAGTGCATACGCATGCGAAAGGCAGGAAAGATCTCACTTGACACGGCTCATGGTGAGAATGTGCGGCTTGTCCATGAGATCGCAAAGCCGACCAGGAGTGGCGATGAGCACATCGCAGCCTCCAGCAAGCTGGTCGCGAGTGACACCCATTGGCAACCCGCCGTACGTGACGCAAGGACGCAGCATGCTGCGATAGCACATGCGCCTGGCCTCGTCGAAGATCTGCATCGCCAGCTCGCGGGTAGGCACAACGATGACGACCAGAGGCTCGGCCCTGACGCCCATAGTCCGAGGGTCGAAGCGTGAAGAGGTAGTGTCGGGACGGGAAGCGGCGAGCTTCTTGGCCTTGCCCATAAGGTTTGAAATGATTGGAATCATGTACGCGGCGGTCTTGCCAGAGCCTATGCCCGGAGGCGCGGTTATGTACACGTCAACCGAAGGCGGGTCAAGAAAAGGCTTACCAGTCTGGGCAACGGCAAGAACATCGTGCTTCTGGTTGATGATGGGGATGGTGTAGCACTGGATGGCAGTGGGCTGATCGTACTGAGCGAGCTTGATGTTGGACAGCACGACTGGATGAAGACCCGCTTCATCGAACTGTGGTCACCGTGGTCAGCAAGTGCAAAGACTGGGTTTGGCGTTCAAGGTGGCCATACTGAGTTGAAAGGAAGAATCTTCTCAGGTCCCTCAACAGTCACGTCGATGTTCAGCACCTCAGTGTGCTCGCCCTTGCGCATCTGAAACTCGCCGCCAAACAGAACAGCCTCAAGCTCAGGTACTTCTGGACCTGTCGGAGAGAGTTGGAGTCAGAGAATGTGCTTATCGCAAAGTTTGTAAGTGGAGCATGCTTACCAACTTCCCCAAACTCCTCCTTGAATGGGTAGATTTGAGCCTCGCCCATGTACTTGCCACGATCCTCGCCGCCGGTCCGCTGAAACTCCGCATAGTCGAAGGCAACAGCTTTGGCCCAACCGGCGTCACGAGCCTTCTTGGTGTACTCTTCGGTGGAGAGAACGTCGGCCTTCGGCTTGGCCTCAGTCTCGCCGCCGCCGGAGCCTTCATCGCCGTTGGTGGTGTCGAAGTTGTCAGTGGCGCCGTTGTTGTCAGGGGCGGCTGCAGTCGTCCAGGCGTCGTCGCCGGCAGGCTCGTTGGTGGATTGCTCCCAGCCCATGTTCTCGGATGATGCTTGACTTGTTGTTGAGGGAGGAAGGTATGAAGGTGTGAGGTAGGTGGAAGGTGTGAAGAGGTTGCTGTGAAGTCTGTTCAACCACAACAACACGTGTCAGCAAGCACAAATGACCCTCAATGAAGCAAGAGCACTTACGAGATGTAACGGCTTCGAGATCAGGCCAGGCGGGAGTGTCTGGTGCTGATGTTCGAAGAAGTCGCGGGTGTGGGAGGTGGATGAAGGAAAGAGGGAGGCTTTCGAAGCGCGAGCCAGGTTTTATACGCGGTGGGGCGGAGGTCCGATCGCGCTAGGACGTTGTAACTTGTTGAGGAAGGAGCATCGACGTGGTTCTGGATGGGGAAGGCGCGACCCAGCGTATGGGAGGCTTCTCTGGACGCACGTGAGCTCAAGGGACACGTTGCGGTCGTTGTGAGGGACCGTCTGATGATGCTGGTAGTGAGTCAGGGCTGGGAGGAAGGTCTGAGGGTGGGTATGGTGTCGATCGGGGAGGAGCTGCGAGGTCAGGGCAACGATGAACGCCGACCGTGGGTTCGACTAGGATCGTAGGCGATTGATGAGGGCGTCTGTAACGTTTCGTGACCTCTGTGTGCTCTTGTTGGGTTGTCGGAAGGTGAGGAGGGTAGTAGGGCAGAGGAGGACCATGGGGGATGAGAGGAACTGAAGGGGAATATGAAGGCGGCAGGCAGGGCAGCACGTGCTGGCAGCAATAGCATGATAACGAGCACGAGTACAATGATGAGGAGCACATGAACCACCATATGAATGCAATTTCTTCGTCCAGTGAAGCAATAGTGAGCCCTACCTGTTGCTCCAAGGCACGTTCCCACCCAACCCAAAGGGACACGGCGCAGCAACGACAGCAATGGCGGGCAGACATTGAAGGAACAGCAAACACCTGCCTTTGTAGCGCATAGACACCTCCTCTCCCCTCGCCGTCCTCCCGATATCACGTTCGTCCATTCGCAAGAGCATGGCTTACCTGTCCCCCTCTACTACAGCGCGCCGCCTCCACGACTAGATCAAAGCCCGCGGACAGCACTTATCAAGCACACGCACATCGCAAGAGTTGTAAGCACCTCGATCTCACAGCCTCAGACCACCATCCTCCGCCGGCAGAAGCCAGCGTCAGCCAGCAGATACTTCTCCCTGGGCCGCCGACACCCACCACCGAAACGGGCAAGAGCAGCACGCGCAGGAAGAGCAGGTCAGCATCAACACACGCACGCAACTACTTGGACATAACAGTCGATATGGCCAGCAGTGCTCACAGACGCGCAAAATCGCCTCACACGCTGAACCGAACCCGGCGCTCCAAAAGGGGGAGCTGCTTGAAACAGTAGCAGTGGCACTCGGGATATCGTTCATTCATTGCCACTTACATTCGTACCGCATCATCATGTCCTTCGTATTCCCAACCCATATCTCGTATACCACCACGCACCGCTGATTCACTTCAGAAGATCCACACTCCACTCTCCCTCTTCCAGACTTCTCTCTGCTCACTCTTCCCCCGTTCCATCCCGTCGAAGATCCAGTCCCCGTTCTCCCAATCCCGCCTCGCACCCTCCTGCAGCACATCCGTCAAGGCCTCGACATCCTGCCGCATCCCTGCGCTCTGCCACAGCAAAGCCTGGTCAACCCGCACCTGCCGCAGATTCGGAACGGAGCCGTCGTCGATGGCGATCATGATATCGATGGCTGTGATCTTGTCCTCTACTCCTGCTGGGGCGCCGGAATAGGTGAGCTCCAGCGTTCGGAGATTCGAATGGACCAAAGGACCAGCGGCTTCTGGGAGCCAGTTCGGTGCGATCTCGCCAGACGCTGGAGCTTCTGGCAATCCATCCTCAAAGACGCCAGGGGTAATGTAGTCCGCACTCACGCTCAGCTTCTTCAGCTGGGGCAGCAAATGCAACACCCCATCCAACGCCCTCCCACCAAGCCGCGGCATATGCGCAATCTTCAACCACTCCAAACCCTCCAGGCCTTGCACAGCAGTCTTCAGCAAATGCGTCACCGCAAACCCCTTCGCATTCGGACAATGCTCAATCGTCAATCCCTTCAGCGTCTTCGGGAACGCCACAACCCCATGCAAGAAATGCGCATCAATCCCGCCACTCAAACACAGCTCCTCCAGCTTCGGCGGCCACTGCACACTCTCGAACGCCGACGCCTTACTCTGCACCCCGAACCCACTACTCCGTGGCAATTTCAACACTCTCAACTCCCCTAATCCTCCCACTGTCTTGAAAAGCTCCAGCAAGGGCGGACTCTCACTAACGAGCCCCAAGTCCAACACCCTCAACCTCCCACACTTCCCCAGCGCCGGCAGGCAATTAATCCCCAAACTCGCCTGCGGCGCCCGAAACTCTTCCAACTGCCCCTTTACCCTCCCCAACACCCTGGCCGTCGTGCTCTTACTCCCTTGATGCACCAGCTGGCGCATATCCAGCACTTTGACCAACGAGCTGAGGGGCGAGCGACGTACGTGCGGGTTTATGCTCGGGCAGAGACTGGCGACGAAGGGGTCGTAGTTGGAGCCGTACAGGTGTGGGTGCGCATAGAGAAGGGGCGTGGCGATGGCGTGCCATTGGTGGGAGAGCTGGGTGCAGGCGAGGAGGGTGCGTTGGTGGGGAAGGTAGGAGAGGATGGCGATGATGATTTCGTCGGGGAGGTGGATGGGTGGGCCTCGAGGGGGTGGAGAGACGGTGGTTGGGTGGCCCGAGGGGTTCGAGGGCGGTGGTATTCTGTCGTGGTTCGTGGGCTTGTTCATTGTTCGTTCGAGGTTCTCCGCCATGGAGACGTTCCAGTTGGATTGTACGTCGAGAGCCATGTTTGTGAGTCTCCAGCTGTGTGAGAGAACATCAGAGCTGGATCATCTCCTAGATGCGATCATTTTGAAAAGACTGTAACAGTGGCTGTTGTTAGGTATACCAACCCTCCTCAAACGGAGAGGCAAACCTGAAGTCGAAGTCGGATTCAAATGATCATCACGTGACTCTCGTCCCGCGCCAGCTCCCGAGCATCCCAAACTCTCCGCCGACCTCACTTCCACCACCATAACCCATTGAAACCATTTTTCCCCTTCGAGAACAACACACCCACCATGCTCGGCCTCCGTAGCATCCAACGTGCAACCCGCACCCCTGCCCTCCGCCAGACCTTCACGCAACGCCGCTGGGCCACCCAAGCCTCCTCCGGCCACGGCCTCGAAGGCGCCGCCGACAATGCCTTCAACCGCGAACGCCAGGCCGTCAAGGACCACGCTGCTGCTACATCCGGTACACCCCGCTCCTTCTCCCCTCTACACCTTCGAAATGAGTATACTAACGCGGGACTGCGGACAGACACATGGCGTAAACTCAGCATCTGGGTCGTAATCCCCTGCCTGTGCATCGCGTCGGTCAACGCCTGGCGCCTGTGGACGGAGCACTGGGAGCACAAGGCGCATGAGGGCCCGATTGAGGAGAGGACTGAGTATCCGTATATGAACATCCGGACGAAGAATTTCTTTTGGGGGGATGGGGATAAGGTATGTTCGCTACCACTACTCTACGGATACAGAGGGGTAGGGTGGGGATAGGGAGGGATGTGCTGACGTGTGGACAAATAGACCTTGTTCTGGAACCCGAATGTGAACCACCACAAGAAGGACGAGTAAGAGGTGCGAGATGCGGAGGATCGGTGCGAGCACAGCAGTGTTACGTGGTAAATGCTGTTGCAGGCGTTCTGGGAATGGAGAAGAAGCTGGGCCGCTCTGAGTAGCAAGGACAGCAGTGTATATATGTGCAACAACAACATCCCACATGCTTGAGTTCCGTGCATTCAGTCGCGCCTCTACGGTTCCCACTTCAAAATACTCGGCACGGTGACACCATTGGAAGCATTATCATTAATCCATCCAGCCTCGCACGAAGCTGCTCACCTAACGCTTACAGCATACAGAACGCTAAAGCAAGAATGCATCCACCCTATCTCGAGGGCAGGGGCGGCTTGCCTTGCTCATCCTCCCTTCCAGCAGTCTGGTCGAGAGCATTGTCAGAGCTCTCTTCCCCTCTGCCAGGAGCCGCTCGAGCTTCGAATTCATCTCCGGGTTCCATAGGGGCAGGTATTGCCACGATCTGCTCTTCGCTGGCGTTGTCTTGCGACATACCGGCCATTGGCTGGTGTCCAGCTGGCTCAGGCTGCAAGTCACCATCTCGATCTTCCTGGAGCCCTGGCTCGTCGAGAATGGCTTTATCCGCGGCCTGCTGGTCATATGCCTGCGGTTGAGGTACAGCAGAGGCATTCTGCAGGCTTTCGGAGGATGCCGCTGGGTCCGCAAAATAAGCAGTCCGACTTGCACTTGATGCTGTCTCTGCGGGTGACTCTTGGGATGTCGTGTTGAGGTCGGCGGGCTCTGCAGATGCGGTTTCTGCGGCAGGCGGTCTGGTATCTCGCCTCGGAGGCAACGGAGGCTTCTCCCTCACCTCCTCATCGGGAGTCTCCACCTCAGCCATACCACTGCGCTGCGATCCTGACGTCTCGGGTCGCGTAGCCAGCACGGAGCCCTCTTTGATCCGGCTTCCGTCCTCATCAAGCCCACTATTCTCCCTCCAGGGTCCAAATTCATCACTCATAACTGAGCGTTGATCTTCGCCATTGGTTCTTGGTTCTTCAGCACCAGAAGCTTCCACGTCAGATTTCTCTCCATCCCGACTCGACGCCCCTTCTCTGCTGGCAGGTAATGAAGAATTAGTCCTCGCAGCAACAGGTTTCCGCCTCACAGTCCCCAAGCCAGCGAAGAGACCCTTCTGCGGTCCGGGCAATGGCACGCCAGGCGGTGGTAGCGGCTGTCCTCTGCCCATTGGCTGCGGTTGCGGGCTCTGCCCAGTAGTAGTGGAAGCAGCTCGTGGGGCAGTCGGCGAACCTTGCTTCCGTGCGTTGGCGAGAGCGTTCCAGCTCCAGTTGCGCGCTGCGTTCGTGGCAGCTGCTGTGGCGGCCAAGAGGTTCTGCTTGCGCTGCTGTGTGCTCCGACTTGTGGCTGATGAGGAAGTGGAGGCGTTGGTATCTGTTCGCTTCGTAGATCCCAACGACGGTGCGGGGGAGTCAGACGAGCGTCGGCCTTCTGTCTGATCCACTTGTTCGTCTCCGGTGCTATGGCCATCAGCTGGCTCTTCGACGAGACTTGCTTCGCCTTCCAGAATGTCAGCTTGTGTTGCTTCAGCTTCTGCAGCCTCCCGATGCGCAAGCACACGATCTCTCATATCGCGCAATCCACCCGCAGCATCCTTTCGTGCAGGCAGAGGTGGCGCCGCTGAGCGTATGCGCCATCTTCTGCTTTGATTCTGTGATCTGTCTAGCTTGCCAGGATCCATATTTGCAAGAGACTCATCCAGGGCAACAGAGGGTTGTGATGTCGAGGGTGATGTGAAGGATGGTGATCGAAGCGGCCGCGTAGGTGGCAGACCCGGTGAGCCGTTGGGCCCGTCTCTGCTAGGCGGCGCTGAGGTTGTGGATATGTTTGTACCCGAGCGGGTAGGTAATGAGACCACGGATCGACGTTTCAGCTCGGCAGCTACGTCACTCGGGACAGTGGAAGCACCGGTGGCAGCCTTTGCTGTGGTCTCTGACCCAGAGGAACCAGCAGACGAGTCGTGCTCAGCACCGAGAGGTAGCACTGGCATACTCTTCGTCTTCGCATTTCGCTCCCGGAGCATGTCCTTGGCTGTCGGCTCTGAATCCTGCGTGACACCTTCGTCTCGCCAGATGCCACCGCGCACATACTGATCCGCGGTATTGAAGAACGGCATGTCGTCCCAATTCGGCTTGACCAACGTCTCTGTCACAACAGCACGGATGCGGTCCTCGATCGTACGCAGGATAAATGTGTAGCTGATCTTCCGCTGACTGACAACCGGCTCGACCTTGACATCCATATCTGGAGGACTTTCGAAGCAGAACCAGATCCTGTTCGATGGAGGCGGCTTAATCCGAACAAGTATATGCCCTTGGAGTCTCTGCAGTGACGATGCAAGGACCAGATCAACAGTGCGAGTTTTGAAGCGTGGACCCAAGTCAAGCTTCGCCAGTGCTGATATGGTGAGTTGAAGAGCTCCTGTATACTTCACGTCAAAAGCGACGGTCATGTCGCCCGATATGTTGAGGTCCTTGAGCCTGGGCTTCGACAGCACGGGTGCCGCATTTCCCAGATCGATTGATTTGACGGTCAGGTCTGCTAGAAATGCAGGCTTCTGTACGCGGGAGATCTTCTTCTCGATCTTCCGCTGTATTAGGTCCTTGAGCCACGGAGTATGATATATACTCAGGAAGATACGTCCAATGAGAGCGTTGAAAGCCATTGTCTCCGGCGTTTGTGATGTGGAGTGCAACGTCGACTGTAGTTTGATGATGTCGTTCGGCTCCAGTGGCTCTGGCACCGGTGGATGCGCGCGTGTATACAGGAGCGCATGGTAGAAGTCCTCTTTCTCCGAGCACAACGTCGAAAAGAGGTAGAAAGGCTTAGGTGGCGCCGCTCTTGATTGAAGGCCTCCATTGGGCATATCCGTCGGTGTCAAGACAATCGCCGTCCGCTTGATGAACAAATCGGCATCCTTAAGGCTGGCTTCGTCACCAGCGGACAGGCCTTCGGAGAGAGAGACAGTGTGATGGGCAAGGCTTATGACATGTCGTACTTCCATCTGCGAAGCTGAGTCGTACAGCATGAGGTGGCCATGGCGAAGGACAATGTAGAATACATTCGCCGGCGTGGTCTTCCGCTTCGCCCGCCCGTCGGGTGTAACAGTGGTCTCATCGTTCTCCAGTACCTCCCTGTTGGTGTTTCCGCCAGCCGTATTGCTTTTGCTGGGTGCGAAGACGGATCGATACACGCTCTGGTATACGCTCGAGCCGCCACCCTCATTGCCATCTGCCTCTCCGTCTGTTGTTCCGGTCACGCCTCCAGCTGTATTTCCACTACTATGCCGTGCGTTGAGTGCCGCATTGGCTGCTGGGAAGTCGTAGGTCCTCAGAACGGCGAATGTCGCCTCAGCCGCTGCTTCTGTTGAAGACACAGCATGTGTGTCATCTTCGTTCTTCTTGTCCCGTCCTTCTGCCTTACTGCCATTCTTTACACCCTTTTGTTTTTGCCCAGATTCATCCTCGACCTTCGGAAGCAACAGCCATGCTGGGATCAGTACCGCTGCGAGCACGAGCGGTATGAACGTCAGGCCTCCGAGCAAGTAGACATAGAGCAAGCCCTTGAAGGTCATCGTCCTTCATCGTCCTTCGCCTGCCGCATCGTTCAAGGTTACAAGAGCTCGTAGAAGGTATGGCGCCGGTAATGCTGTAAGGTGTTGTCTGGCGAATGTGGATGACTAATATATCACGTGACACGATGTCTACTTTCACCTCTCTCTTCAGGTACAGAATATCCGATAACTTCGTTCATTTATCTGCACTCGCTCGGCCAAGCAGCATAGCGCTGTCTATATGTCTCCGCTCAGGCGATCGCAGGCCAAGGCTACTCCGTGTGAGAATCTATGTGATGGATAGAGGTACAGTACACGTCAAGGTACCTGCCATTGGACGGTCCTGCAGCATGGCTGAGCGACCGGACGAGGCTGTGAACAAGGCTGGCATGATCTTCTTCATCTCCTCTGCTCCACCAGGGCGGCTTGCCTCTGTTTGTAAGTCTGTGTCGCGCAGTCTGCCCTTCAATTTCTAATCTTCACTTTTCACTGGATCATGGCGGACCCTCTCAGCATCGCCGGCGGCGTGGTAGGCATAGTCGCCTTCACGCAGCAGCTTGTGGAGGCTACCATCAAGATCAAGGCTTTCTTCAAAGACGTCAAGAATGCCCCAAAGGAGATCGAAAACTATGTCAACCATCTTGGACACGCCTCCAAAGTCCTTGAGCGACTAGCACGAGATCGCGATGACGACGAGCTGGACGAGGCCATCTACAACGAGAGCTTGGAGCTCTTCCATCAAGCACTTGATCCGATCACTACGCTGGTGAATGAGCTGGAAGCGAAGATGAAAGCCAGACGCTGGGCTAGGTTTGGTGTAGCGCTGAAGGATAAACAGATTCAAGACATGCTCTTGAAGCTCGATCGGAGCACATCACAGCTGCATTTCGCCTTCAACATAGTCGAGACCGCCCGCATGAAGCGCCTCATGGCCACCTGTCAGCAACAGGCGTCTGAAATCCGGAAGCAGCTCGTCATGCTCACAACGACTCTGCAACTGCAGCAAGGATCAGACCAGAAGAGTGACACATCAGTAGACCGGCGTCCTACCAAGGAGCGGAAAGCGAACACATTTCATCGCAACAAAGTCCGGATCCAACTACCGCGATGGTTGTGGCAGGTTGTGTGGGACATCTCATGGGAAAGCGCCGCTTGCGGCTGGACGGTGTCTCTGCAGCCTGTCACGATCATTCCGGATGAGCATGAGGTTTGGTGGATATGTAGAAATGGTGATCTTGACGGCCTCATATACCTGCTCGAAACGCGCAAAATTGGCTTGAACGTGCAGGATGAATATGGAGACACTCTTTGGAAGGCGAGCATGCTCCTAACTCAAGTGACTGCCGCTATTTGGGGGACTGACAGCGTCTGTCTGCGCCATAGACGTCTTTGCGATGGGCCAACACGGATATGAGCAGATTCCTGATAGACCACGGTGCCTCTGCAGAGGTAAGTTTCACGTCTCAAATCTCGGGTATCATCACTAAGAGTCAGAAAGTGGAATGCGCCTATTCTTGCCCAGGATCTTACACGGTACCGGAGATATTTCGAACTCATTGAAGAGTTGAACCTTCTCGATGAGGGTCAAAGCGAAGACGACTATTGGCATCTACTCACGTCGTCATTCATGATGTTGCCTTCTGACTGGACGGAAGAGCAGACTCTCACGGTCGCTGCTAGGCTGCGATTCGACTTCACAGCCGAAGCATTCCACCTTCTCGGCGGTCACAGTATAAGCAGCCGGCTCTGGTTTATCACTGTATCCGGCAGGCATGGTCAAACCGAGACACTCATGAGGTGCATCGGTGATTGGTGGGTTCTCCAGAGCGACCCAAAAGGCGGGGGCGAAATGTTGTCCAGCGTCCTAACACAAGGAGCGCGTGCTGGCGCCGATATCAGCCAGCTGACTGCGAACGACGACGGTGTGCTAGTAACGCCGTTTTTCAACATGATTTTGAATAGCCTGATGGGGGTCCGGGAAGCTGCTCGTGTCAACCATGACATACAACAATGGGTGTCGTGTCTTGCCCAGGGCGGCATGAGCTTGTGCACTTATGGAATTGCAGAGCACGCCCACCGGCAGACCCTTTTGACACAGGGGCACTGGATTCCAAAAACATTTGTTGGCCTGGCACATGGTTCGCGCCCTTCAGACTGGTACTTATGGGACAAACATCCGGGAGACGTCTTCGCTGGCCTTTTCTGGGACATGCTAGACCATCCCGAACGAGCAATGCCTGGCGCATGGGAAGATACTACCACAAACGAACATCTCGACTATGTTGAGTTCTGTGCGACATTGGAGCTTGACCGTCAAGCAGGGGCCGAAGCAAAGATTATACGCAGGTGGAGACGATTGCTCAAGCGTAATGAGCATTATGCTCTGCCGGCTCTTTGCAACACCGAAAGCTTCAAAAATCTGGTCGAGGTGATGGAGTTGAATGCAAAGGATTGGAAGTCTGGTAACATGACCAGCGTCTCGCACGATTGGCACAAGGAGCTTCTAGAGCGCATGAGGGAAGCGGGCTTGAACCGGCGCTTCGTGGTAGGCAGAAAATACTCTAAACGGGATACCCGACATCTACTTTGGGCCCGTGGCTGAACGGCGCTCGTTTGTCAGCCGTGGATACCAACAACTGCGTCACTTCGGCGACGCCAACAACAGCATAAAGCGCCGCCGGCGAAGGCTACACCAAGGCCAGCATCCCTACCTTCAGCTCTTCAGCCGCCCAAGGAATCTCATACCGCCAGCGGGTGGAAACCTCACACTGCTTTCGTCCACGATCTCCAGAGTCCGCCACAGCAACATGACACTAACCCCCGAGGTTTCTCTGCACTTACACGTGAGAAGAACATCTTGCCACCGACTGTCTAGATCACGGCTTAGATCACACCCCAGCCAGGCGAGTGAAGCAACGCCGGGATGGCGCCGTATGAGCAGAGCCGGGACGATCAAATGGGCATCAAGGAGCCGTTCCCGACGTCCTGGCGCCCATCAGCCAACTGGGCTCCATATCTCGAAACATCAGCTCCGCCCCAGCGCATGCAATGTTCAAGGCTTCACAGACGACACTAGCGTTTTCCTCGTGAGCATGCAATCCACGGATGTGTGAGCATGGATTTAACCAGTCCGAGCGATCAAAGCACGAACGACAGGATTGAAAACTTGTTCAAGATGGCACGATACTACACCCTCCCTTCATCATTCATGCCCAGACCAATATCTTTCTCACCACCACGCTCACCCACGGCACTTGTTCTTCACTTCTTCATACCCTCATGCCCTCAATCCCGCCATCACCTGCCCACCTGCATCTCAATGCCTCCGTACGATGTTCTCAACGCCCATCCCTCCCCGCGGCTGCAGACGACGAGAATGTTCGATCTTTGACCGACCTCCTATCGATAAGCCAGAGACTAGAGCCGGCTGGGTCGGCAGCTCGGTATGTACACCAACGGAGCAGATTCCAAGGCCACCGGGACGGCGAAGAAAACGGAGAGCAGTCGGAGGTGGCGGACTGGATGTGAGGGAGGAGGATAGCATTGTCTGCCGTAGGCGACCGATCCAGCATTGCAGAATTGCAGTGATGGATGCGATTGAACATGGACAACACGGCTTCTCGAAGTTCATCAAATTCGCATAATACTACACTTCACTTTTCCGTTCCCAGACCACCAGACCACCAAACTACTAACACCCCTCTTACCGCTCAACCCCCAACGCCCTCCCGTCCTCACCATCACCCCCTCACAACTCAACATGCCCCGTTTCCTTGCCCACCTCACTCTCCGGCTCCGCGCCCTTCCCTCCCCCAACCCTCCCCTTCTCCTTAGCCACATCCTCCCCCACACCCACACTCCTCGGCGCCTTCCCCTCTCCCTCCCCACCCACAAGCACATCCACAGTCTCCTGCTGAACACCCTCAGCCTTCGTACCCGCGAAGCTCCCATCGCGCGCACTGGCCCCCAGCCCTTCCTCGGGGACTTCCGGGGGATGCTCCTCACCCTCCAGATTGATGCCGTCGGCTACCTCATTCCCCGCTCCGTCGACAAGACGTGTGCGTGTTTCATAGCGCGTGGAGAACGAAATCTGCCCCTCCAAAGCGGCGACTTGTTCGTCGTTCAGTAGATTGCCGTCTTCATCTCTATACTCGATTTTCTCCTCCACTTCGCCGGCATTGCCTACGGCGCCTGCGGCTCCACCGGCGCCGGGCGTGACGTGAACGTCTGCTTTGGGGTCGTCGGCGACGGGGGGCGCAGGGCCGCCTTGGGCGGCTTGGGTGGTGGGGATGGCGTTGGAGAGGGCGGGGGTTAGGGTTGCGTAGTGGGAGTACTGTTCAGTCAGTTAGCAGGGCTCGTGGTGCTTGGTTCCCGGGTGAAGGCAGGCGAGGGGGCTTCAGTCGATGTGATCAAGCCCTCGTCGTTCACCGCAGCGGTGAGGGGCGACTCACCGACTCAGGGAAGTTGTTGCAGTCCCAGTCCCAGGTATTAAACAGCTTAACCCGCTGACACTCGCTCTTCGTCCACATATTCCCATACGCCAACGGCGCATACAGTCCAAAAACCACAACACTAGCAGCAAGAAAGATCGTGCCACCAACCATACCCACGGCGGGCACATCCTTCACCCCCTTCACACTAATCCTCCCTTCGCCAAAGCGAGCAACGCGGAACATCACAAAGTCCCACACCTGACACAGCGCCATGACCGCAAAGAACAGGGCGGGGAAGTAATGGTGCAGGAAGAGCTGGCGCTGCATGAGGAAGAAAGGGAAATAGTGGAAAGCCCAGCCCAACACACTCTGTCCAATCTCGTAGTCGAAGCGGCGGAAAGTGTCGTGTGCGTAGTCGTCGCAGGATCGCTGCCAGCGGAGCACGGAGAGGCCTTTGAAAGCGACGTACACTGCGATCGCGGCCGTGGAAGCCCACCAGATCAATGGGTTGCCTTGGAGGTAGATCTGTCGGTTGTCTTTGCCCCAGAAATTGATACCACGGCGCAGGACTGGCCATGAAGGAGGTCGGGAGTCCCAGGCATGGCTTTCGACGAGGCCGGCGTTGGTGGTCCACATGACTTTCTGCAGTTCCCAGAATTTGCCAAAGAAGCCTGGGTTGCGGTAGTTGACCTTCTCGGCGTCTTCCTGCAACTGCGGGTGCTGATTGCTCTCGACGTACCAGACGGAGTTGGGCAGGGTACCTTGCTTGGCACAAGTGACTTCCTGCTGCTCGAAACCCCAGTCGGGGAGCTTGACTTTGTGGCTGAAGAGGACGCAACCGGTCATGACGTGCACGAGCTTGAACTTGGTCTGGATAGTCCGTAGACGCTCTTTGGCGGCCTGGCCGTCGGACAGTTTCGGGATGATCTCGAGACGGAAGAGGTCGTTGGCGTCGCCTTCGAAGCCCTGGTAGCCGTATGCGGAGACTTCGTTCTGCCATTCGGCTTCCGTGACGGGCGGGCGGACGTCGTGGGAGTGCAGGCGGCGGTCGGAGGTGAGGTGGTAGAGGCGGATGAGGGAGCCGTCGATAATGTTTTCCGGGCTGAGGTTGTCCCAAGCCAAGGGGCCAGGGAATGAGGTGTTACCAGTAGGGTCAGTAGCGAAGTCGAGGGGCTGCGTCTGGTTTTCCAGCAGCCAAACGTTGTTCTCGTCTTTGTGTGGGTAGAGCGTAATCTGCTGCTGCTTGGAGCCAGTCGGGTACATGTGCTGGTGGGAGTGAAGGTAGCCGCCTTGGGTGTTGTGGTGACGTAGGGAGATGCGGGAGCCGAAGGCCACATCGGCCGGCACATCGGCCATACCTTTGGTGTTGAGGGTGGACTGGAACTCGCTAGACATGAAGCCATCGCCATCGCCTGGGTTGACGAGGCAGAGGAAGTGGATGGCGAAGAGGGCCATGTAGAAAGTCGCCGGGATGACAATGAGACAGAAGATGCGGGCGAAAAGGTGCTTGAACCAGATGCGGAGGGTGACGTTGCGAGTGTCACCGAGCAGGACCCAGAGTTGAAGGGCGGTCAAAGAACCGACCCAGGCGATAGTGAACAGGCCAACCCACTTGACGCTGACCGTTGCTCCGAGACAAACACCAGTAGCTGCCAGCCAGAACCACCAGCTGGCGGTGAAAGCGTTCTTCGGCCCAAGCTCGTTCTGGTTCGTGAAGCTGGTCCAGCTCAGTGCCGTCAATGCAGTGAAGATGACCAGCGGGCTGTCCAACAGAATCAACCTCGACTGCGTGACGAGCCCGTTCTCGAAGACAATCAATCCAGCGCCCATGCCTGCTGTGAACGTCCTGCACCCGACAGCCTTCAAGCTCAAGAACATGGTCGGTACGGCCAGAACACCACAGATCGCCGGGAGCAGCCTCATAGCCACATATGGTACTCGGGGCTCCAAGTAGTCCTTTCCAATGTCCTTGAAATCAAACTCTCCATCAAACCCGGCCAACCATCCCGCCAAAGTGATCAAGAGCTTCGCCAGGGGAGGGTGGACGTCCATGAAGAACTTCCCCTTGATGTACTTGCTGGCGAAGCCTCCAAAGTGCACCTCGTCGAAAACGACGCTTGAAGGCTGGTAGATGCGGAACAGGCGGACGAAGAAGGCGAGGATCGTAATGGCGCCGCAGATCTGCCAGGCTGAGGAGGAGAGGTTGAGAATGTTGGTGTTCTTGACACCAGTGGAAGTGTAGTCGTAGGAAGGGTATGGTGGTTTGTGAGGCGAAGACTGGACCATTGTGGGCTGTCTGGGGGCGCCATTGGCAGTCTTCTTCTGCGCTGATTTGGGCGCCATGTTGGCGGTTGTCTCGAGGGTTTGGTGTTTCTACGAGGCTCGCATGCAAGTGTCGTTGTTGGTTTCGTTCAATGTTTCGTCAAATGGATCATTGAAAGGGTTGATCAAGGAGAGACATTGAAGAAAGAGTGGTAGAAGGAGGTGTATAGCTGGTAGCACGAAGCCGCATTTACTTCTCGTGTCGTCCCTTCGCTACGTGTCGACACTATTTTGGAACAGGGCACCTCCTAGCGCCCGCAGTATCAGCGGATAGATCCGAGCTAGCGTACATGTATCTCGAGAGCAGCTTCAGATCTTCTTTGCGACTCCAACCACCACCGCAGCACACCGCGCTGCACCACCCCCTACCTCCGCCTATTCTCAACATAGTACAGCAAACATGGCCGCGACATCCACCCCCGTCGACGGCGCGCCCAACGACAACTCCAACGCCCCCAACGTCCTCGATGAAATCTCCGCCAAAGCTCCCGCCGGCACCATCCTCCCCCCTCGCAACATCCGCGACATCATCGAGAAGACCGCAGGGTACGTCCACCGCAATGGCAAACACTTCGAAGATCAGATTCGCCAGAAATCCGGCCAGACTGGCAAAATGTCCTTTTTGGACCCCGAAGACGCATATCGCGCATACTACATCTGGCGACTATCCGAGATCACCGAGGGTCGCGGCACGAACATCAGCGCGGGACGAAAGGCGGACGAGGTAAGCTTTGCAGGGCGAGAGGAGCGGAAGGGGCCAGAGAAGCCGGAGGAGTTCCAGTTCAGTGCGCGCATGCCGAACATCTCAGCGCAGGATCTGGAGATCGTGAAGCTGACGGCGATCTTCGCGGCTAGAAACGGGAGGACGTGGATGAACACGCTCAGTCAAAGGGAGATGGGCAACTTCCAGTTTGACTTTCTGAGGCCGCAGCACAGTTTGTACCAGTTCTTTACAAGGCTGGTGGATCAGTATACGGACTTATTGCAAGGTGGAGAGGTTGATGGTGGGCGGCCGCAGAAAAAGAGGATCAGTGAGTTGGAGGCCAACAGCACGAATCGCTTCCGCATTTTGGAGAGAGCGAAGAAGAGGGCAGAATGGGTCAAGTACCAGGAAGCACAAAAGGTGGAGCAGGAGGAGAAGCAAGAGAAAGAGCGTGTCATGTACGCGCAGATCGACTGGCACGACTTTGTGGTAGTCGAAACCGTGACCTTCGATGAAGCGGACGAGCACGCACAGCTCCCCGCCCCTACCACCCTCAACGACATTCAATCCCGCAGCCTCGAGCAAAAAGCAGCCTGGGGCAACGACCCTGGTCGTCGCATCGAAGAAGCTATGCCCGGCATGGACGACTACGAGAACTTCTACAACCAAGCACCCCAAGCACCTCCAGCGCAACAACAACCCGCACCGCAGCCCTCTCCCCAACCACCACCTCAACAAACCCAAGCCGAAGAACTCGCTGCCGCCCGCGCCCATGCCCGTGCCGCCCAAGAAGCCGCCTCCGCACGCACTCCGACCCCCAACAGCCAAAACAACATCCGGATCCGCCAAAACTACACTCCCGCGGCCCTCAACCGCAATAAAGCCGCGCCCAACACCTCCCTCTGCCCCAACTGCCACCAGAGCATACCCAACGACGAAATGGCGCAGCATCTCAAGATCGAAATGCTGCACCCGGAGTGGCGGGATCAGTATAAGATTGCGCAGCAACGCTCCTCGACGACGAACTTGTCGACAGCGGATGTGGCGAGTAATTTGAAGAGGTTGGCGAGTCAGCGGAGTGATGTTTTTGATCCGGTGACGGGGCGGGTGCTGGAGGGTGGGGGTGGGGGGAAGAGGGTCGAGGTTGAGCAGGGTGTGCCTGGGCAGCAAGGGCAGCAGCAAGGGCAAGGACAGGGTGAAGGGGAGGGTGAGAGGAGTCGGGATGTGCAGGAGCAGATCAGGGCGATTCATGAGAGGGCGAGGAATGGTTGAGGGAGGAATGGGACGTGAAGATAAAAGCTACTAGAGAGAAGTTTTGCGAGTGCTGATCTCTCTTGCGACCGTCGAAGGTACGCCCTCATGCGACAAACCGCTTCAAGCGACGCTCCTGCCCTGCTGCTCTGCTGCCGCGCCACAGCCTGCAGAGGTTGTCAACCGCTCTACTACGCCCAGGGGGACAGAAGCCGGCGAATGCTCGAGGCTCCCGCGCGAATCTGGCTACCGTGCCCGGCGTTCACTCAGCCTCGACAGCCGTACAAAACTCCTTAACCTTCAGGCTCCTTTCCACACGACTTCCTTTTTCCTCTCATCATCCCTTGCGACATACCGCATCAAGCGACGCTCCTGCTCCCGCACCACAGCCTGCAGAGGTCGTCAACTGCTCTATTACTCCCAGGAGGAACAAAAGCCCACGAAGGCGTGCGCCTTCTACGCGCAGTTGGCTACTTTACCCGGCTTTTGTACAGCCTCGACAGCTGCAAAACCCACATTGAACCCCAAACCCCCCGTCCCTTCTCCGTCCCTTCCCTCCCCCTCATCCCCATCACCTACCCAAAACAAAAGACAAAAAGAAGAAAGCCTCCTCAGTATTCGTGCCTCCCCCCTCTTCTGAGAGTCTCAATGGGAGTGCGCGCTTGTCACAGCGAGGCAGATTGAGATCCCTTTCCCATACTGCAAAGACCAAATGCACTGGGCGCCTTGTTTTCTTGTTCCCTTTTGGGGTTAAGGATGGCGGGGCGCTGGCTTGGGGGGAGGGGACAGACAGCGCTTTTCTCTTCTTTGGATTTGCGATTGTGACCTCCAGATGATCAGGGTGGGCAGGGAACACGTTTAGCTGGTTGCGGAGCGTGAGATGTATATGAGGGAGGGAAAGGATGGTTGATGAGATCGAGCGCGGGCTTGCTGATGCTGTTGTGGTGGTCGGGAGACGTTTGGTGTTTTGATAGTTCGCAGTGACAGACTCGCTTGAAGCTTGTATGCGTAGCGGTTCTGCCTGCCTAGCTACGCATACATTAGGGAAGTCTACGTTCCAATCATCAAATTGGCCGGGAGAATGCTATCGCTCGACGCTGCTGACTGCTTCGGTGACTGAATGGGTTCTGTTGGGCAAGGAGACATGGGGAGTTGGAAGTTGGAGGAACAAGTGAAGGTATAGCGTGATCGAGACGTCAATGATATCGTGCCATCGTTTTTAAAGACTGACATTCGCGCCCAGGGTATCATCGCGAATCATTCCAGCATAACTCCCCACCCACATCGCTCGCACCGCAACCCTCCCTTCTGCTCAACGGCCCTCCAACCGGTCGTCTGCCCCTCATACTCCAAGCCTTCCTCCACAGCCACAGACACCACCCACCTCCCTTCCAAACGCCGGTGTCACTGCGCCGCCATACTCTTCCTCAACTGCCTCTCCCGCTGCCCCGCCTGCAACTCCAACCGACTGACCGCATAGCTCAGTCGCTCCTTCTTTTGCCGCATCTGCTGCATCTTCATCTCCTCTTGCGCGCTCAAAGCCTTCCCGTCAGCTCCTCCTACAGCATCCTTCGTCCCGCTCGCTCCTGACGTCGCTGACGCGCTTCCCCTCGCGCCAGAACTACTGCCTCCAGCGTAGGAGGAGCCTCGTAACCGCCCTTCTTGCAGTTCAGCTTTCGCAATCAACCCCTTCTCCCTCCGCTCCAACCTATCCAAATAAGTCTCCACCCTTCCCAGTAGCGTGTCAACCTCCGGCTGTATCTCCGACAGCAGCCCCTCCTGCGCGGCCAGCAACGAAGGCTCCGACACGAGCTCGAAGTGACGGGTCCTTTGGAGAACGCGGGCGAGACGCGGGTAGTCGGCCACCCCGGAGTCGAGGATGGAGATGCTGGAGTCGAGGAGGTGCATGCTGGAGCGCAGGGAGGAGACGGAGCCGGCGAGAGCGGAGGATGTTGAGGATTCCATTATGGCGTAGTGTTTGTTTTGGATTTACCGTGGTTCCATGGTCTGCGTGGTAGGGTGATGGAGGTGGTGTTGATGTTGACGTGAGGTCGGGAGGGAAGCCGAGGTTTTGCCGTTGGAGCTCCGGGTTTGCCCTGAGGGCGACAATGCGAGCTTTCTTTGATTGACAGCCACAATACAACCCAGACATCTCCATACAACAAGAAGAACGTCAATATGCCTGGTCTACTCGGCAAGAAATTCCCAGCGCCAGTCGGTGAGCACAGGTTCCAGCGCAGCTACGCTTGAGGCACAAAGGACTGACGATGTGACAGCGCGGCCAATGTGGCCATTCTACGCCGCCGGTACGCTCTCACACCTCCCCCACCCCTTGAAACTCGACTTCGCGAGCGTCAAGAGCTAGTTCAGAATGTATTGAAGGGCAAGCTAACGGGTACACAAGGCCTCATCATCGCATACGGCGTCAACTCCTTCGCGACGGTGCTGAGTAACAGTACGTTCTGCCCACCACGCCTTTGCATACCCGCCGTTTCCTGCTACAGAATAGCGCGGAAGCTGGAGGGGGAGTACAGTGGGTGAATACTGATATTGGGATTCTACAGCCGACGAATACAAGAACGACCCGCGGAACCCGGCGGCGAAGAGCACGGGGGGTGCTGGTGGTGGGCATTAGGAGGAGGATGTGTGAGGGAGCGAGCGAAGATACGAAGGCCGGAGAAGAGCGGTTGCGGTGGGAGAGAGGGATGTGGCATACTACGGGGAGGAGATGAGGTGGATGAGGTGGAAGAGGCTCGACTGGCTTGAGGAAGGGAGGAGGTGTACATATTAGAGCTGCTGCAATTGAAGGCACTTGATACGACTGCTGGACTCTACTCTTCTCTCGGTTGTGATGAGGTATGGAACATCGAGGTGCACTGCTTGGGGATTCGGGGCACAGAACGATACCTTACGGTAGGTCTACTTCATGCGCCGGCACTTGCTATGCGAGCATGAAAAGAACAGCGTCTTTCCTGGCCTATGATCACACCCTGTGCAGCTTACCACTGGACCGCGATATCCGGTCGTCTTTCTTCAGCATCTATTGCTCTCCGTTACATTGGCTCAGACTGACTTCGGACATCCACCGGCTGACTCTCCTTCGATCTTGAACATGTCTTGCAACACCTCGTAAATCGAAAGCTGTCAGATCGAGCATTGTTCTGGAAGCAAGGGATAGCTCTCTGTAATTGCTTGCCCGATGTTTCGGGTAGCACAAGCATCTAGGCCAGGCTAGGGAGATGGGCGAATGGGACGTTACACCGTGGCATTGCATGTGGGATTACAATCAATCCATAGTGACCGGCAGTGCTATCGAATGCATCCATGTACTTCACATCCTAAGCCTTGTACACTTCACCTCTACATCAGTGGCAGCACACGCACCCGCCGACAGCCGCTGCCATCTGTACCACCTCCTCGTCCCGAATCGGAGCAGCCTTGCGCCTTTCGAACTTCAGCAGACAAAGGCAACTGAGACTGCCTGCAGTGGTTCGCCTCCGCTTTCGATCTTGATATCAGCCACGAGCCATCCACCCTTTCCCAGGCTGATGAGACAGACTTCACCCTGACGGCAGCGAGAACCAGAACCAAGGTACGTGATCGAGCGGTTTGCACTCAGAGTCGGAAGGGGGTGTGTGACCTGCTATTCTCGTGATTGCGATTCACATTCACGGGCGGAAGTTCTTTGTTTGCTGCGCTTGATTTGGCGTTTCAAGTTCACATTCACCGACAACATCACCTTGCGGTTCAGACTCACGGAAAAGAGCGTCGTGGTTGCTGCGGCATTTGCAGAATCAAGGTCACTGCCCGCCAAGCCCCAAAGCGGCCCAACTCGCGCTAGCCTCTTACCGCCTTGTCTGCTCTGCTCCGCTTGCTCACCTCTGCCCTTCACAGCTTCTGCACACAACAACACACCACAACCACCTCACCCGCCCTCCTCCGCGCCGCCGATCCACTACCGACGACCCCACCGCTCGACAGAGCAGCCTTATCAACCACTCCGGCGGGCACAGCGGACGAGAAATCCTCACTTCTGAGGTCCCTCCGAGAGATGACGACAATGGTTTGTTCAGCCTTCCCTTCACATCACCTTCACTTGGGCATGGCACTTGGGGCAGCGGGCATGGCAGAAGGAAAAGGAACACATCATGAGAGTGAACACATGCTGACTCGAATAGGATCTCCGCGTGGGGAACAAGTACCGTATCGGCCGCAAAATCGGCAGCGGCTCGTTTGGCGACATCTACCTGGGTATGCATGAATGAGCCCAGATCGACACGTCTGACACCCACTGACTTCACCTCCAGGCACTAACATCATCTCGGGCGAGGAAATCGCCATCAAGCTTGAATCCGTCAAGGCCAAGCACCCTCAGCTCGAATATGAGGCTCGTGTCTACAAATCCCTCGCCGGCGGTGTCGGCATTCCCTTCGTACGATGGTTCGGAACAGAATGTGACTACAACGCCATGGTGCTTGACCTGCTCGGCCCTTCACTCGAAGACCTGTTCAACTTCTGCAACCGGAAGTTCTCGCTCAAGACCGTCCTCCTGCTCGCCGATCAGCTCATCTCCCGAATCGAGTACATCCACGCCAAGTCGTTCATCCACCGCGACATCAAGCCCGACAACTTCCTTATGGGCATCGGCAAGAGGGGCAACCAGGTCAATGTCATCGACTTTGGGCTGGCGAAGAAGTACAGGGACCCGAAGACGCACTTCCATATCCCGTACCGCGAGAACAAGAACTTGACCGGGACAGCGCGTTACGCCTCGATCAACACGCACTTGGGTGTTGGTAAGCATATCTTTTCCGTCCGGTTGTCATGTCACGCTAATGCAGTTCCAGAGCAATCCCGCCGCGACGACATGGAGTCTCTCGGATATGTCATGCTTTACTTCTGCCGTGGCTCTCTCCCATGGCAAGGCCTTAAGGCGGCGACCAAGAAGCAGAAGTACGACCGCATCATGGAGAAGAAGATGACCACACCCACCGAGGTGCTCTGCCGTGGCTTCCCGAACGAGTTTGCCATCTACCTCAACTACACCCGCAGCCTCCGCTTCGACGACAAGCCGGACTACTCCTACCTGCGCAAAATCTTCCGCGACCTCTTCGTGCGTGAGGGCTTCCAGTACGACTACGTGTTCGACTGGACTGTCTACAAGTACCAGAAGAACGCCCAAGCAATCGCCCAGGCTCAGGGTGGCCAAGCTGCCGAGGAGCCAGAAGAAAAGTCCAACCGTCGCACCAACCAGGCTACTGGAGGCGGGACTGGCGCCAGTGGGTTGAACGACAAACGCCGCGGGCCCGTCAACCCCAGGACAGAGGGCACCGGAATGTGAGTGCATCAACATGACGCTGCCCTCCCATCTCCCGTCCTGTAAGGCGCCTTCTCCTCTGCGTTCAATTACTTTACCGCGCGCATTGAGGAGGCTAGGAGACTTTTGCTAACTTGTGTGGTTCCAAGCAGGCAACTCCGTTCGAGCAAGCGCGGCGGTGCGGACCAGAGTTACGGCTACTGAGGGCGGTCACGCCAACGGCAGGGCTGTCACATAAGCACTCAACAACTTCAACACAACATGTCGACCCTTCGAAACGAAATCCTTCGATCTGACTCTCCTTCCTTTGGACTGGACGCAGCGGCGTTGGATCCTCGAATGACCGGGCCTCGGCTCTTCTTTCATCGGTATCAGTGCATCTAGTACAACATGGCTGCAAGGTTTTGTTTCGCTTCTCGTGCATGCTTGTCGGTGGTTAACTTTCCACTGCACTCGCACGCACATTCAGGGGAAGCGGAATGAGAGAACATCCTGCGGCCATCAGCAACAGCATGCATTCAGGCTACCTGGCAGTGTCACTCGGCAGGGTTTTCGGCAGTTCTTCTTAGAAAGCTGGGTTCACCTGCAGGCTCATCACACGGCCACAACAACTGACCATTCTCCTTTGCGCGCTGGATCGTTACTACGCTGGACCTTCATCGACATCACACCCCTCGAACATCGATTATCGAGACCGGAATGCAATAGGCATGACGGCGACACACGAAGCAACATCATACTTCATCAGCACCACCTCTTTCCTTGGGCGTTTGTTTGCGGCTGGGACTTTTTAATGGTACGTTACACTTCTTCGCAGCAGAGTTATCTGCGGGCGGCGGCAGCAGTTGGGCGGAGGGGGTGAGGCGTGGGGAGGTAATGAGGGAAAGGCGAGAGGGGTGGGTGGCGATGGCTGTGGCGGGTATGAGAGTACCGGTTGATGCTATGGACGGAAAATTTGGAAGAAATTGGAGAGAGGCAGAGTTCTGTAGTCCAAAGGTTGTGCTGCTTAATTGCTTGTTCTTGCTGCGATGGTTGCTTTGATTGGCTTGGTAGTGTGAATTGGAATCGTCTCACACATTTTGGCTTCTCATTACAATCGTCCTATAGGCCATGTCCACCGTGCAATGTTGTCGGAAGGGGTGTCATCTCGTAAGAGGCTTTCACGTGCCAACGCGGCAGAAGCCAAGATCTCGCGTGCTTCATCTCGTCATCTTTGAACTTTTTGATCTGCTATTCTTCTCATCTTCATACCATTGGCGGCGGCGGCAATGTATATACGAGCCATCCATCCATCGGTATGCACATCTTGTCGCCTCCGAACGTCCATTGTCGCGAAGCAGTTGGCTCGGAGGAGGGGGGGACGATGCCTCTCCTCTACCTCATTACCCGTCGCGACCAATCGAACAGCATTGCGAACCCAAGCGCAACCTCATGCACGAGCGCAGCCACAAACTCGCCCCTATACTTCCGCCGTTCCGAAAAGGCAGCAGCACGAACGACCAGCAGCGGGAACAGAAGCAGGAGAAGCTGCGTCAGACGAAGCTCTCCTCGCGGCGGCTCAGGCGCGCCAGTCGCCCACCGAAGCAGCGATCAAAGCGCGAGAGGAGTTCGGAGATGCGCTGCCGGAGGGTTTGTTGGGGGAGGAGGCGTTGAGGGTTTATGAGCGGTTGTTTGGGAGGGCGGTTGTGCTTGAAGAGGGGCTTGAAGAGGGTACGGGGGTAGAGGAGGGAGGGGAGGAAGGGGAAGGTGCGGTAGGGACGGGTGTGTTGGTGGAGGGGCGGGAGGGGTTGGAGGAGGTTGTGTTTGACGAGGAGGTGCTCGAGGATGAGATGGAAGAGGGAGAAGGTGAGGTTGAGATAAGGGAAGGGAAAGAGGGATGGAAGGAGTTCGTGCCGAGAGCGGGCGATGAGAGGGTGGTCGAGGATATCAATACTGCGTTCGCGGAGGGTGGGGAAGGATGGGAAGGCGAGCTAGGGGCTGCGGAAGAGGAAGAGGACGAATCGTCTCAGCAGCGCGCCCACCCTTTGACACTCGCCAACCGCTTCGGAACCTCCCCTTCTACCCTCGCGATGCCGCAGCACAGCCTCGTCGATCCTATCATGAAACAGCTCGCCGGCACAGCCAACGTCCACCTCGAGCAAGCAGCCCATCGAGCCTTCGGCGGCATCGGACTACCGTACAGCACGTCTACGCCTTCGCACGGGAAGACGATGCAGCAGAAACCCATTGGACTGGATGCTTCGCAGAACAAGATGACGGAGATGGAGGCAGATGCGTTCATGGCTACGCTTGTTCCCGGGATGTACGCGAGTATCATGAGCGTGCTTGTGGAGACGAGGAAGAGGCTGGGAAGTGCGTGGGCGGAGGAGCTGGTGAGGAAGGCGCAGGCGGGGGAGTTGAGGATATTGGATGCTGGAGGGGCTGGGGCGGGGATACTGGCGGTGAGGGAGATGATTAGGGCCGAGTGGGAGCGGATGCACGAGGAGAACAACAGCCTGGGGTCCAACATGGGTCTGGCAGAGGCGGACGGCAAGCTAGGAGGAGCAAGCGCCAGCCCACCCCTAGGCATCGCGACCGTCCTAACAGCCTCCGACACCCTCCGCCACCGCTCCAGCCAACTGCTCGAAAACACCACCTTCATCCCCCGCCTACCAGACTACCTACACACCGAGTCCGCCTCCCAGCGCGGGAAATTCGACCTCATCCTCGCCCCCCACACGCTCTGGCAGCTGAAAGAAGACCACGTCCGCAAATCCCACACGCAAAACCTTTGGTCCTTGCTCTCCACGTCCGGCGGTTTGATGGTGGTGTTGGAGAAAGGCATCCCGCGCGGTTTCGAGCTCGTCGCTGCGGCGAGGAATTACTTGCTTGAAAGTCGGATCGCTTCGCCGCATGATGCTGACAGTAGCAATGCGGCTCAGCGCAGCGTCTACGCTGGCGTGGATATACCGGGGAAAGAGCAGGGAATGATCGTCGCGCCTTGCACGAACCATCAAGCCTGTCCTATGTACGTCCCACAAGGAATGGTGAAGGGACGACGGGATATCTGTCATTTCGCACAGCGGTATGTGCGGCCGGGGTTTTTGCAGAGGATTTTGGGTGCGAGGGATAAGAATTGGGAGGATGTGAAGTTTTCTTACATCGCGATGATGCGGGGACGGGATTTGAGGGAGTCGGAGGTTGAAGGGGAGATGGGGGTGGTGCAAGACGACGCAGCGACCGGACGGGCGTTTGAAGGGTACGGGATTCCCAACCTTTCCGCCCCCGACTCTGACTCGGCGGAAACTAGCAGCGCACGGCATGATGAGGTCCCGCACTCCCTCTCCCTCCCCCGCGCCGTCCTACCCCCTCTGAAACGCCGCGGCCACGTCGTCCTCGACCTCTGCACCCCCTCCGGCACGCTCGAACGCTGGACCGTGCCGCGCAGCTTCAGCAAACAGGCCTTCAAGGACGCGCGGAAGAGCAAATGGGGCGATATCTGGGCGCTTGGGGCGAAGACTTCCGTCCCGCGCGATCCGAAGGTTAAGAAGCGGAATCCGAAGAACGAGGGGCATATGGACGTTAAGGGTAAAGCTAAGACGAAGAGGATGGATGTGAGTGATCGGAGTAAAGTTCAGTGGGATAGTGATGAGTTTGGACGGATCGTGGGGTTCGAGCCTACGGATGATGGGTTTGAGCGCCAGCGAGAGAAGGAGAGGGAAGGGGAGGGGATGAGGGAGGGGGTGAGGGAGGCGAGGGGTGGGCTGATGAGGGGAAGAAGGGTGAAGGGGGTGAGGGATAAGAGGGATAAGAAGGCTAGTGGGAGTGGGAGGCGAAGGTGGAGTGGAGATGGGGGTGAGGAGTGAGATGGGGATGTGCATGAAGTGCCTTGCGATCTGGTTGCGCGGTATGCTCTTTGTCTCGCGATCGCCACCGACTTGAATACCCCCTGCCGCACCATGGAAGTCACTGCTGCCCGCGAGGGTGACGACGAGAACCGCTGCAGATTGAACGTCGCCTCGACGCAACTACTGGAGATTCTCGGAAGAAGCTCAAGGTGTGTCATGGGATCTTTCGAACGGTTCGGGACTGCAGGAGCTGTGCAGCCTTCACCCAAGCCACTCACCTGGACGGCGGAAGAAGCGGCAGCGCTTGCATCTGAGGGGGACTGCAAATCTCCTGCTGGACCGCCTCGAATGCCGTGAGCGTAAACCTATAGAAACGCTAAGTCGGACCGCTGGACCGCCCACGCTCGTACTAGCAGCCTTTCACTCCATTGCAATCTACAATACCCTACGATCAGGCTGTTCTAGTCCTGCTGGCCCGATGTGGAGGACTGTCCTACTACAAGAGCAAACACTACAACCTCAATATACCTCGCCAAGCGTTTTATAACATCACACCCCTGCAGTCATAAAATTCTCCGATTCGGTGACATTGAAAAGCCGGGGCTGGCGTCTGGGGTACTGGGGCCGTGGCGAAGCGTGTTGCGACTTCAGCCGATTCGAATATATTGGGACCGTCTCAAGAGCGTGACACACCCTCTAAATGACATCGGCGTCATAAAAGCTTCCAAGCGAGCCTGCTGAGACTCGCGCTTGACGTTTTGCTTGGTACTGGAGCTTCGAACCGCCGGAATCTTAATCTAGGGATATTGGAGTGGTAGGTCTGGTAGGTGCTTGCACGACCTTGAGAAACGTTTGCCACAAGTCATGCGCTCTTTTCTGCATCGGAGGTGGGCTGTTCGTGGTAAGGACGAGCTTCATTTCATACTACATCCTTATTGTTTCGACAAGAGTGAGGGTGCCATCATTGCATCCACCGGGCCGTCGTGCCTCATCCAGACGCTCGAGACTTCTCTCAGATCAACTATATAAACAAGGTAGGACGTCTGAAGAGATCTCCTCCTCTCTCACAAGCCCGCTGTTCCATCACACCCTCTCTCTTCAAAACTTTGGTTGATCCAAGGAACCTTCACTCCTTCTCCAAACGATCCAACTTGTCGCCTGTCTTTGAGAGATGGCCAGCATGCAACGATCACTCGCCTTGACGGCTCTCGCTTTTGGCGCTGGCGCCTGGGCTCAGCAGGCTGGTACTTCTACCGCTGAGAACCATCCGAGCATGCCGTGGGATCTGTGTACTGCTTCGGGGTGTACGGAGCAGAAGGGGTCGATTGTGTTGGACTCGAACTGGCGTTGGGTATGAGAAAAGTTCACCAAAGACCTAGGCAATTGCTTACGGTTTCAATCAGGTGCACAACGTGGACGGCTACACCAACTGCTATGATGGTGCGTCCCTTCTTCGGCCCCTTCTACGTCGCATCGATGCTTATGACCATCCACAGGCAACACCTGGAACGCCGACTACTGCCCCAACAACCAAGCCTGCGCAGAGAACTGCGCCCTCGACGGAGCAGACTACACCGGCACCTACGGCATCCAAGCCTCCGACGGCTCGCTCACACTCACGCTCAAACCCGGCTCCAACGTCGGCTCCCGCGTCTACCTCATGGCCACCGACGACGAGAACTACGAGATGTTCAAGCTCAAGAACAAGGAGTTCACCGTCGACGTCGACGTTTCGAACTTGCCGTGCGGGTTGAACGGGGCGCTGTACTTTGTTTCGATGGCGGAGGATGGGGACTTGTCGGCGACGAATAAGGCCGGGGCGAAGTATGGGACGGGGTATTGTGACAGTCAGTGTCCGCAGGATATCAAGTTCATTGATGGAAAGGTGGGTCTTCTGATCGTTTATGCGGTGGGGTGCCAGCTGACAATGCTTTCCTTAGGCCAACGTCGATGGCTGGACTCCTTCTGATGGAGACCCAAACTCCGGCACAGGCAACATTGGCGCTTGCTGTGCTGAGATGGACATCTGGGAAGCGAATAGTATCTCGGCTGGTGAGTTTCTGGCACAAGCACCCTCTCATTGTCATCCTGGCTGACTGATCTTAGCATACACGCCCCATCCCTGCGACGGCAATGGTTTGGTAGAGTGCACCAGCGACGCCGAATGCGGTGTTGGCGACAACAGATACAAGGGAACCTGCGACAGGGACGGCTGCGACTTCAACTCGTTCCGCTTGGGCAACGAGAGCTTCTATGGTCCTGGCGATATCGTTGATACTGGAAGCAAGATGACGGTCGTTACCCAGTAAGTCTCTGCATCTGCAGTATTACACACCCTCCCACGCATTCGCCGAACACTGCTAACACTCTATCACCCACCAGGTTCATCACCTCTGACAACACCGACACCGGCGATCTCACCGCCATCCGCCGCGTCTACGTCCAGGGTGGCAAAGTCATCGCCAACAGCCAATCCGACGTCGCCGGCATCGACAAGACCAACGAAATCACCTCCGCCTTCTGCACCCAGCAAAAGGACGTCTTCGGCGACACCAACTCGTTCGCCGACAAAGGCGGCCTCGCGAAGATGGGCGACGCCATGGCGGACGGCATGGTGCTGGTGCTCTCGATCTGGGACGACTACACCGCTGGGATGAGATGGTTGGATGCTGAAGCGTACCCGGCTGATGCGGATCCGAGTAAGCCTGGGATTGCGAGGGGGACTTGTGCGGTGGACTCGGGGGTGCCGAGTGAGGTGGAGAGTCAGTTTGGGGATGCCAGTGTGACTTTCTCGAATATTAAGTTTGGGGCTATTGGGTCGACCTACAGTTCGTGAGGGTACTGAAAGAGGGATGGATGGGTCGCTCGTTCGGTGTATCGAAATAAACTTCCTGGCAAGTTCATATGGCCTGATACATCAATCACCAGACATTACTATTGATGTGTCGAGTCTCACGAGCTTGGGCAAAGGTGGATCAAGTACTTTGGCCGCCTGCATATTGTCTTCACTTCCATATACCTCGTATCTCATTGACATTCGACTCCATCTACAGAACATGTCCTCGTTGAGCTCAAGTAACATCATTCTCTAACACCGTACATCTGCTCCCAAGGTCATCTCAATCTTGGGGACGCTCCTCCTGAGCTTCGGACGTGAGTGAAGGAACTGGCAGCTCAAAGTCAAAAACCACAACTCTTGGATTGATCCTATGTACGGCAAAACCACGGGTCCATCCCAATTGCCATTACCCGTTCATCCATTCTGCGAAACAGCGAAGACATGCAGCCGAAATACTCTACTGCTCTAGACTTCACTGCCTCTGTCGGAGAAGGCTGCAACACCTCCATCTTCCAGACAACTTGTACAGGCCGATCTGCTGGAAAAGCACCTAGGTCAGCGTAAAGAAGGAGATGCTCGCTTCGAGAGCTGTAACACCTCGTGACAGATGTAGATGAAGACTTGAAACAGCCTGTTGTACGATTCACTACCTGAAACAGTTCAGCCACGCTGCATTGGAGGGGATTGTTCATTATGTATGCCTTGGTGTCCTAATGCTCCGTCAAGATGTATATTTCTACAGTACTTCTAGCCCTTCTTGCGCTCCAATACTGTATCTTACTCACTCACTTCTTTCTTTTCCAGCAGTCTGGCACTGCGACATTTCTTCCCTTTCGACACTTTCGCTTCGCTGACCGTATTCCCTCATTTTCGCATCGCAACCATGAAGTTTGCTCTGGTCTCCGTGCTCCCTCTGGCTTCGGCTGCTGCTCTGCCAGCGCTGGCTCCAAGGCAAAGCTACTTCAGCTTCGGGAACGCATTCTCGACGGGTCCAGTCGCCGAAGACTCCTTCATCCGCCAATCTACTACGACGCTCGTCCTGCCGGACCTGCAAAGCCCACACACTGGCAACCTGGGCCTGTGGCCTGGTGTCGGTACCAAGTTCCCAGACAGCGACCAGGACGGTCAGCTTGTGCAGGGTCTTGCGATCTCCACCGTCGGTTACGGGTGAGTATGCAGTCTTCATCGAAGAAGGCAACTTCGTGGCTGACAACGGAGAGGTCTCCTTGCAACTTTGATGCCAACGAGGTGAAGTGGTGCATCACTGCCAGCACATACGATGGTATTGTCTTTCTTGGCCCCCCGCGAGACCTCCGAAAATACTAAGTAGCGATCTCCAGGGAGCCAGCAGGACGGCGACGTCGTCGCTGCTGACCCAGGTGACCACGTTACTTACGATTGTGAGTTGAGATTGAGACCACTTGCGGTATACGTTCCATTGCCACTAATGCCTCTCCAGACAAGTACAACGACGCTACCAAACAAATCGACCAGACTGTCTCCGTGAACGGCGCAGTCGTCTCGACGCTGTCTACAACGAGCGGCGTGGGCGCGGGCTGGGGCACAGGTAAGCTGCCTAAGTTCAAGCAATACACTTCGCAAGAACCCGGATTGCTAATGCAGACTACTCATCAGCCATGGAATGCCAGCAAGCCAAATGCGGCACTGTTCCCGAGCATCACTATGTCAACACCACCTTGATCATGGATGTTGCCGACCCCAACTACAGCCAAACCCTCGGGATGACTGGCGCTTCTGGCGACCTTGTTACCGATGATGGCGGCAAAACCTGGACTGTCGCTGATATCAAGATTGAAGAATATACTTACACTTAGCTGGGTATAGCACTGTGAGCAAGGTGTGGCGGTCTGGCTATGTGGCCCGTTGAGTCGTTTACTTTGCGGGAGGTCGTTTGCAAGATGATGTACATAGCGGGAGAACTGAAAAGGCTTTGTCGGTTTGAGTTATGGAAATCTTCTCCCAAGCTCATCGAAGTTGACAACGAGACGTGCGTGGCCGTAGTCGCAGTACTGGGCGAGCCCGTCATAGAAATAACGAACGGCTGATCGAGCTGCGGTACCCGTTACGAGGCCAAGACCAGGGTGGGCTCCGCTCTGTGTTGCCGAAGGTAGTTGGTGCTCGACATCGTCCTGTCGACCAATTTACGTGCGTGACCGGTTGACAACATGAGATCTCATCGCTTCCAGGAAGCAGACCAGGCAGGACATGTCTTCGGCTTTTGCGTGAACGGCAGAAAGACATCATCGGGGGAAAGTATGCTGGAAAGAGAGGTCCAAGGATACCGCGCAGCCGACGCCCTCTGAGTCCTGTCGATGGTGTCCATGAGTCGGATGTGCAGCAGTTCGCAGGCGCATGCGCTTCAGGGTGTCGTGTTGATGGCTTTCTGGATGGCGCACTGCTGCCACATACCCTGACAGGCCAGATGTTCATCTTGCCGCTCATACCCTACTCTAAGCGGCGTGGTGATGCCAGGTTGCACGACCGCCAACCATCTTGCAAGGACGAAGAAAGTCGAGGAATCCCATAAGCATGTGGTGAGCTGGAATCCGATGGCAGCGATGCTGGACCACTGACCGGGATGTTGAATGGCAGAAGGCGTGATGTCAGATGCTCGTAAAAGTTGGGAGATCGAATCGTGTGAACCACAGCGATTGCTCGCGTTCGCTCGGAGTTCCGGGTGTCCATGGTATAGGTAGAGTGGCGAAGCGTAAATACATGTGTACTGCAATACCCCACTTCTCGTTCACCTTGCTCGATGTGCTTTCGGCCATGTAACGTTGCCTTGCCAAGCCCGGATACCCAGCAACACTCGTTGGGCAAAAGAGGTCTTCATGTCAACCATCGATCGTGCTTTGTTTCAGCCTTGTCACCGCTGCTCGCATTCGGACGGGTTCTCAGGAACATGCAAACGTTTCGTAAGATCAACCCAGAAGCATCAGATGGGCTACACACAAGCTTTCCGCGATTGACTCCCAAGACAGCGCTCGAACCCAGGATTGGCAACTTTTGACGTCGCGTTGATCGTATATACCTTCAAGCGCTTTCAGAAAGTCCCGCTCTTCCTGATACTGCAGGCTTCCGACAGAACGACCTTCCGTTCCTTCCATAGTGCTGTCGAACATGCTGTTGAAGGGAGGCCTGGCCTCGGAGCGCCCGAAGGGAACGTATATTAAGACGACGAAGATACCCTCATGACACTCCTCTTTGCACCAATCGCCAGAAACTTCAAATCCTTCCAACAGAACTTTACGCCAACCTCCATCATGCATCGATCAATGGCTGTTACCCTTCTGGCGCTGGCCGCCACGCCTTTCGCACCCGTCGCAGCGGACCCTGCTTTCCAGATATCCCTTCAATCCGCACCAGGCTGCGCAGGAGGCCAGATCACCTCCTACACCTTCCAAACATCAGACGCTCCACAGGTCTGCGGGGCCATCCCACTCCCTCCGAAACGAGATATCGCAAAGAGAGCCAACGCGAACCGAAAGTGCCTGTCGGTGGGCAGCGCGCAGTCCTGGGCTCACCTGCCAGCGAGTGCAGACAACTTCTATACTCTCTATGTCCACACGTACACCAGTGACGACTGCAGTGGAGATTTCGCGGCGGCATACTCCACAGATGCAGCAGGATGTGTCGAGTTCGAAGGAGATGGGGACGTCAAGAGCGTCGAAGCTTTTATCTCGCAGTGCGGCAGTCCGTGGCGGGAATAGACGGGCCGCCAGTTCCGCTTGCACCGGTACGCGTGACAGCGACGGACGGGATGAACAGCGACACGACCATCTCGGAGACAAGGCGGCGTGGGCGACTGAGGGAAAGCGCTTCATGCGGAATTGGGAGCCAGCCAGCGAGCCATCGTTTGGGCGAACGCAACATTGGGTTTAAGCAAAGCTATCTCCGTTCGCTGATAGATAAATTAAAACTAGAGCGTGCGGCATCTGGACACAATGCTATCATGGTGTGCAGTAGAGGCTAGAAGTTTGTGAGACCTTCATCGGGGCTGGAGCTCCAACCAGCAATAACCTCAATTGACAGCGGCGATCGGGTGTTTGCATCGGAAGCTGGGTGTGCTTTGGCTGTCACATGCCTCCGATCAACGGTGCAGGAGTTCGTTCGCTCGCTTCGTGTCTGCGTGTACTTGTCAAGGGCTCTCGACCGCCGCCCGGTGACAGTGAGAGACCATGGGCTGCTTCGAGATGTCGATGCTCGTAGGTACTGGCGGAAACGATGGCTCCGGACTTCAGAAGATTGCTGGGAATAGCGCAGGCTCTCTGGTTGACGACGTCGCTTGGTCTGGCCTGCACGCCGGTGCTGGTAACGCTCATGGCTCATGGCGGAAGAATGTCAAGCGCTTGTGTAGCCGCCAGAGAGAGGTCTCTGATTAGTGTGTCGACGCCCTGGGGATGGCCAGGAGAGATCTGGAGCCGCGTGAGTCGGTCTGTCATGTTGTGCTACTCCAAGCGTTCCAAAGTGCCCTAATGTCAGGTTCGGGAGCGGCCACTTGAGCTCATCTGATGGCTGGAACTGGTTTGGTCGTGAGCCTAGTAGTCGGAGAACACGCGCACGTAGAGAGAACAGCAGTGGAAGGTGATACCTGGGGTGTAGCCGGAGCTTGCTCTGGCATGTCGAGCTCACCCCAAGGCGAACTTTTGGCGGATCCCACTCTGGCTCCGGCGAAGAGCCCGGAGTTGCCAGAGGGGAAAGCGGGACTGAAAACCCAGCTTTCTGTTTGTGTTTTGGAGCAGTATTGAGAAGGCTTGGATCATTGTCTTGACTTGGAGGTACTGCTGGCACTGAGTTGAGGAGCCGGAATCTAAGGTCCACGGAGTCGCTCGGTAGAGCGAGGCTGAGCCAGAAGAGCTCGCCATGAGCAACGTCAATGCTGCAAGATCGAGAGCAGCAGCGAAAAAGCCCTTCCATTACGCTGGCTGCAGTCACGATCTCTTGAAGCTTGATGGCGGGCCTTGACTGCTGCGCTGGATTTGACGAGGCGAAAGCTGCTATGTCTCGACGAGCACGACTCGGATGTGAGCGGCTTCTGCTGCTTGGAATGGACCTGGTCTCAAAGGAGGGGCTCGCTTAGATGGGTTTGTCGTACTGGGTGGTAAAGCTTTACGAGTATCATGCTGGTTGATGCAGTTGGCGAGGCAGTTGGCGAAGCAGATGGCTCCAACGATGAAGGTTGAGGCGGCGGCGGCATTCGAAATGCGAGCAACTCGATCCACAGAGCGAGCTGTGTTCGGCAAGCGATGCAGTCGGCGAAGCAGCTCAGGTGAAAGCTGGTAATGAGGAGCTGAGGTCCAGTTGTTTTGTTGGGGTGCTCATGATTAGTGAATGGGTTTTTACGATGGTTGGTGGATGGTCGATGCTGGATATTTGGATGCTGCTGATGGTGGAAGATGGATTAGGAGGCTTCGCCGGCCGGGTCATGGAAAGGGTAATGTCTACGATGCGGGCGCTGAAATTTGCGGTGGTCGCATCAACCGCGGCATTGGTCCGGCTCCATGGGAAGGGGTGCCGTCGAAGATGGTGAGTCCAGCTCTTGTAAAACAGGAGTGACCAGCTTATACCAATGATTCTCCCATTCAGCTCGGGCAAGAAAGGCTAGCGCATGTGACCAGTTCGTTCCGACGAGGTCACTGAAGGCTCCAATCCAATTGGAGAAGATCATCCGGATCCTGGTAGGCAGTTTGCTGTCGTCTCAACAGTTGAAGTGCACACGTGAGTATGCACGACTGCTTGACTTGGTGACATGACTCGACATCGTGCCGCCACCAGTGAGAACGCAAGCATGTGCTGCTTGCCGCTGGGAAGGAGGTATTGGAGAATGCGTTGTGGTGTTTGAAAGTATAGCAACCGGAGTCGCCTGATGGTCGCAAAGCCAGTGGTCGTATCGTCGCTGGCGACTTTGTGAAGTTGAAGATGGTGTTCGGAGTGGACGAACGGCTTCTTGAAGCATCCGATGATGCCAGTGGTTGTATCGTCACCAGCAGGTTGTCTGAATTAAAGTTGAGAAGTGAGATTATAGCGCGCCTGTAGCTGCTGAAGATGCCCGTGGTCGTAGCGTCACGAGCGAGTTTTCCTTGTCGAGCGGTCATCACTCCGCCGACGGGTGGTCTTGCGAAAGAGCCAAAGATGCGTGTTGACGCCAGGCTCTTGAGGCCTTTGAAAAAGTGGTGCCAATGGTCGTATCGTCCTCGGCGAGTTGTGAAGATGTCAGCGGTCGGAGCGTCGCCGGCGAGTTGGTGGTGGCATGCGGTCATCACTCCGCCGGCAGATGGTCTTGGAGAAGAGCCGAAGTGTTGTGTTGGAACCAGGCCCTTGAAGACTTTAAATGTTGCCGATGGTCGCACCGTCATCGACGAGTTGGTGGAAAGTGCCAGTAAGCATATCGTTACTGGCGAGTTGGTATCGTCGAAAGGTCATCACTCCGCTGACAGGTGGCCTTGTGTAAGAGCCAAAGAGTTTTGTTGAGACACGGCCCAGGAGACCGATAAGGTTTGTGCCAATGGTCGCTCGTCACGGGAGAGTTCAGGAGAAGTGCCAGCGGTCATAGCGTCGCCAGTGAGTTGGTCATGTGAAGTGAAGAATATCCGGCGAAGCAAACGAAGGCCACGCAGTATTCACTGCAGGTGGGTCGAGAGGAGGGTTTGATGGGAAAACTGGAGCCGGAGCCCTGATGGTGGTGCTATTGCCGCCAGCAGTCGAAGCGTTGCTGGTGAGTTGATAAGGTGCTGAGCAGTCGGAACGATGCTGGTCAGTTGGAGAAGTGCCGGCGGTCATCACGTCGCCAGCGAGAGCACGTTCAGTGAAGAAGTCTCTGAGGCGCCAGTAGTCGTATCGTTACCAGCCAATTGACGGTTTTCAGGGAGGAGAGGTGAAAATAATGTCCACCGAAGCAGACAGTCGAGCGGTCATCACTCCGCTGACGAGTCGGATCAAAGATTGAAGGAAGGGGTACTAGTGCAGACAACGCCCACTTGAAGCGGGTGAGGAAGAAAGGTTGGACGTTGCGGTGCTGGCTGTGAAGTTGTAGGCTCGATTGAGGCCCGTGCACGCTCGCGCGAGTCATGCGCGATCACAGGCGTGGTCCGCCAAAACTGACCTCACCTCCCTCCGGCACAGATCACTGTAATCGTGCAATATGACCCATCGAGCCAACATGAGACACGCTCCTGGCAGAAGAGTATCGCGCGGCGTGTCATCAATCCGACAGCATGAAGCTGCCGATACTAAGGAAGGGATCGACGGCTTCAGCTTCATATGCAAGACTTCCAGTTGTGACCCGATCTCAGTGCTCTCGCCGCTACTGGAAACCGGTCTATCAACTTCCTGTCTCTCCGCAGACCTTGAACCCCCTCACCTACAGCAGGCGGGCAACATGATCATCAGAGTGTTATCGCTTGCCAGGAACGACTGGTGATCTTCACAATTGCAGCTACACGATCGCCGAATATGCTCAACTTTCAGGAAGCTCCTCTCCCCATTCCAGCGCTATGCGGGGGAGACAATACGGTTTGTGTGAGACTGCACGTTATCTGGGGGCCTATTGGCGACATCTTCGACAAGTTTCAGACATCCCCCGGTGCAAAGGTAGCTTCGCTCTCGTCTGACCTATGCCTGTCAAGCCCGACGTGAGCATGACTGGGCAGGGAAAAGCTGCATAAGGTCTATCCCTCCTCCTCAAACTGTGCCCTCCAGGTTGCCCAATTTCCAAGCTGGATTCAGAGGGACCTGGGGCGAGGACGAAGGGCGAAAGGGGACGCCACCAATGCTACGGAGGTAACAGCGAAGTCGCATTAAACCAGCGGGATCATGTGGAGAGGACCTGGGGATCACAGGTCGCAGCTTGTTCCCCGGGTCGGTATGGTATGTCCCGTGCCGCCTCTTAGCGCATCCTTCGCAAGCACAAGAAGGCTCGGCGTCTCAACTTGCATGTATACCGGAGCATTATCCCGATATTGCAAAGGATCGATGACTTCGGTGTTATAGGTGCGAGCGGACTGATCTCCCTGGCGGAGACTGCTTCGTGGTTTGGTCTCTCGTCGATTGAACAAATTGCCGCCAACATCACAGGACTTCACGACGGTGGAGAGTCACCGCGTTGGCCATATCCAATTGCACCTTTGTTACCGCCACGACGCATGGATTTAAAACGAGAAATGACTTCGGAGACGACATACGTTCGTTCGGACGTTCGGCTCAGATACAGTTGCTCTCCCCACCGAAAGATCTACGAGACCACGACCAGGTGGTATTGCGTTCCGCGTAGGAGTCACTTCTGGAGAAACGTCGACGCTCACTATACGCTGGTGTTTCGGAGCTCCGCCCATATGCGATGGATCCATGATGCCAGAGGACCTTACCGCGTCGTTGAGACGACAACGCATTGGTCTTCGTTGCACCGATCAACGATCAAGAAGAGTGGTATTGGTGGAAGTTCCAACTCATAGCGCCGTGGACCACCCGACTTGAGTGGAGAGATATGACCGTCGACGGCGACGAACCGAAGCAGTCACAGGACGTGAACCAGGGGTCAATCGTCTATATAACGACCTTCGAACTCCAGAGCCAGGTTATCTTCGCTTCACTACCTCCAGACCACACTCACAAACCAAGCCCCCAGACATCAGTTCCCATCCAGCTCGCAATGAAGGCCTCCATCTTCCTCATCGCCACTTCCGTCATTGGCGCTTTCGCTTCGCCAGTGCCGGCCCCTACAAACGAAGACACGAACCTCGAGAAGCGTTGTGATCGAGATGCATATCAGGACTGCATCCTTGTTTACCTCAATCAATGCAACCGCCTCGGTGCAGGTTGTGATGACCAAGCTTGTGCGTCTAGGCCCTCGTGTCTCCGTTTTGAGGTGGTGCTGACAATGAGCATAGTGAACGCTTGCCGCGAGCCAGAAGGCCAAGGAGATTGCTAAAGTAGTCAGAGTGGACACAAAGGTAATCCGTTCGTACCTCGAGAGACGGAATAGCGGACTGACATCGTGCTAGATGCATGAGGATCGCAAGGTAGGCTGGACGGAAGCGACGAGGGACCCCAAACTGAGTTGTTGGTAGACATAGCAAATGCCGTCAGGAGGAAACGTATGCAACAGACCTCTTGCCTCTTGCTACTGCTCAGGTTTCGATGCAATTCGCACGATGCGGCTTCCAATGCGCCGTTCTCTTTCAATCGCTACTTCTGGCCTTCTTCGAACTTCTACTGCGTTGGTGAATCTCCCTCAACGCTACCATCCTCATACATAGCAGTCTCGTCACAGGCCATAATCGTCACAACATCCCATTGCACCAACGCTTACTCCTTCGCAAGCCCCCCGAAAAAAGTACCTAAACATTGCTTCCACTTCCATCAACTGATCGAGATCGCTTGCTCGCAACATGTTGATAGCATTACAGCATTGTGAGGTAACTTAATAACGCTGAAACAGAGGAGAAAAGGTAAACGAATGTGTGCTATACTTCTACAAAGCCTCTCGTGTTGAATCAATCAAGCCTTGCGTAGAAAAGCAATTCTCTTCCCATCCCACCATGCCATTGATAACCAGACCGTCCAACTCGCCCCTTCTTCCCACCCTAAATCCGATGCTCACTGACAAAGCCTCTCAACCAGCGACCGCGCGGAAGTACGGGCAGTTCGGCGGGGCGATGGTGCAAGAGTCCGGCTCAAGCACCGTGAAAGCCCCTCCGGCACCGCTGTTGTCCGAGTCGCATTGGTCCTGGTTGGAGTAGCAATGGAGATCCCTATTCCAAGTCAGCAAATTCCCACAACACAGGCAGGAGGGAAGACAAACACGCTGGAGGACGGGCACCCGTCAGAGTTGATGGCCTTGAGGTAGTTGTGCCCGTTCAAAGTGTCCATGCAGGGACCGGCGCCACCGTAGTTGGCGATGGACGCCAGAGGGGCAGGATCGGTGCACCCCACAGTGTGGGCTTCGATCTTGACGGCGTAGGAGCCGGCGACGCAGTCGCGGGGTTGCAGAATAGCTCCGTTGGCCTCCAGAGTATTAGATCATTGAGGGACAGAGATGCCAGAGGGGCGAAGGGACTTACTAGGGCAACGAGTCCCTGGAGTGCAATGGCAGAGAAGAATTGCATGTTTGTTGTATAGAAGATAGAAGTCGTGAAGGACAGAAGTGTTTTGATGCCTGTTTCTGGTTGTAAATGTAAGTGTCTCTTCATCGACCTTGCGGGTAGAACTGGAGCTCTTTATACGTGAGCGCCCCCCCGGACGTGCCACCAAGGCCATCAGCCCTGATGCCTTGGAGAACAGATCATGTCGTGTCCCTCACCACGAGGGTCTTTCGCCATCCAATCCTGTTCGGTGCAACAGCAGGTTCACACTGGATCGTGATGTCGCCCTTGTTGATCTCCTTGGCTGAGTAGGAGTACTGCCAATCAACTAGCAACGACCTGATAGCTGAAAATATGTCTCGTAATGCTTCGCACAATTTCTGTTCAGCTTCAGCTTCAGCTTTGCATATCGGGTCCAAAGAAGGAGCCTCGAGGCAGTGCTCTGGAACTACAAGCTCCACTTCGTGATCAACATCGTGTGATGAACCCCGTGTCCACGTACCGTTGGGGGCAACCTCCAGCACTCCTCCGTCAGACTCGGTCGAAGAGAGTTTCAGAGGTGGAACATCCGGATTGATGCTCATCCGAAAGGTGCTAACGAGGTACACAAAATGGATCGGATGGAAACCATTTGGCATGCACCTCCATCCCTTCCAGCATCAGTGCTGGAAAGCAAAGCCCAGACTCGTTTGGTCGAACCGCAATGTGAACTTCCACGGGAGTAGGATGTTCTGTAGGAAGCCGATGGCAGAGCTAAAGAATGTCTCGATGGTGAAGTTCATCGTGCCTGTTCAAGCTGTCGACAGTGAAAGTGGCCTACCAGGTCAGAGTGAACCGTGTACGGGATCTTCTCACGGACAATGACCGCCAGCTGAAGAGAATGGTGTTGTCTTTTTAAATTCTGATCGTAACCTCGTCCCGGAGAAGACTTCCAGGCGTGCCTGGGTGGCCCCTTCTTTGTCTCTCGCTTGCCGTTCCCTTCCTGAGTTGTCTTGACTCTCGGAAAGGGACTCTCCTCGTGATGTCCTTAGGCAAAGTGGATCATCATCCGGTCCACTCGGTGCCGCTGAGAACAGCACAATGCTGTTGCATTCAGCGCCAAAGATCCATATTCTCCCAGATGGAGCATCAGACCCGAACCAAAGCCTTTGCATGAAGTCGGGGCCGTATCCGAAGCCCTCAGCTACGGCTGATACCGCAGTCAATCACCGTCAAGTGGACATAAAGTCGCTTTGCTTTGAGCCGCCAATAGAGTTTTCATTCATCAAGAACGTCCAATTGGCCGCCGATGCTGGAACGTGCCTCACTGATGATGGCTTCGATGGTGGTATGGACGAAAAGCTGAAGCCAGGTGTTTCGAACGCCGCTGATAGCTGAGCAGCACAGCCTGTCTGACCAAATCGATAGCTCCACTCGCGCAGTCTGAGAGGCACAATAGTCACCCACTTCCCACATGCTCTTGAGCGTGCGGTCGCGAAGAGAGCCAGCAAGGTCGTTTCAGAGCTGAGCGTAGATGTCTTTCTGCCGACGTACAAATGAGCATAAAGGGAGTCCTTCGCTCAACTCGGGACTCTTTGGTGTAGATCCTGTAGCATGAAGCTCGCTCGCTAAAATTGGTTAGGGCAAGAAGGGGTGATTTATTTGGGCAAGGCCGTCGAGACCAGCGGGGAAGAGTAGGTTAGAAGTTGATGCTAACATAGAGCTTGCGGAGTTCTAGCTCGACACGTGCACACGCGAGTCATGCGCAATCACATGCTTCCGAGGTCTCGGGAGCACAGCGAAGTAGACAAGAAGAATGAGGACGGAACTCAGCTGCAAGCACTTGAATGCGTTTCAAAAGCGACAACTACACACCACCACAACATCAATGCTTCATCTCCTCCACCTCATCGACACCACCCTTGGTATGTCTGCCCGCCGCGCCGATGTCCTCAATATCGCCAAAGTTGGCCACGCCGAACAGCTCGTCCATGCGCTCCAACGAGATACCCTTGGTCTCTGGAATAAGGAACCACACCCCCACAATCATCACGGCGGAGAAGGAGCCGTAGATGAAGTACGTCCCGAACCCGCCCTTGCCCACGGTCGTCAGCATAACCGGCGTAGCCCGCGCAACAGCAAAGTTGAACAGCCATTGAGTAGCAGCCGAGAGCGCAACGTTCAAGCCGCGCAGACGCGAAGTCGGGATTTCCGAAACGTAGATCCAGCATACAGGACCCCAGCCCAGTTGAAAGGCCGCGGCGAAGAGGTAGACGGCGACCAGCGCGACGTAGCCGGAGGCCTGCACGGGGGCATCGTCGCTGATGTTGGCAAAGCGCACGTAAAAGCCAAGGTAAAACATGCAGAGGAACATGGCGAAGCCGCTGCACATGAGGGACCAGCGGCGGCCGGCGGCGTCGGCGACGAAGAGGAGGAAGCAGGTGACGGCGATGGTTCTGTGGGGGCGTGTTAGTGGGAGGAAAGAGTGGGGAATGATAGGTGGGTAACGTACCGAACGACGCCGTAGACACCAGTGGCCAGCAGTGAGATGGTGTTGTCGGAAAGACCGAGGGAGGCGAAGATACGTGGGGCGTAGTAGTTGATCGCGTTAGTGCCGGTCCATTGTTGAGCGCACATCAGGCCTGGCCATGGCGTCAGCAGTGTTTCAAATGTTGGATAGCTGTTGCCCCCATGATCACATACCCATCGAGAGGAACGCCCGGCGACGGTTGCCGGGAACCGTGAACATCTCCCTCAAGATAGCCCCGTAGCCTGTACCGCCGTTGACACTAGCCATCTCTTCTTCCAGCTGGCGGTGCATTTCCAGAATCTCTTGCTGCACGTATGGGTGGTCTTCGGGGAGGCCGCGGATGCCGGACAGAACCGCGTTGGCCCTCTCCCATCGGTCTGTGCGTGCGAGCCAGCGTGGGGACTCGTTCAAGAACAGCTAAAAGTCCAAGCATTAGCAGACGTTCTGGATATGGTGGTCTTGCTCATAGGTGCCATACCATGCTGATGAAGAGCAAAACAGGAGGAAGGCACTGCATAGCCAATGAAACCTGCCATTGCGCATTGCCGGTGACATTGAGCGAGACGCCGTAGTTGATCCAGAAGGCGACCATGCTTCCGATGACCTCCATGAATTGGTAGATGGCGACAAGCATGCCTCGGATGGCTATAAGAAGGAATCAGCAAGCGTCTTGGGGTACGCGTTTGCTTGCTAATAACGTACCACGCGGCGAGTTCTCCGAGATGTAAGTGGGAGTCAACATCGTCGCAGCGCCCAGGCCCAGACCTAACAGTGATGTGTTAGCATACTGAAGAACCGCTTCCCGCGCCTGGCTTTTGCTCACCCTCAACAGTTCGTCCCACATACAACGGCTCCAGATGGCCGAAGGAGACGACTTGAAGCAGACCTCCGATAAAGGCCAAGGTGGCAGCGATGAGCAGACCCGGCTTTCGTCCAAGTTTGTCGGCGATGGGATAGGCGAGGAGGGCACCGAAGAAGGCTCCGGCTTGCATGACACTGACGATGTTGGCAGACAGATTGGCGTTGGCATTCTCAGCTGCGTCGGTCCCGAGATCAGAGAAGCCGAATGCACTGCAGTCATTGTCAGCGAGGGTGGCAGAAGGCGAGATATTAGTCAGGTAAGGTATGCACCCACCTTTGAAACGTAGGAAGGCTGATGGCACCCCCAATGATACCAATGTCCATTCCGAACAGAGTACCACCGAAGCACGAGCAGAGGGCCAGGAAGAAGACACGAGGGTTGTAGATCTCCGGGGGGTCGACCTTCATGGCATCGTTCTTGACGACGCTCTTAAGGAAGCGTCCACCGATACCCATCTTGATCACGTATGGCGCGCGTTGGCTGCGTGAATGGTGTTGAGTAGGGAAAAAGGTGCAAGGCAAAAGCGAGATCCGATAAAAAGCAGATGGGCCCCCCAGGCTATCTATACGGAGAGCTGTGGGGACTCCGGGGAAACGTGAGCATCGCTCCATGTGACAGCGGCAACTGCACGCAAGATTAACGGCGATTGAGAGATGTTCTATCCAGCCGGCGACCCGTGTTCCGTGCTACACGGGCCAAGTAGTGCTTGGGGAGCGCCTCGCCTGGGCAGAGGGGGCTTGTGTCGGCCACATTCATTGGCGGAGGAAGCTTGAGATTTCAGCCTGTGGGAAATGTGGTCGACAGCGGCTTTTGAGAGCTGGGGAATTTGGGGGAGTCGAGGAGCAGAGGATCGGTGTTCAATCTCCCGAAGGTGGCGAGACCGGATAAATCGTGATATTCTTCAACGGAGCAGGCTGCACAACCACATGTCTTTCGGATGAAGTCATCTCGGCGATGCTTGGAATCCTTGGATGCTCTGGGCATACCGGAGTAGCGGCAATCATCTGCCTGAAGTGCATACCACGACGAGAAATGGCCGACTTGAGAACATGTAAAGAAGAAGAGCAAAGGAAAGATTCCCCAGAACAGCGGAGTTGATGAGGACGGAGTATGGAATGATGCCGGTTGGTGGAGAAATGGGGCAAGTGGATGCCAGCCACGCCTACTGAGGTTGATAAGGTGGAAGCACCCCGACGTCTGTTCTCCAGTATTCTCGAACGCTTCCTGCCGCTGGCCGGACTGATGAAGGGCTCCGTCGGCGTCGTGTCGATTGCGACGGTGGTGTATCGGTACTGGCGGCGGTAGTCAGTGGTACTTGAAGACGACTTCCCGCTGTCCCGGCGGAGCACAGGGCGGTGGCATCATCCTGACAGGCCTCTGGCATCCAACCACAACAGCCAGCGTTTGCTTCCGCGGGGAACCGTGAAACCGCACGCGTCAAGGCATGGCTTTCTCTTTAGATGCGCTCTTCATGTGACGAGGCATGAGGTGATGTAAGTTATCGCGCTTCTTCACACATTTCTCACAGATACCACTTCTCGACACCCTTCTCCCCACCCGCCACAAGCAAAGATGGCCGACAACGTCCAACTCTCCTCCAAGCCCTCCTCCTTCCAAGCCGTCTTCGCCCTCGACCTCATCACCTCCGCCATCGCCCTAGCCTTCCTTGCGCTGGCAACAAAGCCGACCTTCGTCCGCATCAAACGACGCCGCTTCTCCACCCCTGGACGCGATCGCGGCGCACCTCTCAAGACCACACTAGGCACATACCTCTTCCTCTACCCGGGCCTATTCTGCTTCTTCCTCGCCTACACCCTCACCTGGGTGGCAGACTTGCTGAAGAGCAGCGGCAGCATCAACTACAATGGCGAGATGCAGCTGCATGGGCGTTTTCCGGTGAGCAATACCAGCTTCCAGCGCAGCAGTGCGATACTGTCGTGGACCGTCGCGCTCGCGTCGATCTTCTTCACCGCGCTCATCAACGGCGGCGTGTGGATCTACTCCTCACACCTGCTGGCGAACGGCACGTTCAAGAAGTCGCCTTCGACGATATCGAGGATCTGGAATACGTTCATCATATCTGCCATCCTCGCCACAGGTTTAGCAGCTTGGGGATTGGGCATGAGCCATCGAAGCAGCGGCACAACATGGTCTGATGCCGTGTATGACAACAGCACTACGCGGGCGCTGTTTGTGGCGTACAGAGCCGTGGTCATTGGTGCGTCCTTGAGCGTGTCGTTCGAGACGTTGTGGAATTACTTCGACGTCAACTCCAACAGCAGCAAAGATGTAAGCCTCATCAACACCCAGACACAGCTCTTCCTTCGATATATTGGCTAATACCTACGATAGTCCTCCGAGCGCCCCCACCTCGCCCGCTTCACCTTCGTCGTCGTGCCCATGATCTGGCTCCGAAACGCCTTCATCATCTACGACATCGTGCTGATATACCTCGACTCGGCTGGCTGGTCAACCACTACAAAGCTCGCGAGTCGGTTTCTGCTCATCATTTTTGGGCAGTTTGTCAATCTGACGATCTTGGGGATGATTTTGTGGGGAGCCTGGAAGACGGGGAGGACTGTAAGGATCTTTGAGCAGGGAAAGACCTGATGGGAGTTTCATCGGTGCAGCGTTCGTAACGGTAGTTAGGTGTTTTGCTCTCTGTCGCAGAATAGACGGAGCGATGGGTGCGAAGGTTGACTTTCAACGTTGTACTACATAGTAATATTAACCAGCAATCCAAGGCATAATCTACATACTCAGCCAAACTGCTTCAAAGACGACTGCTACATTGGAGATCGTTGAAGTTCCAGACCACAAGCCGCCTTGGCAGAAATGACGTCAAAACATCAACAAAGGCAACTCGTTGAACTTTCACATGAACCTCCCTCCAACTTCTCCCCCACTTCTACCAAACCATTGCCCGCTCGAACACCCACCAAAAACCATCACACTCTCAAGAGCTGCAAACATGGCCGACAAAATCACCTCCACCGCCAAAGCGGAAGCCCGCGACATCTCCGCCACCGCGCAAGAAGCCGTCAAATCTGCAGCCTACCTCTACCCACTCAAAGTCAGCCTCCCCCTCTCCCCTCCTCCCCAAATATCGCAATACTAACATTCACACGTGTAGGGAATCGCATTCTTCCTCTCCCACCGCCCCCTCTGGTCCCCGCTCCTCTCCAAACTCGCACCCACCTTAACCCTAGGCCTGGGAATCACGACTTTCATGTTCGCCTTCACCTACCTCCCGCAAGTCGCCGTGCTATTCTTCACGTCCGGCCCTCTCGCTGCAATCACGACGGTCCTGTTGGTTTTGAGCGAGAGCAGCACGTTGACGATGGTGCTGTCGAAGGCGTTGTTGATCGAGGACGCGCTGATCGATACGTTCGACGGCACGCTTGTGGCGCGGGGGCAGGCTCCTCTAGTTGAGAGGCAGCGGCAGGTGAAGTCGAGCTCGGCTGGCGACTCGATCGCGCGGTTGGGGAAGTTGATGGGGAAGCCGTTTGCGAAGTTCACCCCGACGGCCATTATTCGGTATTTCATGTAGTAAGTACTGATGGGTAGAAGGGTCCTCCGAGACAGGATCGAAACATCCTGCCGCGCTCTGAGACCCTATGCCCGCTATCCGCAGTTCAGAGACACTTGCTGACCCTTTTACCCATCTGTGCTTTAGCCTCCCGCTCAACTTTATCCCCGTCGTCGGGACGGTCATCTTCGTCCTCTTGCAGGGACGCAGGACTGGACCGAACGCGCACTCGCGGTATTACCAGTTGAAGAACATGGACGCGGCGCAGCGGGAGAAGTTCCAGGAGGCGCGCAAGGGGGCGTATACGAGTTTTGGGGTGGCGAGTGTGGTGTTGGAGATGGTGCCCGTGGCTGGTTCGTTCGCCCTATCCTTACCTACCTTGTGTTGCTGTTCTGGCGGTTATGCTGATTTGTGGTTTGATGGCAGGTATCCTCTTCGCCTTCACCAACACCACCGCCGCCGCGCTCTGGGCAGCTGACATCGAGCAAGCGAACGAGAAAGCCGAGGGGAGTTCGCCGGAGCTCCGGGATCAGGCGAAGAAGGCTTCGTAGTGGGGCTCTGAACAGGCGCAGCAGCAACCTCTTGTAGCAGAGGAACCTGAGCGTCTCGTCAGAAGCCAGGACAGGGAGCACAGGACTGTGTGGACGGCTGAGTGGTGGTGAAGCGCGAGGGGTGGAATGAATGCTTTACGTGGTCGATGTGTTGTTTGCTTGATGACTATTGCAGGCATGACTACGTGGGTATTGAATGCATGACGAACCACCTGCCTACCTACCTACCTGCCTACCTCCTCCCCTCCAACACCCTGTACGAGTACGGGAGCAGAAAATTGATGATGAGGGACACAATTTCAATCGTTCCCGCACCTCACTGTCGTCTTGTCCGGGTTCCTTCCAGTATCGTACAGGCGGGCAAGAAGTGCTTGTGCTCATCACAGTACCACCTTCTGCTCGCAAGTACATGCAGACTGCTCATCAGTAGGAAAGTACCGTACTGCAGCTACATACCTAAGGTAAGCGAAAGATGAATGCAGTACCTTACGACGGTGGAAGTGGAAGCTCGAGCATCCCAGCCCATCCCATGCTATTGCATGCCATGACATCGATTCTCGATTGACTGTAAGGTACTCTCCTCTTCCCTTTCCTACTCCAACGCTCCTTAAAACGACACCAGTGCAAACGACAACGATGTTACATGTAAGGTGTACGGTGTACGAGATGAGAGAATAGGCTACTGTAGGTACATGTACTGTCTCTCCAACGAACATCCAATACCCGCTACCCGCTAAAATAACAGCACAGTACAAACCAAGGTAATACCAAACAGCCCTCAGGACGCCTCGCTGCGCTAAACATAAACACAAGCATGAACAAGGAACCCGGCATATTTCCTCCACCCAACCATCCACCTTCCCATCCACCCCCTCAGCGAGCGCTCCGCACACTACTCCTCTTCCCCTTACTCCCGCGTTTGCCCCTCCCGCCATCCGCTCTCGAGGAGTCCGACTGTCCGCCAGCCGCTTCTTCAGCTTCCGCGTCCCAGTCCATCTTCGTCATCGACGCATCCCTCACTACCGCTCCACACCCTTGTCAGCACACCACGCCCAAGCAAGCATCAGGGTCAGGGGAGGCGAGGGAGGAGGCTAATGCACAGGCCCGCTGAGCTGCGGCGCTGGCCCCCCCTGCGCCCTTCCCCCAGCAGAAGTAGAAGTAGACGGACGATAACTCCCCCCCATCGCGCCCGTCTCCGCGTCCGGTCCCCTCGCATACGCCGCGTCCCCAGACCCATACCCCGGATGCATGCCCGCCACCTCCCTCTCCCTTTCCCTCTCCCCCGCGCCGCCAAAAGGCCCACTCCCCTCCCTCCCTGCCCCCACATTACTGCCCCTCATCTCCGTACCCGCGCTGTTCAGCCGCGAAGCGGCCGGGCTGAGACCCTCCCTGTCGGCGATGTAGTCGGGCTTGGTGGCGACGTTGGGACGCGCGACGTCTGCTCCTGTAGCGGCGTTGTCCTCGTCGAAGGCGAAGACTTCGGCTTCTTTTTCGTTGAAGTCTTGGCCGGGGTTGGCGGTTTCGTATTCGAGGATTTTGACGAAGCGGTAGAGGCCTACTGCTAGGAAGGTGCCGAGGCAGGGGCCTGGTTATGGCGTTAGTAGGGGAAACGGAGAGGGGGCAAGGAGGGGAGGAGAGGGAGACGCACCAAGCCAGTAGATCCAGTGGTAGCCCGGGAACGAGGCCAGAGCGACGCAGGGGCCGAAGGAGCGTGCGGGGTTGAGGGAGCCTGTATGCAATACATCAGCGGATGAGTGACAAAGGGGTAAGGGGTGCGGATGGCATACCGCCAGTGAAGAAGACACCCGCGAGCTCCGCGACGAACAGCGAAAGGCCGATGCCGACGGGTGCGAGGAAGGTACCCTTGTGCTTCTCGGCCGCCAGCATGAAGATGGTGAAGACGAGTTCGGCGGTGAGGAACATTTCGATGACTAGATCCTCAATGTCAGCTTGCGCGTCCTGCCATTCCGGGAGTTTGTCTGCACTCACACAACCCCCGAGCAATCGACGTATCACTCGAGAGCTCAGTACTGACGGCCATCGGCCCCGGAAACAGCGCCGCGACCACGCCCGCCGCGCACATCCCCGCCAGCATCTCCGCGATGAAGACCAGACCCGCGCGGACCCAGGTGATGCCTCCGATCATGGCCAGACCGAGCGTAACAGCCGGGTTGAAGAGACCTGCGTATCCCACGTATCAGCACCACCATCCATAACATATCCCCTCTGCCCGTCTCATCCTCTTATTGGTAGAAACTCACCCCCCGAGATCCGAAAGAACACCCAAGCATTCACCGCCAAGCTAAACCCAAACGCCAACGCAATGTACAGCAGCACGGGAGCATTCGGCACCTGCGCCAGGCTCGTCGCCCCATCGCTGTCGGCGTTGCTATCGGTGACGGCGGCGGCGGCCGAGTTGGCGACCTGGGTGGCGGCGAAGGCGAAGAAGAGGAAGAGGAAGGTGCCGACGAACTCGCCGACCATGGCGATGAAGTGGTTGCGCAGGCGGTTGGGGAGGAAGCCGATGAAGGGGCTATGAACAGAATATTGTCAGTGGTAGGTTTAGGAGGGACGTGGAGTGGTGGAGGGGACGCACAGTTTGTGTTGCTTCTTGTCGGCATTGTCGTTGCCGCTGTTGCCGGCGGTCTCTTTCCGCTTCATGAAGGGCAGCTGGATGAAGTTGGAGGAGGGTTTGTCGATGTTCATCTTGCCGGTATTATTGTCCGCAGTCAGTCGAGCGAGCGAGGAGTTCTGAGGTCGAGGTAAGGTAGGTAAAATAGGTCGGTCGAGATGAGGCGGGGCGTAGAGTTCAAAGTCGTGCTGTATAACAACGGTTCGGCAGAAGGCGAGGCTGTATTCTTATCGGGTAGTGATGGGATGTGGAGTGCTGGCAGCTATGACAGCTACCCTAGGGCCGGATATAACAAGGAAGCGTCGTAGATTGGAGGATGTAGATGGATGCAGGTGACAAGGTACTCGGGGCGGTGGTGAGCTCGAGGGAGGAGACGGAGGGGAGGAGATGGAAGGGAACACACGGCGCTGAACAGCAGGAAGCAAGAGCAAGAGGGTGAAGGTGGGAAAGGTGAGGTGCGAATCGAGGACGGCGGGAAGGTTCCTCTGTTTCACTCTCGAGTCCAGAAGGAGGCGTTCGCCTCTCTACCGTTACCGTATCCGGGTGCCAGCAGCAATGCAGCAACGTCTACCATCCAATTTCGTCAGAGACATGGAAGTGCAACGCTGACGCACTCTCCTCCCCTCGTCTCGTCCGCATCTCCGCCATGCCATCTGCAGCTCAAGCAAGCAAACAAGTAAAAAAGTGCCTGCATGTAACATAGCTTCAGCCGCAACACACGTCAAGAAGTCAAGAAAAGAGCCAGGATCGTCACTTCAAGTGGCCGGCGCGCAGGGACCCTAGTTGAACATCGGCCAAACTAATGAGGTAGCGGCTGATCATCGCTCGCCTTGGGCGCGGTGAAGCGAGGGGGGACCGGGATCGTCTGCCGGGTTCTTCTTCTGACAACCACGGAAAAGTCAAGGATACACATCGCCTTCGATTGCAGTCGTGAGATGATGAAAAGTGCAGCTGAGGTCAAATCGTCCATATCATGGACAACGCAAGCAGGAGGCTCCATTCAAACTCCATAGAGTGTACGCACTCTTCTCCACACACATGTGAAGCTTGGCCACCTTGGCCTTTGCGTTTGTCTCCACGGCACGCCCAAAGCGGAAGATCGCAGGAATTTGTGGTCTGTGGTGTGGTCAGAGCCCCGTTAGATCTGGCGATTCGAAATGCGCGCTAGACTGTCATGAGAACTAGAACCTACCTGCCTCAGCCGTCGATCTTGAGCCGCATTCGACTTTCACGGCAGACGTTTCTTGCACCGCTTTCGGCGTGGCAAGCTGGTGGACGCGTGGACGGAGACGTGGGGCAGGAGGCGTGGCGTGGGGCAGGAGGGGTGGTGGGGAGATACCTATGACTTTTTGACCGACTTGAGTGATGGAAGTGTTGCGTGATCATGGATGATCAGATGCTGGAGGTACATGTAGTGGCGGAGAGAGGTCCGAGTCCGAAGATCACAACATGCAGCGTACAATGTGCCGAGCCGAAAATGGCGTACACGCAACCTCCATGGAACGATGCGGACGCTGTTGCTGTTGTTGAAAAAGTCATGGATGGATTCGCCGCTGTACAAGTACCAAACGCTCAACGCACCCACAGAAACAAAACAAGAAATGACCAGCTCGCTATGAGTAAAAAGACTAGAAAACGCATCCCCGTACACTCCATCCATCAGCCGGGTATCACTCACTCCGCACCATCCCACCCAAACAAAACACAACGAAAACCCCAACCCCAGCAACACTCCCATCCATGCCCTTCTCACCGCGTCCTCCCCCCACCAACCCCCCTCTCCAAATCCTCAAACATCTCATCGTCCCGACTAACCGGCTGCGCGGCCTCCGGGTCATCGTTCCGCGTGACCGCCACTTGCTCTTGCAGTAACTCTTCTCCCTCCTCCGCTTCCTCGTCGTCGTGTGACTCGGCGTGAGGGGTGGACTCGTCGGCTCCCTGGGCAGGAGAGGAGGATGAGTGCCCGGTGAGCGAGCGCACGACGTCGCCTTTGCAGATCGGGCAGGTGCGCCGCCTCGTTGTTAACCAAGGGGTACTATAATCACGTTGGTCAGCTCAACGTCCCCGGCTTCAAAGTCGGGTAAGAAGAAGGGGAGGAAGGAAGACGTACATGCACTCCACATGAAACTCATGCCCGCAGGGCAGACTCATCACCCGGCTCACCCCATCCACGTACTCCTCCAGACACACCACGCATTCCCGTTGCTTGCCGCCGTACCTCCTCCTCCACTCGGACAGACCCGCTTGCCGCTGCTTCTCTTCCACTTGCTCCAGCGACGGACTCGCCATGCCATCTCCAGAGCGCAGAGACGAACCCGCTACCACGGGCCCTTCAGGCGTCGTGCGCGAACGCGGACGGGAGCGGATCGGTCGCGCGCCTGAGACGGGGAGGAGCGGGGTCGTTGCGCTCGCGCTCGCGGGCGAGGAGATCGAAGATGTAGCTGACGAGGTCGTGGTGCCGGTGCTAGACATGGTCTGGTACGTCCGCACGGGCAGCCTCTCCACCACTGACTTCGGCGCCCGCCATCGACGCCGTCTTATGCGCGAGCGCAGTAAGAGCAGGGCGTAGACGACCGTCAGCGTGACGAGCGGGGAGACGACGAGGACGAGCAGGGTGTCGAAGAGGGGGGAGGTGGAGATGGAGGTGGGCGTTAGGGTGACCCAGAGGCCGGTGTGGGGTTCGGCGTCGTTGGCGGTGTGGGGTTTGAGGTGGGAGGCTGATATGGTTGTCTCCTTGCCGTGGGTGGTGGGTGGGGAGGAGGGTGTGTCGGGTTGTGAGGGGGAGTGGAAGAGACGGCTGAGCCAGCCTTTCGAATGCCGGGCAGCGTTCTGTTGCTCGTCTGAGTGAGTACTGTCGTGGTTGTCGTTCTGTCCATCGGGTGCATTGGCTGCATCGTGCATCAATCTGGCGTATTCGCCGCTGCCGGGAGTGATGCTGTCCACTCTTGGATCACCCGACGGAGGGGCGCTGCTACTCTCTGCCACCTCCTCAATAGAGGTAGATGGTGGCTGCAGCTGCTCCCTCTGATGTGCAACCAGATCAGGATCTCGCCAGTCCTGCACGCCAATCACGAAGCCGTCGCCTGAGTCACTCCCAGGAGGAATAGACTGCGCTGCAGCTGCCATGCTCGTAGTCGTCTGCTTCTTGCCGTACTTCAAGACTTCCTCATCGTCGAATTCTTCTTGTAGCACCCAGCCTACCTGGTCTTTGCGTGATGTTCGAGTGTCCGGCGAGACTTTTCGCGTGCGTCCAAACAAAGAAGAGAGCCAGCCAGTCCGCGACTGGTCCTGCTGCTCGTTGCCCGAGTCGTGGCCGCTGTCCTGCGTGTTCTCGCTTTCCGAAACCATCGAAGGCCCCGTCGTGGATGAGGAGGTCGTGAAGTTGGGCTGGTCCGCAGCCTCTCCGTTCTGACCTTCACCCTCCTGCTTGTCTGCCTTCCCGCCCAATGCTAGACCAAGTCTCCTCGCGTCCTCCGGAGTAATGTTGTCAACCGCTCCACCAGACGGTATCAAGCTCGAAAGCAAGTGCGCCGTCGTATACGAAGTAAACAGCGAAGGGATCGTAACATTCGACGTATCCCCCCGCGCATACATCGTGACCAACGGTCCTCCTCTTATATCATCTCCCACAATCAGCGCCACCCCTCCCCGTCTCTGCACCCACTTGACCTTCTCCAAGAACCCACACCCCCCTCGACTCAGCAGCACCACCTTCCCAGCAATCTCGGCACTCTCCTGCAAGCTCTGAATATCCGCATGCGCCGCCTTCTTCGCTCCGCCATCCCTCCCCCCATCCGACGCAGGCAGAGGATGATGCAAATGATCATCCGTCCCATCATCCCTTACCACCCCCTCCCCCTCTTCTCCCCCCTCCTCCTCGTCCCCAACACCCTCATCCCGCTTCCGCTTCTTCGTCCCCGCCATCTTCTGCCCCTCAGCCCACGAACTCTTCGCCTCCCCCAGACTCTTCCCTTGCAATCCAACATATCCCCCATCGCTCCACCCGGGCACATCACTACACCCCAACTCCCCCTCCAAACCCCCACCACCTGCTCCCGTGCGGCCTAAATGATCATCCCCAAACCCGCTGCCAATCCACAGTTGACCGCTCAGACTCTTCGCCGGTATCAGCGGGCCGAAAGCCGCGGGACGAGCGAGGAAGAAGGTCGAGTTGTCGTCGGTGAGGCTGATGATTGCGGAAGGTGGGAAGAGCGAGGACGGGGTGCGCCAGTTGAAGTAGGAGGTGAGGGTGTTTTGGGAGTGGGGGGTCGAGGAAGGGGAGGAGGGGGAGCGCCAGGGGCCGAGGTAGAGGAGGAGCAGGAAGGCGAGGATGCTGGTGGTGAGGGCGAGGAGGAAGCGGAGGGGCCGCATGGTGCGGCGGTGGATGGGGGAGGGCAAAACCAGTGGCCAAGTGGTGGAAGGGCGAGAGGGTGGAAAGTCGTCCTTGTTGTGCTGTCGTTTCGCTGTGAAGGTTGTTGTATGGTATAGCTAGCAAGGACGCATGAGCAGTCGATGTAGTTCTAGTGGCGCCTAGGTGGAAGCGGAGTCGGACGACAACACCAAGAGCGCGGAGACGGACCCGTACGTGGAATCAAGGTTTCGGCTTGCCGAGTTCAGGGAAGTTGGAAGGCAAGAACAACTCTTACTTCATTTTAACTCTTGATGTCAAACATATCCTGAAGGATGTAGGTGAATGACCCTCACATCCGGCGAGATGATGCCGACCATCACATGGACGAGAAGCGATGTCCCCCACGTGCCACCATGGCTGCAGCGTTTCCGACGCAGGGCGATCAAAAGGTCATAGGCTATTAATACTTAATCCCTCTTCATCCGCATCAGAACATGTCTCTCATACCAAACCCACAGTCCGACCCCAGATAGGATAACAACATTTGAGGACATCTCTACCAGGAAAGACAACTACGTCGGCGTCTCGCCCACCCGATAAACCAACTTCTCCCCACTCAGCCTCCCGTCCCTCATCTCCTGCATCCCCCCAAACACACCCACCAGCCCCTCCCCTCCCACCCTCACCGGCGCCGGCTTCAGCCTTCCTTCCTGTAACAACCTCTGCGTCAACCGCCAGAACATCCTCGCATGCTCGAGATCCCCTTCCTTCGCCGGCACATGCGCACCGAGTTTATCGAAAGCTTCGCCAAAAGCCGTGTAGCCGGAGGTATGCTTCAGCTCGATGTCAGTACGGGTATTAGATTCCATGGCGCTTTTGAGGAGGTATGTGATGGTGCCGCCTTGGGAGGAGAGGGCTTCTTCGCAGATGTTGGGTGAGCTGCCTTCGGAGATGCAGTCGAGGGCTAGAGTGCATTTGTCGTTGGTCCATGAGCGGATCTTGCTTGCGCAGTCGGGGTCTTTGTAGTCGAAGACTTCGTCGGCGCCGAGGAATTTTAGGAGGGGCCAGTTGCGAGAGGAGGCTGTGGCGATGACTGTGTAGCCGGAGCTAGAGGCAGGGAGTTGTGATGAGCGGGCTTGATCTTGAAGTAGTTCCCCCAGGTTGATGACGGGAGGTAACTCACAGCTTGGCGTACTGGATAGCGAGCATACCAGTCCCCGTGCTTCCTCCATAAACTAGCAAGGGCTTGCCGTGATGCTCGCAAGACCCAGGCAACGGAAGTCTCAGACTCTGATACAGCGCCTGCCCGCACGTCGTCACTCCGACGCCCAACGACGCCGCATCTTCGTCGCTTATGCCTTCTGGGACCTGCTTCAGGATTCAGTGGTCATGGTCTGATCCTGAACGGCCGAGATATGCTAACCCGCAAGCCCACACCAGCCTTCACCAAACAGTACTCGGCAAAGCTCCCTAACCGTCGGATAAGCCTTCTCCCTTACCAAAGCCTAAGGTATACGTCTCCGTACCGTCCTCAGGATGCGTATCATTCCCTCCATGCACAAACGCAGCGATCCGATCGCCCTTCTTCCAGTCATTCGAGACGTTCGTCCCAACCTCCTCGATAACACCGCCTAGTCAACGGCCAGTCAGAGAGCTCTAGTCGGTGGTTGGAAAGCAGAGGAAAGGGTTACGCATATCACTCCCTACCCCCGAGCCCGGGATCCCGCCATCGCCATCGATATGTTTCCTGATTGACAGCGATGAGCTTACCTCTTCTACTTTGATCAAGGCAAGGAATCTTCCTTACCAGTCGGTTGGATTCAACGCCACGCAGGTGACTTTGCAGAGAACATAATCGTCTCTGAGAGTCGGGAGAGGGACGTCTTGGAGCTCAGCGGCTTGTTTTGAGCCGCTTTGGATGATTTTGATGGCTTTCATCGTTTCGAGAGTGGATTGTGAGGGCTCATTTGAATTGGTTACTTGGAGGAATTGTCGCGGGAGTCGGGACGACATGTCGAGTCCGTACGGGCACGGAGACGGCTCGCAGGGGTCTTCAAAACTCGGCGCCTGTCCTTCTTACACCTACTCCTCTGTCTGGGAAGTTGGGCACTACGTGAGCCTAGTTGATGGAAACATACGGAATATTGGGACATAGTGACGAGACATTGTTCTTGCACTGCCTCCCGTCTGCTGCACCATCCAAGTCCTAGTTCGACGCCCGAATCCTTCCAAGCCCCCATTCCCTGTCCCTCGCTGTCTTCTTCAGCAATGGAGGCGCTCTCAACTTCTGATATTCAGGCCGTGATTCCTTCTCGTCTGCTTAGAAGTAGCAGCGAAAAGACTCCGACCTTTTGACGTGGCTGCAGTGCTTACAGCCGAGCCCAAAGAAGCACCCACAACGACATCGAGATCGAGACGAGATGGTCTACCGAGGGAAACCGAGTCAAGCTTGCGAGCAATGCAGGGCGAAGAGGCGTCGAGTAAGCAGCTCACGGCGATCACGCCAGGTCAGAATTGCCCTGTCCTTCCTTGACTAACAAGCTTCTCTGTTATAGTGCGATCTCCAGCGACCTCATTGCGGGCAATGCAGGCGTGCTGGCCATGGATGTCCCGGATATCGCCTCCTGATAGACACCCGCTTCATCAACTACACAAAAGGCACTGCCGCTCGTCCCAAGGCGTCTGCAGCAGCGCCTCACAGCCTGGATATGGCATCTCCGGATACACTCGTCTCCGACCAAGAAGCTCAAACGTCAGCCCCCGAGACATGGCATGATCTACTTTCGCTCCAGAACTGGCTACCACCAGACATCCGCGCTGTTGCCGTCGCGACATTCCTTCAGCACTGTGAAAGCTACCCCCGAGAGCTTGTTGGCCACCGACAGGGCTTGTTTTGCTCCTCCATGTACGCCGGAGGGATATCTAGTGCGCTTGAGGATGTCACCACTGCGGTAGGGATGGTCATGTTGTTGGCAAGGGAGCGGCGCTGCTATAGCAGACTTCACGCGCTGTCAAGGAAGCACTATGTCGCAGCGTTGAAGGCGGTCAACATTTCGATTCAACGAGCGGAATTGGCGACCTCACATGAGACGCTGCTGGCAGTTATGCTACTTGCTACCTATGAGGTATGGAATGACAAAGACGGTGTGCTCGCCAGCTGCTAAGTTCGACCAGACTATGGTCCTCACTTCGCAAGACGCCGAGCAGTCGTTTTCAGCCCACAACAGCGGGACCCTGGAGCTTTTTCTCTTCCGCGGGCGAGAACAGTTCAAGGACACCAAGGCTTTGCAGCTGTTCTTCCACTTGCGGCGTCAGACGGTAAGTGTAGCAGGCGAAGCTGTCGTCGATATGGAGACTGAGTTTTAACGAACGCAGATCCTGAACGCTCTGTGGACGACTGACAACATCCCTCAGCATTTCCACACTCTGTCTCAGTGGAGCTTCGAATTTGAAACCGATCAGCAACGATCGGAATCAAAGCTGGCGGCACTCACGATACGACTCTGTGAGCTCCGCTCCCAAACGCGAAGAGGTCACTATTCTGAAGCACCCCGTCGCTCTGTCGTAGACGGTTTTAGAGAACTGGACCAGCTTCTACAGGACTGGAGAGATCACAGTCTCGACGCCGGGGACTCCTACGACCGCCACATCCGAGAGGAGGAAGATGTTCTCACGGCAGCCTGTCACGAGAAACCAATGCCGCCTGCAAAAACGCCGCTGCGGCTAGATTATCTCACCACACGCCTGCAGGTGAACCAATCGCTCCGCGATGTGCTCAAGGAAGAGGACCTTCTGGCAGAGAGCGATTCAATGTGTGCACTGCTTCGGACTATCTCGGACTTCCGGAGACAAGCTCGTACGTGCATCGAGAAGATGCTTTCTCAGGCCAGGAAGCAAGACACGGACAAGCCTTCCGGAAACTTTGCGCTACAGAGGCTCGCTATCTGGCCACTGTGGGTTGTCGGCAGCGACGAGGACGCTTCATTATCTGATCTAAGCTGGATACTGCTGCAGCTACATGCTATTGCTAAAGACACCGGGTGCCTCGCTGCTCGGAGGGTTGCTGATGCTATATTTCAAAAGACTGGAACAACCTCGCCTGTCGGGCCACGCAGTGAGGCCATTCCGGTGAGGACTACCAAGCCCAAACAATCAGGCCACGGTAGCAGTCTCATCCTGGACTTTCACGAGCAAGATCAAGCTCCTCGCAAGGCCAATGTGCTTGCCTTGCCAGCCACATAGTCCAAAATCCACCGTCATCAGGAACCCTCCAGTCTAGAGGCACATCGATCGTTGTGCGCTCCACCCGATCACCAAAGAACTCCAACTCCGCTCGCCTACTCCACCTTCACACCCCGATGTCGTCCCCCACGAGTCCTCGCAATCTCCCAGATATGCTCCGGGGTGTATTCTTTCACCCACGGTTTGTATCCCATTAGCCACCCGATCGAAGACACAGTGGTTAACAGCGCATGCGTGACAGCATACTTCAGAAAGAACGGACCGGGAACAAAGACAGGGAATTCGTCGACGTAGGCAACAGTCGTGCCGATCTGGATCAGATCCAGGGCGCCTGGCTTATTGTTCGATTCGAGGATGGCGCCGATGACGTTATAGAAGAAGACTGCTTTGAAGCCGTCCTCTGCGATGGATGCGTCAGAATGCCATGAGCCGGCAAGCAAAAGTACGAGCAACGGCTTACCAGGATCAACCCACTCCTCGATCACCGTATCCCCTTCATCGAAGGCGTCCCCCGAATTGTCCGCTCTTCCGAACTCATGGACGGTGTACTTTGGGAACGTTAGGGTCCCGTCTTCAGGACCATAAAAACGAGTCACGCCGGCTGGTGCGCATCAGCATCCACAACAACAGGCCTTGGTCTCCTGCACTGGCTTACAGATAGTAATCGCCGCCCTCCCTTGGACGACCCTCACGCTCTCATCGTACTCTTCATGCCAGTGCAACCCGGTCTTCCAGGTGCTGCCAGAGGGGATCGTTATGAGCCTGCTGCCGGGCACAGTCGCTGAAGGCGAGTCGCGGGGAGGGAAGGAGAAGATGGCGAATGCGCCTGGTCCTGTTTCGAGGCGGAGGGAGTCGCGCTTGCCGTATTGCGTGCGAGGCATTGTGACGCGGAGGTGTTGAAGGACGGAAGGAGGATTTACTACGTAGCAATGCTAGATAAACGACTTGCGGTGAGGCTCTGTGAGGTTTTGTTGGATTTAAAATGTAGTGCTTAGGTCAGCAGCGGGTTCATGCCGCGAGCGTTCAGCGTGGAGCTAACAAGGTGGCTCTGCTTACTACATGGCATGGTTTGTTGCTTGTGCCATTGTCTAGCCCGATGAGGAGAGAGATATGGGTTCTGCCCAGTGCCGCCTCGCCGCTAGCGTCGAGCTGCATGCCGAATTGGGATGTTTAGCGTGTTCTTTTTTCGACCGCAGCTGCTGCGAGCAAGAGGATAGATGGATAAGAAAAGTACATCTACCTATTCCTGAGACGTCAATGAGGGACCTCGGTCAATGCTTGTCAGGCTGCAGTATCGTGATGCTTGGGAAACACTTGCCACTTGGTTGTGTTGTTGTTGGTATATGTTGTTTCCGAAGTCATTGATCAGGCGTTCCCCATACCTTAGCATATTCCAATCGTCACATGATCGCGGCCAATCTCTCGGTACTTCACAATCGCAGCAATGTTCATGAAACACGAGAGAGTACTTGTTGTCCTTGTCGTACAACAACGAACCCATCTCCATCGGGACGACAATCATCGCAAAGCCTTTGCACTCCGCTCCGCCTTTCCAAGATTGGTTGGACCCAGAGAACTTGTCATTGTGAAAGCCAAGGTGTCGAACTGTGTTGCTAGTTCCAGGAGTGAAAGGTCTCAGGCTGGACAGCCGTCTTCGAGCGGTTTGCAGGTTGCGCAGTCCTGTCGTACTCGTTAGTCGACTTGGACGAGAAGGGCGCCGGGAGGAAACCAAACGAACCTGAGGACATGCAAAAGGGGGCGCAGCCGCATTGGCCCAGTCGCAGCAGTTCTGGAAGAGACGCGTGGGTTAGCTTTCTGCCCTTGTAGTCCTGTCCATCCGACCGTAAGGTGGAGACGGATTCGAGGAGCATCATACCTGACAAGTACAGATTTGCGAGCTCCACACCCCCTGCCCGTCCTCCGCGTCCGCCTGCGGTTGTGTGGTGTCGAAGGGCACGAGGATGCTGTACGTGGAACTGATCTCGGTCATGCATGTGCCGGTCATGTCTATCGCATTCATTTGTCAGCATGCATGGTGTTGAGTGAGGAGAACAGCGGGCTCACGATAACAGCCGGGCGCGACGATCAGATCGCAGGTAAAGTTTCCCGTGGCGTCGGTGCTGCCGCAGCTCTGAGAGACGCCGGAGGAGTCACCGACGAGAGTGGTTTTGGAGAAGGATGCGGAGAAGCCTGCGCTGCCGGCGACCTGCGTGAAGGAGCAGAGGTTAGCCAGATGGTCCCCTGGGTATGTGTGAGTGCAAGTAACGTACTGTGGCTAGTTCGCTACTGTCGATACCAAGATCGAAGCCGACAGTCCATGTGGTTCCGATCGTGCGGGTGGTGCTGTAGGTGTATTGGGCACCGGGTCCGATGGCTGTTTCGGATGGTCAGCGGTCGAGGTCGAAAGATCGGTTTGAGCAGAATTCTTCGCACGTACTGTTCGGACCGAGATACTCATCGCAAGGAGTGTTTTCTTGAGTCGCGACCTATCATGCTCACATCAGTCGGTCAGTGCTTGCTCGAGTCAAAGTAGATAGCAGATGTGCGCACCGCTAGGTTCGAGGAACAAGAACCGAGACTGCAGGTCGTATCGCTGTTGCCGCCGCAGTTGATTGGCGCGTTGCCATTCGGACCAGGTGGAGTATAGTCGCTGGGCTTTGTTGCGACGTCGTCGTCATTGTCGCAGAATCCGACAACGACGTTCTTCGCGCTCAGAGCCTCGTCAGCCTCGTGACGAGGTGTGAGCTCCGTTTGGTAGTGTGACTTACAAAACCGTCGTTATCAGAAGTGAAGGCCTGCCCCGACACAGGATGATGCCCTTCTCCACCGTCGTAGCAGACACCGAGGATCAGTCCGGCAAAAGCACTACCGTCCGCGCCCGTGAAGGTAATGTCGAAATCGTTGTCGTTGCAGACGTACACCCCGCTATACCCAATTAGCAAGTTTCGCATCTACAGCAAGCAGCTAGCGCTACCTCGTGTTGTAACAGCCTGGGAGGAAGAGTCAGCAAGAAGTGATGCAAGATCTTCAGGGTCAGCCGCCGTACCAATGCGGTTACATGTTCCAGCTGCGACAGTCTTCTCGTCACCGTTGTTGAGATTGTTGATGTTCTTGCCAGTGTCGACAGTGTCCGCCGTAGAGTAGCCACCACAGCTGATCGAGGTGAGTGTGTGGGTGTTGTATCTCTTTTGAAGAATGCGCTTCGCCAGGGCACGCGGGTCTGGAGATGAATGCGAGGACGGTGGAACAGCGATGGCAGCCGCGAGTGCCAAGAAGGCAGTGATGAGAGAGAACAAGTTGAGTGGGCACGGCATGATGACTGTCGAGGGTCCTGTTGGTGACGATGCGGTGCGATTACAATAGTAGGATGGCACAAGATGTCAAGATCGATCGTGGAAGCCAGCGACCGTGGTTCTATTTATGTATGTTTGCCAGTTGACCGGGCTCGAGACTATGGTCTAATGAGCAGTGGCCCCGACAAGGTCCAACATCAGCCATTCTTGGACATTGTCAGGATGTTGACGATCCTCCACTCGAACCGTCCTTAGTAATCTCCTAGTCGGCGGTGGCATGTCCATGTGAAAGGGCCGAATATGCGGTCGTGGGACCCACTCTGGCTCGTGGTCAAAGGACGGTGCTCGGCAAAGCCAGAAGCCACTATCCGCACTGAGCGGAGAACGTTGGTTCGCTGCAACAACGGCGTACGTAGGGGTGTTCAGCCGGGTTCTCCCAGGCACACAGCGTGCGTCTGCATCTGCCTTCAGCATCAGATCCTCGTCTCAATGGGTGGTATCGACCCTTCGACCAAGCCTCCCTGGTGCAAAGGTCTGTTCGTGGATCGGTCCTTCATCAAGCATGCAGAATTCTTCGAACGAGCAGTGTCGTATGGGCCTGAGGAGGCCCCGTCCGTCAGTCATCTCTCAAGCTTCGGCCGGCGGTTTTCTTAGCGTCTCCAAGAACTTCCCGGGGGGCCATTTGGAAGAGACTCGAGATGGTGGAGGAAGAAGGAAGCAACGGCCGTAGAGTTTCGCTGTAGGGCTGCAGACAAGATCCTGGAAGCTTTTGCTAGAGTTTCACATCCACAAATGTGGCAATGCTGGGCGCAGCCTTGTAGCACCAGACCAGACTGGCCAGGATAGGCCAGCTTCCCAGCAGACCCAGTAGAGGATGTTGTGGTTCGGCTATGTAGCACGACGATGTGGAGGCAGCTCGCAGCCATACGTTGGATCCGCTCCCCTGAAACACGCTTGTCTCCAAGCATCGGTGGGCGTCGACGAAGGATCTGGTCGCAATCCATCGCTCCCTACACGGCTCGAGATATGGTCAGTTCGCGGATGCCAATTCTGAACATGGCGATTCAAGCATAAGGAACGAGTGCTTGTCGTTCCATCTCGAACGCTATGAGGACCTCGTCCCTTCAACACCGCATTCGCGGGGGCTGACCGGTGGCCGTCATATCCGTGCCTGCGCTATAAGAACATGTCGGGATGAGTGGTGCGATGTAGCCGGGAAAAAGCAGAACCAGGAGAGGTGGCGCTGATATGAGAAAGGGGTCGTTAAAGGGCCTTCCCTACAGATGGACTTTTGAAGCCGCATTGCTTCGGTTCGTTCACGAGTCTTCTCCCAGATGGTCTCGTTCACAAAAGGAAAGCCGCTTGAAGGTCACGTGCACAGAAACCCTAAAACAACCTCAGCCCTCCGGACAATTTCATGCTCCGCTTAACCAGCCGTTGTCTTGCCTCCTGCTCGCTCCATCCTGCTTCACCATGGCGGATGACTAAAGATACCTCCATCAGCCCCAATGGCCCCCGAATACACTGGCTGTGTGTACTCCCCGAATTCTCATGCAAGGACGAAAACCCCACGAGTTTGGTAAGCTACTTGTATGATGCGGGGGGTGATGCGTGAAGTGGTAGGAAAGTATATCAATCTCTTGACCTCAAGGAATTAATGTAGGAACAATTCCCATCTGAACTCAACGGCCCAAGCAGGCCAGAGAATTTCACCATCATCCCATCATTTTCTCATCTTGATTCCTATTGAACGTCTCATTTCATCCCATTTACTCGTCCACTACACCAAGATGGCAATAGAAAGAGTCCTCATCGTCGGCGCCACAGGCAACATCGGCGTCTCTGCCGCCATCGCCAGCCTCCGCACCGGCCGCGAGGTACTGGCGGTTGTCCGCAACGCTGCTTCTGCGGAGAAGTTCTTTACCAACGTCGGGACGAAGGAAGGCATTACGACCGTTGAAGCGGACGTTACAGCAAGAGATGGCATGCAGAAGGTGGTGGACAGGGTGAAGGCGGGAGAGCTGCCGGGGTTTCAGCACGTTTATGCTTGTGGTGAGTTCGAAGGATCATCTATGGCGAGGTTCGTAATAGCTGATGAATGGTGCAGTTGGACTCTGGCTCGTTACGCCGGTGCATGAGGTCAGCGACGAGCAGCTCCGTAGACATATGCGGATCGGATTCGAGTCGAACTTCTGTACGTTCTTCGGAGCTTTCACACTTGCTGATGACCTCCGCGAGCTGATCAAGACTTGTCAGTTGCCTACCGCGCCACCCTCCTCTACCTCCTCGCCCAACCCAGTCCCACAACTTTCACAGCCTGCACCGGCTCTGCAGATACTTCAGGGTAACTCTCATCCATTCCCTCCACCCACTACTTCCACTAACGATTCCTCCCTATCAGCTACGCCGGCCTCACCGGCCCCACCCAAGGCGCACTCGTTGCCATGCTCAACGCCGCCATCTTCGAGAACCAGCACCGCCCTAACAGCCAGCTCCGAATCAACGAAGCGCGCCTCAACATCCGCGTTGAAGTTGATGCGGAGGCGGAGAAGCATGGGGTGATGAAGGCGAGTGAGTATGCGAAGGTGTATGAGGGGATCTTGGAGAGGGAGGAGATTGAGGGGAGTAGGGTTGTTGTTGAGGGGCCGGGAGATGTTCATGAGTTGAGGGCGGAGAAGAAGCTGAAGGGTTGAGCAGGTGGGATGGTTTGGCAGGGGTAGGTGTCGTGATGAAGGGCTGGAGGAGAATATCTGAGACAGTCGGGCTGGAAGTTTGAGGTATGCTTGTCGTAGGTAATGGGCACGACACTCCTTTTTCGTGCTATCTTTCATTACTTCGCAGAAGAACTTGCTTTGCTTTGAGTTGCTACCCTCGCAGATCCATCCTCAGCTCACATCTACTCATACCACCGCAACCATGTTCGAACCGCTCTTCATCGTCCTTACCAACCTCACGCTAACCCTGCTCTGTCCATGGGACCCGCGGCTCAACGCTTTCAGACCACCAGCATACCTGGTCATCGTCCACGTTACCACCAAGAACTACGTGTCCTGGACAATACTTTCCAACGTCTGCTTCAACCGTCACCACCTCCACGAAGACGTGGAGGTTGAAGACGAGCCCAGAATCTTCTCTTGGATCTCCTGGTTCATCATCTTGGGTGTGATGATATCGCTTGACTGTGCAATCATTCTCTCGAGGATGCAGGCTCCCATCCAACACACTCCCGCCGGGCAAGTTCGAGTTGCGGAAAGGCCAGTGCGGGTACGGCAGTGGACACGAGTGACGGTGCCAGCACGGCGCGTGAAGCCGTCTCCGCAGATTCGGGTATCCAGAACTTTCCTGTGAGTTGGCGGTTGCTGTGCGTTCGGAGACTCGTGAGGCTGGCCCGTCATCGCGAGTATGGAGTTGACAGCTGCCAATGGTACTTTGAGTGGACACTTGTGTGGTGATCGATGTGCTGCACGGCGGCTTGCATGCCAGTCCGAACGACGACTGAGAAAGGATGCAAGCGCTGCACCGATTCCTTAGCCAGGCTGATATCCGGGCTCCATGCTCGATGTCTTTGCTGGCCGGAGACACGTCAGGAACGAGATATCAGGCGAAGATCCAAGATGAAAGACATCAGTGTCTGTGTCGTGATTTGTTTTTTTTTCAACTGAAGACTCTCGGAGGATCTGTCCGATGCGCGGGTCTCGTCTGCTCAAAGACAAGCCTATTCGTGCCGTTTGCTAGGAGAGACCTGTATGCTACGGCTTCAGTCCTTTGTGTTCGATCAGCATATCACGAGCAAGGATCCCCATCCAGCTCCCTCTTCTTCAGCAACACCAGCGAGCCACAACACCCCAACAGCCTTCTCACTCAAACAACCGCAATCCAAGATGTGGCAACTCCTCGTCACCTGGATCCTCCACTTAGCCCAGACCATCGCCGTAACGCAGCACATGTTCCGTCAATGTCGCCGTCGGCCACTCTGGGGCTATCTGTTTGTCTGGATCATCACCAACCCTCTGCTGTGGTACTTACCACTACCCGACGACTTTCGAGCAGCAACACGGTCATACGTCACTTACCTGGGCGACCTTGTCCTCTCGGCTCCGTGGAAAATCAGTCTTCTCGTAACCGGACTCTGCCTCCTGCTCACACTCATCACGTATGCGAGTATGGTCCTCTTGCAGCCAACGTTAACGCTGACCGCTAATCCAGTGGGCTCCATGACGGTCCAACAGCTCGACGACAGGATCACGCGACTTGCCAACGATGCGATTGACGAACAATTCCAACAACTGAATACGGAAGCCGGCGCGTCGGGTCTGGAAGTTGTTCTCGAGCGGAAAGTTAAGCAAATCATTGCTTCTTAGGAAGAGGCAGTACTGCCCTAGGCAGAGCTCGCCCAGAAAGCGCGAGAGCGTCAGCAGTCGGGAAGCGGGTTGCCGACTTAAGGAGCATTCAGGATTGAAGGAGCTGAGCGTGCTCGAGGTTGAGGACGGTAGGTTAGGGACAGCAGCTTCTGGCTTTTCGCATGAATCGGAAGACTTTGTTGCAGCTGTACAATGGCAGACCTTCCTGTGTGGAGATGGCTTGGAAATCTGCTGTATCCAGGGTGTCGGCGGCGGCGGCGGCATGGTACCTGACGTTTTGGTCATGGATGGAGTTGATGGATGGGCGGTCGGGCTCCTTCATGAGCTTGTGTATCGGCCTTGTTGCTTCCTAGTCGTATCGTAGTAGAGTACTAAGAAAGGTATCTGCTGTGGTTGTATGCTTCGTCCAACCCACTCCCTCCATTCGGGATCTGCCGAGCCTCCAAAGCGGCGACAATTTCTCCTTCGAATGCATGAGCTTCGCATACCTCATTCACCAGCTCGTAGACTCCTCAATCATACTCGCTGTGCTCGAGACCTTGGAAAACCCGGGTGGAGGGCGGTATTCCATCTTTCGAAGGTCGTCCAAAGCACGTCACCGGTACCACTTCGCTCGCCCAGAATTTATACTTCTCCGAGCTACGACTTCACCTCCCATCACCTCCCCCATCGCCTTTTGTACACCCCCCTCTACAAGCGCCACCACCTCCGCCGCTCATTACATCAACCTCGATGCGGCCATCCGACCCCCCGGACAGCTGCCATAACCTCCCCCTGCGCTCTCCGGGTAGACGCCAGGTCTGAGTGACCCGTCTGCCCGAAGTCGCGTCGCCGTCTCTTAACCATGGCCAACTACCACATGCCGGCCGGTCAAGGCCCACCGCACATGCAGCAGATGCATCCTCACCCTCGGCGGGACTTCAACCCATATCAACACCACATGCCCCCTCAGTCGCCTGGCATGCACCCCTATGGAGGATACCCGCATCCTTCTCAGTACTACCAGCACCCCCACGGGCCGCCCCAGCAATTCACTCCTCAAAGATGGCAACATCCATACCCGAATCCGCAAGCCTACATGCCACCTCCTCCGCCCCAACAACCTCAACCCCAACACCAACAGCAAATACCCTACCAACCGCGCTCGCCGATGGTCGTCTCCTCCCAGCCTTACGCTCAGCCCGTGACACCCTCGGCTCGACAACACCAAGTCCCTCCGCCGCACATGATGCATCATGCTTCACATTCACCGCGGCCTGGCCTACAACAAACGCCATCGTACACACACGCACCAGTCGCGCCTCCCTCACCCGCCCCTACTCCAAAGCACGATATCGCGCCGACCCCGAAGCAAGAGGAGGTCATGCCTAATACTACATCGCAAATGGCAGCCACAACTCCAGCGCCGCCAGTGCAGGCTCCGCGCGCAGCGCCTGTCGACCCGCTTTCGCTGCCAGCCGAGCACAGAATGCCGGCGTATCCCCGCTTACCATGGTATTCACACGAGGGCGGCGCAGCTTCCTTCCCGGCAAGAGCGACAAGGCGGCGCAGACGGAGGCAGAATCTAGATGACGTCGAGACCGTGGCACTTCCAGCTATGCCGGGAGGAGAGGTTGAAGCTAAAGAGCAGGCTGGCGAAGAGGCTGCATCGGAAACATCTACAATACCAGCACCTTCCGAGCCCGAAACACCCGCTACCTCTCAGGCTCCCTCTGAGAGCGACTATACCGCACGCTCCGTTCCAGCTACGCCAACCACAGCCGCGAATGCCTCACCCAAGCCAACACCTGCGCCTGCTCAACATGCGCGCAGAGATACCCGGACTGCGATAGCTGTTCCTAACATCCCCAGCATCAGCAGACCTAAGCCTTCTACGCCCACGACTTCTGAGCAGCAGATTACATCACCCGCAGCGCAAGCTGCCACTACGCCTACACTGGAAGAGCAGAAGCTGGAAGTAGCAGACGGTGAAGAGGCAGCCGAGGATACCGCAGCGCCTGCTGCCCCAACACCGAAGCCTGCGCCAAAGTCGTGGGCTGACCTTGTGCGCCGCAATGCTCCTCCAGCTTCTGCTTCTGCTGCACTCAACGGCGCCTTCCTTACCAATGGCTTCCAGGTCCCGAAGAGCGCGTCCCTCGCCGATGCTCTGCGCCAGTACAACGTTCAGAACAATCCCACCCTCACCTTCCTCGAACCTCGCGGCCTTGTAAATACGGGCAATATGTGTTATATGAATTCGGTGAGCACTCACATTACAACCCACGACTTTAGCTCCAGCTAACGCTGCCCAGATTCTCCAAGTTTTGGTCTTTTGCGTTCCGTTTTACAACTTCCTGGACCAAGTTCGCCAGCGAACGGTCCACTCCATGAAAAGCGATACCCCACTGGTTGATGCCATGATTATGTTCATGAGGGAATTCAAGGTTCTTGCAAGCGCGGAGTCTACGGATGGGCTGCGCATGCAGTTGGGTCAGCAGAAGCTGGAGCAGTACGGCGAGCCTGTAATACCCCAATACGTGTACGATGCCATTGCGAAGTTGGAGAGGTTTGTGAGCATGAGGGTGAGTCCGACCATCCAGCGTGTTGAAACGTAGAGCTAACGCAGCAACAGCGCGGGCATCAGCAGGATGCTGAGGAGTTCTTTGGGTTTCTCTTGGAAGGTCTCCATGATGAGTGTGTCTCTGTCATGAACGGCGTCAGGGATGAGAGTGGCGTGGACAGCAGCGTCACTTCGCCAGATACAGTCACCTCTCCTGGTGGCGCCGAAGGGTGGTTGGAAGTTGGTCCGAAGCAGAAGGCTTCTGTCACCCGCACAGCAGGTCAGCAAGATGCGCCATCACCGATCACGAAGATCTTCGGTGGACACTTCAGGTCCGTCCTGCGTGTGCCTGGCAACAAGGACTCAGTGGTGCTGGAGCCGTACAAGCCTATACAACTCGACATTGGCGCACCACACGTCAACAACATTATCGATGCGTTGAAGGGATTGACTCGGACTGAGATCCTGACGGGTGACTTCGGTGGCAAGGCCACTGGCGCCAAGAAGCAAGTGTTCATCGACACTTTGCCTCCAGTGCTCATCCTCCACCTTAAACGCTTCCAATACGAAAACAGCATGACCGGCACCCAGAAGATCTGGAAGAAGGTCGGCTACCCGCTGGAGCTGGAGATTCCCAAGGACGTCTTCCCACCCAGCTCGCGTGGCGGTCTTGCAGTCAAGGGCGGCCTCCCCAGATACCGCCTCACTTCCGTCGTCTACCACCACGGCAAATCCGCCGCCGGCGGCCACTACACCGTCGACATCCTGCGCGAAGACGGCCGCGAATGGGTCCGCATCGACGACACCGTCATTCGCCGCATCCGCCCCGAAGACGTCGCCGAAGGCGGCTCGGAAGAAGACCCGAAGCTCCTCGCCAAAGCTCTTGAACAGCACAAAGCTGACCAGGACCTGCAGAAGCAAAGGAACATGTACCAGGGGCTCGATGAGGCAGAGAAGGAGCCCGAGGAGGAGAAGCCGTGGTCGGAGGTCAATGGCAACGTGCCGGGGCATCGCAAGTGGAGTAGTATTGCGAACACGAACACGAATGGGACGGCGACGCCGACGAGTGGGGGGAAGAAGACGCCGCAGGCGAGGAGGGAGGGGGTGAAGGATAACAAGGTCGCTTATATTCTGTTGTATGAGCGGATCGGGTCGTGAAGGGGTGGGGGGAAGCAGGGCAGTAGATGAGGTGGAGGCGGATGTTGACTGAGAGTATGAACGTGCTGGGAGCGCGCCTGCTAGCGCCGCTGAGCTCGCCACTGACGCCACCAGCGATGCGCGAGGTAGCAGGAGGACATGAAAGAAAAGTCAGACGACGAACCTACCCTTCCAGCCCTTCTGCATAAGCGGCGGAGGAAGGTCATTGTATCATACGATCGCCGCGTCTTTGCGGGCTCTTGTACGCCGACGGCTGGGGGTGAGGTAAAGTAGATAATTTCGTTGTCGATTTAATGTTGCTTGTAATCATTTCCACTGAAGCGTCACATCCTCAAGTGCAGGCCTTCCCTGAGCTTGCCTTGCCTTCCCTGCTCACCTGAGCTTGCTTTGCCATGCACGCTCGTCACTCGTCGCTCGTCTCCAAAGCCAGCTCACACCCCTGCCGCGCTTGAGTACCGTCCTCTTCGGCACTGTCTCGTCTCCTCGTCGCAAAGCGCGGTGAACAGGGTGCGAAGCTGTCCGAGACAACAGCATCCTCTCCTCCCTCATTTCCACGAACTGCAGATCTCGTCCACGCCCACATACACCCCCAAACGGTAGCTGCGCGGTCCTCTTTGCCTGCGTTAGATCTTCTTCGCACATCGTCCCCCTTCCCATTAGAAGAAAGTCATTCGCGAAGCCATCCCAATAACGGCCCTCATCCCCACCATCTCCAAACTAAATGCCCGCCCACCACCACCGTCCCGAACGCTACAGGTACTCCCAAAAGCAACTGCGCCATCCTCCGCGCTTGGGTACGATGTTCTTCGGACATCGTCTGCCCTTCTTTGCGCGAGGAGGCGTTGGAGGCGTTGGTGGCGGTTAGTTCGGTCAAGAGGATTCCTAGGGAGGGGCCGGAGAGGGAGGGGCGGTGTTGGACGCCGGAGAGTTTGGATTCATCGCGGCTTCGGATCCTGGGGGGTTTGGAGGGGGTGGACGGAGGTTGGGTGGCGTAGGAGCAGAGTGAGGCGGGAGACAGACGTACGCTCGCCCTCGTGAAGATGGTGGGACGAGGTGAGATGGGAGATGGTGGCATTTGGGATTGAGATGCCTTTGATTGCCTTTGCTATAATTTTGCCTTGTTCGTCGGTAGTAGCTCCATGCCTCGTTCTTGAAGTTGCCAACCAAGTTAACGAAAACGCCGTCCCTCCATGTCGTGGATCGAAAGTGAGGTCAAGTCATTGACATCGTCGTCGAAGGCCGGTATGAAGAATACTGTGGTGGTCTGATGGCTTCCGCAACCACCGTACCACCTTTCAACCGCACCTCATTCCAATCAAACTCTCTTTCTTACCTCAAAGCTGTCAAGCATTAGGATCCTTCTTCAAGGCACAGCGAACCGTTCAAACGACTACTGCAACCAAGGCAGTCCAAGAGCTTGGCCTAGCAAGGCTGTGAAGGCGAGTGACACCGGACAGCATGCAGATGCACGGCGGCGTGAGCCGAGCGAGCCAGCCTCGTCTCAGCTGTCACCGACATTATTAGAAGTGATCGCCCCAGGTGTTCATTTGAGCCTCATACCATTTCCTAACATCGCCAGGCAAGTGTTTGTCTCTCAATATGTTCTGTCTCATCATTTAGAATGCCGTCTAGTCTGAACGTTTTCCCACGGCTATGAGCACTCCCGACACGAGACGAGTGGAAAATCTCCTCCGCGAACTCGATGCACAACGCACAGCCTACATTGACACTTTCACAAAAGTCCACGAGCAGATCACTCAAACCCTAGCTTCTACCGTTTCCAAGGATGTCCTCCGCTCTGGAACACCGCCAGCTTCACAACAGCCGGAGTCACGCTCACAGCGCTCACAGCGTTTCTCAGAGTCTCGCGCGGGTTCTGACAAACATGTGACTTCACGAAGGTCGCCCGCTGGACTGTCGCCGCTTCCTGCGTCCTCTACTGGTTTCGAATCAGATTCAGATGATGGCGGTGACGAAGCACTCTACGTGCAGACTCCGCTGGAACCGCAGTCGTTCGACTTGGAGAGCTTGCGAGCTCATTTGAGATCTCATCAATGGGACAAGCAGACTCACAGAATTCTGGATGGTGTGGTCGGCAATCCTTCACGACTCTCGGAGACACCGCTGATACCGAACCGGAGAGGCAAGCTGGAGGACCGAAGCGACCACACGCATTACCAAGTTTTCGATGTTGGACCAGATGGCTCTGTTCTGCCGGTGGACTTCTCTCACATCGAGAAGGACTTTGGTCGAGCGATGGCGTTCTGGCATGCTATCAAGGAGATCAACCCAGAGACCAAGCAGAGGCATGCTGTGGGCCGCATTACAATCGTGCGGGAGCCCAGTCCGATCCTGTTCGGTGCGATACATTACACGATGAACAAGCACTTCGACATGAACGAGCTTCTCGGTCATCTCTTTGCAGACGAGAACTCCTCTGCCAAGCTATTCCGATCATTCGAAGACGATGCACGACGCCAGCGAAGCTTCGTCTTCAACTTCGAGTACTTCACGCTGATCGGCAAGGACTGTGAGCCGATGAAGTGGCAGCTCGCGGCCGGGCAAGAAGACCGAAAACCATGGCACATTTCAATCACCCGGTGCAGCTCGGTGGTGGCGCTCGTGCTGAACGGCCCGAAGATCAAGGAAGTGAAGAACCCACGCAGGCGCAAGGCGAAAGACAAGGGCCCTGTCTATGATCCTTTCTCATCCTGGCAAGTGCTGAACATCCAATGCTACCCAGATCTCCAAGCAAGCCTGGACGTGCACGACTCTACCAAACACTACGTCAACGGCCCCGAAGCCTTCATGACAACAATCCTCGGAGAGTTCCGCGACGCCTACCGCCGCTTCAGCGAAATCACCAAGCGCATCTCCAAACGAGTCCGCCCGCCCCTCGAATTCATGTTCGACTCCGTCATCCGCGATAAGCTCCTCTTCGAAGACGACGAGTACACCATGGCCCGGCGCTACTTCTGGGCCCACACCACCCTCGGCATCATGAACGAGAGCATCAAAGCCCTCGTCGACGCCTACGAGGAACGCTTCACCGACGAAGTCTGGGAGGGCAAGCACAAGACCCTCTGGCCGTTGCTCGACGAAACCTCCACGCGAAACAAACACTACCGCAAGAAAATGTCCCTGCTCCGCGCGGAGTTCGACCTCATACTCGCGCGGTTGCGGAGACTAGTAGACGAGAACAACGACCGCCGTCGCGAAATCCAGGATTTGCGCGAAGACCTGTTCACAGGTACCTCGATCCAGGAGAGCCGCAAGTCCGTCAACGCGACCGAAACAACCGTCCAACAAGGGCACAACATCAAATTACTCACAATGGTCTCCATCTTCTTCCTCCCCCTCACCTTCGTCACCTCCGTCTTCGGCATGACCGACATCGATGATCCGGATTACCGCGACTTCACCATCGTCACCTGCACCGTCTGCGTGCCCTTTTTCGTGCTCATCGGGTCGTTGAACTCGAGGCGCGGGCTGACGTGGTGGAAAATCAAGACCCAGGCTTTCTTCGCGGCGATGGGAGTCTTCTTCGCTTGGATGACGGGCAGGGAGAAACCTGCCGATCCCCCGGAGCTGATGGCGGTGAAGAGTTTCGACAGCCAATCCCGCGCAGACACCATCCGGTTGCGCCGTTTCTCGTCTATGCAGAATCGGAACGAGCGCGGTGTCGTCCGCGGCGAGACGATGGTCGAGGAACCCAGCTCTCGAGGCGAAGGCGATAGGAGGGTAGAAGACGGTTTAGCGCTGGCGGCGAGTGTCTCCCCCGCTGTGCGGCCGAGTTTTGGCATGGGTAGGGTGGGGACGAGCAGGATTGCGGAGATGTGGGGGGATGAGCGAGAGAGGAAGAGGAGGTTGACTTATGGGGAAGATGTGTAGGTGGGGATTGGGTAGCTTGCTGTATAATCTATGCCATGCGTGAAGCACGCTCAGCCTGTTTTCGGTTTTCGTGTGTCGTTGGTGATTGGGAGCTGGTGATGATGGCGCCGTTAGGTGGGAGCTTCAGTCTCCGCCCTGGAGAGAGGTCCGGCATGAGGCTCCGCCTGTGAAGGTTCACTCACTCACGAGCGAGACTGTGTGCTGAGAAGGCAGCGTTCCATGTCGACTCGACCCGAAGCTGGCGCGATAAAGGGCAGACGGTGCTCTTCCGTAGCGCCGTCGGCCTTCACTTGCGGCGAAGCGGGTATTCATGGTCAATGTAACGCCGAGAACTGCATACAAGTGGTCTGACGGCGCAGAGTCCGTGTGATACGCTCTCGATGGCTCGGTCTTTCTAGATGCGGGAAGGTACTCATCAGAATTGCTTTCGAGCCCCGATACTGGCAGTACGCTGCGAAGGAGCGCGTTATGCCCAGTTGCGACAGATGCAGTATCGTCTGTGAACTCGAAAACGTCAACTGTCGTGCTTTGCCTGTAGCTTTGGTCTGCTGGCGGAAGAGGAACTGGGCTTCGTTGATGCTGGCGCTTGGGAAGAACTGCTCGGGAAGAGACGGGGTCCGCAAAAAGGCGGTAGGTGCCGAGTTGTGTTGCTCAGCGCTTTCAAGGCAAGCGAGGTATATACATCTGTACCCTGATGTGCCACTGCAGCCATCCCTTCATCGGTTGTACTCGTCGTCCAACCCTGGCTGTCAGAAGCGAGTAGCTTCGCCCGATGCCGCGAGAAATGAGATCTAGTGAACGGGCGTCGTTGCCTCTGTCCCTCACGGCGGACCTACTCAGCTCAGCTGGTCCCCCGTCCCTTCTAGTCGTGATCCCGTGAGTGAGGCATCGAAGAGCGGGAGCATCAGCTGGCCACCGGCCGTCGGCGAGGCGTGGTACAGTAGAATCGCTGACAAGGTTCCACTCTTCTCCAGTCCTGCTCGACTGATCAGGGCGATGTAGGAAGCACTGTTGCTCGCCGTGCTCCGGTATGCCTGTATGCGAGCCTGTAGCATCTGCTCGCTCCTCTGCTTCTTCTTGGTGTCCTTCTAACCCACCGCACCTCCGCCCGCCAAGCCAAACGCCGTGTTCTCGGCGCATGTGCGTTGAGTAGCCATCAGGGTAAGATGGCGTCACCTTTCTCTTCATGCCTCAGAGCTCTGCAATGGCTTCCGCGTGCAGTGGCTTCTTGATCTTCCGTAGCTCCCGTGAGCTCTGCGGCGCGCTTTGGGCGACGAAGAGAACGATGCGTGCTTCCTCGCCTATTCAAAGGGCCGGTGAGCCACTCCATTCGGGATCGTTCGCGCTATGCTGTTCGATCGGAGCCGGTCGTGCTGCGGTTGGTGTTCTTCAATGCACGCGCCCGGCCATCTCGTCCGGCCAATGCTACGACGTCCGCGGCATGGTCGCAGATACTTACGCAACGGGGGATACTAAATTAGAGAAAGACTGAGACAAGTAAGACAGGAGAGAAGGAAGGAAAGCAAGGAGAAGGCGGTGTTGTTTAGTTGTTCATACCACGATCTGTCTCAATGTACGTACTTCAAGCCAGCGTAGTGCTCCGCCCATCACTCGCTTTACCACTGCCATAGCACAGTCTCTGAGTCTCGCGATGGTAATGAGCACGCTCCGATGAAAGCGCCGATGTCTTGCTGTGGTGTCGTCGCGCGAAGTGAAGCAGCAGCAAGAGCCGGGGCCAAGACTCCCGCGTCAAACTTCCATCTCACATGTGCCATCCGAGCTTCTGCCGCTGAGGAGTTGAGCTGAGCCGGGATGCTTGCACTTCATCTCTTCCATGAACGAGGCCGGATGGATATCTTTTCGGTGGAGGTAGCAAGGAGGATGTATATGAGTATTGACCTGAAAGAGACTACTGTGGAGCGTCAGTCTCTCCTGTCAGGATGGCCTCCGCTTTTGACGATTCGAGCATTCCTCGCTACCCATCAATACATTGCCGCATTCCAGCTCGCAACAATTCCAGCGATGTCTTAGAACCACTGCCCCGGCTTCGCAGACATCTGAACCTTTACTCAGTATCTTCGCCTTCGTCTTCGTCGTCATCCTCAGTCAACTTCCGCTTTCGGTCCGTCTCCGCGGCCAGGGCTTTGTCCATGGCGTCCGCCTTTGTGAGCTTGTAGAAGTAGCTGCCTTTTCTGGACGACTTTTCGCAGACTAAGACTCGTGAGTACAGCTCTTCTCTCGGAATATCTAGCGATACTTACACCAATCCTCTACCATATGTTCAGGCAGCTCACAAGCGACGCTCAGCATTGTGAGTTCTGCATCGTTCGGCATCTGGCAGATACGCCAAAAGTCCTGCAAGAGCACATTCTCGGCCACGCTCATCGACAGGCTTGATCCCAGTTGTGTGGCACACGGCAACCTAGAGTCTTTCGCCGTCACACGGTCAGTCGATCTGTTTTCATGTAAGTGATTAGCCTTCTGCCTTTTGCTTCAGCGTAGTTGCAGACTCACTCGCGCACTCTGCCATACGTGGCCCGGAACTCCTCCAGTATGGCATGCTCCCTGGCCTGAGGCTCGCCTTGGTCGGCCTCTGCCTCTGAGCTCACGCCATCGTCGCTCATGAGGATCCGCGAAATTGCGGTGCGATGCGCCTCTTCCAGGAAGTCCTTTTCGCGGCCGTAAAGCTGGTTGATGCCCATAATTTCGTCTACGTTGATTCGCTGATAACTCGGCAGCAGGATTCGGCGCCCGAACGTCGCGGTCGACAGCACCTTGGTCCAATCCCCTTCACTTCCCTCAGAATCGGAGTCGCCATCGCTTGAAGTGTCGTCGTGGTCCGAGTCAAGCTCTGCTTCGATAGCGTCAAGCGCGGTGGTGAAGGCTTGTCGGTGGCTCCCAGAACATGTGATTCGATCTTCGACGTCCTTGCGCTTCGCTTCTCGGGTGTACATGGACCCCAGTTGGTCCGTCATTTTCTGGCCTTTGACGTGCTGGAACGGGAGGGGGTTCTGAACATCAGTGGTTCGGAAGGTCGTGCTGAAGGGATCTTGCAAGGTATGTGCAACGATACGTATGATGCTGTGCTGTTATTTCACCCCTGGCAACGCCTTGGACCCTGTCACAGCTTTGCTTTAAACTTTTTGCCTGCATGAGTCTGGCGACCTCACTTCATCGGTTGACCCAGCCACCCCTTCATTTTTCGCGTGTGCCGACCTTCCGCGCAAAACGTTCACCTTCATCCTCCATCCTCCATCTTACCTTCACCACACACACACCGCACAAAATTGTTCTTCGTTTCCAATAAACACACATTTCTCCACCACTTCTTCATTACAGCACTCCCCATCACAGCAACGACTGATCGCAATGGCGTCTCAGGCAGAACCATACCAGCTGGACTATCAGGACCTCATCGCATCCTCCGTCACAGACGTGGTCGACCAATTCGGCAACGGCATTGACATCCCCAGCGTGCAGTTCACCAGCATCAGTACTGCTAAGGTGGAGGGCCTCGAACTGTACAAGCATCTTCTTGAGTAAGTTTTCGCGCCCTTTGTAATTTTCACCACTGACATTCCGCAGGACCGACACTGGCATGAAGCTGCAGCTCACCGTCAATGCCCTAGAGAATGAGGTGTCTATCGTCCCTATTCAGCGCATGGCCAACACCAACGTCGCCGCCGGCGGCGTAGACGAAGGTCCGAAGAGCCCACCGAAGGACAAGATTCCTCGCCCCGCCAATGCATTCATCCTCTACCGCAAAGACTGGCATCCCGTCATCGTCAAGCAAAACGCAAGTCACCTAATCATGTGTTTGAAGAGATAGCTTTAACTAACTCTTTCACAGCCGGGACTTCACAACAACGACATCTCCGTCATCATCGGCCGTCAGTGGAAGGAAGAGAGTGAGGGGATCAAGGAGCTGTACAAGCGCGTATGTACCACTCAATGCAGGCAACAACGTCTCTCGGCTCTTCCAGCTGACATCCTCCCAGAAATCCGAAGAAGCCAAGCGCCAGCACGCCATCGACCACCCAGGCTACCAGTACCAGCCACGCAAGCCGTCGGAGAAGAAGAAGCGCATGACGAAGACCAAGCTGGCGAAGTTGAGAGCGCAGGCCAACGATGCCAACGCCCCGCAGCCGACGTCTGACTTCGACAACATGCTGGCCAACATTACGCAAGAGCAGCAGATCTCCGTCGACGCGTTCAACATTCCAGGTCAGCGCGCGTTACCCACCCTGCAGCAGAGTGGGGACCTCAACATGCATCTCGCCATTGACGCCAATCGCGAGCAAGAGACCTCGATCCGCGAAGAGATTGAGGCCTGGAATGCCACCGGTCCGGAGCGCGGCGCTTATCACACAGCGACGTCCTTGGCCGCGGGCCAGATGCTCGTCAATGGCATCGCCACCGGGGGAATCCCACAAGATGAGATCCCCTACGACTTCACCATGGCGGACCTCGAGCTATTCCCTGCCACAGAGGCCACTCCCTTCCAGATGGTCCACTATCCCACCGCCGAGGTCAACCGTCAGATGGCCATTTGGGACGATGCTATCGCCGATCTCTTCTTCGACTTCGCAAAGGCCCAGGCCACAGCGTCTCAGGCTGAGGAGACCCGCACTGAGGCTGACGAGACCTACACTGAGGCCCAAGACGCCTAGGTGGCTCTTTCAACCTGTCAAAGCACACCCAGCAACATCCACCAGACCACCGTGAGCACGCTTGACCCAACATCCTCGCAACCGCCACCCCTCACATCGAACACCACCCCCCAGCGCTACGACCACCGTCACCCCGGCAGCCACGAGTCACGATCGCACCGAGCGTTCACGGACATGCGGCGCTAGGAAACGGACACCACCAGTCATCGGATCGCCCACCCAATGACATGACATCTCAGCTCATCACATCGCCCACGAAGACGACACGAGCTACTTGCGACCTCATCGGCTCGCCACCAAAAAAATCAACGACCCATCTCCTCTGCAGAACGTGCGACACGGTGCGATGGCCCATACTGCGGCTCATCAGAAGCTCATCTTCACTGGCACCACATGCACACTGCAGAGAGAGACTATACTTGCTTGTTCTTGCTTCTTGTTTCTCATGTTTTACTACCAAGGTATATGACCAGCGGCACAACGATGCGTGCACATGCTTCTCTCAGATCGGCTTCGGTCTTGTTTGATAGCTGCACATACGGTATATAGCCCTCTTCAGTACATAGCCTCAGAAAAGTTAATCGAAAACCCAAACCATGGTGCCTTCTTGCTCGTTGTGATGCTGTCGTTGGTATGGCATTGTGACTGCCTGACGACTGATGCTGCCGCACACTGCCTTCTTCGCCGCAGCCCTCCATGACAGAGAGAGGTTCCGCAGAACAGCCTGCCTTCGGACCAAGAGCACAGAGGTAGTATGTTGCATGGCTCGGTGGATAGACTACAGGTACTGCATGCTTGCTCTTGTCGGCGGAGGCGTACGCTGAAGGTGTGCAGAAACCATGGTATACGTGCTGAAAGGAAGGAAAGAGGACCGCCTCTGCTGTCCTGAAGACTGCCATTGTTCATTGTAGCTCTGGGTACAAGCTGATATCCCAGCATCCAAGACAGCAAGCAGCGAGCAAGCTGAATGCCGACCAAGCTCGGCGTGGTCCCATCGCCGCCGCCGCTTCCGTGAAGTTGTCCTCCGCCCAAACACCACCTCCGTCCTTGCCGTGCTTCACTGACATGAGGCGCCTCAAGGCTGCTCGCTGCGTGCGGCTGTAGTACTGTTAGAAGCTCCTTGCAGAAGGGTGGCACTCCGCGAGTGCTCGGGAGAGGAGGATGACCTGGTACGTACCAGTAAGTGTCGTGAGTCTGGCGGAGAACGACAAAGTATTGGTAGGGTGGTTGATGGCTGGAGGAAAGCCGTCGGATGCAGCTCTCGGCTGAACTTGACATTTCTTGCGCAAAAGGGTGGCGCCCCACAAGCGCTTTTGCGAGGGCCATCTGGTAGCATATCTCAATAATTGCTGTAGACCTCATGGCGTTTGAAGATGTATTGGTGGCGTAGTCGTCGGTCGAAGAAAGCCAGCTGGTCCAGCTGTTAGCGGATGTGGGCGTTTCTTCCGCAAAAGGGTGACACTACGCAACAAATTCCGCGGGGACCATCTGGTAGCAAGTATCCGTAAACAACGCTGGTTCGGTGGCGTTTGAAGAGGCATTGGCTGTGTGGTCGCTGGTCGTAGCAAAGCCAGCCAGCGGCGCGACCAGCGGACGTTAGCATTCTTTCCGCAAAAGGGTGACGTTGGGCATCAAACTTGGGAGGACCAATATTGACATAGTGAAGATGCTCCTCATTGAGTTTGGTAAGGGTCGTCACCCTTTTGATGTCGTGGTGGCCCGGTGAAGCAAACCCAGCCCGCGCAGCAGCCAGCCAAGACGTGCATATCTCCAGCAGAAGGGTGGGGTCCGGCGTGAAACTCAGCGAGGCCAGTGTTTGCATGTATAAGATGTTCAGGCGCGAGTTTGGACGGTGGTGTAAACGTATCCGTGATGTGGTCGCTCGTGGAAGGAAAGCCAGTCCACCACGCCGCCTGCCGAGATCAGCATATCTTCACCAAAAGGGCGGAGTGTTTGATGAGACCCTGCAGGATGATTGATTGCATACACAAGGTGCTCAACTTCAGGTTTGAGCGGTAGTGCAGAGGTATTGCTGCTGTACGCAGCCACGGGAGGAAATCCAGCCTGGGCGGTTGCCAGCGGAGGATAACGTATCTCCACCAAAAGGGTCAGAGCAAATCTGAAACTCCAGGATGTCTTCTAACGTCTCTTTGAGCAAGACTCTATCGTAAGTCGAAACGGTGCTGCATACGCATTGCTTCCGTGGCTGGCCAGATGTCGAAAGCGGGCCCGGGGGTCGGCGAGCGGAAGATGGTATAGCTTCACCGGGAGGGTGTCAACACACCTAGTGCTCGGAGAGGCCGTTGCTCGAACTGTTGAGAAGATGCTGTGAGAATGTCATGGCTGGTGATGACCTTTTGCCGTTGCAATCGAGTCCGCGAAGAATTCCAGCTCCGGAAGCCGATGGGTGGCAACGGCATAGCTGCACCAGAACAGTGTCAGTACCCATCCAACTTGGCGAGGACACTCACATATTACTATGGATGCTTTTAAGTTCGGCAAATGGTGGTCGGAGACCTTTTGGTCGACTTCTTGGTGCTGCAGGGAAAGCTCCCCCAGCAGCCAGCCGATTCGAGACGGAGTAACTCATGGAGAAGGGTGACACTAGCCACAACCTTGCTCGCAGAGCCAGAGGAAGGATAGAGAGTGTTAATGAAGTCCATTTAGATGGCGTTGTTGACGCATTGCCGTCGCGGAAGATCGAACGGTTCAAGCGGCTAAACCAGCCAAAAACTCCAGGAGGTGGTAGCAAGTGCAAAAGGGTGACACCGCCGTCGAGGCTGTGCGTAGGCCTGTAATATGACCGGCGTATTCCCTTGCGAGTGGCGCAGAGGGATGGTGTATAGGCGGGGCCGTAATAGTAAGCGGTGGTAGTCAAGCCAGCGCATCAGCCCGCGGCTTCGGCCAGCGACGGTGAGGTCGGAAGGGTGACACCGGTCTCGACGCTTCTCCAGAGCACAGCTTAGTTGTATAAATGTTTCCTGAGGAGGAACAGTCAGTATCGATCCACCCCCACCGCCGTTCATTGCCATACAAGTCTCGCTGCATCAGCCCATCGCTTTGCTTCCGAGGGCAGCGTTGAGCTCAAAAGGGTGCACTTCTGGCAGGGAACGTCAGAGCACACTGATAGCTCTCCTTGATCTGATTTGACCAAGTTCGATGGGCAATGCAATGTTTTTGCGGCCGTGGTAGAGATTCCAGGAAAAGTCCCAGTGCCCGGGGTCAGCATCGGAGAGCGACGGCGAGATCAAAAGATTATGGTGCCGCTTGTGACTCCAACATTGTTGACGAGAATAGTCAGAGATATCATCTTGCTTGGTTTCAGCGGCCACATACACCTTCTGCGAGCGCTGTCAACAAACTCCGTGAACGGCCTTCAGCTCTCCGAGGGCTTCACGAGGCAACAGCACAGTGAGAAGGGTGACACACTCTCTAATACTCCACACGGAGCATCCGTAGGTCTGTAGTTCACATAGCCTCCAGTCTGGTAAGGCGTGTAACCCTTTTGCGGCCATGCCACTCCAGAGAAGGAAGTCCTCCCGCCAAGCCTTCAGCTTCGGGCAGCGGCAGCGTGGCCAGAAGGGTGTCGTGCGTTCCAGTATTCTCCACGGAGAAGCTAAACGGTTACCAAAGGCAGACCCGAGAGTTTGGTCCGGCTCAAGAACGTTTTGCACTCACCGCTGCCGGCTCGGTGAAATTGCCTTCGCCCAGCATTGGCTTCAAGCACTTGCAACTCGACGGAAAGGTCACAGTTGGGGTAACCACTTTCGCGAGGCCGTAGCAGAGATACCATGAACCGAGCTCAGCGTACGGAACAGGCTGGCTGCAAAGCGTTGTCGCCATTGTCGCAGGTCCAGGAAAAGTCCACCCAGCTGATCCAGGCTTCCAGCGCTGGTGATGCGACGCTAAGGGTGACAACGGCCACGCCAACAAGCGAGGAGATAGATTCCACCGTAAAGGTCCTCGAGTGACCATCCCAAGGCTGGGGCTGATCTCCTGCTACCGTGGTGCGATGCGCTCTGGAAGACCGACCGGGCACGTCCAGCTTCAAGAAGGCGTGGTGGCGGCAAAAGGGTGGTAGTCTCGTCGAGCGACGACTTGGATGTCGCCATAGACTCTCAGAGGTCGCACGGCGAGTCGTAGAAGCTCTTGTCGTCAATAGCTGCCGTCGCCGCCAAAGTGCATCTCAGTTGGGATGGGTCACGTGAGCGGTCAGCTGGATGAAGTGAGGTCGATGTTCTCCCGCCACGACGCGTGAGAGCGGCGTGTCTTCCCTGTGACAGATCAGCCAGCACAGAGACTCTGAATTGGGAGAACTAGGGCGTGGAAAGGAGGAAAGAGGAGCGCAGGTGGAAGAGGAAGGTCTGGTCGCAGGACAGTACTTGGTCAGTACAGTCGCTATTGTCGCTGCGTTCCGTCAGTCTTCGGACACAACAGGGAGCGCTGCATGACTTACCATGTTCATACTTCATCCATCTGTCTTACCCATTGTTCGGAAAGCGAGCGCAGAGCACACGCTTCCACAATTCTGTCTCCCATCCTCCCACCAGCACGTCTCAACCGCCAGCAAACGACCGTTTTGACCACGTCGTAACATTCCTACTCTTCTCCGATCAAGCGGCTTGCAAAAACGCAGCACCTCCACCTCCGTCACCCACCGCCGCATCGTGGTCAGCAAGAACCTGCAGATACCGCTCCTCCATCTGCCCCGCCGTAGCCTCGTCCCCATCCCACCGCGCGATCGTCTCTCTCATGAGCAAGCAGTGCAGAATACCGGAGTGGTTGTTCAGGCTTGCGTAAGCTGTGTGTCTTCGTTAGCTCGCCGACCAAACCGAAGCCTTTTGCCTCGCAGCCCTTTTGATGCTGCAGTCTGCTTGTTGTGCAAGCCTCGCTGCTAGGAGGATGGGGATACGCACCGTCGTGACTCCTTTCGAAATACCCAGCCGCTACCCGCATCATCTTAGCTTGCCCATTCGAGCCGTGCTCACATTCGTGGCCGGCGGTGCCGACCGTCGCGTCTGCCAGGAGGGCGAAGAGGCGCGCTGTTAGGTGGAGGTCTTTGCCTTCGAGAGCCTGCTCGGGTACATCAGCGAGGTCTCCAGTCGTCCTAACATGCGGCGTCGTCTGCTCCCCATCCTGAAGCTCGAGACTCATGTCCTCGGCAGCCACAACAGCTACAGCACCATGTTGTAACAACGTGCCGCCGCCTAGTCCCCAACCAACACCAGCGGGCCGAAGAAAAGAGCACTTACCAAAGCAGACCCCGCCCCCAACAACCCTCTCGCCGCCCCAAATTCCCGCAACGCTGTCAAGATCGCCCCAAGCGCCGCGATTGCCTCCACCATGACCTTCACAAGCATGAGCTGCTGCGCAGTGGAAGCAGCGCGGAGGCAGATGGAGAGGCCCTTGGCGGGTTCGGAGGCGGCGGCGAAGATGCGGGATTTTTGCACGAGGAGGGTGAGGGTGTGTGCGACGTCTGAGTACTGTGTTAGCGGAAGTGGTGGTGAGAAGGATCGTGTGAGCCCCGGGAAGGGAGGGAGATGAGGTCTTGGGCGGCGAATGGGGGAGAGCAGCTGGGATACGGACCAGATCTTGGATTCTGCTTCAGCTGCTTGATCTTGTTGTTGATGATGTCAAGGGCAGTCTTGTAGTCTTTCTTCCTCAACAGAAGCTCGACTTCAAGAAGAGTAATCTCGAAGGTGATCTCCGTGTCAGCGTGGGTGCGGGCAGAGCGAAGCTGTTCGAGGTAGTGGTCTGCCGCGTCGAAGTCCTCGCTGCTATTGTATTAGCTCAGAAGCTTTCATCCGACAGGGCCGAGCGGAATCGTGTGGCAGGGGTAGGCAAAGACTCACGCATGTACGCTCTTCTTGAGCAACACCAGCATTTCGAAGATCAAGACCCGTTGCTGAAGCTTCAAGACACCTTGAGTCAGACCACTTCTTGAGTTCTGCAGCTGGTCGAGCGCCTTTTCGTATTGCCCGCCGCACGCCATATCGTAGGCGATGCGACATGCCGCCCGCACAGCGTCCGGGAGGGGACAATGATCCGAGTGAACGAGGCTGACGCTTTCGTATATCCGAGAGCCGAGAGACGACAGGCCTGACCTTCGATCAGCACATCCTTCTCGTCATCCTGCGTTCTCGTCCCTCAAAGGGAGTCCGCCAGAAGCGCGACATACCGAGTCTTTGGAATCCAGCTCCCTTAAAGATCGCACCCGAAGGCATCATCGTCCGCAGATCATGCTGCACAGCCAGCCATTCTGATTGCAGGAAGCACTCCAGCGCCTTGCTCACGTTGCCGCCCTGTATGAAAGATTTAGCGATGGCAAACCCCCAATTCCTGCCATGACGACGTGACTTGCGTATGGGTTTTGCTCGTGTCTCAAAAGCCTCGAACTAGTGAAGGAAGACTCACGCCGCCCATCTCGCCCCTTCCCTCCTCGAGAAGAGTCTGACTCAACAGCGCCCAATTTCTGCCATCCCTCGCCTTCGTCTTCAAGAAAGCAATCTCGTCTTGGTCATTAGTGCCGCCGCCAATCAGCCGCGAAAGTGTTGATAGTGACGTGGCGGCATTTTCGGTGTTGGGATGTGCTTGCCGGAGGTAAAGTAGGTATGAGAGAGCGAAGTTCAGACAGGTCGGATCGTTGTTTTCTCTTGCTGTACCATAGTGAAAAGATGGTCAGTGGTGCGCCGCTGACAAGTGAAGGACTCGTGCTTTAGCGGGAACGGAGAGAAAATGTGAAGGAAGGCAAGGGCTTGTCATTGTCAAATCAGCAGCAGAGGGAGTGAGAGGTCATATGAAAGTAGGCAGGGCTAGTTGTGAGGGTTAAGTGAGGCGAACGATGATAGTGCATGTGCAGTATCTCGCGATATGAAGGGCAAACCATACCAGTCCCAATGCACTCTCCCAGTGCGTCCACACACTCGCCCCACCGTTCGAAGTCTGCATGCAGCACGCTCAAATGCAGCAATGCATACTGGTAATACGTCTCCATCCCTCCACCAACAGCTCCTTCGGCGCCCCTTGCGCCTGCACCATCTGCTCCTCGACCGACGAGGCTGTAGTCGAAGTATCGGTGCAGGTTCTCCAAGGCACCTTCGTACTGGCCAGCTCGCCAGCACTCGAAAAAGTGGAGGAAGTGCTGGAGAGACTGAGCGGAGGAGTCGTAGATGTCGCTGATCCAGGTCGAGAGCTGGCGCTTCAGGGATGGAGAGACACGGGTGCCGAGTTTCTGGAGCTGGTGAATAGAGAGTGAAAGCAGTGTGCCGGTGTCATCTGCGCTGGTGTGAAGCAGTGATTCCGTCTGCTGATCCTGGGACAGCTCACCTTGCGAGGGTGCAGTGGCCCACGACGGCTGGTCCTGGAGGTTCCGAGCAGCGTCTGGATTCCTGGTGGCCCATTTCTGGTAGGAGGGAGCACGGTAGGTCGCTAAAGCCGCACATAACGCCTGTGAATCGGAGAACTGCAGACGCGTAAACTCGACGCAACACCGGCGGATGAACTGTCCCAACGGCGAGGCACGAGAAATGCTCTTCGCCGCGACTTCGGGTCTCTCCGGATGCTCCGGGGCAACGACATTGTTGACGCGCTCAAAGAAGACGTGTAGAGCATCGAGATCATGCAGCGTCCACGCGTCGTTGAGGAACCTGTCGTAAAGTGAACGACCTGGGATCTTCGAGGGCCATTGTGACAAGATGGAGGAGAAGGAAGTGATGTCGTTAGAGGAGACCTGAGCTCGATCTTCTAGACTGAACTGATCGTACTCTGAAGGCGGGTTGATGTGAGACGCAATGAAGCTGAGGACGTCCAGTCGTGCTGTCGCTGGGATCTCGTCTGAAGCGTACAGCTCGACGAGCACGAGGAGGCATATCTTCGTTGGCGTTAGGTAGCGAGGCATCTTTCGGGCTGGCAATTCTTGTGTAGCATCTCAGCAATGTTCAGAGCCTGTTGTCACATCCCCTATCTCCGTCAAACTGGCGAGAAGAAGAAGAAGAGGAAGCAATCAACAACTCAACAATCACGTGTAGTCGCTGCCATTTCGCGATCTGGTCCGAGCTTCCCTTAATTCGACGTCATGCCATCTTCCAACTCGAAAGTGATATACCACATGCGACAACACAACACTTGAAGGATGTTTCCAATGACAGGCCCTTCGCTCTAGCCTCAGCACCACCTCGAAGGCCGCACACACGATCATGCACCAACCTCCAACACCACCGCCAACTCAACATCGCCAACCATGAGACTCACGACCTGGAACGTCAACGGCATCCGCAACCCCTTCTCCTACCCACCATGGAACACCGCCCGCACCTTCCCCGCCATGTTCGACATCCTCGCCACCGACATCCTCGTCATGCAAGAGCTCAAGATCCAGCGCAAAGACCTGCGCGACGACATGGTCCTGCTCGACGGCTGGGACTGCTACTTCTCGCTACCGAAGCATAAGAAAGGATACTCGGGGGTGGGAGTATATACGAGGAATGCTAAGTGTGCGCCGATACGGGCGGAGGAGGGACTGTTGGGGGTGCTGCCGAGTGCGAGCGGGGTGCCGTATTGCGAGTTACCCGAGGGGGAGAGTGTGGGCGGGTATCCTGATGAGAAGCAGGTGGCGGAACTGGGTGTGGATCCAGCGATGTTGGATGCAGAGGGGAGGTGCGTGGTGCTGGAGTTTCCGGCTTTAGTGCTGTTTGGGGTATACTCGCCCGCAAACAGCAACGGCATGAGGGATGACTTTCGATATGGCTTTATCTGTGCGCTTGACTCCCGGATACGGAATCTCAGAAAGATGGGGAAGAGGGTGGTGCTGGTGGGAGATCTCAATGTTTCGAGGAGTGAGCTGGACACTGCGGCAGCGGCGGAGGATTGTAGGAAAGCTGGCATCACCCACGAAGACTACATCTCTACGCCGAACCGGCGGATCTTCAATCAGCTGTTGGTCGGAGGCGAAGTGGTCGGTGAGAGGGACGAAGGCAGGGAGGAGGGTATTCTGTGGGACACTACGCGAGGCTTTCATCCTGAGCGGAAGGGCATGTACACGCATTGGGAGCAGAAGATCAATGCTCGGCCAGGGAATTATGGCAGCCGAATCGACTTCATCCTGGTGGCTGAGAGTATGCGGTCGTGGATCAAAGATGCGAACATTCAAGAAGGTCTGCTGGGATCAGATCACTGTCCTGTCTTCGTGGACTTCAACGAAAGTGCAGAGGTCGATGGAGAGCGAAAGCCAATTATGGACATCATGAGTCCTCCTGGCGTCTTTGTCGACGGCGTCAGGAAGCAAGACTGGAAGATCGCAAGCGCGCCACCGTTCTCAGCGAAGCGGTTGCCCGAATTCGCCCAGCGCCGCAGCATCAAATCCATGTTCATGAAGAAGTCGGAATCTTCATCAGGCGAGGGTACCACCAACGGCATCAAGCCCGAAGCAGCGACGCCTTTGCCCGAACTGAGTCCTGTGAAGTCGCAGGCTTCAGTCAGCGAAATGACCGTTGAACCATCGCAAACGCCAGAGCGAAGTCAAAAGCCGCCTTCACCGAAGCGCAAGCTCTCAGTGCCGGCGAAAGAGAAGCCAGTGAAGAAGCAAAAGACCGACAGCAGTGCTCCATCTACGAAAGGCCAGCAGAGTCTCAAAGGCTTCTTCTCTTCGCAAAGTAAAAGCACGGCTGTCACGCCACCTTCGCCAGTTGCCAACGGGAAATCCGAACTCCCTCCCACAGCAGCCACTCCTCCAAGCACCTCAATAGCGACAAACCGACCAACAGCATCTGCTGCAGCGAAAGCGTCAGGAGAATCGCCTGCACCTTCCACGGAGCCAGCCACCCCGCCACCCAAACCCATCTCCTCCCCCCCGCCCTCCGAACACTCCATCAACCGCACCATCCTCGCAGCCGAAGCCACCCAACGCAGCTGGTCCACCCTCTTCACCAAACCCCCTGCCCCGCTCTGCGAAGGCCACGGCGAACCGTGCAAATCGATGCAGACGAAAAAGAAAGGCTCGAACCAGGGAAGGAGTTTCTGGATGTGCGCGCGGCCGCTGGGGCCGAGCGGGGAGAAGGAGCGCGGGACGGAGTGGAGGTGTGGGACGTTTGTTTGGTGCTCGGAGTGGAGTGGGAGGGGGGCTACTAGGGATAACGACTGACGAGGTAGGGTCGTGGGCAAAGGAGCAGTACGGTGGAAGGGGGGTTGAAGGCGTCGTGATACCCTAGCCTTTGCAGTTGTGTGCTTCGCTGGTGAGGGTATACCTGGCTCTGTACAGCGTCTACATACAACAGCTTTACATACCAAAAGCATTCAATCACCGTGTTCCACTCACAGCACTCGACACGAGCAATACCTTCCCCCCGTCCTCCCAACCTCCAACGCGACTTCCCCTTTGCTCTCCTCAAACCCCTCTCCTCAAACCCCTCTCCTCCTACCCCTCAACCCATAAACCAAACCCAACCCTTCCGTCCTCCCTCAAAAATTGAACCCCAGCCCGAACCCGCTCGAAGCCCGACCTCGCGCTCCCCACCCTCAATCAAAAAGGAGGCACCCTTTTTATCTTTCCCACCTCTCCACCATCTATTACATTTTGAATCAACGCCGAGGTTGCGCCGGCGTGCCTTTGTCTGACTCGAGTGAGATTTGGTAGGAGGTGGGGGATGAGGAGATGGTAGTGTGAGGGGGTTACATGTACATGTGTGTACATGCACGTCAATACATGCAGTGTTATGAACATTATAAGAAGACGATACTCGCCGTTCACAACTCTCTCACGTCCCGTCGTGTCGTAAGGCCTGGCTGAGAGCGCTGTACCGACATCCACACACGACTGACACCCGGCGGCTACGGCTACGCCGCCGCTCGCGAACTCTCCGCCACTCCATGCCGCTCTTTGCGATGCCGAATGGGTATGAAGTTGCCCACGATCAGGGAGGGACTGTACCATAAGTCAGCTTGCGTCGTTCGCTCGAGTCTCGAGGCAGTCGTGCAGTACTCACATATTATGCGTATCCCTCCTTATAGTAAATGAAAAACAACACCTCACCGTCTCCAACCCCTCCTCTCCCTCCCCGCCCTTCCTCCTCCTCTTCAACGCACAACTCGTCAGAATAGCCTTCTGCGTCCCATCAAAAGCAATCGCCCCAAACTTCTCCCAATAACTCACTAGACTCTCCTCACCCACAAACTCCTGGATCGCCATCCGTCCATCCCTTAACCCCTCCCACTCCACCCCGACCAGCTCCGCCATCTCCCGGTTCCCACGGAAAATCTCGCCCGTGCGCCGCCAGCAGCAGGCGGGGATGGCCATGGAGGCGAAGACGCGGTCATATTCCATGAGGCTGCGCTCGAACCACATTTCGACGAGGACGAGCTGCATGTCGGTGAGGTTCTTCATGGCTTCGCGGAATTTCGGGCGGAAGCGGTCGAGTTGCTTGAGGATCCGGACTTGGCTTTGGCGGGAGAGGTGTTGGGTGATATAGCTGTTTAAGCGAGCGTAGCCGCGCACGTAGTTGAAGGGTTTGAGCATGCCGGCGTCGTACTTGGCTTTGAGGAGTTTGTGCAGGCGGTCTTCGGCGCTGGAGAGGCCGGCCGGGTCGGCGGCGGTGAGGTAGAATTTGTTGCGCGTGGCTTCGGAGGTTGGATGGGCGGATGGGGGGCGGGAAATGGGGTCGTTGGGCTGGGAGGGATTTTGGGGTTGGGTGGTGGAAGGGGCGAGGGTGGGTTGTTGAGGGGGGAGTTGGTAGGGTGGTTGGAGCTGGGGTTGTTGGGGGAAGGAATTGGCCAGGGTGTTGACGCTGTTGGTGGAGAGGAGGGGGTCGGAGAGGAAGGTGTTGGCCGTGTCGGCGTTGTAGAGAGCGCCGTCGTCGAGCAAGCTGGTGGAAAGGAAGTCGTTCAGGAGGTTGTACTCGTTCGTCACTTCGGATGTGTTAAACATGTAGTTCGGATGGAGGTGGTGCATGTCCTGGAACTGGTTGTGCACGCCGCTGTTGTTCCAGTCGAAGTTGGGCGGCATCATGCCTCCCAAAGTCGCTGACGCCGCCGCTCCTCTTTGCAACTGCACAGGCGATACAGGTGTCGGTTGCGCGAGCTGAGGTTGCTGAGCAGCACCTCCAGCAGCACTCGGCTCTCCCACCCCCATGCCCAGATCTCCCGTCGACAGCCTCCCGAACCCACCATTCCCAACAGTATTCCCAGGCATCTCCATCTTCCCCACCGCCTCTCCCTCGCCCGCAGGTGCCAGCTCCGCCATCCCTCCAACCTCACTCCCGTTCCTCCGTCCATTCGAGCCTTCTCTCGGCTCGTCGTGACATAAGTGCCCGATGTCCCGCTTCACACATCGCGCGCATGGCCGCTCAAGATCACACGTCATGTGCGACCGTCGACAGTACACACAAGCATGGTTGACCTTCCGACGTTTCTTCTTTCCGTTGTCCGCTTCATCTTTGCTGTGCCCGTTGGGTTCTTGGGAGGTCGAGGTAGAGGACTTGCGCTTGTTGGTCGGAGATTGGGTGGGCGCATCGGTGGCAGTATTGTTGGTCCCGTTGGCTGAGGAGACGTTACGTGAATGGGTTGGAGAGGGCGGCATGGCCGGTGAGAGGATGGGCGGTCGTGTGAGGTTGTGCGCCCATTCGATTTGCTGGCCCAGCTCTTCCGGTGTAAGGGTCGATGTCGCACAGAGTTCACCGGCTCGTGCCCGCGCTTCGTACTTTCTTGGAGGAGTAGCTGTTTGCTGTACGGGAAGTTGAACAGCGAATGGTATAGCAGGCAGAGTCAGCAATCCAGCTCTCGGCTTTGCGGGGTCCGGGGATTTGGGACGAAGTGGTTCACCTCTGGCAGGTACAAACGACGGCGATATGGAAGGGTCTTGCGCATTGAAACATCTCGTAATTAGACAGTATAGTATACACACGAATATTGCAGCAGTATGCTAATCGTGCGCCTGCGTCTGATGATCGTCCAGAACGCTGCAGCCCTTCGAGTCGAGCACTTCCTGGTCCTTCCGCCTTCAAAACCACTAAACCCCTTCGTACCTTATTTCAAGCACGCATCACCCGCCCATCTCTCTGCTTTGGAGGCCAGCCTTACCTGCCCACAGCAACCACGTGCAATGGCATCCTTCGAGAAGCAGGTCGTAGAGCCCACGCTACACCCCTAGCCAAGCTCGTCAGCAACAGCTCAGGCGGCTCAAGTCGAGAAGGCCCTGGTGAGCTGTAGCAGATCGACCGAGGCATCGCACTTCGGATCCTCTGCTGCTTAGTCCTCGTCAAAGATCGCGGTAGCATTGACCAAAATCGTGTCCACCACTCTCGCCTGCAGACTCGCGTCCGCAATCTGGCCACCGGTATGCTGGCCCATCAGACTCGGCCTAGACAGATGTCAGCAAGTCCGATCTCATCTCCGTTCCATGTCATGAGTACTCACGCAAAACAAAGCGCCAAATTCGACGCCCCCATCCGATTCCGCCCCTCATTCAACATAACTCGATGCATATGCAACACCAAAGCCCTCAACGTCGCATAATTCGGATCCGGCAGGTCATTAATATTCTGATGCAGCGCATCCCTCCTCTGCTCCGGATCCTCGATCCTCGCCGCCTCAACGAACCCCTGATACCCCACGCGCGTGAATAGTGGATCCGGTAAGTCCCTAAAAAACTGCTTCAAGAGCGTGGCAACACTATTGACATCGTGGTAGAAGTTCGCCGGGTTCCGGAAGTCGATCTGGGAAGCGTTGTGGTCGAATTGCGACTTCAGCGTGGCGATGTGCGAGGCGGTGCCGGAGAGGCGGTAGATGCCTTCGACGTCGAGGCCGAAGGTGTCGACGGCGAGGATGCATTGGATGACGACCATGGGGACGGCGGATTGGTCGCGGGCGAAGAGCTCATCGAGACTGACGCCGAAGACGGGGCGGAGGGGCGGGAGGTGGTGTTGTTGTTGTTGGGAGGGGGACATGGGCCCGGGAGAGCCGTATGAGCGGGGAGGAGCGGGGGAGGATGAGGAGATGGAGCCGGTGGTTTGCTGAGGTGGGTAGGGGTTGTTGGCGTTAGGGGCACGTTCGCTGGGATGGGTCGGGTATGGTGGTGCTGCCGCTCCCGTTTCCTTGCTGAAGCTGCTCGGGGAGAACATGTCGCGGGAGGAGCTGGAGTTGTAGGATGGCTGCTGTAGTTGAGGTGGAGGCCCGCCGTAGGTTGGTGACTGTACTGTGTTCATGTATGGCTTCTCTCCGTAGCCGCCGGAGGGAGATTGTCCGTAACTTGATGGCGGTTGGCTGTACGAAGATTGGGGCGGCTGAGATGTGTTGCCCGAGTACCTGCTGTTCGCCGAAGCGGAGTTCGAAACTGCTCCAGGAGCAGCAGAAGCAGTGTTGAGAGATAGTGATGGCTGCTGCTGAGTAGGGGTCTGCGAGAATGCTGTAGAGGCATTGCGCGTGTCTGTTGGCTTCTGCGTCTTCGGCATGAGCGTCGGATGCTGCTCGTACTTGATCTCGCCTGGCCGGTTCGGGATCTTGCTCAGGTGGCCTCGCATGTATGAGTTGAAGTCCGTATCGTTGTCAATCTCACGAATGATATTAGTCAGACTGCGCGGCTGCCCATCGGAAGCCTTGTCCTGCGGGGAGACTGCCAAACCATTGCCTAGCAGCAACTTTTCGTTGAACGTCGCGAACTTCTGCAGTTGCAGAGTCAAAGCGCTGTCGCATTCTTGAATGAGCTGTTGCAGCGCTGACACCGCTTTGGGCCTCTCGCTGCTGATCAACGTCTGCCTCTGGCTTTTCGCCTGCTTGACGCGCTCCTCATAATCCTGATCCGCCTGTTGTGTTTTCCTCAGCAGATCCGACTCGTACTGCTCCGCGCTCTTGGGCCCCTTCAATCCTAGCCGCCGGCTGCCCTTCGTGTCCCCCGTCCGCGCTCGGTCGTAGTCTTCAGCAAGCCCATCGTACCTCGTCTTCGCCTTGTGCATCGCCGCCTCAGCATCCGAAGCCCGCTTCTCCGCGTCCAGTCCTTCGTGCTTCCATTGTTTTCTCCCCCTCTCCATATTCGCCGACAGCTCGTTCAGATCCTCATGCATCTGCGACAGCGAGAGCGCGAACTGAATCCCGTTATCCGCCATCCGTAAATGCACGCGCATCACCTCCGCCAACTGCGCCGCATAGCTTCCTGTCTTGACCTCGCTCCGCTTCAGCGTCTCGAGCTGTGTATTCGCAAGCCGCCTCAATCCATTCGCCTGCTCCTCTTCCAGCTTCCCGCGCTTGCTGAGGAAAGATGCAAAGTCCCTAGCGCTGGCTATGCTTTGCTTGAGTCGATTCAAGAGGGTCGCGACGCCAATGTCCGAGTACATCACATCGTTGACTGCTTTGGGCAGGGCGCCGTTTGTTGCGCCGCCGGAGCTGCGGTACGCTCCTACGCTGGTGGGTGCTGCGGCGGGACTGGTAGGTACTGAGCCTGATGCTGAGCCATTGGGGACGACGGTGGTAGGGGTTGATGTCGGGCCGTCGCCGTTGACTTCTGATCGGTTGAACTCGCTCGACATACTGACGAGCTATACCCGCACGTATCTGCTGTGGAGTATGCTGTTGTTGCTGGAGAGGTGCGGTTGATGTGGTGTCGCAAAGGGCACGGTGCAATGGACCCGACGCAACGAAGGCTGTAGCGTCACCCAAGCCACAATTTTCCACGCAAGCGACGTGAGACGCGGTATGAACCTCAACGCTTCGTTTCACATGAACCGACCAACATCAACGTTCCTACTCGTGCGGCACGATACCAGGACAGCCCAAATATCGTTGCTTAAATATCACTCGGAGGCCGCAGTGTCAGCAAGGCGGGAAGCGGCAAGATGTCGACGGGGAAAGCAGCCCATCAGGTCAGAGCCATGTAGGGACCCTTCTCACAGACCATGACCGCACGCCGACGAGTGCGATGTGCCCCTTTTGACCAAACCTTGCCTCGGAGAAAAGTGCTAAGTGTGTCCGGATGGCTTCTTTCACTGTCTCTTGCTCGAGCGCATTCTACACAATCCACGAAAGACCGCGGTGAAGCGGCGAGGAGATCTGCATCGCCAGCGACCTTTCGCTACAACGTTATGCTACTATGTATACGCAGTTGGCTTGCATGTGTTTGAGCTGGGCGGCCCAGATCCCGGCGTAATCCCAGCTTTCCTCTCAACGGGACCATTGCCACCTCTGCACGCTGATGACGACCAAAACGAACGCATCACCATCCCAGTCGAGAACGCTGCGAGCCTCGGACAAAAGCACACCTCTCATCGCCTTCTCGGCCTGAGAGACCTTGCCGAGTGAGAGACAGTGAAAGCGCCCATCAGGTCAAGGCGAGCCGAACGATGGAAGTTCTCACAGACCAACAAAGCCCGCCCACGAGAGTGAACTGGGCTCTTCGGATGCATTTGGGTCTGTGAGAAGCCTGCCAGATAGCTCGGCGGGCCGCTTTCACTGTCTCTCGTTTGGGCGCCTGCAACCTCGAGGGTCTATGATTGATTACATGCCAGATTCGTAGTCTTGCGGCATTGCCCGTTCTCTCGATTGGAAACTCACGTCTTGGGTTAGCGGCGCCACCAGAGGTGTGCTCGAAGAAGCAGCTTCCGACAGAGGCGGCTACCCAGCCACGTGAGGGACAGTAAAAGCACCAGGCGTATCGCGCAGTCCTCTACCGGGCACAGATCCACTCGACAAGCCCACATCACTCTCGTCGGCGGGCGTTTCTTGTCCGTGAGAAGATATATTCAAGCCATCACACGGCTCGCTCTGGTCTGGCACGCTTTGTAGCCGCTTTCACTCTCTGTCATTTGCCGACCGGTAGTGTGCCACATGCTCTTGAAAGACGAGCATGGCGTTTCTCAGCCAGCAGCAAAGCTGAGGACTATGGTTTGCTTTCTTCCTCCTTACGTCGTCTTGCGGCAACATGAAAACGACGAAACGAAGTGATACACGCCAAAAAGACAAATGCTATACTACGTAGCTGATGTTACATTAGATGGCGCTCTTAACGATCTGAACATGTTCAAGATATTGCGTGTGTTCACAAGGCCGGGCCCCAGCGGGTCAGCTCTATGAAAAGCGAAGAGAATCAGACAATAGCTTCGCATGCCTCGAGATGTCAACGGCCAGGGTGATCTGACACGGATGTGCTCGATCGGTCGGACGTTGGACAAGGACATTTAGCAAGTGAGGAGCCCGGGTGGAAGTGAACGCAACCTGAGAACTTTCGATGCTGGTCGTGGAAGCGTTGATACCTACACGCGTACTCGTCAGCACAGCCCTGGACGTCATTTTTTAACCTCCGCCGGAGCCTCCACAGACACCGCAAACCCCGAGATCTTCGGACAGTAGATATCAATTGTCCTGTTGACCAACGAGGTGAAACGAAACGTGAAAGGACTTCCACAACGACGGAATACCGCCAAGTAGCAATGACGCCCTCAAAAGCAAGCGGTCAAGTATAATAACAGAGCCTCTTCCTCCCTTCTTCAATCCCAAAAGACCATCCATCATCCTCCAGACCACAGCCTTCCCATTCCCATACCACCTCACTCAAAAACCCAACAATGTCCGGCCTCCTCGCCCTCCAAGCCTCAACCATAACCACCTCGATCTTCTCCTCCGGCGCCATCGCCACCCTGTCCCTCTTCGACATCCCCGAGCTCCGCTCCCAACCCGCCGTCCGCTCTCTCCCGCAAACCCGCTGGCTCTTCTCCCGCGGCTCGCACATCTTCCCCTTCACCGCCTTCCTCTCCGCCGCAGGCTTCCTGTCACTAGCAATCACCGCTCTCCCCCCGGGCCGGGCCATCAGCTCGATCCTGAAAGTGGCAGCCAATGGAGCGAAAGTGAACAGCTACCTCGCTGCCGCAGTGTTGAATTTCGCGATTGCGCCGTGGACCTCGCAGGTGATGATCGCGACGAATTTCCGGCTTATCGAACTCAACGAGCGCCTCGGCGGGGCGAGAAGCGAGAGGTCTGCGAAGGAGGGCAAGTTTGGTGCGGGAGAGAAGTCGGCGGAGGATTCGGTGAGTGGGAAGGGGGATGTTAGTCAAGTGACGGATTTGAGTGGGCCGCAGGAGCGGACGGGGAGGGAGGCGAGCGTGGAGGAGGAGCGGGAGGTGCGGGAGTTGTTGGGGGCCTTTGGAAGGATGAATGGAGTTAGGGCTGTTTTGACAGGGGTGGGAGGGGTTGTTGGGTTGGTTGCTGCGTTGTTGTGAGGTGGTGTTTGTGTTCTTGACTGCGATGATTAGGAGACGAGGGGGATGCGGTATGAGGGAGGAGAATGTGTTTGGTAAACTTCAAAAGTACAGCAGACTATTCGAGGTACTAATATACCTGAGGGTATTTCGCCCATCATTGCCTTTCCCTTTCAACCTTCCCACAACATCATTCATGTTATAACATTAGTAAAGAGCGTCGTAACTACATCTAGTCGTCAACAATCTATCCTCATGCTCAACCCCTCAACATCTACCATCCACCAGTCTTCTTGCCGCCATAAGCAGTCCACGTCTTCCAGCCAGTCTTGGTCTCGCAGCTGGTGGTGGGCTCCTTGTAAACAGTCGTGTACGGCTTGTACTCGACCTTGCTGGTGGTCTCCGGGTAGGCCTTGCTGGTGGTGTACGCGCTGGGGACATTCTTGGTCTCGGTCTCGTACTTGGTCTCGACGGACTGGGTCGGGTACTTGTTCGTCTCGGTCTCGTACTTGGTCGAGTAGGTGTACGTCTCGATCGGGTAGGTCTTGCAGACGACCTTGCTGGTGTGGCTGGGGACCTTGACGGTCTTGGTCTCGACGTGCGTCTTGTAGATGTAGGACTTTTCAGTCTCTGCGAGGAGAGTCAGTATGGATGGATGGAAGGATTGGGGGGCGGGTGAGGATTTCGACGTACCGTACTTGGTCTCCGTGTAGACGCTGGGGACGTAGGTGGTCTTCACCTCCGGCTTGTAGACGGTGGTGGTGTACGGGATGGTGACCGTCTTCGTCTTCGTCTCGGTCTCATAGTTGTAGGTGGCCTTGCAAGTCGAAGTCGTGTATTCCGACGAGGTCATGTGGCCCTTGCCCTTGCCGTGGTGCTTGCCCTTGCCCCAGCCGCCCTCACCACCTCCAGGCGCAGCAGCAACAAGGCCGCTCGAGGCGATCAGCGCCGTGATGGTTGCGGTGAACTTCATGGTGAATGATGAAGGGAAAGCGAAAGTATGCGTATGTAAGAATACAGCGAATGTGTGAAGTGAATGAGAAGAGGGTATCGATGGAGAAGGCAGCTGATCGTTGGATGCCTTTCGAAAGAGAGGTGACAGAAAGGCCTTTAAGTATCCTCACCGTGAGCTATATCCACACCTTCGTTAAGCGCGCTGGCGATCGATCACGAGCAAGATATCCACACCAGCTCGTCACCGTACCTGCGGCCAGGTGTGTAGTGCTGGGGCGTGTGGGATACATGCGCACGGCGAGGTCTTCCGTCCTCCACTGCTGACAGTTCTGCGCTGTAGAGTCTACCTGGAGACTGCACGCGGGCAGTAGAGGTCGTCGGCGAGTGCCTGGTCCAGAGCCCAATTGAGTTCGCCTAGCTGCGTATACCTGAGCAGACAGCATCATTGCACGAATAGCAGCAACCTTGCCATGCAGTAGTTCGCCTGCGGCTGTAGTCGGAAGGCATAGTACACAGAAGTATATGCTGCGGGGGCCAGAAGAGGCAGCAGCCTCTGACGAAGGAATATTGGAAAGCTTCGTGCTAACCAGAGCCTTGCTCTTCCGCGGCAGATCTCTCGATGGTATAGCCCTCAGTGGCTCGTATTAGGGTTGTGGTCGGTGGTTGTTTCCACTGTAGCAACCCAGCAAGGCACCTCGGGCACTTCGTGAAGACGTCTCAGCACGACGGGATCCAATTCACCCCCAATGGACGGAACATTCGCCGAGCCGTCCTCGAGGCCGTTGAACAAACGCTGTTGACCAGAATAAACCTTGGGCTCCAGCACTCACGAGTGACAAGAAATACATGCGGTGGCGACAAGCATACCTAGCATCTTGGTAGCAGGCAAGACGCCGCCTACGCGGAAGCCTCGCGGCATCGATCGCCCAAACAGGGCTGTAGTCTTCCGCGAACGTTCGCCTGGCGTATGCTGGAGCTGATGTCGTTCGTCCAACCCCACAGCCAAGTGCTGTAGAAATGTGGAGTATGGACAGGGAACAGAGCTGTGTAGAGAATATTTCCAGAAAAGCCCGATCAAGGCTGAGAAGCTCACGAGGTGAGGTGGCATCCTTTGGAAATAGAATTCTGCAGCTGTTGATGCAGTAGCGTTGAACGTTTCCGAGCTTGCGACGAATCGACTCTGGGGTCGTGGAGAAAGACTCCACGCAGGTACGGCAGCAACGCGGCACAATACGAGGACGAGCATTTGTGGTTGAGTAATAATATTGGATTCGTGCATTCTTATACGTGCCGAGAGCTGTGAATGGACTGCATAAGGTGTGCGCTATAGCACGTTTGTTGCTTGGTATACGGCTGGTACGGATCAACGGTTTTTGACGTCGAAAGCTGAGCTTTGGCCGGCACGGTACGGCCTTCATTGTCGATACACTTTCGAACCACACCGAAGCTGCTGGAGATGGTCTTGCCCAGGCTTTCGTTGAGAGACAGGAAAGCAACTCCAGGAGAATCCCACATAGAATCAGCAGTAGGGCCGATTCGTGTGTGGTGCATGGCAGCTCGGGTAGAGGCGGCCTCGGAGCAGATGCCGACCACTCCAAGGACGTGGCAGAACTTCGCCCCAAGCTCATGCTCTCGCTAGCAAAGCTATTTCCACAAACATTGAAGACCAGACGCATGTGCAGGTTCGTATCGAGCAATGGGGATTCTCCACGGTCGTTGCTTTTGCAGACGGGACTTCGGCGTTGTTGTGCGTTCCGCCCAGTCCTCTTCCCAGCCCGAGTCATCCGGACCTGACCTTGGAGGTGCTTTGAAGGTGGCCGACTGCTGCTCGACTCGCCTGAACCGGATCTAGCACCATTTTCGTGAGAAATGGTGCTCAGTGCGACGGCACATTTGAGCCGTGCTGTCCCATCATACCTCCAGCCATTTCGAAATCTCGCTCGTTGATGGCTCGGATGCCCGCGCAATCCTGGCAGCCCTACCTGCGCGAAGGCTGAACAGCTTCAATGCTCTCCGGTAGCCGATTGTCTTCATCGTCGTGCTGACAGCGCCTCAGATCAGGATCTTCTCCTGCTCTCCTTTCTTCTTCCTCGGCTCTATCTCGTCCATAATCCCTTGGCTCTCAGGTTCCATGTCGAAACCGCTCTCTTCTCTTGCCACGTCTCTCGAAGGAGCCTTATTCGTTGCGTACACGTCCGCAATGCACAGCTCGAACGGCCCAGGCACCCGATCTGTGAGCCCAATGCCGACAGATTTCACCTTCTGCCTCAGCATCTCTCGCTGCGGTTCCACCACCATGCCGTAGTTCGTCCGTACGAAGGCATGGAATGGGATGATGACCGTCTCCCACTGTCCTGGAGTGTACGTTGGCAATAGATGCTGGTGCAGATCGGTTGGCACAATCGACTCGGTCTGGATATTGACAAAGTACTTCCTCCCATCCGACTTTACTCTCAGCGCCAGATAGTTGTACGGGTCAATGTCCCACAAGAGCCTCCCAAACAAGCTCAACCCTCGATCCCTAGTCCTCCACGCAGCATACCCAGTCCGCTGAACATCCGGGTTGTTCGGCGGCAGCTCTGTCGAGATCTTGCCCTTGAACAGCATACGCGCTGGCTCTTCCTCCTCTCCTCCTCCCTGCTTCTCATTCCCAATCACGCCTTGCTCCCGGTTGCTGTCCTCGTGTGCTGCTCCATCCACAAAGCTCATGCTCGCTTCGCTGTAGCCGCCGATGTCTTTGTCAGACATGAGTTTGCATAAGCCGAGACTGCCTGAGTCGGTGAATTGGACTAGTGGGCGGGGCTTCTGCGGTCGGTGTAGGCCTTCCATCTTGACTGCGATGTTGGCTTGTCGTTTGAACTCGTCTAGAGATCGCTTCCAGAAGCCGGGCATGCCGGCGCCGCCTTGGGCGAGGCGGATGGGTGTGGCGAACATATTGATTGACAGTCTCTGCAATCAGATCCAGAGAGAAGGAGTTGTGTTGCGGGTAAAGAAGCACCGCTGCGTCTTTGATGGTGACGTTCTGGACTATCACCTCTCCCCCGAGCTCTCCGCAAATTCAATGTCACGTGACCCAGTTACCGAAGGATAACTTTATTGAGCACATGAATGCGAGGATTGTCACGATACATTGGGAGAAGCACGGAGGACCTGGACGCGATACGAGAACTCTTGGTGGGAATATTCGTCCTTCGATGAAGAGAGCCTAGCAGACTACATCCTCGACACCCCCCGAACATCCACCCGCACATCATCTTGAATGGTCGCGAAACCACAGCAGAGCGGCGGAGTATCCGAAATACCATCCAACATCCCTCGGCCCTTCGCCGAGTCTCGCGGACTTGGCCAGATAGATCCGAACGCGGTAAAAGATGGAGGCGAGATGACACAGCGGCCTGCGCCAGTCAAGGAGCGCAGGCCATGGGCACATTTCGTCGCCGGAGGACTCGGCGGCATGACAGCCGCGACAGTAACATCACCTCTCGATGTGCTAAAGACGCGGCTACAAAGCACCTACTACCAGGGCGAGCTGGCGTCAAGACGAGCAGCAAAAGGCATCCCCCCTCCGAACCAACTACCCTTCCTCCGAGCATCTTGGCTCCACATTTCAGAGACCGGCCAGATCCTCGCTCAAATACCCAAAGTCGAAGGCTGGCGCGCTCTTTTCAAAGGCCTCGGTCCCAACCTCGTCGGCGTCGTCCCAGCCCGCGCCATCAACTTCTGGGCCTACGGCAACGGCAAACGAGTCTACAGCTCCCTCTTCTTCCACGGCCAAGAGAACGCTACCGTCCACCTCCTCTCCGCCGCGACCGCCGGCCTCATCACCGGCACCGCCACCAACCCCATCTGGCTCGTCAAAACCCGCCTCCAGCTCGACAAACAAAACGCCGGCACCGCAGGCCACGGCCGCCAATACCGCAACGCCTGGGACTGCGTGCGCAAAACCTTCCACCACGAAGGCATCCGCGGCCTCTACCGCGGCCTCAGCGCCAGCTACTTGGGTGTGAGCGAAAGCACGCTCCAATGGGTCCTCTACGAGCAAGCCAAACGCTCCCTCGCCCGCCGCGAAGCCGACCTCATCCGCTCCGGCCGCACGCCCACGTTCTGGGACCGCACGGTCGAGTGGAGCGGCAAGCTGACGGCAGCGGGCGGGGCCAAGTTCGTCGCGGCGCTGATCACCTACCCGCACGAAGTCGTTAGGACGAGGCTTCGCCAGGCGCCGGTGGACAGCACGGGACGCGTGAAGTATCGGGGGCTGTGGAATTGTTTTGTCACGGTGTTCAGGGAGGAAGGAGTGCCGGCGCTGTATGGGGGGTTGGTGCCGCATATGCTGCGGGTGGTGCCGAGTGCGGCGATTATGTTTGGGGTTTATGAGGCGGTGTTGCGGGCGGCGGGGGAGAGTGCGAGTGTGTAGTGTACCAAGCGGATCTCCACTTTGGGGTGTGCATATGAGCAGAGGAGTTTTGCATGGAATGGGTGGCTTTCTGAGCGAGTTTTGCTTGAATGTATAAATACTGCCACGATAGGTGCCATAGCTGTAGGAGCGATGCTACAGCATCGGATGATCTCAACTGCATACCACCCAGAGACTCACGCCCGAAGAAGACTTGACGTCGTTGCCCACGTATAGAGACAAAGTCCCAAGTCTCCTCAAGTCTCCTTGAGTCTCCTGTGCAACCCAATACAGCTCCCCTCACCAAGCCGCGGGCGTAGGTTTCAGGAGGCTGTTGTCAATAATGCTATCAACACCACTCCTTGAACGAACCCGCACCTCCAAACAACATACCGCCCTCCCTCCCAGCGAAGAAGAGTGTAAGCGGCCCACCGGGCGTATCACACAGTCTTCCCCTCAGACCCAAATGCACCCGAAAAGGCCAGCTCGTCTCTTGGGAGCGTGCGTTTCTCGTCTATGAGAAGATGGATCACTCGGCTTGTGCCAGCCTTGCAGGCCCGGTGGACGGCTATGACTGTCGCTCATTTTGCATCCCTCGAATCCTTTGCCCGGCGGTTCATAGACGACGTGCCATCAAGCCATGCTCCTCCTCAGAAACGCTCCCTTCCCATAGATCGATCATCAGTCCGCCGCGATGTCCCTCAGATATCCCTCCCGCGCGATGTAACACCAAAATTGCTCAGCCAAAGTCGTCTCCTCCCGGTCTAGCCCCAACGAAGTAACCCCCCCCCCTTCCCGCGCCCATGGCACCTGGCCTTGCCCCAGCCTTCCCACCAACCCACATAATAAATCACCAGCAGCCCGCTACTATCTCAAGTACCCACATCGAGAACGAGTATCTACCAGCACCCAAAACCTCTTGCTCAATGGGATCAAAACCATTCCTCCCCCTCCCAGGGGCCTCCCTTAACTCGCCTGCATCTTTAAACCAAGTTCGTTAAATGCCTCCAGTTCCTCACCCTTCTTCATGTTGGGTTGGTCCTGCGCTAGGAATGAATAGAAGTAAATCGGGTTTATCCCCCCTGAGTTTCTTCTGTCCTCCTGTGGGGGGTTCTTCTTTTGGGGTTTGTTGGGGGGGAATGTGGTGGGGTTGAGCGTTCGAGTTGAGGAAAGTTGATTAGAACAGAGAGAGTGAGGAGATATATGCCATACCTGGGTTCTTTCTTTCGTCGTCCCACATGGCCTTGGATGTCGGATGTGCAGTTTGCCATCTTTATTTCGACTCAAGTTGCTGCGGTTGGACAACTTCGCTCCTGGTCGCATTGGACTAGGTTGCACACCTTCCAGTGATTCCGTTGGCCTCTAACAGTCTCCTAGGTATGGCCATGCGAGATACCTGGAACCACAGGGTACAAGGGGATAGTCAGCTCCTTCCCCCCAGCGGCGCGCGATCTCGGCAGCCACAGCGTCAGCAACAGACTCGTGCGCCTGAAGATCCGCTCGTATCGCAACGCCTTGGGTAGGAACTGCTCCAAAGATGGATGTTGCTCAGCAGCCGCCAAAGACCTCCTCGCCGACTCCTGGTCAACCTTCCCTGTTACCTTTGGAAAAGCCAACTGGATCCCAACAATCTTCTCCTTGCCCCCGTGCAGCAACCATATCGCCGCTGCGCCCTGTTTCTCCGCCTCACTCTTTACCAACGGCCACGCCTCATGCAACGCAACTTCAGCATCCTCACCCTCATACCTCCACTGCTCCACCTTCCCCACAGCATGCTCCCCCACCGGCCTGAAATTCCACGCCTCGACAACCCGCCGCACCCAACTCCGACGCGATTCGAACATTTCCCTTTCCCAAAACTTGACCCTCGGCTCATCGACCTCAAACTCCTCCGTCGTCCAGCGCTTGTAACCCTCAGCGTCGGCGTAGGAGTCGAAGAGGTAAGAGCCGCCGGTGAGTAACTTCCCAGTCACCTCGTCGTAGCGGTACGGCAGATATTTCATGTAGACTCCTGGACGAGCGGACATGGTTTTGCTGTCGGGGTACTGGGTGTCGATGAACGGCTGGAGGGGACATGGGGGGCAGACGATTTCGACTGTTATCGCCGCGCGGGCTGGGATCTCTCCTACGGGGTAGTTGAGGATGTCTTTTGCTGCTTGGTTGATGTGTGAGTGGGAGCTGAAGATGTGGCGGGGATTGGTGGTGGACGTACCCATGATTCTTTAAGTAAAGCGGTGTCGGTGGTTTAGCTGGAGGGCATGTAGGTGGTAGTTGAAGCTGCGGGCATCTGTCTGACTTCTGCAGGCCATGGTGCTCTTATGCAGGCCCTCCAGGGCTAAACGCAGCTGCCTGAATCCCTCGGAGTCCACAGTCTCGATTTGGGCCTGTCGAGCTACATTGTGCTCTGGAAGCTCCGCTCGAGGCATCTCAGGGCATTATAATAACGCTACGCGGTCAGCCCGGGCTGAAAGTCGGTCTCCAAGCTATGTTCTCCCTGCGCTGATGGTCCCTCCCGCCCTTTGGCACCCTGTTCAAAGATTGCTTAAAAGTCGATGTTTTTGAAGCATATCAGGTGATTTTGCCGAGCCAGGATACACGAGCAGTAGGTTCTGGGCGTACCTTTAGGCGTGAATGTCCGTGATGACTTGCCTCGTGTGTCTCGATCGGGAACCCTCCACGGCGGCTCGGTATCGCATTGCGATGGGCCGATCTCCGTTCCGGCCTCAAGGGGAGCGCGGCGTCCACTCTTGCAGCTGACTGAAGAGCCGATAGAAGAGTGGTGGAAGAAGATAGTTGAGCAGATGAAATGCCTACCTGGCTTCGATCTCCGCGGTTTCTTCTCGTCGCCAGCCTCTGAGGACGTAGCCCAGGGATAGATCGATTGATGGGTTCCAAGCAAGGCAACCTATAGAGCAGCAGAGATGAAATGGACGCCGTATCACAATCTTGATGGGGTCACTGTTGGAGGATGTTGATGAGATGGAAAAAGACTCGTGGTCAATGCGCTGGAAGGAAGCTGCGACCAGACCGGACTCTTCCTTCGCCTCTCAAGGACAGTGCTCCATACAGTACAACCCGACTTTCTAATATGAGTTATGACTTTCTCTTCTGTCGTACAGGTGAAGATGGCAGCACATGAAAGAGAAAGAGCCTCTGTGTATGTCTTGGCGCCGACCTCGTGGTTCCGCGGAGGCGCGACTGAAACTCAGATTGCTGATTCGGCCAACCACGTCCCCTTGATTTCTCCGCCGCCTGTGTCCGACGACGACACGTCTTCTGCTGGACTGGCTTCTTTGACGAACAATGCTGCACGGAGAGTCAAGGGCACAGCATGCACGACTGGCGGAGAGGATGTCTACTGATATGGCTGTTCTTCTCCCTCCTGGGACCTGCACTCGGCAGCCTGTACACGGGCGTTGCTGCTGGGGAGGATTTACAGCGCTTCGCGTCACGCCCAGATTTAATGCCCCCGAAATGGGACATCACATACCATGACCGAAGCAAGCTCTCTCCGGGATACTGGTTCGTGGCTCCGTACCGCTTTTCCGACAACCATCTTGACGATGTCAAGTGGACGCCTTGCGAAGTTGGGCCTATGATATTCGACAACGATGGGGTGAGTATTGCAATCACCAAGGACTTGCAGCCTGGCTAAGAAGTTTGACAGGAACTTGTTTGGAGTGGAGCATGTCAGTTCAGCAATCGCATAACCTTCGACTTTGATATGGTTCAGTACCAGGGCAAGCCTGTGTTGAAAGGCAATCTGAAGTGAGTCTCCAACTCGTACCGACAGAATTATTGCATCACCCAGAGCCCGGTTTTCCGCGTTCGGTGTTGTGCGCTCTCATTGGATTCGACACTTGCCAAAACCGTGGTCACACTGGCTAATCGTACAGTTCAGACACTCTCGCTTCCCCAAGTCAGACTGCGGGGCCGGCTACTTCCTCAACAGCCAGTATGAAATGGAACACTCCGTCCTCCTCGCGAAGGACATCGACCTGCTGAATCAACATGAGTTCAATGTTGAAGCTGACGGACATCGCACTCTTATCACGACTCACAGGCGCGACCACATCGACGCCAAGAACCTGGGCCTGGACGGCAAGGTCTGGGTGAGGACGGACGGCTTCAGAGAGATTGACACGGAGACGGGAGAGATGATCTTCGACTGGGTCACGCATGAGCATGTCAGCTTGAACGAGAGCTCTTTCAAGACTCCTAGCCAGAAGAAGATTGATAAAATCTCTCGGTCGGGCGGATGGGATGCGTAGTAAGTGCTTTATCTCCACGGCCAAGTTCCACTCCTAATGTCAAAAGCCACACAAACTCAGCAACCAAAAACTCAGACGGCGACTACCTCGTATCCGTCCGCCATACCGACACCCTCTTCCTCGTCTCTGGTAAGGATGGCAGGATCCTGTGGCGCTGTGGTGGAAAGCAATCCGACTTCAAGTTCGAAAAAGGCGCCAAATTCTCCCGCCAGCATCACGCCCGCTACCTCGAGCACAACTCCAAACGCTCCGTCATCTCGCTCATGGATAATGCTGTGGGAGATTTGCAGCAAGACAAGCAGCCAGCAACCCACGACTACTCCCGCGGCCTCATTCTGGAGCTCGAGCATCAGAAGGGTAAGCCTTTCGTAGCCCGGATGCTGAAGCAGTACAAACGTCCGGATGGAGCGTACGGAGACCGACGAGGCAGTCTTCAGATTCTGCCTTCGGGTAATGTGTTCATGGCGTGGACGGATGGCGGGTACCTGTCCGAGCACACAGACCATGATGAAGTAGTCATGGAAGCTCGGTGGCTGAAGGAGGGACGTTTCGGAACTTATCGGGGCTTTAAGCACGATGGATGGGTAGGGAGGCCGAAGACACCGCCTGATGTCAAGGCAATTGGGTACCGTGATGCGACTTCAGAAACCACCGTCACGGCGATCTACGTGTCCTGGAACGGCGCGACGGAGGTTCGGCGATGGCGGTTCTCTGTTGGCGGCACCATCCTCGGCGCTATCGACAAGACGGGCTTCGAAACGGTCTTTACAGTCTTGAACGCCTCTGGTACGGTCATCGTGGAGGCCTTCGACAAGAATGGCAAGAGTATCGGCAATTCTGAAGACGTCGAGATTGAATGGACGATTGGTGAAGGAGCTTCGAGCGGGACAACAAACATGGACAACAGTCTCGATGCTGTCGTCTATCGAGGCCTGAGCACTCACCGCTTCTTGTTCATGGCGATGGTATTATTGAGTCTGGTCGGCCTCGGGACTGTCTTCTGGGTAGGTTCTTCCTGGCTCGTCAGGTTTAAGAGGAGACGGCGACGGGCTGGGTCGTATACAGCGGTGCCGATGGAGGAGAGTATAGGTGTTGGTGTAGGATAATGCTGTAGATCACTGTAAGATAGAGTTGGTATTCATGTCTAGATTAGAAACCTCCAATTGTTTCAGAAACACAGGGTTGATCACCACTTCTCTGTGGTTTCATGGTAGATGTAGTCGTGCAATGGTGAGTACCTTCCGCATTCGGGCGAGAAAGCCGAAGGACTTCAAGCTTCGCATGATCATCACAACCACCAACTACAACCACATTGAAACGACCAGCGAACTTCCTCGCCATAGACCAACACCACGAGGCTCCAGACCATCAGTATATCCATCAATACCCGCAACGATGCCGACCGCACAGCCCCCACCCCCCACCACCGACGCCCACCCCACCCTAACCTGGGAACCCTCCTCCCGCCCCCTCGAGCCGACCACCTCCCACGAACTCCCCGATGAAGTCATCACCTGCCTCGAAAGCGCCCGCTTCCTGCACCTCGCCACCTGCACGCACAACCGCCCGCACGTCTCGCTCATGAACTACACCTACCTCCCGCCCAACTCGCGGCCCACTTCCACCACTCCTTCCTCCACAGCGTCGAGGCTGCCGGCTGGACCGGCGATAATAATGACGAGCAACCCGAGCTCGCGGAAGACGACAAATCTTGTCGAGAACCCCAACGTCTCCCTCCTCGTCCACGATTGGGTCAGCTCGCGCCCGCACAACGTGACGTCTTCATCCAGCGGCCGCGAAGCCTCCCCCACCGGCACCCGCGCCAGCAGTCTCGCCAACATGCTCATGCAAATGAACTCCGCCGCCGTCTCCAGCATCTCCGCCACGATAAATGGGCACGCCACCGTGCTCGAACCCGGGAGCGCAGAAGATACATGGTGTCGCGAACAGCACCTCGCGAACAACACGTTCGAAGTCACGGACGCCGTGGGGCGGCAGCAGCAGCGGAGTTTGAGTGCCGGGGAGGGGTTGTTCGGGACGAGTCCGACGGATGGGAGCGCGGGGGATGGGGGGAGGGGGAGTTATATTGAGGGGGAGGATGTGAGGGTTGTGGTGGTTAGGATTAGGGATGGGAGGATTAGTGATTGGAAGGGTGGGGTGAAGGATTGGGTTATTGAGGAGGGGGAGGGGGAGGGGGAGGGGGAGGGGGTGAGGGTTAATGGGGGGAGTTGAGGTGGAGAGGGCAGGGTTGGTATGGGTATTCGATGAGCTGTGATGCGTGAGGGGGAGGGGGGGAGGGGCTTTATGCACGGCGCTGCTGGGGATAAGAGGACTTCAACGGAGGCATGAGATATGGCTCTGGATGTGGAAGCAGTATAGCGGCGCCCTTGACACCGCTACTCGCGGGCTATGGCGAGACACAGCACGATTGGCAGTCATCTTACGCCTCGCGACACCACATCCGCAGGCCGAGCAAGGAGCATGCAGTCCACATGGCTTACTTATCCAAGGTCCCGCCGGTCCTACGCTCAGACGACGAGACAAGGCTCAACGACGACGAGAGAAGGGAGAAGTGAGAGGAAAATAATCAGAGAACCACGGTCCCCGAGCAAAGGCGCATCCAGCACCCAGCCTCGAGGAGTGGTCGGATAAAATGCAGCTATGTATGTACACGATGCCATGAAGAATATGCTCAGACGAATCGAAGAAAAAGGTCATCGCTTGCTCAAATCGCTCAAGCAAAGCATCAGCGCAGCAGAAAGTGCAAGTATCATGCGCTTGAACGTCCCAAGAAACCCACCCACCCTCTGCATCTTTTATAAATCCAACAGCCGTAAATGCCAAACCTCTTAAGCATCCCCCACTGCCTTGCCGTTAGCCGGCCTCAATCGCCCATTCCCCATGTCAGCGGAGTAACCATTCCCCAAATCCACCTCACCAGCTGCCGAAGCCTTGCCGTTCTGGAAGTACGCCTGAAGCCGCTGGTGCGCCGTCACAGCCATAGCGGGCTCAGCGGAGTCCTGGAAAATGTACAACACCGCTGCTCCCGCGAACTCGAGGGTTGGGTCCGAGTTCGAGGACGATGAGGCGCTGCTGCTGGAAGAAGCGGCGGATGACGAGCTTCTCTTAGATTGGCGCTGCTGTTCGTTATTGGCAGTGGTGAACGAGACAAGTTGATTCTCATCCTGACACCGCATATCCGCGCTCGAAAATAGTCCCAGCAACGTCTCCGCATCAAGCGTTATCCCAAAGTCCTTCTCGCTGTTCTCGAGGAAGGCGGGTAGGGCGGTGCCGATGGTTGCGTCGTCGGTCGAGGAGACGGAGATGGTGGTACAGCCTTGCTGTGCCTTCGTCTTGCAGGTTTGTCCGGTGAAACCGTCTGTGCAGACGCATTGGCAGAAACCATCCTCGCTGAGGATAGTGGCGCCGTTGTTGGCGCAGGTGAGTTCAGCGGCACAGCTCTTGACTGCTTCAGCGGCGTGCGCAGCCGTGATACTTCCAGGCGCAGCACCATTGCCAGTCGTATCATCACTGTCCCCAGGCAACACGATCAGCAGCAAAATCGGCACCAACACCGCCGCCGCCACCAGCAACAACAGCAAGATCAGCAGCAGAACAAACAACCACATCGGCATCCCGCAACACCTCCTCCCCTTCTTCCTCCGCCGCGCAGCCTCCCCCGCGTCGCTATCGGAGGGGAGGTGAGAGTGCCTGAGATTGCTGCTCCAGCGGCTCAGACTCACGCCTCCGCGACTCCCAGGCGGTGAGCCGAATCGTCCAGAAGGAGGCGGGAAGGATGCGAGGATATCGCTAATATCCCCTGACTTTCGATTATCCGACGCCCGTGACCGGCGGTTATCGCCTTCGGCCCCGTCGACGAAGAAGTTCATCCCCAGCCGACTCGCCGTGCGGCCGCGGTCGAGGTTGCCGGCAACTTTCGTCGCGCGGCGGATGAGGTCTGGTAGCGAGGTAAGAGACCCACGGGCCTCGGCGTCGCGGACGGCGTCGACGTCGAGGCGAGGTGGACGTCTCTTGTCCAGGCGGTTGGAGGCGGAGTGCCGGCTGAGGTAGTCGGGTTCTGTGGGGGCGGGGGAGACGCTCTTTCGTATTGGGTCGGCGGTGGGGCTGGGAGGGGCGAGGGGGGAGCGGGGCTGGGAGCGGTTGAGTTGGGCTTGGGGTAGGACGGCGGTGAGGAGTTCCTGAGAGCGCTTCTTTTTGATAGCTTGCTCGGAGTCGGACTCTGAGGACGAAGGGCCGATGAGGCCGGTGCCTGAGCTGAGGACGTCGCTTTCGGCTGACCATTGGCGGGTGGGTTGGTTCTTGGTCTTGGAGGGTACCGCGAGGGCAGGGACTGCTGGCACTGCCATAGCTCCTGCCTCGACAGCTTTGTCGTTGTCTTCTTCATCGCTGCTGATACTCGAGACGGAAGAACGTCGGTGGTAGGTCTCTTTCTCCAGAACGCCAGAAGAGCTTGTCTGTGTTGTTGTCGGGCGGGCGGGACGCTGTGCATTTGGAGCAGCATTCTCTTTCCTCACCCTTTCACTGCTCTTCACGTGAGTCAAAGTCGGCTTGCTCTTCTTCCCCAAGCTTGCTTGTCGGATGAACTGCGCAGGCTCGGGGCTGGGAGACTCGACGCCATCGTACATGTACCGACCATCGGAAGAAGTCTCCCGTATCGGCTCGATGTGCGAGTCGTCGTAGCCCTGGTCCATTGACGGACGCATATGCTCCATAGAAGGTCGGCCATGATCTACCGAAGGTCGTCCATGCTCGACAGAAGGTCTGCCATGCTGCTCGAACGGCAAACTGCGCGCGCTTCCTCGGTCTTCGACATAGTATCCAGGTATGCCAATGGGTATCGCAGTTAAGCTTCCGTACGACGAATGCGCGGGATCAAAAGCCGCGCTCGCATTCCTAATGCTGCCGCGCATGCTATCTGTCTCCTCGACAATCGGATGCACTTGCGCGATTTGAGGGTAGTAAGACGCAGGACCTTTTCTCGACGACGGCGGAGGTCCGAGAGGTGGTCGCTGATTCCGTTGGCCGTAGATAGTCTGTTGCAATGCCTGCGGCATCTGATAGTCCGGAATAGAAGATGGCTGAGGCGGTGGAGGGCATCGAGGCTGCTGTGGGGGTGCAGGTAACGGCTGTTGAGGTGATCGGTAACCGTCGCCTGTCCATTGGCCAGTTCCGTGGTATGACAGTGGTTGCGGAGGTGGTTGATGGTACGCTTGATTCGCAGGCGCTATTCTCGCAGCAGGTCGAGGCGGGTCAAGTACTTGCTCCGGATAATCAGGTCTTGCAGGCCGTTGAGGTGGTCTTCGAGGGCTGCTGTTGGATGGGACTGGAGGCGGTTGAGGTGCTCTCCTCGGACTACCTCTGGGGCTCGCACCTGGGCTGTTAGAGCGTCCAGTTTGCGCAAAAGGTCTTGCAGGTAGAGGCCATGTTTCAGGCTCATCGTACTCTGCTCCACCGTAGGCGGTGCCGTCGTAAAGACTGTCCGCCGACTCGAGTTCTGGTGATGGTGCGTAATCTCGTGCGTAATCTCGCGGCGGTGGTGCGTAGTTCTGCGGTGGTGCATAGTCTCGTGGGGGAGGCGGTCGCACCGGTTTCCTCATCCCTGGCGGAGGACCAGCATTAGGGTGAGGCGGCCTCATTGGCGGAGGCCCACGCTGTCGGTCTGACGGAGGATAAAAATTCCCAGGCGGCGGCGGTCTTCGACCAGGAGGCGGTCGCATGTCGTACTCCTGACCGCCATGAGGCATGCCTCGGTCATAGTATTGATAACTCATCGAGTGCGACGAGGTTCAAGAATTGTGTTAAACGAATGTACTCGGTCGGTGAAAGGAGGTGAGGTTGAAGAAGCTCAGATGCACAGCATGCGGGTGGACTTCTCGTCGCTGTTGTACCACGCTGCCTGAGCGGGGGAGATCTCGACCAGCGCTAGAAGGGAAGTTCTTCGTTCGTTCGTTGCAGCTGCAGCTGTTGTGCGTCCGTCTTTATTCTCTTGTTGCCGTGTAAACGCCACACGCGAAGATGGTGGTGCTACCGGGGCCTGCGGGCGGGTATGTATGCTGCCGTGCCTTCGACCTCGTTCGTGCCTTCAAGCTGGGACTCGGGGGCTGTTCAATAGAAGGATCGTGGTATCGTGTTCGCGGTAGGCGGTGTTACAAACGAGTGTGGGTGGCGTGGAGCGAGTGGTGGGCGGAGTGCGTTGCGCAGTCGAAAGAAACGAAGAGATCGTGTGGTCGCCGTACCCTGTCAATATCGTTAGATCCTGAATCCTTGGTAGCCCCCTCGACCCCTCGTCCAGGTGATCATTCAGCGACGTACAGCGAGCGGCTAGCGGAACGACAACTGCAATACCAGATGCGTCGTGTGAGGTGCGAACAGAAGATGGAAGTCACCAACCGGGTCGGAGGTGCTCCAGCCCTGCGGATGCGGCAAGACGCCTGCTCATCTCATCTCGAACATGTCTTGGAGGATGCGCCGGTCGAAGCGTTGTTCCGGCTGTCGGCAACTCGTGCAAAAATAACTCGCCTTCAAACATCTCCAAACACGCGACGTGACGGAATGAACAACTTCATCAGCAATCACCCATCTTCATCCTACAGCCCTTGGAAATTTCACAGTCCAGATCTATCAAGCACAACATCTCGTCATCAACCAGTACGCCCAACGTCGTTCTCGTCACGCGCATACAGCTGTTCCTGTTCCTGCAGCACGCAGCTGTTCCTGCAGATTTCTCCACGAACCCTGTCAAACAACGACCTCTAACCATCTCCAGCATCGCCTCTCTCGCTTATCAAAATAGCGCGTTTCAATCCTTCCCACGCGACGAATCAGTGCTCGCGTGCCTCTTGCGAGCCTGCCAATTTGCTGGTGTTTGGGGTTGATGTGGTGGTGTTCTGTGCAGAACGATTTCCGTCAGCTTGCATATGGTTGTCGACAGGGTAATGGTGGGTATACGGAGTATATATGAAGTTGGTGTCCACCGGTGTGAATTTGAACTCGCGATGGTGGTTGTTTGGCCCCGTCATCGCGATCACAACAGCATCGGACGCGACGTGACTGCGCAATGAATCGCGAACAGGATCCTACAATTTGCGGCAGCGGCACCCAAGCAACGCCAGGACTCGGTATGTGGTGGATCGTTCATGGTCGGACAGATGGCGCGAGACGGTGGGTATAGACATTTTCAACCTCCTTCATATCATGTGTGTGGTTGGGACCTGCGTCAATCTATGTACGACAGGAGCCATGCTTACGCCGATGGCTAGCCTTCGAGGATACACCATGCTCTCCCGGAGCCGACACCGCATCGTGTTCTGCATCTATTGTTTCCTCACCAACCCTCCATAGCCGGTAAGAGAAATACGTCACTCTCAACCCCCAAACAACCGCCCGAACGCCTCCCGATACCTCCTCCCCGTCTCCGCCACCACCTCTCCACTCATCTCCACCCCCTCCTTCCCCTTCAACCCCTCCCTCACCAACCAATCCCGCAGGAATTGCTTGTCAAAGCTCTCCTGCCCCTTGCCCACCTCATACTTCTCCTTCGGCCAGAAGCGCGAGGAATCCGGCGTCAACACCTCGTCCACCAACACCACCTCCCCCGTCTCAGGGATCAAGCCGAACTCGAACTTCGTGTCGGCGATGATGATGCCGCGCTCGGCGGCGTAGTCGCGGGCGAGCTCGTAGACCGCCAGACTCACCTCCTCGATCTTCTTCGCGACTTTGGGGCCAACGAGCTCAGCGGCGCGGTCCGGGGAGATATTCTCGTCGTGCTCGCCCGCCTCGGCTTTGGTAGACGGCGTCCAGAGTGCCTTTTCGAAGCGCTGGGATTCCTGCAGACCTGCTGGGACGGAGGTGCCGTGGACGGTGCCGTGCTGCTGATACTCCTTCCACGCAGATCCGGTAATGTAGCCGCGCACGATCGACTCCAGAGGAACAATCTCGTACCGGCGAACCTGCATCGATCTCCCTCTCAACGCGCTCTCCACATCGGTCCCTTTGAGCACGTCCGGAACGTCGGTGCCGACGAGGTGATTCCGTAATGATGGCAGCTTCGACGTGATGAGTGAGAACCACTGCGCTGAGAGTTGGGTCAAGAGTTCACCCTTCCCGGGGATGCCGTTGGTAAGGATGACATCGTAGGCGGAGATGCGGTCGGTGGCGACGAAGAGGAGGGTGAAAGAGTCGAGTTCGAAGATTTCGCGGACTTTGCCTGAGGCGATCTTCTTGATGTTGTAGGGGGCGAGGTCGAGCGCTGTGATGGGTTGGGTGGCGGCCATGGTGAAGGTGGCCGATATATACTCTTTGGAATGATTGAAGTAGGTCGCGCCGGCCTGGTGTGGTTGATGTCGACGATTGGGTTTAAGGAAGAAGGTTGCCCGTTGCTAAGAGTGTCGCATGTTTGGGTGATGTTTGGTCAAAGAAGTTGTGAAACGTTTGTTCGGTCGAAGACGTTGGTGGAAGAAGCTTTTGTAGTGTGAGATTCTGTGAAAGCAGATTGTTGCGCATATGCCAGATGGGTTTTTGGCGAATGAACTTTTGAAGATCCAAGGTGAATGTAAAACCGCTTGCACCTTCCTTGAAGATCCAGCGGGATGAGCCTCGGTCCGGCGCTAGCTGTTGATCAGACACCTCGAGTTGACGCGTCGAGACGTCTGGCGATACTCGAAGAACAGTCGCCCATTTCGCAACTCGCAGACTCACGATTCTAGCTCCTCGCCGAAAACCGTATGGACCGACGATGACGAACGTCGAAACCATCTACGACCATGGCTGAACCGGAGACCTTCCGGGTGCGACTCAACTGCATCGACCACTACCAGAGCCCTCCGTCCGCTCTCGATCCACCACTATGGGGCGTGTCAACCTACTCCTCAACCCAGCGAGGCACCCTTCCCAATGTACCAGTCATTCGCATCTTCGGCGCAACAGAAACGGGCCAGAAAGTCTGCATGCACGTCCACGGCGCATTCCCCTACCTCTTCGTTCCATACACCGAGTCGCTAGAGCAAGACGCGGTAGAAGCGCAAATCAGGGATATGAGACTATCAATCGACCATGCGCTCGCGCTTTCATACCGCAGGAACCCGTACGCTGAGCCCAAGTCCGCGCAGTTCGTCGCACACATCAGCCTGGTCAAAGGCGTGCCGTTCTTCGGGTACAATGTTGGATACAAGTACTATCTCAAGATCTACCTTCTAAATCCGTCACACATGACGAGGTTCTCGGATCTGCTGCAGCAAGGAGCGATATTGCAAAGGCATTTCCAACCGTATGAGGCGCATCTGCAGTATCTGCTACAGTGGATGTGCGATTTCAACTTGTACGGGTGCGCGTACGTGGAGACGAAGAAGCCGTACTTCCGGCTGCCGGTACCGTCGGCAGAGGAGCTGGATGAGCTGGGAGGGTGCAGTCACCTCTGGCACGAACAGTCGATCGATCGAAGTCAGATGCTGGATGAGCAGCACTTCCAACGCCAAAGCCATTGTCAGCTCGAGCTCGATATTAAAGTTGGTGACATCCTGAACAGACACGAAGTACAGCCGCGCGATCTACACCAGTCGTTCGTCGAGCGGCTGTCCTCGCTGGAGAATTTGCCGCCGGAAGAGAAACTCGTGCAATCGATGGCTGGACTGTGGAAGGACGAAACGAAGCGGCGGAAACGACGGATGGGGCTGTCCGATCCCTCGTCTTCGCCTTTCCCGCCGGAAGTGCTGGTCAGTATGAGCGCTGATCCGCGGAATGATAGCAAAGGCGGGTGGATTCATGAGGCTGAGTTTCGGGAGATGGTTGACGAGCTTGCCAAGCAGGAGAACAAGGCGCGCGGCGGCAAGGCGGCGACATTTGAGTCTTTTCTGTCGCAGAAGGACGCGGATGATGGGGTGCAAACGGTGTTTGAGAGTATTGAGGAGCTGTTTGGGGACAAGTTTGGCATCCGCAGGGGGTTAAAGGCTAATGCGGATGGTGGAGAGGAATTTGACCAGGCGACTGCTGAGCTCAATGGTTGGCATGACCATCCCGCTGCTCCTACAGCTCAAGCACCTCTGGTTGACGAACACAGCATTGCCCAAGTGAGGGATGACGATGATTACGGCAGTGACGAAGAAGTCGCCAGAGACAAGGCTCTGACACAACAGCAGAAGCTTAGGGATGCTGGTGTTGATGGTGCTGTTGGCGAAGGAAAGATCGAAGGCGGCTCATCAGATATCGAAGCACGAGCTGAGAAAGTTGAAGAAGGTGCCGATGTGCCTTCGGAAACTGTCCGTGCTGCAGAGCATGGCTCCCTGAAGCGCCCGGCGGCAACAGCAAGCCAGGGTCCGTTCAAGCGGGTGAAATTCGACCCAGAACCGGAGAGCGCACAGCCAAATCGTGCGCCATTCAGGGTCAAGGACGTCAGGCCAGCGAAGCCCGCCAAAGCATACAGCGGGACTCCCAACGGGCACCAGCCTCCTCCCGGAGCTCAGCCAGCAAATGAATCAAATGCAGAATTTTTGGCTGCCGTACCTTCCGGACAGCCTCCGCCTTCATCGCAGCCACAGCGGTCTTCACAAGCGCCATCGTCGCAGAACAGCACAATCAGCTTTCCTATTGTCAAGAATGCGAACGACCCGGACACAGCACTTAGACTCAGCCAACGCGATGACCTGTCGCGCATTCCTCCGCGGAGCTCTCAGACGACTGCTAAGGACGTGTCTACAAGCTTCGACTCCATCTCTTCCGCGACCAGCTCTAAGCCGCCTTCCAAGTCAACCCCAGCGCCTATAATTGATTCGAAATTGGCTGCGAACTATGCCATTGCCTTCAATCTGCCACCGGAGGTGAACGTCTTCATCTTTAGAGCTCGAGCTCCATCGTGCGAACAGGTCGAACGGACAATCACGCCTTCTGTGATATACCAGGATGCGTACTATAGTAACGAGAAGGACGTTCCGGAACGGCCGAGAGAGTATGCTGGGCAGGAGTTCAGACTTGAAAGTACCACGGTCCCTTTCCTGCCGGAGTTCGACAAGTCGGGGCAGCAACTACCGAACAAGACGGTTGGTTCCGACAAAGCGAAGCAGACATTAGCAGAGCAACGACGACGCCGGCAGTGTACGCTTCGACATTGGGAGATCATGGCACCGCCACCCACCTTTGACGAAGTTCAGCAGTGGCTCCACTCAGAAGGCGGCAACGAGCCGAGCGACCTGGACAAGCTCGAAGTCGACGGACCTCCGGCAGCCACACAAGTCAAGCGGAAGAATCGTCCGGCACCTGAGCTGTCGCAGATCGACGGCCCAACGCAGAAGAACAAGCACGGCTTCAAGTTCTCCCAGCACAAGAAGAGCACGAGTGTGCAGCATGAGACTGGCTACATGAGCACCATGGCACTAGAAGTCCATGTCAACACCAGAGGTGACTTTGCTCCGGATCCTGAGAAGGACGAGGTGAATCTGGTCTTCTGGTGCATCGCTGATGAGCAGCTCGACGAGGATCTGAGAATGGGTGTCGTCGTCTTGAGCAAAGACGGAGGCGACACTCTTCCGGAACGCATACGACGCATGGTCGGCAACGACGTCCAAGTCGATGCAGAAGAGACTGAAATTGACCTCATCAACCGCATGGTCGACATCGTCCGCGAACACGACCCAGACATCCTCGCCGGCTTCGAAGTCCACAATAGCAGCTGGGGCTACCTCATCGAGCGCGCGCGGCTGGTGCACGAGTTCAACCTACCCGATGAGTTCTCGCGGATGAAATCACAATCGCACGGCCGGTTCGGCAAGGATGCTGATCGCTGGGGTTTCACACATACCTCTACCGTGCGCATTACTGGAAGACACACGATCAATATCTGGCGAGCGATGCGGTCGGAGTTGAATCTGCTGCAGTATACCATGGAGAATGTGGTGTTTCATCTGCTGCATCGACGGATACCGCATTATTCGTTTGCCACGCTGACGAAGTGGTTTAATAGCGAGAGGCCAAGAGATCTGGCCAAGGTGGTTGATTATCATATGACGCGGACGAGATTGGATATGGAGATCCTGGACGCCAATGAGCTGATTCCGCGTACCTCGGAGCAGGCTCGTCTGCTTGGTGTGGACTTCTTCAGCGTCTTCTCGCGGGGCTCGCAGTTCAAAGTCGAATCACTCATGTTCCGGATCGCCAAGCCGGAGTCTTTCGTGCTTGTCTCGCCGTCTAGGAAGCAAGTCGGAGCCCAGAATGCACTGGAGTGCCTGCCGCTGGTCATGGAGCCTCAGAGCGCTTTCTACAACAGCCCACTGCTGGTCCTGGACTTCCAAAGCTTGTACCCAAGCGTCATGATCGCTTACAACTACTGCTACTCAACGTGCCTAGGCCGCATCGTCAACTGGCGTGGCACGAACAAGCTGGGCTTCGCTGACTTCAAGCGCACGCCTGGCCTGCTGGAGCTGGTGCAGGATAAGCTCAACATTGCGCCGAACGGCATGATATATGTCAAGCCGGAGATGCGGAAGTCGCTGCTGGCGAAGATGCTGGGCGAGATCCTCGAGACTCGCGTGATGGTGAAGTCCGGCATGAAGGTCGACAAGGACGACAAAACCCTCCAGCAACTCCTGAACAACAGACAACTCGCCCTCAAACTCATCGCTAACGTCACCTACGGCTACACCTCCGCCTCCTTCTCCGGCCGCATGCCCTGCTCCGAAATCGCCGACAGCATCGTGCAGACGGGCCGCGAGACGCTCGAGAAGACCATCGCCTTCATCCACTCCGTCGAGCGCTGGGGCGCTGAGGTCGTCTACGGCGACACCGACAGCCTGTTTGTTTACCTCAAAGGCCGGACGCGCGCCGACGCTTTCAAAATCGGCGACGAGATCGCCAAAGCCGTCACGGACATGAACCCGCGCCCCGTCAAACTCAAGTTTGAGAAAGTGTACCACCCCTGCGTTCTGCTAGCGAAGAAACGCTACGTCGGCTTCAAGTACGAGTCTCCCAACCAGACAGAGCCGGAGTTTGACGCGAAGGGCATTGAGACAGTGAGAAGGGACGGCACGCCCGCGGAGCAGAAGATCGAAGAAAAAGCCCTCAAACTCCTCTTCCGCACCAGCGACCTCAGCGCCGTGAAGCATTATTTTCAGCAGCAGTGCACGAAAATCATGACCGGCCGCTTCAGCGTGCAGGATTTCTGCTTCGCCAAAGAAGTCAAGCTCGGAACTTACTCTGACAAAGGCGTCGCGCCGCCGGGTGCACTCATCGCTACGAAGCGCATGCTCAAGGACCCGCGTATGGAGCCGCAGTACGGGGAGCGCGTGCCTTATGTTGTGATTGCTGGGGGCCCGGGGGCGAAGCTATGGGAGAGATGTGTGGAGCCTGAGAGGCTGGTTCATGATGAGTTTGCGGAGTTGGACGCGGAGTATTATATTAGTAAGAATCTCATCCCGCCGCTGGAGAGGATTTTCAATCTGGTGGGCGCGAACGTCCGGCAGTGGTATGATGAGATGCCCAAGGTGCAGCGGATTCGGAACATCGTTGGAGCACGAGAAGGCGAGGTCGGGGTCAAGAGTAGGAAGACGATGGAGAGTTATATGGGCAGCTCGCTGTGCATCGTCTGTCGGACTAAGCTACCACCTGTCCCGGCTGGCGGCGAGGCTGCGCATCTTCCGCTCTGCGATGCGTGTCGAACGGTTAAGAGTCAGCAGACGCTGCTCACGCTGCGACAGAAGTTGCAGAAAGCGGACAGGAGGAAGACGGATTTAGAGCGGGTCTGCAGGAGTTGTGCGGGTTTGGCTTGGAGTGAGGAGGTGAGGTGCGATTCGAGGGATTGTCCGGTGTTTTATAGTCGGGTGAAGGCGGGGACGCGGTTAAGGGTTGCGAGGGAGGGGGTGGGTAGGGTTTTGGGGGCTTTGGAGACTGAGGTCGGGATGAAGGCGGAGCTGGAATGGTAACGAATGTACGAGTCAATGAGGAAGCATGCGGTCGCCGCAAATGATAGCCTGACGGGAGTACTGTTCCATCAATGATGGAATGAACTTGTTTTATATCGTCGAAGCCAATATAAAGCGCGAGACCAAGCACTTTCAAGCTTCTGCAGGGCGCGAGTCAGCCGAGTCATTGGGGCAGATGATCATCCGCCAAGGTTGTCTGGACGGTTGTTGCGCATGCCTTGATTTGGAGCGGGACTTGCCATCAACCACGCGACCTCACTTCTCGATACGCCCCTGATGTAGTTCAATATACCTTACGTCAAGGTTCACCTATACGATGCCATCCCTAGACGCCTGTCATTGAGGACAAGCTTATCAGTCTCACGCTCGTTGCTTTTCCCCGGTCCTGTCAACTGCGGACAGCGGCAGTGGATCAATACGTGCTCAATCTAAGCCGCCGTGATGAGCGCCATCGACCCAGGAGTCGAAGACGGCATCAAGGAGAGCGCCGACGATGTCGAACCCGACAAGGAGGGTGCCGACTACGATAGAGATGAATCGCGATCACTACAGCAGCCCAGCCGGTGGTGGTTCGCTTCTACTGCTTGTCCCTTACTTGCAGGTACCTTTGGACCCATGGCCAGCGGCTTCAACATATGTGCGCTTGTTCAGTACTGGAGGCAGACGATTCCGCCGGAGCCGAATGATGCTGAGGTGCTTGGGCACAAGATTGAGGATCCTGAGTGGGTGCTTGTGAGTTCATGTATTCTTATACGAGCACGAAGAGATAGTTGCTGATTGGAATTATCCTCAGATCGTCAACATCTTCTCTTTGGCCGCAGCAGTCATAGGCAATGCGGCCCTTCTACTCAACATGGCTCGCCGAGTCAGGTTTTCGATTGCGCAGCCGACCACGATCACTGGCTTCCTCACGGCAGGCATACTTCTAATCGCAGATACGGCTACGCTATCGTCACAGCCCGCTTATGGCCTCACGAAAGAGACTCTGCTTCCTCCCTCCCGACATGCTTTAACCCAAGCATTCTACTACGCCATCTTCGCTGCAGTCATCTACACCATCCTCGGCTTACTGATGTGCGTCACCGTCTACGGCGCAAACAAAGGTCACTACAGCAAGGACTTCCATCTGACTGGCTCTCAACGAACACTGATGCTACAAACGATGTCCTTCATCACGTACCTCATGCTCGGTGCACTCGTCTTCGGTTACATCGAGGAATGGGAGTATCTGGACGCCGTATACTGGGCCGATGTGACTCTCCTCACTGTCGGACTGGGCGACTACCATCCCACCAAAGCTCTGACACGAGGCTTGATGTTTCCTTTTGCATTTGGTGGCATTCTCATGGTCGGTCTGGTCGTTGGCAGTATCCGGTCGCTTATCCTTGAACGAGGCAAAGAGAAGCTCAGTGCTAGGATCGTCGAGAAGAAGAGGTTTTACGCCGTACATAATGTGGACAATCGGAAGCAGACTATCAAGGTCTCGATGTTCGCAAAAGTGGACTTCAGCACTGATCCGGCGTTGTCTCCGGCGCAGAAGCGGGAGGAGGAGTTTAACGTCATGCGCAAGGTGTGTTATGTTAAAGCCTCACCCTGCGCTCCCGCTGACGAATGCAGGTCCAAAAAGCAGCTGAGCGCGAGCGTCGATACTTTGCTCTTTCCCTCTCCTCGACCTTCGCCCTGATACTCTGGTTTGTTGGAGCCGCAGTGTTCCAGCAGACTGAGTTCCAGCAAGAATGGACGTATCTACAGGCGTTGTACTTCTCCTACACATCGCTCTTGACGATCGGATACGGAGGTGAATACAGGTGACGCTATTATCGCGCAGTTAGCTAACGTCCTCCGCAGACTTCGCGCCTTACTCCAACAGCGGGCGGGCCTTCTTCGTGCTGTGGTCGCTGCTCGCCGTGCCATCTTTGACCATCTTGATCTCTAACATGGGTGACACTGTCATCAAATGGTTCTCGGATCTCACAATCTGGATCGGCTCTATCACAGTCCTCCCAGGTGAAGAAGGTCTGCGGGCATCTACTAGGGCTGCTGCGAGGACTCTGACGAGCTGGATGAATGACAGCATCAAGAGCTTCACGCCTCCAGGCATTCTTGGAGCCGCGCCGGCTGAGCCTGAACAGCGGCTCGAGCGGAGTGATTACGAGAATAAGATGCTTGACAACCTTGCCGAGCGCCTTGGACGGCATACTGGAGACCGGCACGTCGACTTTGTTTCCGAGAGTGAGAAGGAGCAGGATACCATGACGAAAGACATCCAATTTTACCACTACGTTCTCGCCCGCGAATGCAGGAACGTGCAAAAGGATCTGAGCGCCAGTCCGCCCAAAGAATACACCTGGCAGGACTGGGAATACTTCCTCAAGCTCATGGGCAATGAAGACGACCCAGCCGACTTTCCAGGCCAACAACACCCAGACATCCTGGTCCCAGAAGCAGTTCGAGCACCAAAATTCATGATGGTAGGGGAGCCCTCTACCCACCTCACGCCCGACTCGCGCGGAAGCGACGAGAAAGCCACATCATCCTCCGACGAACCACAAAAACCTGATGAGATGGACGGCAACATCGACCGCAAGACCTCTGTCATGCGCCAAATGACCGCGAAACGAAAGCAGTTCCGCAACCGGAAGGGTCGCCGTCCTGATGACGATTTTTTGATGAGTTGGTCGTGGCTGTCGCAGGACTCGCCACTGATGAGCCAGAAGAGCGAGGCGGAGTGGGTGCTGGAGCGGTTAAGTGCGGCTTTGGAGCGGGAGCTGAATCGGCAGAGGAAGGGGTTTAGGGTGCAGCCACCGATTGGGTTGAGGGATGCGAGGAAGAGGAATAAAATGGCGGGTAACAAGGAGGGAGGGGAAGATGGGGCAGAGGATGCAGCGCAGGAGAGGGAGCAGGACGCTCTGGAGAAGGCGGAGAAAAGTGAAGAGTAATGCTTTGGTCAAGAGTCTGGCGAAGTTGGTGGCGTGGTTCTGGCGAGGTCTACATCATGTAAGAGATACCCATGTGTTGTTAGCGCTGTATTTGTTGTCTTCAAGGCTACCTGCGATGTTTTCCAGAAGACGAAGAGCAGGACCATGATCACAGAACGCACGACATGACCATATGGCGATGGCGGAGAATGGCCTCAAGCCGTTGTTTCTTGGGCTATGCTCCCGATGTGTCTCGGGAATCCTTCTCTGGACCCGCAACAACAGCTCTCAGGCCCAGATCGCGGTTGATGGAATGATATCGCTGTCTCGGAGAACGAAGGTATCAGAACATGGTAGCGATTCCACCGCCGCTGGAGAGTTCATCTCCTGGGCAGCGACTCATCCTTCATGCTCACGCTATGCCGCATGAAGCCATATCGCCGCCTGCGAGAACGAATGGACAAGAGCACCATAAGTGAGTCCTCCGCCCAGGGAGAGCTCATCTCCAACACAGAAACTCATCCCTCAAGATCACAGCATGCTGTACGGAAGCCTGTTGCTGTCTTGGAAAACGAACGAACAAGAGCATCATAGCGACTTCGCCCAGGAGTACTTCATCTCCAAGACAGTAAGTGTACTCGAGACTATCGCATGGCGCACAGGAGTCTGTCGCACTCTCGGAGAACAAACGCATACGAGCATTGAGGCATGATGTTGCCGCCGGACAACAGCTCACCTCCAAGACATCAAGCCATCCTTCAAGACGACAGCACACGGCTCGGAGGTGGGTCAATCGTTGGAGAAGACTACTCAGCATTTGATATCACTTGGAAGGTAAATATTGCTGGAATGGAGTGAAGTTGGGTCGGGTTTTGTCACCGTGAATTTCGATTCGGCTGCTGAAAGGCAGATACTAACAACCACCCAGGCTGCCCTCTCCGCCGCTCAATGATGCAACCATCCGCCGAATCTCAGCACCACAGTCAATGCTGCCGCTCGAGAAGATTCCGACTTAGACGACCACCCTCTTCTGCATGTATCGTCCTTGCCGGTCATCCTCAACCGCGCTCAGCCCCTCTATGCACCCTCCTCCCCATTCTCAGCCGCATCCTCGCCGTCCTTCTCCTCCTCATCCTGCACCGGAGGATGGATGGTCGTGTGCGGGTGTTCGAGCCTCCCGTTGCTGGCATCGATGGCGGCAGTCTGGCGACGACGATGCTCCAGCAAGCGCTCGTAGATTTCTTGCGGGGTGGGCTTCTCTGCGTTTCGTACGTTAGCATGAAGAAGCACCTATGCGTGGGAGAAGAAGGTAGCTCAATCCTTACCGTCGAAGGCGTTGGAGATCTTCTTGTAGTGCTCTGATGCGATTTCGTTGCCCATGGAGAAGAGGAGCAGCTTGCGGTCCATGTCTTCGGTCCACACGGTCTTGGGCTTCTCCTCCACAGCAGCAGGGACGCTGGTGGTGTTGTTTGTGGTGGTGTTGTTTGTGGTGGCGTTTTCACCTGAGGAATTCGCCATTGTGGAGATAGTTGTGTTGTGCTGCGCTGATGTGAGTAGATGTTGGTGGATGGTAGAGTGGTAGTACTGACTGCTTGTGTGAAGAGTGGGTGTGGTTGCAGGATGATGTTGGTGGGAGGAGG